AGATTCGGGAGGAAGGTACAGATGAACGTCGAGTGAGAGGATGTGCTTGCCAAGACTGGGTCGGGCCTTTAACTCCTTCGCTTGCGACAAAGAGCGAATGACCAGCGTGCGGAAGAAGAGGGGGGAAATGTCCCTATGCAAAGCCTTCGTAACCTGCATGAGAGACGCCAAAGTAGGCCGATCGGCGCTGTCGGCAACAAGGTGCTGAATCTCCAAAGGAATAGGCTGCGAAGATGGAGAGCGCGACACTAAAACACAGTCAGTAGAAGCGAGAGCAAGAGGAATGGCGGACGTACTGATGAGTGTACGGAGAAAAAGGGGTTGGAAGAGGTGAACGGAAAAGCGCACTTTTAAATCCCCGGTCTCATTGAGACACTTCGCAAGTGTATAAAAAGAATGTCTCGCATTGCAGTACATAGACGTGTAGCAAAGAGTTAATCTGTGTCACCGACGATACGTAGAGTCAATCGCTCGGGAGGTACGACTTGAAGATGATGAAGAACAGTGCGTCGGAGGGCAATCGCCTGCTCGCCGTCCACGTCAAAGTCGACGACAAAAACAATATCCAGACTGACCGAATCTCCTAGCACGTCAGATACCCACGTGTCCCAACGCAGGCTGTCGTACTCCTGTACAGCCCCGAAGAGAGTCAAGCACCAGTTAACTCCAGTGATGCGCTCCATCGCCGTCGCTAGAACGCAAACCCGGACGGTCCTCAAGCTAAGAAGATTCCCTCTCGTCCTTTCCGTGCGTAGAAAGGTCGCCAATCGTCGCCATTCCTGTCGTCCGTCCTCGTGCACGCGGCGCATGGTGAACTGCACGACTTGCAAACGCTGAAGCGACCTCTGCCCGGAAGGACCTATACAACGATGAGTAGTGCAGTGCATGGATAAAAGGAAGACAGACCTAAGACCCAAGGAAAGGGCGGATCAACAGCAGGGACTAGGCCTAGGCGCAGCTCCTTCAACATCGGCGGCGAATGAGACAGCAATCCGTCAAGCCCCGACCAGGTCAGACCTTGTGGGATGTCTAGAATCTCCAGGCCGCGCGCATGAGCGCGGAAGTAGTCCGTCGTAAAGTGCGAGTAATCCTCGGCGAGGCAATGACGCACAGTAAGCTCGCGTAGCGCAGGAAAGGTTGAAGACGTTCCCTGCATCGAGGTAAAAGGTGCGAACACCTTGAATGAGACGGCTAATGAAACAAGCCTCGCGCTGCAGTCTCGCAATGCAACGTCTAGCTCGCGAAGACCAAAGGTCTTGTAAGCCAGACGAAGATGGCGAAGACCCGAAAAAAGGCGAAGGAAGGGAGGGAGACGTCTACGGACATCGTATAAAGGGACATTGGGGGGTGGACACCACTCCAGAGTGTGAAGGTTCTCGAAACCCGACAGGTAGCAAGGAAGGCGGTACGTGTGCACAATCAACTCGTGAACGAACTCAGCGATGTCCTTGCGGTCGTCGAGAGTAAGCGCATCCTGCGGTGTCCAAATGTGTACAGTGTCGTAGAAACGGCGGAGCAAGTAATGGAAGTGTTGCGCTGAGCAGACCAGAGCGAGAAGGGTGTTGCGGTCGCAGAACGAGACGATAACGTCGAAGAGCTCAACGTGTACTTTGGGCCGCAGAACGTCTGCGCTCCGCAATCGCGATAGGACGGCCACTAGAGACAGTTGTGAGTAACGCGTATGGAAGACGAGACTGAACTTACTTAATGACCAAGGAAGACGCTTGGGAAACGGCAAGTAAGCCACGGCGCCTTTTAAGGTGAGCGCCGACGAAACTGACGCGCACCTGGATATGTCAGAGACGGTCTCAAAGACGACGACTGAGGATAAAAGTCCCAGAGACGGAGAGAGAAGGGATAGAAAATAGATTATTGTAGTGAAACAAACACAGTGGTGTCTACGATGGCGGAATCGAACCTGGCCGGTTAGCGAAAACCACCGCCGTGTGAGGGAAAGGAACAGTCCGGGCCACGCCTGTAGAGATGGCGCTGAATGCGGAAGTGCCCTCTGCAGCTGATGTATAGACGTTGAGGTGGAGGGTGCACCGGCTGCCGAGCGCCGCAAACCAAGAGTGCCAATCGAGGGCGCCACCGTGACCATCCATATCGAATAAGGGCCCACCTCCATCGGTGACCATATCCCAGGAGGCGCGACGCCCGTCGATATTCACGGTAACCGCTGTCAATGACGGCGCCAAAGGCACGCCATATACCAGATCGAAAAAGTCTGACGTGTCGCTCCAAACTCGCAGACTTTGATGCGGTTCCAGAGCGACACGAAAAGACAGGGACCGAAGGCGCATCCACTGCGAGGGGTCTGAAGAAGGTTACAGCAGTGTCAGGAACGGGCATACGAACACGCACCGTACGTGAGGGCTAACCGCACAAGCGGTGGACAGCCTTCGAACTCCAAAGATGAGACGGAAGGAGGCGAATGCCGCAAAGCAGTCAGGATCGATGCCCACGTCGTGTCTCGAGGGAAGCGGATCGTCTGCAGGCAGCGGTTCCCGCGTGTAAGACACGAGAACGCCGATCCGCTGAGTTCCCCGTACCGGGGATCGTCGACGGATAGAACGCGGAGATTACAGAAAAGGCTCCTTGGTCGAGCTCGGCAACAATCCATAGGGCCGTGGACCACGCAGACCACCTTCAGAGACAGCAAGCGTGTCGAGATAGGCGCCAAAACGAAGTCCAAATTGGGGACGGTCAAGAGCGACAATGACAGCGCGAGATGACGAACGCTCTGAAAGCGTGACAAGAAAGCGCGTACTGACCGAGCGTTGAGAGGTTTCTCATGACCTGGCCATGCGTCGTGCGTCCACGACAGAGTTTGAAGGTTGGGAAGAGCCGGCAGCTGAAGTAGCTCTGCACCCAAGTGTGCTGTAAGAACGCGCACGAAGGGCAGCGCCAAGGGAGTCCCAGATAGGTGGGCGACATCCAAAGGATGGGTGATGCACAGGACCTCGTAAAAGAGAGGTCTCGCGCGTTCCAAAAAGTCAGGGGAAACGCGCATCAGAATTGCGAGAGAATGACGATCGCAAAAGCGCAGGATCGCAGCCTCGAGCTCAAACGGTAAAGACCCTACACAAAGTTAGGCTGGATTAAATCGTGGAGGGAGACTTACTTGTAGGAGTCATAAGCGGAAGTGATGAGGGTGGAAGGAGTCAACTGCGTGTGAGAAACCACGACAGAAGAGGAAACCGCGCACGCGGCTCTCGGGTGTTGCCGACCTTTATGGCACAGGAGAACCGGCCACACGATCCTCCCCTCTTGTCCTTACAACCTCTAGCTACATCACCCGCCTCCTAGCCGGCGACACTCAAGTACCCGTCCATCGATTTTCTCATCTAATCAGGCTCTTCGTCGACGGAGCGCCGAGAAAACGAACCTCAGATTGCATGCGCCGCTCTGGTAGCGCTCCTTGCGATACCGAGAACTTGGCGTCCACTCAACCTCAACCGCTAGCTACCCTGATCCACGCCTGCAAAGCCAACCCTCGACCCAAGGACCCTGCCTCCAGTCACCTCCTGAGAATCACCGAGGGAACATGCAAGACTACATTCGTTCCTCGCCTGCGCCGTGCAGGCAGCATTCGCTGCGATACCAACAGCCTGGCGTCCGCATCTGTCATTGCTCGCTGACCACCCCGTCCTATGTCGGCATCCCACAACCCTGAGCCCTCACTCTATTCTCTCCTCGACAGTCATCAAGAGAACATGCAATGTTATGCTCGATGTTCAACTCTTCTGCGTCGTAACCGCCCCAACAGACGCCTCAGCTGACACGAACACCGTGCTCGCCTGCCCTATCCTCATTCAAAAGAAGGTTAGTGTCTGCAGTTGACTCTACACTCATAGTCAGGCGACGACACCGAAGCCAGACCCTCAGCCTTGGATATAAGCCTCGGCCTCTGTGCCATTCACCCCATCGCCAACTGTACCCAGCATGAGCGCCTCCGCAGACGTGCGTCTCTTACCCTCTCTCCCCTACCCTCTGTCCCCTAACGTCCCCCAGAACACGGCCTCCGCCCTCCGCATCGCGGGGATTCTCGGCGCCCAGCTCGTGCCCGCCCTCCAAGCCATCGTACGCTGCTTTCCCTCAGTAGACCTCAGACGCTGACGCTTCACACAGCAAGGCGCGAAAGACGTTACCCTAGCCTGCGGTTGCGGGAGCATGGCCGAAGGCTACGCGAACCCGTGCAGACAGCCCGTCTGCACGGTCTGCGTGAAGGACCTGTGCCCAAACTGCGCCGCCCAGTACACGTCGCCGAATCCTCGCTGTGGTCACCACCGTGGACCCTTCTGCCCTCACAAGAACTGCCCGAATGGGAACGTCGTCGAGTACTACCGCGCGAACCCCCCGAACGGCGCAGAGCTCTTCAAGGCCGTCTCCGAGCACGGGGCGCACATCCAGGAGCTCGTCGACCATTTGATCGTCCTGACGAGGGACCTGTAGAGTAAATAGCTGCGTGTATTACTACGATGTGAATAGGGACGTCAGTGGAAGGCTTTCGCGCGCGCACCCCGGCCGTCGTTCTGAAAACTCAAACAAACCGGGACCTACAAGATTAGGCCTGGGCCACCGATGACGCCATTGGGCGTAGGTGTCATCACAAATGGTCATGTCTCCGAGCGATGCCGGTCAAGAGTAATCAAAGCTTCGTAAGAGAGAGAAGCGTTATACAGTGAGAAAAAAGCGTGGTGAACAGGTCGGGTGCAGGACTGGAGAGCCAGACGACTGTAAGAGACGACATGCGCGTGACGGAGGAAAGAGAGAAAGAAGGATGCGCAGGAAAAAAACGTGCAGAGCAAACGCTCCGTCGGCAGGCGTGCCTGACACACGTAATCTTGATTGGTTGCAGCGTTGAATTTGTACCTAAAAGTTGGCGGAATCCTGGACATAAAGGATGAGTTACTCATATTCATTCCTAACTCACCAACGTATGGCGGAGCCAGCCGAAGAAGGACCCGCTGGCTAAACTCGCCCTCGTCATTGTCAGCATGATCGCCAACTCGGCAGGAACCGAGCGCCATTTCAGCAAGCTCGGCCATATCTACCAGGACAAACACCGCAGCCTGCTCGCTCCCGAACGCGCCCACAAGATTGCGCTCGTCAACAACGCTGTCCGGTCGGAGTTTCCGCGCAAGGCTCGGGCCAAGCGCGCTTTCATTGCACCCACTCCGCACCCCGAAGCGCAGACTCCCGCTGTGCGTGCATCCGAGGACAGCGAAGACTCGGATGAAGAAGATGAAGAGGCACGCGAGCTTGGTGCAGGGCCAGCCCTCATCCGCGAGCTGCGCTCGCTGCTGCAAGATGAGGTCCCCGAGGACGTCGAGCTCCCTTACGACGCCGCAGCGAGTGAAGGGGAAATCCAGGCTCGTCGGGCCAGGATCCGCATACATTTCGGCACCGAGGAACTCATCCCCCTGGGTGAGATCTTCGACTTCGATGCATCGGAGAGCCCCTGGGGTGGCACGTTGTCGATGTACGAGACAATCTCGAAGCAGGGTGTGGATGTGCAGCTGGATTTGCTCGACGCGGAGGCTCTGGGCGTCCCGGAGGGTCAGAATGCAGGCTCGCACGATGCACCGTTGGTGATAGACTAGAGTATTATTTTTTGCGTATTTTAAGCGATTTATTCCCGATTTTCTGAAGCTGACCCCGCGGCCGAGTGGGGGTCAGGAGGGGTCAGACTGCAAGCCAAAGGTCAGTGACCCCTGACCCCCAGTGAGAACGGGTTCTGACCAGGTCGAGCCGGATGTGGAGAAATCGGGCAGTGCGATCCGGTCGTATCTAGCTCGAGAAAAAGTGCCCTCCCACGATTTTTTTCGAACGACAGCGGACAGATTATGACTACGACGAACCGTCCAACATTTGTCTCCTTGTACACTTCTATCCATTTCGTTCAGATTCATCTCGATTCACTCAGATTCCGCTAGTTGGAGTTCAATGAATGTTATGACATTACATAGCTGTATCTTAATACTACGAATCGCATCGAGAAGTCTATCTAACCACGTCGAACCGAGATGGTCTGATCAGCCTGCCACAATGGGGGCAGTACTTCATGTAGACGAGATTGCTTGGGCAGCCTGCAATGTATGTTGAGACGACGACGACATTTGAATGAAGAAAGGACGTACCTGCACCTGCGAAGCCTTTGCCAGCCTCGCCTTCTCCTCCCACTCCTGCAGTGGCACGTCAGAGGGGACAGGTATGTAGATAGTATGCGAGAACACACCTTCCTCGCTTCCTTGCCCATCTGCTTCCAATGGGCTCGGAACAGCACCGTCATGCTCTTCTTGTCGACGCCAGGGTGCGCGCGTTCAAAGTTCTGGCGGCAAAGAGTGCTGGTAATTGCATGTTAGTATGGGCCAATTCGGTGAGGAGACGTACATACTAGGCCGTGATTGACTTGCCCTTGGGCACGGCAGGAGCGGATGCCGTGACATCGCTGAAACTCAGTGTCGCTCCCTCGGATTGGGTTACTGAAGTCGTCGTCGTTGGAGGCGACGTACTACTTTGAGGGAGGGCGGACAATGGATCGGCAGCAGCCGAAGGTTCGTGGGTGGTGGTGGCGGGAGCGGATCTTGTCAAGGTTGTAGCGCTGGGCTGGCGCGCTGGGGCGGGCGTGGTGATCGAGGGATAGGTGAATATGTCGGACTCCGAGGGCTCGGGAGGGGCAGTGGAGATCGCCTCAGGGGAGGGCGACTTGCTGGCACTGGTGGGCTTGTCCACGGATGGCGAGTTGACTTGGAGATCACGCGTGGGTCCTTGAGGAACCCGGCCACTAGCCTGCAGCTCGTCTTCGGGCGAATGACGAATACCCTCCGCCTCCTGTTGTAAACCAGTTAGATGTGGCACTCGAAGAAAGAAGTATGTGACGCACCTGTACTGCTACGTCCATCTCCTCGCTAGGGCCGGTCCCACACTCCGCATTGTTGAGCGCGGGATGTTGATCGAAGGCCGCTGAAGTGGCGGCATGTTGGTCTTCGTGGGGAGGAATTACACTCTGAGGGCTGGGCGTTGTGTCGTTGTCGTCCACGATAGGGGAGCAGGAAGATGGAGGAGTAGTGGCGGCGGATGGTGCATTGGTGATGGTCGTGGCAGTCGACAGAGAGCCGGGTATTTCATCGATCACCGCGGCCGTCGATGTCACAGAGCTCGTCACGGACGAGAGGGGCGAAGGGACCGGCTTCTTGCTCGAGCCAGTACCGAAGATGGACGCAACCTGGTCGAAATAAGTACATAAAGGAGCAATGTTATTCTTCACGCACCTTGGTCCTAGGCTTCTTGATTGGGGCCGCCGAGGCGGGGGTCGCATCCACCACGCTAGCACTGCGCTTGCCCGCGATCTTGCACCTTCGACCTCTCCCTCCGGGTCCCTTCTCAGGCTTGTTGTCATCACTGTCACCGCCATCGCCATCACCGCCCTCGAGAGTCCGTCTCACGTTCTTTGCATACCACCATGGGTAGTTCAACGTACAAAGCTTCTGGACCTTCCAGTGTCCGTCACAGAAGCACAGTTCAACAAAGGCCTCCTCCATTGTTGCCCACACGAACATCTTCACCTCGAGGCTGGCCCTACCCCACGTCTCCGGGAGTAAGCCGGGGGCATGCAGCAAGGTGCGCCACGTCGAATACAATACTTCGAGCATGAGCCGCCTCTTCTCTTGGATGCACTGACCATCCGCATCCTCCAGGAATCTGTACTGCAGGCGGATCTCCGCCGTCGTCCCCAGGGCCGATACATCGAGCTTCGCACGCACCCAGCGGAGGAAGTCGCCGGGGAACCAGAACTGAACGCGCAAATACTCATTGCGATTCAGCGTGACAATTCTTGGCGGGTTCCGGACGGCTAGGAGCGCGGCTTCGGCAGGAGTAGATGGCGGCGCAGTACGAGGAAGTGATGCGGAGCTTGAATCGCCCGCGTATCCATCCAGGCGCTTGAGCAATGCATCATAAGCGCTCCTAATCGAGTGTCGAGGTGAGTTGCTATGACACGTTTGTCCGGCAAGATCAAACTCACCTGGAACCTCTCAGCTCGCCTTGAAGCTCATATACAGTCTGTACAAGCAGCGCGTTCCGGGATTCTAGCTCCCGCACGCGCTGCAGTAACATCCCGATGTCGTAGCCAGCCGAGAAGGTGCTGGCTTGGAAGCCCTGTGTCGAGGACGAGGAAGGCGCTGGGGCCGACAGGTTGAGCTGCGTGCCTTCTATTTGCGCATGGATGGAAGACTGGAAGGAGGGCGATGCTGTGTCCCATCGGTTGTCTACATCGGGGTAAGCTGAACCGCTTTGAGGGTCCCTTACTGCTGAGACGTACCAGAGAGTGTGAAAAGATCGTCCAGGCCAGATGAAGTGCTGGAAAAGGGAGTGTCCGAGCGCATAGTACGATTTCTGAGCATTCTGCATGCTCGCATAAGCTAGCTACCAACACAACAGGCGACCTCGGACGAGTGAACTCACAATTGATGAAGTATTTGGAGGGTAGGGTATTACTGTAGGGACGGGTCAGTATAGATATTGAGTGGAGCAATATACACATACAGTAGTCGTGCGGTGGTCTTGGAGTAGTGTAGAGTGACGGGAAGAAAAGGAAAGCTGACGAATTTTTCCGACCGTCGGCTGGCGCTGGCGCGTCACGTGCCCGTGGCATCACGCACGTGATTGAAGTTGAAGTTCCAGGTCAACGCTGGGGTTCTTTACTCAAGACTTCTGCTGCTTCGTCTACGGCGCAGAAATGCTCAGATACACATTGGAACTCGATTTTAATTGTGTAAGAGGAACCTAGTAACCAAGAAACTACAATTTGAGACAGAACTTGTTTTTATATTATTCCTCGTCATCGGAGTCGTGCGACTCATTGTATGTGTATCCGACCTTCTCCAGGATTCCAAGTCCAGGACGCTCTACCAGATAGTACCTATCCTGAGCAGAGGAATCATGGAAGAATAGAGGATATCGCTGGTCGGGGGCAATCAAGACAACAGAGAGGATACTCCGAGCATCGATGGCTATGACATCTACATCCCTGTGGTGCTGCATGGTAATATATGTCTTGGACGAAAGCCGGTAGATTCCCGGGTGAGGAGGTCCATACAGTGAGCAGACAGCCACACCACGGAGCTCACCATGTACAGGAATAAGGGCATAGAAGTGAACCTCGGCGAAGCGTTGGCCTGAGCCTGTGCTGAACTGTGCACACGGAAGTCAGCGATAGGAGATTAGATTGAAAAAGTGAGTGGATGCACCTTGATATTGCGTGACATACGAATTTCCTTCAGACTCATCGAGTCCTCTTGCCACCGACACCGAGCTGTCTGCCCGTTCGGAAGTCGAAGCCGCGCCCAACGACGTATTCTCAAGGTTTCGACATCCACGCATGTATCATCCCCTTGTGCCCTAAGGAAGCGCTGCAATGCGCGAGCTTCCACGGGCGCAACCTTTCTCGCGAGCTTGTCTCGACGCGGGAGTAGGGCGAATTGACCTCCGTGCAGTACGTGTGCTCGACGAGGGAATTTTGGCTCCGGCGGGTCGATATCGGGAAGGAGAGCCTTTAGAGCGTTTATTTGGCATCGGCGAATCGCGCGCTCGGACAGATTCGCGTACGGATTTGAATGCTGCTTGATCTCCTCGCCAAGGTTCCCAATGGTACGCTCCATGGTGAACTGGGAGTAAATCATGCTGGGACCTAAGCGTTCTGTCTCGCGGGGCATGTGCGAAGGGGCGTGAATGCTCGCGCGAACGAAGTGCAGGCGGTCCGCACGACGCTGGACATACAGCTCTTCGAACTCGTCAGACTGCTCGCACATCAGCTCGTCCGACTCAAACAGCAAGTCCACAGCAATCTCCTCCTCGATCTGGACCTGAGTGGCGCGGATAAGCTTGCAGACCTGGACATAGTAATCCTCCGGTAGGTCACCAAAGAGCAAGCACGGACAGTGGCCGTAGAAATACATGAGAAATTCCCAGGACTTGTAGCCACTGGTGAGCTTCTCGGCGATGTTGCGTGCAGGGCGGTCGAAGGATCCTGGCGTGAACGGGATGGCATCCGCTACCAGCTTCCCATGGGCCTTCCAGCGAGATGCACTCTGGAATATTGCGAAGGGCCATGCCGCCTTGCTGTCGGTACGCGTGTCGCACTCGATTGTCCCACGCCATAGCGAAATGTACAAGTCGGGAATGTTGAGGGTGGCGAGATGCATCGCGTCACCACCAAACATCGCCGGGACGCCTAGATTATGCGCGGGAGGCAGGCCACTGAAGATCGAAGGCTTCACGATCCCGGTGTCCAAGCGATTCTTCTCGTAGCACGTCATATTTGGCGAATTTACGACGCTCTCAAGGTTCTTGAGATAGCGCGCGGTAGCGCTTTCCGTCGTATGCTCATGGAGAAGAGCTCGGATGTCGACATCCGGATGGTCGCAGCCAGGGACATGGTAGTTGTGCGGACGGAGACGCGCGGGATAGTAATGGGGGCCGCCGACCTTGTGACGTCCAATGATAGGGCAATAGAAGCGGCAGTGGATGCGGCCGTGGTGCCCGACGAAGCCATTCAGGTATGCCATGGCAGGCCCGTCTGCAGTTGCCAAGTACAGGAATGGGTGATCATAATGGATGCGCCCGGTTGCTGCATCCCAGACAGCGAGACCCTCCTTCTGGATGGCCGCGAGGTGGTGAAGACCAGTGAAGAGAAAGCTGTCCGCATTGCGTATCTTGTTTGGCCCCGGAATGGTGCCGCCAATGCAAACAAATCGCTTCTTGTATCGCACGTCGACGTCGAGATTCATCAGAAGCCAGATATATATCCAGCAATCCGACGCCTTGTTGCGATAGAGCATAGCGCCATCCATAGACAGGACGACGACGCTATCGTCAGGCGTGATCCGACCATCCTGGACCGCCGCGAGGTATTCCGCGCCGTCAATGTAGTCGCGGAAGGGAGAAATCCTGACGCCGTCGTTCGTGTTTAACTCGTCGAGGACGGCGGCTGTACAGCGCTCGCGGTACTGCATCAGCTTCGACGTCTCCGCACCCCGACGTTGCGCTTGAATCTGAGGGCCTAGCAGTATGGTCGTGAACTGCTTTCGAGGGCGCTTCTTCCGCGATCTTTTGCCGCTCGATGCTGTGGGCTCGTAGCGCGACTCTCCGCAATACGGGCAGTGGTCGAGATCACGGTACGGACCCGTGTACCCTATGCACGAGTTGTCGCACATGTCGCGCTTGACCTCCACAATGCCGCTCAGCTCGCGCACTAGCTTCTTCACCTGCAACCTGAATCAGATACCAGAGAAATACGGGTTAAGGTCTGTACTAACCTCGTAGAATGAAAGCACCTTGCTGTTGGGATGACGGCGCAGATAGGCCTTACGCGCGTTGTTGTAGGCGTCCTCGGAGGCATCGGTGAGTGCAAAGAAGAGGTCCAAGGAGTACGCGTGGTCAGAGTCTTCGATAGTCGGTGGGTGCGTGGGTGGGTTGCGAAGTCGGTGGATAACGTCGTCGGGAAGGGGCTCAACGTCGCTCTCGAGAGACGCGTTCTGGAGCAGCTCAATGAAGTTCTGGGAGATCTTGAGGTCGTCGAGTACAGGGTTAAATCGAGGCGCGGAGGTCTCTGCGTCGCGGAGCTCATCTGGAACATCCGCATCGCGCGAGTCCTCTCGGTCGGAGTCAGGAGGAGCATTGCCATTGACGTCGAGCTCGGTGCTGTCCTCAGTTTCGCAATTATCGCCCCCGAGTTCGTGCGCTTCGGCGGACTCGTTCGTCTCCATCAAAACGCCTGGCTGCAGCCGCTGACTCGGCTCAGGGTTGCTGTGAGGTTGCAGTTCCCCTCGAGCGTGTTCCTCGAGCTCATCTCGACGACGATCACCCTCGGTACTGCCGCCTTCGAGCTGGAATAGATGTCCGAATGAGTAAACAACACTGATGATATCTATTTGGAGCTTACCTGTTCATAACCATGCTCGAGAGGAATGGGAGAACTGTTGCGCTGGTTCGAATTACTGACCCGAATGTCCCCTACACTGGACTCCGCGGTGCGCGCGCGCTTGTTTCGATTGCCTGACATGTTCTGGGCCGGTCGCTTTTGGCCTGAGTTGGCGGAGGAGACCTGAAGAAGGTGCTCATTATACGAGCTCGTCGAAGCGAGAAGGAGGCGGGCTTCGAGCTCCCTCTCTTGTCTTTGGTGTCGGTTGACAACCCTCCGCGTGAGTAAGCGGCCAGCGCCATTGGGGCCACCACATTTACGAGAACAGTGGCAGAGTAGCTTGTCTGACATTGGTGATAGTATTCGAGTTGGAAGGCGAGACGAGAGGCTTGTCGTGGAGCGTCGTCGTCGGACCCACGCTTGTTCGGGGAAAAGCCCGAAGTCACTTTGCTGGGCTAGTCTGCGAGTCTCGGACACGTGAGAATATTCAGGAAAACAGAATTGTATTCGCAGCCCTAAACATGGACGGTGCATTGTCGAAAAGCAGTGCATGCTGCGCAAGTTCGAGGTGGTAAGAAGCAAGTCATGTTCTATTCAGATTCGGTCATAACAGCGTTACATTTGTCACATTCAGCCGTATCTGGCTTGACTACGTCAGAACCCGTTCTCACTGGGCCTGACCCCGTGTCTAGACCCCGGGTCAGCTCAACACTGGGAAACAAAAAGGAATCAAGAAACGACGGTGGCGGAATGACGGGCCGAACTGCCGAGCCCTGCACATGTGGCTGTCTCGCGCCTCTTTCGATGGCTCGCTGCTGTCGTCCTCGTCTTCGTCTCCCATCCTTACCCCACAGCATGTCAGCGCCGCGCGGCTTTACAGATACCTCAACGCCACGCGTCTTTTTACTCTCCCCTGATAACTACAATAAACATGTTCGTCGCTCGTCGTCCCCAGCCCCGATCGCGGACGGACGTGCGGAAGGATTTTCCAGTGGGTGGATATTGTTCATAGCGCTAGCATAAAACCGCAATGACACGAAATCACGATGCGTGAATACGGTGCTCAAGGACTGCTCGTGTACAACGGCTCGAGCTCATGGTGCTCTCATGCGCATCGACGTCGACGCTCTTGCCCGCGTCCATGCGTCCATTCCCCCAACCTCCCTCCCGACTCTTCGAAAGAAATATCTTCACAACAGCTTACGCATGTACAGTTTGAATGCGGGAGGCACCATCATCGGCGTCGTGCTCTGAAGACCAAGCAGCGCTTCAAAGGAAAGCTGGGTCCTAACGGCGAGCGACCATGTCCCGGCGAGCGACGCTGACCTTCAATGAAAACCTAGCCGAGCTGTGCGTGCGAAGGACGCAGCACTACGCCAGCGCGAATGCGGGTTGCAGGACGAACGGAAGGGCGCGAGCGCTACTCTGCAGGACTCATGCCCCTCACCTCATTCTTTCTCCCCTCGTCCCCTTGTCATCCTACGCTCACCCAATGTCCGTCTCGTCATCCTCCTACGCGCATCCCCTCTCAATTCATCCTCTCCTCCTCTACCCCCATCCCTTCCTCTACCCCCGCTTCCGTTTCTTCCATTCTCCCCCCTCCCTTGCTCACTCCCTTCTTTCCTCCCTCGCTCGCTTGCTTCTTTTCCGCTCTATCCCTTTCCCGTTCCCCTCTCGCCATCGCTCTCTCTCGAACTCACCACCGCGCTCTCTCCGAACTCACTACCCCTTTTCCATCTCATCTTTCTCTTACCTGCCCTCGGGTCTATGTTCATGAATACAGAATATGGCGGCTCTTGATACGGAATTTGGTGGCGAATCTCTCTCGAACTCGTACGGCGGTGCAGGAGAGCTCGTACGGCGGGCGGTGGGCCGGTTTGTGCAACGGGTGGTGGACTAGTTTCTGCAACGGGCGGTGGGACAGCTTGTGCAACGAGCGACGGAGCACCTCGTGAAGCGAGCGGCGGGGTACTACACATCATCGAGCATCGGCGGGATACTACGCCTCGCTAGCGACGGCGAGTTACAGCTCGTTGAGCGACGTCTCGCCTCGAGCGGCAGTGGGGCGTCTCGCACGACGCACTCGGAGAGCGGCAGTGCGACGTCTCGCTACGAAGGGTGATGAGGCTTCTCGCACGACGCGCCCGAAGAGTGGTAGTGGGGCGTCCGGAGCGAGAGGCGGTGGGCGGTGGGCACCTGGCTTCGTCTCGCACGGCGTGGGCTGGGTACGCCTCTCTCGGCGGGGGCTAGGTACGCCTCGCAAGGCTGTGGGTGGGTACGCCTTTCTCGGCTGGGACTGGGTACGTCTCGCACGGCGGGAACTGGGTACGTCTCGCAAGGCTGGGTACACCGCGGCTGACGAGCCGCGGGCGAAGTCTGTTGGAGGGATGCAAGTCTGTTGGGGGTGCGCGAGTTTGTTGGTGATACACGCAAGTTTGTCGGTGGCACGGGCGATGTCGCCGCGTGGGCGAAGTCGTGTTGGCACGGGCGATGTCGTGACGCGAGCGATGTACGGGTGGAGAGGAGCGTCGAAGAAGGAGCGCGAGCGATGCACGGGTGGAGAGGAGTGTCGAGCCTGGGGCGCGGCGGCGCCCAGCGGATCCGACGCGGCGTTTTTTGAGGAGACGCTCGCGTGATTCCGGGCTACGCAGGCGGCTAGGGATGGGTGAATGGCGGAGGGGACGGCGGCAAGAGGCGACGACAAGAGGGGAAGGCATGAGGCGACGCGACATGCCGCGCGTTGGATAGCAGGCGACATACGACGCGTTGGACAGCAGACAACAAACGGCGCGTTGGATAGCATGCACTATGGCGCGTTGGATAGCATGCACTACGGCGCGTTCAACAGCAGGCAACATACGGCGTGTCCTCGCGTCGTCATCCACGATGCATCAGCGCAAGACCATTCACGACGTATCAGCGCGACCCGACCATGGCGCATCGGCGCATCATCAGCCACGGTAAGTCGACCCTCCGTGAACGGCGCGTGTCTCCCTAGCCTGGCGTTCATCCTGACAGCTATGCGGACTCACGGGCTGCGGACGAGGGACACTGCTATCGGCCTACCTTCGCTGCGCGCGAGCTGACATACGAGCTGAACGACGATCTGTCGTGGGATGCGTTGGTGCGCTGAGAAAGAGCGCTGGAGTGGCTTCAAGAATTGTACGCGTGGCCGGAAAGAGGCCCAGGAGCACGAGAAGGAAGGGCATCTGCCTCAGCCCCGGGTGCGCTCTCCTATTGCAAAGGATGTGCGAGCGAGTCCCTGGATCTTAGACGCTAGTCTGACTACTTGTTTGCCGCTTTATTGTCTGAATTGAACTGCCGTCTAGTTGCGCGACAGGCGAGTCAAGTCGTCGCGGTTAAATCGTATCGCTGTGACGCCGTAACGTGGGACCGCGCACGCGTGCCTCACGTGCCGTGTTTGGAGCAAGGCCCGGGCCCAATGTCAACCTGACGCCGACGGCCTTCAGCGATATGCATTCGCGAGACCTTCGCGAGTTGTCCGCGAGGCCGCCTCGCCCATGTCAAGCCGGACATGGAGCGCCTACAAACCAAGCGACGCCCAGATACCGGTAATCCAGGCAATAACTGCACTGCGCAAACGCGCCGTTCATGTAGCAGATACGACGGATTCCCATCGATATATGAGCCCGGCGTATGCCAAGGACCGTGATTGTACAGCCCGGAACCTTGCTTATGAACTCCCTTGATACCAAGACCATGCTCGATGTCAGACGCGTGTTGAGGCTGCGCTTCTTCCTAGTATGACGAAAATCAGTAGCGGGGCTTCACAGCACACCGCAAGCTTTCCTCCTACTCCCATCTCACCACGCAAGCGAACGACCGTTGACGATGACAGACGTCCAGGACCCCCCGGCGTCGGGCGGGAGTAAAACGTTCGGGATTCACAAATACGATCCCAGAAGCTGCTTAGGTGAGCCGCGCCCATGTCGTCTGCTGGCTTTCACTCATCGATTGCTCTTGACAGGCGCGGAGCAAGCGCGCGAAAATGTGCGGCGCGGCTACGAAGGCAAATACGAGGATGATCCGCTCTACGAAGAGCTCGGAGACGAGGCGCGCATCTGGCGCGTCATGCTGGACGAGGGTCGGATCGTCGACGCTGCAATGCTGCAACGCTTTCGCGACCATCTCGATGTGGACCTAGTTTTTGTGAGTGCGTGGCTTGTGCTGCGGGGATCCACGTTAATCATACCCTCAAGGCGGGTTTGTTCTCGGCCGTCCTCACGACCTTCGTCGTCCAGACATCGCAGACGCCCTCCACTACCGGCGACACGACCATCGCTCTCCTACTCGAGCTTATTGCCATTCAGCGAGCATGGGCGAACGATCCTCGTGTGGATGGCGTGGCCTCCTTCAGTCCTCCCCCGCCATCGCCTAGTCCCAGTCCGTGGATCAATCGCTGCTGGTTCTTGAGCCTGATCTTCAGTTTGTTGGCTGCCTTTGGAGCCGTCGTCGTCAGGCAATGGCTGCAGGTACGCCGGATAGGCCGTTCACGCGCGCGAGGTTCTGAACCACTTTACAGGAGTACGAGAGCGACATCACCGGGTCTCCGAAGCGGCGCGCGCTCGTCCGCCACTTCAGACGCGTCGGCTTGGAGAACTACAAGGTCCACCTCATTGTGCCGATCCTCCCCATGCTCCTGCACGTCTCGCTCCTTCTCTTCTTTATTGGGCTTATTCTCTATGTTGGTCAATCGGATCCCACTATGTCCCATGGCATCATCGCACTCACGACTCTGATCTACTTGCTCTACCTTTTGACGAACGTTTTGCCTGTCTTCTACCCCCAGTGCCCATATCGCTCGCCGCTCTCCGCCGCTGGATATTGGCTGAGAATGTTGTACCCGCTTCTACGCCCATTGCTACCCTCGGTTTCTTGTCCTTCAGGTTTACAATGGGCGCCTCTCTGCAACGGCGTGGAGTGGGCTAAATCTCGCGGGCGTCAGCTACACCACTCCATCTGCGTCATCCGCGAAATCGGTCGCGTGGCGTGGCAGATATGTATGCTGTGCGTGCTCAAGATGCCCAGCGATTATGAATGGGACTCCGTGCTCCGGCAATCGGATGATCTGATACCTGATAGCCTGGATTGGGCAATGCAGGCATCGCCCGATCTGTCCATCGCCCCGCTCGTCGTGCAGGCCTCTGCTGGTCTTCGCTACGAGGGTCGTAATTGGTGGCCATTGACCCAACCACGTACAAGACTTCTGCGCAATCGCATTCTACCTTGGTTCTATAATGCTCTAAGTACACGTCAAGAGGTCTTTGATTGGGCACCTGGTCGAGAGAACGAGCTGATACGAATGGCCGACACTCTCTTGCTTGTCCCAGTGTACAAACTTCAAATCGAGGCACAGTTCTGCTCATGTGCCACGCGAGTCTTTCAGGCCTTGACGCTTGCGCTGCTAGATCTGCCGAACATGCCTACAGTCACACCAATTGATGTGGCGAGAATGAGCATGACTCTCCTGGCCCTCGGACGCCAACTCTACGGGCGTGATGTGGCCGCATCGTTCACCAGGGATGATGTCAATACACCTCTCGAGACTATTGCTAAGGCATATTCCCTACTCAGAGACACACATCCGGTCACAGGGCTGCGTCTTCGTCCGTTGATTTGGGATGAGGCGTGGTCCTTTCTGGGCAAGCACGGCACACCTGTGGAGGATACTGGTCACTTCGCGATCACGCTTTGGCGCAGTCAATATTCTGAGGCACCATTGAGGGACAACGAGGATCGATGGAAAGAAGACCTCGATGCATTATTCCATATAACCTTGCAAGAGTGGCTATACCTGCATCCAGACCGTACGAAAGACTGGGAATTTGCCATTAATCGCCTGCTCTGTCCTGAGTCGTGTGAAGCAAGTAGAAAGGTGCGATCTGCGTCCTATTCGATAATGTTGTGACAAGCTGAGATTTCTTTTTACTCATCAGAAATCTGATTTTGGCGACGATGCCTCTCGCTTACACAGCACGTGCCATGCAATTGATCTGTACATCAAGGAAGATAGAGCCGACGGGAATGCAGCTTTCGACGATAACCTTGGCTTTCTGGTCGTGAGATTGATCGGCTGGTTGTTCACCACGCTCGGGTATGACTCGATCGACTCTGCGCTACGTACTATTGGACACTCGGCAGTATCAGCCGCGTTCAAATCGTCATTCCTTGTTCATTCCTCTTTGTCATTTGCGGGGTCTCTGCATGCAAATGCACGCTTATCGACGACCTTCGCCGTGTCGTTGTTCTGGTTTCTCGCCAAAATGGCCGAAGCGTCTGTAGCTCGGAACTATAAGGCCACCATCGCCATCCGCAATGCGCTGGATCGCCATGCAACCGACTACTGTGAAGTTCTAGCAGAAGCTCTTGACTATGACGAGGTCTCGGTCGAGCTTCTTCGTCAACTGGTACACACGGTGCTGTATGATCATCGACTGGCTTTCTCGGACATCTCGGACGCTCTTGCAGCATCCCTGGCAACGCAGCTCAGCAAAATGACAGGTCAGTCCCATCTCTGTACTTGGTCTTCAATGAGCTCTGACAAGCAACCTTCAGACTCGGCGTTCTCCGATCAGCCTGAAGATGTTATGACTGATTACCTATATCTTGATGCCCTCTGTGCGGCGCGTGCCGAGTCGAAGCAGGTCGACACGAAGTTTCCTGATGCATCGCGCAAGCTGCACTCGGCGGTGCTCTCGCTCAAGCCAACAAAATACGGCACGTGGAAACAGCAGCAGCTGGATAGGATCTCAAGTCATCGAGGTATTCCACTCGCTGTAGCATTGGCGCTGAAGAGCACGCATGGCCTTCAAGCGCTAGATGAGTTGCCCTTCCTTGTGCAGGACCCACGCCCTGACGCGAACGTTCTGGTTCCGGATGAGGCTCGAGAAGGCCAAGACCTGAATTGGTATGATATTCAGCTGCCAGTCCCGTCTCGACTGCTAACCGCCTGTGCATCCATCAGGTACCGCCACTTCACTAGCGATCCCGACAAGCATATTCGTGCTTCAAGTTGGGACAGAGAGACGTCGTTGCACATATCCGAACTGGTCAGCTTCGAGGAGGCCGTCGAACGGATGCAGAAGAAGGACGCTGAACATGCTGGGGAGGACGAGCGTAGATTGCGAGGCGGTGCGGAAAATGACACCAATGACGACGCCGAGAGCTCTGCTAGCGAGTATGACAGACTCGATGATCAAGGAGGCGCCGAACATACGCAGAGCCAGATGATCGCCCGACTCAGAGAACTCGGCGCTTGGGGAGTCGCCCCGTTCAAGCGTATCCATCGATTCCTAGGTGCGCTGGATCGTGCTGTCATCCCCTTTCTGTTCATTGACGCTGTGAGTCAGCGAGCGTGCGCCGTCCTCGTCACGGTTCGTCATTCATCAAGCTCAACGATTTCGACGTCGAGCGTACCGCGGGAGCCTCAATTCTCCCGGGCCCGATGCGGAGCGAGGTCGATACTTCCGTTCCGGCGATGGCGTCGGAAGCAGGGCAAGGTGACGAGCACGGACAGGACGGCGAGCATGCTCAGGACGGCGAGCAGGATCAGGATCGCGAGCAGGATCGGGATGGCAGTCACAGTCGCGTCGGCGGGCATAGCCAGACCGAAAAAATATTGCACGTCCAGACGCGAGGGACAATGGAGGGAACGCAAGGGACGGCGGAGGAACTCTGCGCGCCCAGGGATGCGGAAGACGAAGGGAGCACCAGTGTTCGCGAGATCCCTGATGCCGAAAAGAGAAGCGAGCAGGATCATGATGACGAGGAGGGGAGCCGGGACAGTGAGCATGGCCGTGACGACGAGCACGGACGGCACGACGAGCATGGACGGGACGACGAGCATGGACGGGGCGGCGACCATGCTCGGGATGGCCAGCGGGATCGGGACGGGGGGCAGGATCGGGACAGCGCGCAGGATCGCAACGACGAGCAGATTCGCGTCGGCGAGCAAATCCAGGCAGAAGAGATACCGCACGTCCAGACGCCGGGAACAGAGGAGGAGTAAATCCGTGCCCGCGAGGACGCGGGACCAAAAGGCGAGCACTAGCGCTCGCGAGGACGCAGGAGAGTATGGCTCCCGGGCGGCGCCTGGGATGAGCGCTGAGCGCGAGTTTGACGACGGAATGGACTAATACTTACACCCGACGAACCCATATAGTATGCCCTGAATGCCTCTGCGATTGTTGTTTGAGCTACGTTCGAGTTTGCGCCCTATTGTATGCTCTGACCGCCTGGTTGGATTTGCTCTTCATATTTTATCTCGCCGCGGGCTTCTCGACGGAGCCCACTCGCCGCAAGCTTCTCGACGGAGCGCACTCACTGCAAGGTTCTCGACGGACCCCACGCACCACGCTCCGGGTGCTGTTCTCGAGAGCCGCGCCGAGAGACATTGAAGTCGGATTTGCTCATTATGGCCGTACGACACGATAAACAGTCATGCATGCACAATACTCACATTTCTGCCCAAGCGTCCTAATAGAATCACCCATCAGGTGCCTCCTTCCCTTCCCTCTCACTCGTTCCTCTCACCCTCTCACTCGCTCCTACGACCGACTCCCAATCGCACCTCTGACCCTCCCACTCGCTCCGCCGACCGCGTCTCTCTTCATCTCCCCCGCACTCGCTCCTCCAACTGCCTCCCACTCGTTCCTCCAAACCCCTCTCACTCGGTCCTCCAACCCCCTCACTTCGACTGACTCCCCGAAATCGGTTCCCCCGTCTCGCCCTCTTCCCTTCCCTTCCCTCTCACTCGTTCCTCTTCCAGCCCATTCGCTCCTCCGACCGCCTCCCGCTTCGCTCCTCCTCTCACCCTCCTCCACACCGCCTTCGCCCTCCCCCTCCCGCCTTCGCCCCACCATTTTCTCCCCCACCCTTCCTTCCTGCCCCTCATCTTCGTCCACGTCCTCCCCCTCCTCGCCCTCTTTCCTCCACACCCCCACACACCCCCCTCCTTCCCCGTGGGGCGGGAGTAGGATCCTGGGACCAAGGAGAGCAAGTAGGATCCTGAGACCGCGGAGAGCAAGTAAAGTCCTGGGACCGCGGCGCGGGAGTAGAGTGCCGGGATCGTAGCGACGGAGTGGGCACTGGCACTGGGACCGAGGAGAGCAAGTAAAATACCATGACAGAGTGGATGGACGGGGAGGGGGAAAGGGGGAAGGAACATGGCCGGACGAAGGGGGAGTCAGTTACTGGGACCGAGGGGGAACGGAGGGCGAGGGGAAAGAGACGGTGGGCGACGATATCTGCAAGAGACCAGAGACGGTCAGCGACAATCTGCAGAGGGTCGGAACGAGCGACGACCCGCCGGTGATGATTCAGACGCCTCTCCCCTCTCCCCTCTCGTGTCCGCTTTCTCCCCCGTCCGAGTGCCACCGCCTATCCGGCTGTGCAATCATCCGGCAGTCCACCCATCCGACTGTCCACCGTCCGACAGTCCACCGATTGTCCACCATCCGACTGTCCACTATCCGACTCTCCCGCCGACCAGATCCCCACCATCCTCGCCCCCCCCCTTCGCCCCTCCGCCGACTGGCTCTCGTGACGTCTTGCTCTTCCCATCGGAACTTTGACGTCGCGGTTTGGGCCTGGCGTCCAGGATAGGGGGTGGGCATCGCGCGGCGGGGAGTCGGGAGGGAGGTAGGAGGTACGGGTCGAGGGACGCGAGGTCCCGCCGACGGGGTCAAGGAGCGGAGGACATGGTGAGTGAACGGATAGCGGTGTGGAGGACTTCGGCCGACCGCCTCTTTCACGGCTTTGGCGTGCCGCGTCACCAGCAAGCTGCGCGCCTCGCTCGTGGTCGCAATACACTTGCCCGTGCCGGTTGTCTCTTCTCTTCGACAGCAAATATATGCTGCCCGCCGTCACCGGCGACGCTGACGAGGGACCGTGGAGAATTAGGATCGTAAACAATCATAACATTGACTGGAGCTGTACACAGGACGAAGAGCAGTGGCGTCGTGTAGCCAACGTGCAACGTTCAGCGCGATGGCGGACGCTGCTCGGGCCGCTGTTCCGAGGCCACGTGGACTCAATTGCAACCTCAATCAGAGACAAACTTGTCTCCTACCACATCGTTCGACGCGCTGCCATATCTTCATCTCGGCCTTTCCTGAGGTTCATTGATTTGTTTTGGCTTTATGCTAGTATGCCACCAATTTGTCAGCACAATTCCTCCTGCCGCAAGCCGCGTCGATTTCACTCTGCTTTCATGGAACGAATTATCATGTATCCCGTTCTCGTCTATCAAGTCGCGCAATCCAGTGTCTATTCCACATATGAACCAGGCTTTTTATCCTTGTGCGGCGCGCGTGATGTTGACTTGTAGTCTGATATATGTGACCGCACATTTGTGGGTGATTGCAGGAATACAAAAGCTTTACCCGCAAGCTCGCTACCGACGCGTACGTAGTCCACGTATAACAGCGGGTTGTCCACTGACTTCACCCAACGCAGGTAGCTAGCTTCTCTATTGCTGATGCCGTCAGTCATAGCTACTGATGCAAATTTTCCAACCCTTCATCAACTACGACCCATGGAGGCTGGTACGATATCGCCGTCGTACAGAAATCCCCGCTCCGAAAGGCTCTGCCTCCGCGCTAGAGGGTGATGCCGTGCGCGAGGGCGATTTGTTTGATGTCCCGCGGCGCTTCTCTGCACTGTATGTCGCCCCCGCATAGCCCACAATACCAAGCTGATCGATTGACAACCCAGGTTCCCCGAGCTTCACCTGAGCTTGGCACCGGTGAACGTGGGCGCGCCAGAAGAGTGCTGCGCGATATTCCGTTGCTCTGACCGTGACTCACCTGCGCGTAGGGGAGTTATGGGTGTGTCGGTCTCTTCGCAGGCTTCGACGCCAAGCCCTGCGCGATTCCTAGCTCCTTACTCTCACCTTTCCCGCTGATCCATCAGTCCGTATGCGTGTATGAGTCATCAGACCCATCCACATTCACCTCACTACGTCTACGAACCCAGTGCGCGACCCACAAGCCCGTACAGAAAGCCGAAGAGATCGGCTATTACGACGGGAATGCGTGGTATCTCTCACACAGGACGTTACCGGCACCCCCGTATGAACAGTATGTGAGCCTTGGAAGAAGGCTCGTGTCTACCAGAAATTTCCATGGCGTGGCGCGACATCATCAAGCGAAGTAACGGCATAGTCTTGCACCCGATGCGTAGAAATCGTCCTGCACTCGATTCGCAGAGCATCGGCCTAGCGCTCATCGCCCGCAGGTCAGAACAACGCCGGTGGACACTCACAGGAACTTGGGGACCGTCCCCGGCGCCCATCGCGCCACCCTACACAGCTCGAGAAACCGATCTCCATCCTCCGTGCTTCAACAGTTCATAGATGCGTTAATGATGATGGTTATTAGGTGTCCAGCAGCAGGCCCTCTGTCAGACATATGGCGACGCGCATATATTCGAGGTGTGCGCATTCGCATTCGTATCGATACATTTGCGACTTGCCCTCTCTCAGCTCTACGATCTTATACACGATCATGGCAGACACCCAAGACCCCGGCACGCGTCCTCACCGCAGAAGGGCATTCGTCCGCCCTCAGGATCGGCATGATTGTGAGTAGCGATCAGAATGCATAGGCGCCACGTCTAACTATGGCGCTTGCAGGCGAGCAGGATGGCTACGATGTCAAGTACGACAACGATGGCCGCGGGGAAGAACTCGGGGAGAACGCCCGCGTTTGGCGCATGTTCCGGGACGAGGGATCGGCCCACGACACAAGAGCCTTCCAAGGGCTGCGCGACCACTTGGATGTAGACCTCGTATTCGTACGTGGCAGAGTCTTCGAATTTCTGCATGGCTACTCACGAGACGCGCAGTCTGGATTATTCGCCGCGGTGGTGACAACATGTCTCACGCAATCGTCCCAAGCGCTGCAGCCCGACCACGCAGAAATCGGCGCCGCTCTTCTTTCTGAATTGATCGCGGTCCAAAGGGCGATAGCGAGCGGGACGCCAGTCAGCGAGATCCCGCCATCTGCACTCCAACCGAAGGACGTGACGGCGTCGAGCTTGGACTTCTGGACCAACCGGTTCTGGTACTTCAGCCTCCTGCTCGGTCTTTTCGCTGCATTCCTGGCCTTCATCGTCCGCGGTTGGCTCCACGTTCGTTTCCTTGATGACTGAAATGATTTTTCTCTGACCATCAGCCCTCCAGGCATACGACAATGAAGTCTTTGGCAGTCCAAAACACCGTGCGCTCACACAGCACTACAGGCGCATGGGTTTGGACCGCTGGCACGTCGGTCTGATCGTGCTCATACTCCCTACGCTGCTGCATGCCTCGATGCTGCTGTTCTTCGTCGGCCTGACCCTGAACCTCCGGATTTTCGACGTGCCCATGGCCAAGCTCGTCATCGCGCTCACGGGGACGTTCTACGCGCTGTACTTCATGTCGGTCTGCCTGCCGGTCTTCTTCCCGCAATGCCCGTATCGCTCGCCCCTGTCGGAGTGGGCATATCGCGTGAAGGCGGCGCACGACTGGCTGCGCGCGCTCCTGCGCGGCGAGGAGGGGCGCGCGCTCCCGAGGACGTGGCGGGAGCTCGAGGAGCGCGAGGTGGCGGCGCACGCGGACTACATCATCTCCAGAGGCCTCGACCTGGCGCTCCAGGAATCCAGCGACCTCTCCATCGACTCGCTCGTCATCCAGGCCGTCTCCAGTCTCCCCTACTACTCAAGGCGTGACAAGCGTGCGGATAAGTACTACGGGAAGCTCCTCCGTGGCCGCGTCCTTGCCTGGTTCTTCACCACTCTGCGTAACCGGGGCTTCGTCTTCGATTGGGCGCCGGGGCGTGAGAGGGTGCTGCAGCGCATAGCGTGTGCGCTCCTGCTCGTTCCCGAGGACAGGGTACGCTCGAGTTCTGCCGATAACCTGCAGTATACCCGTTGCGCCACGCGCATCTTGCAAGCGCTGGTGCACGCCATTTCCTCGGCCGACGTCGCGGACTCAGATATGATGATCCTCATCGCAATTTCCATCGCGCTCGAAAGCAGGCTCGATCAGAATGAGCGCCAGTCCATACTTGAACTCATCAGCAGTGAAGCCCTCAAAGCAAGGATTGTGAATGCCTATACGACACTGGCTCAAAGCGACCACCAAGGTGGTCTGCGCCTACAACCCGTGGTATGGGAAGGCATGCTGATATCCTTCGAAAATCGCTGCTCCGGCGCATATGTTCCGGAACCGCTCGCGCTTCTGCTGTGGCATAGCTTCTCCTACCGTGAGGATCTATCGTTGGTGGACGAAGATCGACAGGGCTTCCCCGCAATTTCCACTGTCACCTTGCGGCGATGGCTAGACTCGACGCCCGAGCGTCGCTTATTGGCGCAGGACGTTATTCACAGCTCCCTGTGCCCTTCGCCGTCGTGTCAATGGCAACCGGCTGCGGTACGTCTCAAAGCGCAAATTCGAATCCTTTGTTCGACTAATTGACTGCATATCTAGGTTCGTGGTGAACGAGGGGATGCTGAATCAGACGCCGCCGACGCCACCAGCTCTTTGCACACGGTATGTCGCGCCATCGAAGTTCACCGCATTACGATGGGTACCGCGATCGGGGACTCCGATTTCTTGTCGACGCAGGCAATTGAACCATTGCTCGTCTCTCTCTACCACGGCTCGCTCGGAAATACGTGGAGGATCGTCGAAGGCTCCGGTGTATCACTTCCGTTCTTCTCGAAATTCGTCTCTCGCTGTCGCCCATCGACACTGGAGTTGCTCAAGCCGAAGGACGCGCCGTCCTCCTCTACTCTGGCCGGGGAGCAATTCTGGTTCCTTGCTCAACTTCTGTCGGCACTCGACGATGATGCCAATGATCCATTTGGGTCCAGCGGTCCAGCGTCCGCAAGCTCTTCGTCCTCTTCTTCTGTCCCCTCGCTCCCTGCTTCTTCTATCCCCTCGCTCCCCGCTTCTCCTGCCGCGTCTTCGTCGTCCGCCCTCCCTCGCGCAACGGACCCAGCCAAGCTTGACATCGTACGGGCGATGGAACACCAGGCCGCCGCCTATTTCCCCACCGCTGCCGCCGCAGGTGTCCCCGACGAGCTCGATCCTCTGCCACTCGTCCGCCCGGTGGTGATGGCAATCTTGACTGACCCCCGTCTGGCGCTGCTGTGTGCGCCACCAAGGGTCATCGCATGGACGGTAGCGGCGCGCCTCAGGGGACTAGCAGGCGATGCCGGACACGCAAAGGAGACCCGGCGGATGGACCTGTCGTGGTGCGTTTTCCTGGATGTGCTCGTCGCAGCGCGCGCCACGCGGGACGGTGTCGAGGCGCGCGCCACGCGAGACGGTGTGCAGGCGGCGAAGGCACTACACGACGCGCTGATCTCGCTGCGGCCGACGCATGGCCGTGTATGGACTCGGCGCGTCTTGAGCGCCTTCGAGTCCCCCATTCCGCCGGCCCTGGGTATAGCGCTCGCAAGCCCGCGCGGCTGCGAAGCCCTCGCTCAGCTGATGGACACCATGCCTTCTTCACCGGACTATCCCTCGATCTCGGACAATCGACCGGTTATCGGGGACGGCCTGGAGACTTTGAGAATCCTAAAGACCTTGAGAGTCTGGCTAGACGAGGAGTGGTACGTCTTCATCGCAGCAAGGAATTCCACGAGCTGATTGTAGGCGCTCGCCAGGTACCAAACTTGTGTTTCTCATCCGGAGGAACCTTGCCGATCTGACACGGTGCCGATCTGGAAGCTTGTGAATTTCGAGCAGTACTCGGAGCGGCTGCACGACGGGCAATGTGCTGCAGTCGCGCATAACGACGTGGAGCGCGCGAGCCGTGTGTGGGGCCGCAGTGAGGCTGAAGCCGGGGATGACTGCGGCCAAGGGGGTTCCAATAAAGTCGAAGGCTCCAATGTAGTCGAAGAGGACGAGGAGAAACGAGCCGACGCTCGCATCATTCCCTTTGAGGCTGTTCGCTGGGCCAGGCTGCGCGGGATATTACTGAGTGAGTCTGCGATTGAGCGTTATCCGTCCAGCGGCGCCTGATGGAGTTTCTTGTAGTATTCTTGCGCAGCGAGCGTCGTCGAGGGGAGCATATAGATCTCCAGGACAGCTCCGATGACATGAAAGCAGTTTGAATGATGGTTTAGGGTAACAGGGCTATGGGATTATTGAAAGGCGCAGGACGGATAGAATGAGGGGGGTGGGCTGCGATAGCATATTCGGAGCAGGACATTATTATATCCTTCGAGTCATCATGTACTTTGGCGAAATCGGAATTTATGTTGCGCGCAGCATCAACCGAGCGTCGATGCCTTTTGACCAGCGATCATGAGGGCGACAATGGTATGAGGTGAGCGAGATTTCCAAACCGTTCCAACTGAGCGAGTGTTGAGTGAAGTGCACTGAAACTGTGCGCATGAAGCCAGCCGCCGATGAGGTTCGGGACAAACGAGCAACGAAACTCACGGCAGACGCCGATGACATTGATCTCGGCGATAGCCGAAGTCAAGTCGCAATTGAGAGCACGTGGGATCGGAACAACGGCCCGGGCAGCGTCCGTCATCGCGTTGAGAACGTTGCACGTTGGTTGCACGATCCCGCTGCTCTTCTTCCTGTATACAGTTCCAGCCAATGTAATGCTTTTCCACGACCATTTGTCAACGTCGCCGCTGACGGCGGGCAGCATATTTCTGCTGTCGAAGAGAAGAGGCAACCGCCGCGGGCAAGCGTATTGCGACCTCGAGCGAGGCATCCTGCTGGTGACGCCAAAGCCGCGCAAGAGGCCCTTGTTGTCGCTAGGAGTGGCTTCCGCACTGGGTGATGGTTGGTCGAAGTCCTCCACACTGCTCGCACCCCTCCTTGCGGACCGTACATTCACCATGTCCTCCGCCCTTGAACCCCGTCGGTGGGACCTCCTACACCCGTCGCGTCCACCCATCTCCTTTCCTTCCCTCCCACCCGTTCCTCCTGCCTCCCTCCCGATTCCCCTCCGCGCAAGCCCTACCGCCGCTTCCCACACCGCCCAGCCCGGCTCCTTTCCTTTGCCTCTGCTCTTCGTCCGCGCCTCCCACCACATCGTCCCCGCCGCGCGCCGCATCTTTCCCCCGTCTGCGTTCACGCTCTCCCTCGTCGGCATGCACGCGCTTCCGCTCCCCTTCTCCTGGCCCTTCTCGCCGCATCTCTCATGAGCGTGCCGTGCTTGCTCCGGATCGCATACGACCTCCTGCTCATCTAGTTTCCCGGAGGCAGCCGTTACAAACCGCTTGCCGCGCGGCTGGCCTTGTAGAGCCAGCCTGTGGCGCGACTAGCTTCGCTGAGAGACTGGGATGGTGGGGAGAGCCAGATGGTGGAGGAGTGGGGGGTGGGGCGAGGATGGTTGGGATGTGGTCGGTGGGAGAGCCCGATGGTGGACAGTCGGTGGACAGTCGGATGGTGGACAGTCGGTGGACTGCCGAATGGTGAACAGTCGGATGGGCGGTGGCATGTGGACGGGCGAGAAAGTGGACACGAGAGGCGAGAGGCGCCCACCCGAACCATCACCGGTGAGTCGCTGACCGTCTCTCGTCTCTTGCAGATATCGTCGCTGACCTACCTTCGTCTCTTGCAGATATCATCGCCCACCGTCTCTACCACACTCGCCCTCCCCTTTCCCCCTCGCCCTCCGTTTCTTCCCTCCCCTCGCCTTCTTGCCTTCCTCGCCCTCCGTTTCTTCCCTCCCCTCGCCTTCTTGCCTTCCTCGCCCCTCAGTCCCCGCCCTCGCCCTCGCCCTTTCCCCTTCCCCACCCCTCAGTCCCAGAAACTTCCTTCCCCCTCGTTCCCCTCGCCCATCGTCTCTTTACCTAGTTCACCGTCTCTTTCCCCCTGGCCCGCCGTTTCCTCCTCCCTCGCCCTCCGTCTCTTCCCCTCGGTCCCGGTATTCCACTCTTCCGCCGCGTTCCCAAAATCCTACCCTTGTGCCTCGATCCCAGGATTCTGCTCGGTCTCCTTGGTCTCAGGATTTGACTGCCGCGCCGCGGTCTCAGGATCCTACTCCCGCCCCGCGGGGGAGATGGGGGTGAGGAGGGGAGGGGGAGCGACGAGGACGATGACGAAGACGAGGGGCAGGAAAGAGGGGCGAGGACGGGCAGGGGCGAGAATATGATGGGGCGAAGGTGGTGTGGAGGGGGGTGAATGGGGAGAAGGATGTGTGGGGGGAGATGGAGGGAGGACGTGGCGCGGGGGAGATGGAGAGAGGGCGCGCGAGATGAAGAAAGACGCGGTGCGGGGGAGGAGGCGGAGAGGGAGGCGGTCGCGGACAGCCGAGGGGGCCGCCCGGCCGGGAAGACGAGCGGATGACGAGAGAGGAATGGGATGGGATGAGATGCGCGAAGTCTCTGGGATGAGATGCGCGAAATCTGGGGGGTGAGATGCGCGATTCGAATCCGAGGGATGCGACGAGCCAGATAGAGGGTCGAGATCTGAGGGACGCAGTCGAGGGTGAGTGAGGGTGATTTAGGAGAAGTGGGATGCGCGTGAGATGAGCAATGTGCGCAGCACGTGAGATGGGCGCAGTTGGCGAACGCGTGAGGGAGGAGGGACGCATGAGGAATGAGGGGCGCATGAGGGATGAGCGATGGGAGTATGAGGGCGGTGGAGGGAACTTTTAAGGCTGCGAAGACCGGTGGGGAATGGCCTTTGCGGCGCGCGGCGCGCACGGGAGAGGGCGAAGTCTCAGTGCGCGGGGATGCTAGAGAGGGTGAGATGGGAATAGGCCCGGATGAGGTACGAGCGGGGGGAAGAGAGGGGAGGAGTGGTGCGAAGGGAACGGAGGAGTGGTGCGAAGGGAAGGGACGAGAGGTGCAAAGGGAAGGGAGCGCCTGATGGGTGATTCTACTAGGACGCTTGGGCAGGAATGGGAGTATTGTGCATGCATGACCGCTCGTCGTTTGGTTCGACCACAACGCTCGTCGTCTCATACGGCCACAATGAACAAATCCGACTCCAATATCTCTCGGCGCGGCTTTCGAGAACAGCACCCGGAACGTGGTGAGCGGGCTCCGTCGAGAAGCTCGCGGTGAGTGGGATCCGTCGAGAAGCCCGCGGCGAGATATAATATGAAGAGCAAATCCAACCAGGCGGTCAGAGCATACAATAGGGCGCAAACTCGTACGTAGCTCAAACAACAATCGCAGAAGCATTCAGGGCGTAATATATGGGTCCGTCGGGTGTAAGTACTAGTCCAGTCCATCGTCAACCTCGCGCTCAGCGCTCATCCCAGGCGCCGCCCGGGAGCGATACTCCTCTGCGTCCTCGCGAGCGCTAGTGCTCGCCTTCGGGTCTCGCGTCTTCGCGAGCACGGGCTTCCTCCTCCTCCGCGTCCAGCGTCTGGACGGGCGGTACTTCTTCGTCCTGGATATGCTCGCCGACGCGAATCTGCTTGTCGTTGCGATCCTGCGCGCCGTCCCGTCCGTGCTCGTCGTCCCGTCCGTGTTCGTCGTCCGGACCATGCTCGCCATTCCAGCTCCCCTGCTCGTCAACATGATCCTGCTCGCCTCCCTTTCCAGCATCAGGGATCTCGTGAACACGGGTGCTCCCTTCGTGAAGTTCGTCTTCCGCATCCCTGGGCGCGCTGATTTCCTCCACCGTTCCTCGCGTTCCCACCTCCGTCCCTTGCGTCTGGACGTGCGGTGATTCTTCGACCTGGATCCGCTCGTCGACGCGACTGTGACTGCCATCCCGATCCTGCTCGCCATCCTGATCCTGCTCGCCGTCCTGTCCGTGTTCGTCACCTTGCCCTGCTTCCGATGCCATCGCCGGAACGGAAGTATCGACCTCGCTCCGCATCGGGCCCGGGAGAATTGAGGCTCCCGCGGTACGCTCGACGTCGATATCATCGAGCTTGATGAATGACGAACCAAGACGAGGACGGCGCACGCTCGCTGATTTACGGCGTCAGTGAACAGAACGGGGATGATAGCATGAACCAGCGCACCTAGAAATGGCCGAACACGCTTGAACGGGGCGACTCCCCAAGCCCCGAGGTCTCTGAGTCGGGAGATGATCTGGCTCTGCGTATGCTCGGCGCCTCCTCGATCTTCGAGGCCGCCATGAACGGGACCAGGGCTCTCGGCGTCGTCGCTGGTGTCAGCCTCTGCGCCGTTGCCTCGCAATCTTCGCTCGTCCTCCCAAGCATGTTTAGCGTCCTTCTTTTGCATTCGTTCGACGGCCTCGTCGAAGCTGACAAGCTCGGATATGTGCAACCACCAGCGTCTGGGCCGAGCATTAATGTATTTGCCGGGATCGCTGGTGAAGTGGCGATACCTGATGGATGCATAGGCAGTTAGCAGTCGAAACGGGATCGGTAGCTGAGTATCATACCAATTCAGGTCCTCGTCATTTTTAGCCTCATCCGGAACCGAAATATCCAAGTTCGAGCTTGGGTCCTGCACCAAGGAGGGCAAGTCATCTACCCACTCTGCTAGCGCTTCACAGCCATGCGTCGTCTTCAGCGCTAGCGCTACAACAAGTGGAATAACTCGAGGTCTTAAGTGCTCATCTAGCTGCTGTTTCCACATGTCACGATATGTCGGCTTAAGCGAGAGCAACGCCGAGTGCAGCTTGTACGATGCAGCAGGAAACTTCTTGTCGACCTGCTCTGAGTTGGCGCGCGCTGCACAGAGGGCATCTAGATATAGGCAATCGACCATGTCGTTTGCAGGCGTCAAGCCGGCTGCTTGTCAGAGCTCATTGAAGACCGCGTGCGAAAATGGGACTAACCTGCCACTTTGCTGAGCTGTGTGGCTAGGGATAAGGCTAAAGCATCCGTGATGTCCAGGCAAGCCAGCTGGTGATCATGGAGCACTGTAGATACCACTTCGAGGAGAAGCTCGACCGAGATCTCGTCATTGTCAAGAGCTTCTGCTAGAAATTCGCAGTAGTTGGAAGCATGGCGAGACAGGGCATTGAGGATGGCGACTTTGTCAACCGTATGTTCAGGTTCTCGAGCAAGCTTGAGGAGGAACCAAAACAATGACATGGCGAAGGTCACGGGTAAGGGTGTATTCGTGAGTCCAGACCCCGCAAATGATGGAGGGGGATGAACAAGGAATGTCGACTTGAACGCGGCTGATACTGCCGAGTGTCCAATGGTACGTAGCGCAGAGTCGATCGAGTCATGTCCGAGAGTGGTAAGCAGCAAGTCGGTCAATCTCGCGGCCAGAAAGCCGAGGTTATCGTCGAACGCTGCATTCCCGTCGGCACTATCTTCCTTGGAGTACGAATCAATTGCATGGCACGTCATGTGTAAGCGAGAGGCATCGTCCACAGAATCACGAGACTGATGAAATTAGGCATGTCAGTTCGACGCAACCTTGGTGAAGAGGACGCAGATCGCACCGTTTTATGTAGTCTACATGACTCAGGACAGAGCAGGCGAGAGATGGCAATTTCCCAGTATTTTGTACAGGGTGGATGCAGGTACAGCCACTCCTGCAAGGTCATATGAGATGATGCAGCAAGGTGTTCTTTCCGCCGATCGTCGTCATCCGGAAATGATGTCTCAGAATATCGACTGCGCCAAAGTGTGATCACGAAGTGACAGATGTTATCTTCAGGCATCCCATATCTGGACAAATATAATAGTACGCCATTCCAAGTCGACGAACGAAGACGCAAACCTGTGACCAGAGGTGTGTCTTTGAGCAAGGAATATGCCTGGGCAATAGTCTCGAGAACTGCGCCAGTGTCGTTCCGGACCCAAAACGGCGTCAACCAGTCGAGTCTTTGTTGGAGAGCCAGAAGAGTCGCACTCATCTGCGCCATATCGGTTGCTGTGACTGCAGGCGTGTTCGGAAGATCCAGTAGCGCAAGCGTCAAGGCCTGGAAGACCCGCGAGGTGCACAAGTGAAACTGAGCCTTGCCTAGCGAGTCTTGGACGAGCAAGAGAGAGTGCGCCATTCGTAGAAGCTCGTTATCTCGACCAGGTGCCCAATCAAAGACCGCTCGACGTGTACTCAGAGCATTGTAGAACCAAGGTATGATGCGGTTGTGCAGAAGTCTTGTATGTGGTTGGGTCGATGACCGCCAATTACGACCTTCGTAGCGAAGACCAGCTGAGGCCTGCACGACGAGTGGGGCGATGGACAGATCTGGTGACGCCTGCATTGCCCAATCCAGGCTATCAGGTATCAGATCATCTGATTTCTGAAGCACGGTGTCCCATTCATGATCACTGGGTATCTTGAGCGCGTCCAGCCCATATCTCTTCCATGCTGTGCCAACAGTTCGGATGATTGCACAGATGAAGTCGTGTAGCTGACGCCCGCGAGATTTAGCCCAAATGACACCCCTACGAAGCGACACGCTGTGGCCTTCCTCGTACCCGCTGTCGTCGTCCGCGCTAGTCTCGCCCTCATCGTCCTCCAGATCACTCGTCGGAAGGTCCTTCGGAGCACCCCCAGGAGGCATAGCGAACGTCTCCCGTGGTCGACGCTCTAAGGGAAGCCGGGCGTGGAGAAGCATGTACAAGGACTTGGCCCAATATCCAGCGGTGGAGAGCGGCGAGCGATATGGGCACTGTGGGTAGAAGACGGGCAGGACATTCGTCAAGACATAGAGCAAGTAGATCATGACGGTGAGTGCGATGATGCCGCGGGACATAGTGGGATCCGACTGACCGACATAGAGGATGAGCCCGATGAAGAACAGAAGGAGCGAGACGTGCAGGAGCATGGGGAGGATCGGCACAATCACGTGGACCTTGTAGTTCTCCAAGCCGACGCGTCTGAAGTGGCGGACGAGCGCGCGCCGCTTGGGAGGCCCGGCGATATCGCTCTCGTACTCCTAACAAATGGTTCAGCGCCTCACGCACGTGAGCGGCCTATCCAGCGTACCTGCAGCCACTGCCTGACGACGACGGCGCCGAATGCAGCCAACAAACTGAAGATCAAGCTGAGGAACCAGCAGCGATTGATCCAGGGGCTGGGACTAGGCGCCGGTGGGGGAGGACTGAAGGAAGCCACGCCATCCACACGAGGATCGTTCGCCCATGCTCGCTGGATGGCAATGATTTCCAGTAAGAGAGCAATGGTAGTGTCGCCGGTAGTGGAGGGGGTCTGCGATGTTTGGACGACGAAGGTCGTGAGGACGGCCGAGAACAAACCGGCCTTGAGGGTACAATTAACGTGGATATCGACAGCGCAGATTATGCACTCACAAAAACTAGGTCCACATCGAGATGGTCGCGAAAGCGTTGCAGCATCGCAGCGTCGACGATCCGACCCTCGTCCAGCATGACGCGCCAGATGCGAGCCTCATTCCCGAGTTCTTCGTAGAGCGGATCGTCTTCGTACTTGTCTGCGTAGCCGCGCCGCACGTTTTCGCGCGCTTGCTCCGCGCCTGTCAGGGGAAATCGATGAGCGAAAGCCAGCAGACGACATGGATGCACTTCACCTAGACAGCTCCTGGGATCGTATTTGTGAATCCCAAACGTTTTCCTCCCGCCCGAAGCCGGGGAATCCTGAACGTCTGTCATCGTCAACGGTCGTTCGCTTGCGTGGTGAGATGGGAGTAGGAGGAAAGCTGGCGGTGTGCTGTGAAGCCCCGCCACTGATCTTCGTCATACTAGGAAGAAGCGCAGCCTCAACACGCGTTTGACATCAGGCATGTTTTTGGTATCAAGGGAGTTCATAAGCAAGGTTCCGGGCTGTACAGTCGCGGTCTTTTGCATACGCCGAGATCATAGATAGATGGGAATCCGTCGCATCTGCTACATGAACGGCGCGTTTGCGCAGTGCAGTTGTTGCCTAGATTACCAGTATCTGGGCGCCGCTCGATTGGTAGGCGCTCCATGTCCGGCTTGATGGGCGAGGCGGCCTCGCGAACAACTCGCGAAGGTCTCGCGCGTGCATATCGATGAAGGACGTCGACGTCAGGTTGACATTGGACCCGGGCCTTGCCCGAAGCACGGCACGTGAGACACGCGTGCGCAGTCCCACGTTACGGCGTCACAGCGATTCAACCGCGACGACTTGGCCCAACCTGTTGAGCTACTTGACTGCGGTTCAATTCAGACGATAAAGCGACGAAAAGTAGTCATACTAGCGTGTGAGGGTCCAAGGACTCGCTCCCGCGTTCGTTTGCAATGAGGGAGCGCACCAAGGGGGCCCTTCCTTCCCCTGCTCCTACGCCTCTTTCCGTCCACGTATACGTCTCTTCAAGCGACTCCCGCGACTTCTCTCACCATATCCATGTCTTCAACGACACGCAGTCGTCGTTGAGATCGTTACATCACCTCCGTCCATCGGCTCTTGCGCAGCGAACCTTGGCCGATAGTAGTGCTTCATTACCGTAGCCCGTGGGTCCGCATAGCTATCAGGATGAACGTCAGGATGGGAAGACGCGCGTCGTTCATGGAGGGATCGACTTACCTTGGTTGATGATGCGCCGATGCGCCATGGTCGAGTTGCGCTGATACATCGTGAATGATGTTGCGCCGTTGAATCGCGCCGATGCATCGTGGATGACAACGCGAATACACGCTGTTCAACGCGCCGTATGTTGCCTGCTGTTCAATGCGCCGTAGTGCATATTGTTCAACGCGTCCAACGCGCCATTTGTTGCCTGCCGCGTCGCCTCGTGCCTTCCCCTCTTGCCGTTCCATCTTGTCGTCGCCTCTCGCCGTCCCCCCATTCATCCACCCATCCCTAGGTGCCCGCGTACTCCACAATCGCGCGAGCGTCTCCCCGGAAATGTTACGTCGAATCCCATGCCCGCCGCGCCCCTTCCTTCTCTCCACCCGCGCATTGCCCGCGCGCCTTCTTCAACGCTCCTCACAGCCCGTACATCGCCCGCGCCGCCACGACTTCACCACGGCCGCCACGAGTTCGCCCTCGCCACCGACAAACTTGCGTACCCACAACAGACTTCACCCGCGGCTCGTCAGGTGTATCCAGCCCCAGCCGTGCGATGCGTATCCAGCCCCAGCCGTGCGATGCGTAACCAGCCCAGCCGTGGGAGGCGTACCCAGCCTCAGCCGTACGAGAGGCCGCAGCCTTCCCCGGCCATGCGAGTCGTAGCCTCTACCAGCCCTGCGGTTTCCACTACCCGCCGCCTCTCGCGCAAAGCCGCCGCGTCATGCGCGTCGTGCCCATTGCCCGTTGCCCATTGCCCATCGCCCTTCGGAGCGAGATGCCCCATCGCCGCTCCGAGCAAGACGCACCACTGCCGCTCGAGGCGAGACGCACCACTGCCGCTCCCCGGCCATGCTGTGCCCCGACTATGGCTGTATGGACTGCACCGTCTCCGGCTGTACGGACTGCGCCGTCTCCAGCATATGAACCGCCCCATCGCCCGCGACTCGAGCTGTACCTCGCTGTCACTCAACGAGGTGTACCCCGCCGATGCTTGACGAGGTGTATCCCGCCGTCGCTCGACGAGGTGCAAATCGCTGCTCGCTCGACGAGGCGCTCCTCCGCTCGCTTAACGAGGCGCCCCACCACCCGTTGGACAAACTGGCCCACCGCCCGTTGCACGAACAGGTCCACCGCCCGCCGTACGAGCTCTTGAGCACCGCGTCGCAGCTCTCGATAAACTCGCTGCCGAATCCCGTGTCAGGAATCGCCAAATCCTGTATCAGGAGCCACCATACCTCGTATCAGGAACCACCATGTTCTGCATCACGAGCCGCCGTGTCCCGTATTCATGAACAAGGAGTTCCGTATTCATGAACAGAGACTCAAGGGCTGGTAAGGGTTCGATGAGATGGTCATGGTAGACGGGTATTGGATTTGGAGAGAGCGCTGTTGTGAGTTTCGAGAGAGAGTGGTGGCGAGAGGGGAACGGAAATAAAACGGAAGAGAAGGAAGTCAGCACGGGAGGAGGAGCGGCAATGGGGAAGAGGGAAAAGGCAAGGAAGTCGAGGAGGAAGGGACAGATGGAGGGAGGAGGAGGGGAGGATGACGGGAGGGACACGGGAGGGGAAAAGGGCGCGGGGAGCTTAAGGAAGGAGGAGCGAAGCAGGATGAATTGTGCAGAGTAGCGGACACGCCCCTACGACTCACATCCACTCTGGCATGGTCCTGCGCCTTCGTGGACACAGCCCGGTTTCGCTTGCCATCGAAGACCAACGTCGCTCGCCGTCAGCGACCTGCGTTTCTCTGGAGCGCCCCTAGGTCTTCGGAGCACGCCGATGGTGGTGCTTCCCGCACTCCTATCGTACCGGCGTAAGCTATTGCAAGGATATTGTTTTTGAAAGGTGGAAGAGGAGGAAAGTTGGAAGAGGGGAGAGATGGTATGACAGGTTGGGGGCAAGACTGTCGACAACAATGTGGATGAGAGCGCCATGAGCGCGGGTCGTTGTCAAAGCACAGTCCTTGAGCACCGTGTTTATGCATGAAAACTTCGTATCATTGCAGTCTTATGGTGGCCCTGTAGAATCCCTCCGCACGTCCATCCGCGATCGGTGCTGGCGACGACTAGCTGCGAACATGTTTGTGGAAGTCGCCAGTAAAGAGATTGAGCCAAAATTGCGGGCGTTTCGATGGATGTCGAGTTGCGCCGGCCTGACGTTCCGTGGGATGAAGGTGCGTTGCAGACGAGGAGCAGAGCGAACGAGGGGCGAGTAACATGCGGCGTCGGAGCATCGGCCCGCTTCCTCGGGGTCCGCGGCCCGCGCGACCCTACGCCTGGCTTGCTCCCTCGCTCCAAGGTAGCTACGGACGCTCATGTGAATTCTATGCTCTCGCCCTTTTCATTTTCGCTCTCGCCGCTTTTGTCCGCCGTTCTATCTCGAGCCCATTCTGCAACGCACTACGCTTGCTACGGCTACTCGGGACTGCAAGCGCATCATGCAGGACGAGGGGAGGGGACCTGTGAAAGGTGGGCCGGTCATTCAGAGGCGCCCGGAGAGAGGCGTAATCCGCACGAAGGGAAGGCTGGATGCAAGATCAGTGTCGATTCGCGCATTGCAGGGAGAGACGTCGGGCTCCCCGCCCCGCAAGCACTCGTCACGCAATCCTTTCCGTCCCCCCAACCTCGCTCATCCTTCCCTACCATAGTCGCGCTTCCCTCCAACGCCGCCTTCGTCCCTCCCTTCCCCTTTCCCATCCTCCTCTGTCTCGTCCTCTTCTTCCCCGTTCTCCCCTGCCCTCCCTTCTCCCCTCACCCGCTTCGCCTCTTTCACTTCCCTTCCCGCCCTCCCCTCCCTTCTCTCCCTTCCCAGCTGAATCTCCTTCTCCTCCTTCTCTGGCTCCGCTCCTCCACCCCCTACTCCACCTCTTACCCCGCTCCCATCCCCGGTCAGTGGCGCGCGACGGACTGGCGGGATATGCGTAGTCTGATCTTCCAGGAAGTCGACGAAATCCTAGCTTGATCTTGCAGGAGGTCGACGGGATATGCGGGATGCGATCTTCCAGGAGGTTGTCGGGCTCAAGCTTGGGCGTGGGCGGAAGCGGTGGGGCGGTGGGGCGGTGCGTACCGCGGTCAGCGAGGACGGCGGCCAGCGGGAATGGGCGGAGCGCTGCGCGACAGCGAGGCCGGGTGGAGCGCAGACATAGGATATGCAATGGGAAGGGCGCAATCGCGGGGACGCGCTCAGCCGTCGGTGGGGAGGTGGGGCGGGCGGCGCGCTGGGGAAGGCACGGGCCCGTCAAAGGGGAGGTAGTGAAGGCGGACGGTGCGGGGAAGGCGCGGACGGTGCGAGATGTAGCGGGGACGCGGGTGACCTCGAAGGAGACGATGGGCGTAATCGGACAGGCAGGCGCACGTGCGCATTTGGTCAGGCGGAGGATGGGCGTAGGGTGGAGACAGGCAAACCCGGAATTCCCCTCGTCGCTGGCAGGTGAGGTGGAGGTCCCCGCCCCACTGCCCTCAGCGTCGCCCGCGCCACTGGTTTCCTCGACTCTTCACTTCATCTCTTCCCTCTTCCCATTGCTTCCGCTTCGACCCTGCATTTCTACCCCTCCTTTCTTCCTGTACCGCTTCTCTGGTTTCTTCGGCCCTCGCCCTCCCTCCTCTACTGGTCCATCCCTCCTACCTCCTCCCAGCGTCGGATGGCTGTGGGGATATAGCGTCTGTCGGGAGTGATGCGCGCTGTCCTGTCCTCGTTCTCTCGCACCACGGGGGGAGGGTGCCATCGGGAATGAAGCACGCGGTCGTGAGCGGTGGGCGTGGTCGTGAGTGGTGGGCGTGGTCGTGAGTGGTGAGCGTGGTCGTGAGTGGTGGGCGCGGACGCGAGGGATATGTTCAGGGGGACGGGAAGAGGAAAATACCTCGGCCGACGTGCGGGGAGGGCTACGGGGTGGCGTCGGGCGGCGCAGCGTGTGCGAGGATGGCAGCGCAGAGTATGCGAGGACGGAGGAGGGGTGTATGGGGAGCAGGATGCCTTGAAGCCCGACGGCGGCGAGGAAGCTGGGGAAGAGTGTATAGGAGGGAATGGGGGTATTAGGAAGGAGAGATGACGTCGGGCGGAGTGTCGGGCTTATGGTGCGACAGATCATGAGCGGGGCGCGACCGGGGGGGAGAGGGGGGGAAGAGGGAATGGGACGAGGGAGTGAGAGGGGGAAGAGGGACGGCGGAGTGAGAGGGAAGAGAGTCGGCGGAGTGAGAGGGATGCGATTGGCGGGGGGAGGGCTTGTGGGGGAGGGTCGGTGAGGGGAGGGTCAGTGAGGGGTGGGGGACTGCGGCACGCAGCGAGCAGAGTTGCGTGCTGGTTGCAACGACCTCATGGGGAGAATGAGCTGGGTTGTGCTAGGAGGTCCATGGAGGAGGGTGAATTTATGCGCTTGGGGCGGCTGATGTGTGAAATGGGGATAAGACGAGCCGGGAGAAGGGGATGAGACGAGCCGGGAGAAGGAACGGGACCAGAGGCGAACGAGACCGCTCGCTCATGTACATCGCGTATGACCACAATGCGAATATTTCCTCGTCTTCACTCTCCATGAGGGTACACCCGGCTTGGTGATCAGGTGCGTCGAAGACGCGGACGGCCAGAAACGTTGTAACTCAGTAATTTGCAGGACAAGATGCAATACTAGTGCGCAAACTCGTATGTGACTAAAGAAGACAGATTTTCAGTGTTCAAGCGTCGTACGCGGATAAGGGTCCGTCATGTATGTATCTTCCAGTCCGTCGTGTATGTGTCATCCAGTCCGTCGTCAAGTTGAACTCATGCTCATCGCCCTTCGCAGCTCTCTCACTGGCGCCGCCTCTGGGCACTGCTCCCCAGCGTCCTCGAGGGCGGTACTCCCCAGCGTCGTCCCGAGCGTTACTACCCAGCGCCCTCGCTAGCCCTAGCCCCCGCGCTCGTCAGCCCTAGTCCCCGCCTTCGTGGCCCGCGTCCTCGCGCGCACGAAGTTCCACCTCCGTGTCCCGTGTCCGGACGTGCGTCACCCTGTCATCCTGGCGAGTCTGCTCGTCGTCCCGATCCTGCTCGTCGTCCAGACCATGCGCCCCGTCCTGAGGATGCTCGCCATCCTGTCCGTGTTCATCATTCCGTCCGTGCTCGCCGCCCTGACCCTGCTCGCCGTCCCGGCTCCCCTTCTCGCCGTCATGATCCTGCTCGTCGTCCTGACCCTTCTCGTCGGCCCGCCCCTGTTCATCGTCTCTCTCCTGCTCGCCGCATTGTCCAGCAGCAGGAACCTCGCTCGCGTTGGTCATCCCTCCGTGTTCCGCCTCCTCGCTCACGCTGGTGTCCGCATTGTCCTGTTTGTGATCGCGCTGGTCATGCGATGCTTCTTCGCCTTGACCCTGCTCGCGAATACGCCCGGCGTCCCGATCTTGCTCGTCGTTCTGAGCATGCCCGCCGTCCTGAGCATGCTCGCCGTCCCCTCCATACTTTTCACCCTGCCCTGCTCCCAACGCCTTCGTCGGAACGAAGGGATCGTCCCCGCTCCGCATCGGACCCTGGGGAACTGAGGCTCCTGCGGTGCGTTCGACGTCGATAGTGTCGATAGCGATGAACGATGGCGACCTTTGACGAGGCCGGAGGCTCGCTGGTTCACAGCGTGAATGGACAGAACGGAAATGACAAAATGACACAGCGCACCTAGGAATGGACGAACACGCTTGAACGGGGCGACTCCCCAAGCGCCGAGGGCTCTGAGTCGGGCGACGATCTGGATCTGCGTACGTTCGGCGCCTCCTTGATCATCGAGTCCGTCAGGCTCGCGACCAGAGCTCTCGGCGTCGTCGATGGCGCCCGCCTCCGCGCCACAGCCTCCCGAACCTCCTTGTTCATTCCCAGCGGCACGTTCAGCGTCGGTCTCCTTCATCCGCTCAACGGCCTCGTCGAAGCTGACCAGTTCGGATATGTGCAACCTCCGATCTCTTGGCTGGGCACGGATATGCTTGTCGGGATTGCTAGTGAAGTGGCGATACCTGATGATTGCACAAATGATCAGCAGTCGACACGGGATTAGCAGCTGAGTATCATACCAATTCAGGTCGCCTTCTCGAGCCTCGACCGGAACCCAAACTTCCAAGCCTGAACCTGGGTCCTGCACTAGGAAGGGCAAATCATTTAGCCACTCTCCTAGCGCTTCATGGCCATGCGTGCTCTTCAGCGCCAATGCTACAGTGAGTGGAATATGTTGACGTCTCAAGTTCCTATCTAGCTGCTGTTTCCACGTGTTGTGATATGTTGGCTTGAGCGAGCGCAACGCCGAGTGCAGCTTGCGCGATGCATCAGGGAACCTCGTGTCGACCTGCTTCGATTTGGCACGCGCCGCACAGAGGGCATCAAGATATAGGTAAACAGTCATGACATTTTCAGGCTGATCGGAGAACACCGAGCCTGAAGGTTGCTTGTCAGAGCTCGGTGAAGACCAACTGCAGAGATGGGACTGACCTGTCACTTTGCTGAGCTGCGTGGCCAGGGATGTTGCGAGAGCGTCCGAGATGTCCAGGAAAGCCAGCTGGTGATTACACAACACCGTCGATACCAGTGAAAGGAGAAGCTTGATTGAGACTTCGTCATAGTCAAGAGCTTGTGCTATCACCTCGCAGTACTTGGTTGCATGGCGAGACAGAGCATTGAGGATGGTGACTTTGTGGTCGACAGGCTCTCGAGCAAACCTGGCGAGAAACCAAAATAACGACACGGCGAAGGTTGCGGGCAAGTATTTATATAACTGCACCGACCCCGCAAATGACAATGAGGGACGAACGAGGAACGTCGACTTGAACGCGGCCGATACTACCGAGAGTCCCATGGTACGTAGTGCGGAGTCGATCGAGTCATACCCAAGTGTGGAAAGCAACGAGCCAGTGAATTGCACAACCAGAAAGCCGAGGTTATCGTCGAAAGCCGTATTCCCATCGGCATTATCTTCCTTGATGTACAAATCAATTGCATGACACGTCATGTGCAAGCGGCAGGCATCGTCCACAGAACGACGATGCTGATGAATCAAGGCACGTCAGCTTGCTGCAACCTTAGTGAAGAGGACGCAGATCGCACCATTTCATATGCTTCACACGAGCTAGGACAGAGCAGGCGGTTTATGGCAATTTCCCAGTCTTCTGTACAGTCTGGATGCAGGTATAGCCACTCTTGCAAGGTCATATGAGATGATGCAGCGAGTTGTTCGCTCCGCCGATCGTCGTCGTCCGAAAATGGTGCCCCAGAATACTGACTGCGCCAAAGCGTGATAGCGAAGTTACAGATGTTAGCTTTAGGTGTCCCAAAGTTGGACAAATACAGTAGTGCATCATTCCAAGTCAACGGACGAAGACGCAGCCCTGTGACCGGAGGTGCGTCTTTGAGCAAGGAATATGCCTGGGCAATAGTCTCGAGAACTGTGTGGGGGTCATTCCGGGTCAACGACTGGCAGTTGAGTATTCGTTGGAGAGCCAGGAGAGTCGCACTCATCCGCGCCACATCAGTTGTTGTGACTGCAGGCGTGTTCGGAAGATCCAGAAGCGCAAGCGTCAAGGCCTGGGAGACCCGCGAGGTGCACAAGCGATACTGAACCGTGTCTATGTCATTCCTTGATGGTTGGTGAAAAGAATACGAGATTGGGACGAGCAAGAGAGAGTCCGCCATTCGTATCAGCTCGTTCTCTCGACCAGGTGCCCAGTCAAAGACTGCCCGACGTGTACTCAAAGCATTATAGAACCAAGGTAGAATGCGGTTGCACAGAAGTCTTGTATGTGGCTGGGTCGATGACCACCAAGTACGACCCTCATAGCGAAGACCAGCTGAGGCCTGTACGACGAGCGGGGCAATGGACAGATCTGGCGACGCCTGCATTGCCCAATCCAGACTATCGGGTATCAGATCATCTGATTTTTGAAGCGCGGTGTCCCATTCATGATCGCTGGGCATCTTGAGCGCGTCCAGCACATATCTCTCCCATGCTGCGCCACCGTCTCGGAGGATTGCATACATGAAGTAGAGTGGCAGAAGCACGCAATATTCAGCCCAAATAACGCCCCTACGAAGGGGACGAGGAACGGAGGGAAGCCGGGCGTAGAGAAGCGTGTACAAGGACTTAGCCCAATATCCAGCGGTGGAAAGCGGCGAGCGATATGGGCACTGGGGGTCGAAGACAGGCAGGACATTCGTCACAATGTAGAGCAAGTAGATCAGAGTCGTAAGTGCGATGATGCCGTGGGACATAGTAGGATCCGATTGACCGACATAGAGGATGAGCCCGATAAAGAACAGCAGGAGCGACACATGCAGGAGCATGGGGAGGATCGGCACAATGACGTGGACCTTGTAGTTCTCCAAGCCGACGCGTCTGAAGTGACGGACGAGCGCGCGCCGCTTGGGAGGCCCGGCGATGTCGCTCTCGTACTCCTAACAAATGGTTCAGCGCCTCACGCACGTGAGCGGCCTATCCAGCGTACCTGCAGCCACTGCCTGACGACGACGGCGCCGAATGCAGCCAACAAACTGAAGATCAAGCTGAGGAACCAGCAGCGATTGATCCAGGGGCTGGGACTAGGCGCCGGTGGGGGAGGACTGAAGGAAGCCACGCCATCCACACGAGGATCGTTCGCCCATGCTCGCTGGATGGCAATGATTTCCAGTAAGAGAGCAATGGTAGTGTCGCCGGTAGTGGAGGGCGTCTGCGATGTCTGGACGACGAAGGTCGTGAGGACGGCCGAGAACAAACCGGCCTTGAGGGTACGATTAACGTTGGTCTCGACAGCAAAGTTCATGCACTCACAAAAACGAGGTCCACATCGAGATGGTCGCGGAAGCGTTGCAGCATCGCAGCGTCGACGATCCGACCCTCGTCCAGCATGACGCGCCAGATGCGCGCCTCGTCCCCGAGTTCTTCGTAGAGCGGATCGTCTTCGTATTTGCCTTCGTAGCCGCGCCGTACATTTTCGCGCGCCTGCTCACCGCCTGTCACGAGAAATCGATGAGCGAAATTCAGCAGACGAGCATGGGCGTGGCTTACCTAGACAGCTTCTGGGATCATATTTGTGAATCCCGAATGTTTTACTCCCGCCCGACGCCGGGGGATCCTGGACGTCTGTCATCGTCAACGGTCGTTCGCTTGTGTGGTGAGATGGGAGTAGGAGGAAAGCTGGCGGTGTGCTGTGAGGCCCCGCTACTGACCTTCGTCATACTAGGAAGAAGCACAGCCTCAACACGAGTCTGACATCGAGCATAGTCTTGATATGAAGGGAGTTCATGAGCAAGGTTCCGGGCTGTACAGTCACGGTCCTTGGCATACGCCGGGCTCATACATCGATGGGAATCCGTCGCATCTGCTACATGAACGGCGCGTTTGCGCAGTGCAGTCATTGCCTGGATTACCGGTATCTGGGCTTCGCTCGGTTCGTAGGCGCTCCAAGCCCGGCATGACATGGGCGAGGCCGCCTCGCGAACAACTCGCGAAGGTCTCGCGCAATCGCTGAAGGACGTCGGCATCAGGTTGAGATCAGGCTTGGGCCTTGCCCGAAGCACGGCACGTGAGGCACGCGTGCATACGTTACGGCGTCACAGCGATTCAACCGTGACGACTTGGCCAGCCTGTTGCGCAACTAAACTGCAGTTTAATTCAGACAATAAAGCGGCAAAAGAAGTAGTCATACTAGCGTATAAGGACCCAAGGACGCGCTCTCATTCGTTTGCATAGGAGAGCGCAACCGGGGTTGGGGCGAAGGCCCTTCCTTCCCCTGCTCCTACGCCTCTTCTCGTTCACGTGCGCGCCTCCTGAAGCCACTCCCACGCCCTTTCTCACCATACCAACCCCTCCAACGACGCACGATGGTCGTTCAGCTCGCGACTCTTTGGCCAACTCCGTCCGTCGGCTCTCGCGCAGCGAACGTAGGCCGATATCAGTGTTCTGTGTCCGCAGCCTGTGGGTCCGCATGACTGTTAGAATGAAGCTCAGGACAGAGAGACGCGCGTGGCTCATGAAGGTTCGACTTACCGTGGCTGATCATGCGCCGATGCGCCATGGTTGAGTTGCGCCGATGCATCGTGGACAACGCATCGCGGATAATGATGCGAGGACACGCCACTGCTCAGTATGCGTCGGGGCGCTAGTGCATGCTGTTCAACGCGCTGTATGTTGCCTGCTGCGCAACGCGCCGTATGTTGCATGCCATCCAACGCGCTGTATGTCGCGTGCCGCATCGCCTCTTGCCGTCTCCACCGCCATCCCCACATTCCTAGCCACCCACCTATCCCGGAACCGCGCGAGCGTCTCCCCCAAACGCCACGACGGAACGACCCACCAGCCGCTTCTTCGACGCCCTCTCCACCCGTACATCGCCCGCGCCGCCACGACTTTCCTCACGCCACCACGACTTTCCCCGCGCCACCATGGCTTCACCCATGCCCAGACGACTTCGCCCGTGCCGTCATGACCTCCCCCGCGCCGCCATGAGCTCGCCCGTGCCACCAGCTTACTTGCGTACCCCCGACAAACTTCCCCCGCAGCTCGTCAGCCACGGTGTACCCAGCCCAGCCGTGCGAACAGTACCAAGCCCCAGCCGTGCGAGGCGTACCCAGCCCAGCTGTGCGAGGCGCACGCAGCCTCAGCCGATAGAGGCGAACGCAGCCTCAGCCGATAGAGGCCGCAGCCTTTCCCAGCCGAGAGAGGTCGCAGCCTTTCCCAGCATTGTGAGACGAAGCAAGGAGCCCATCGCCTCTTGGATAGTGCCGCCGCTCTCCGAGCGCGTCGTGCGAGACGCCACAGCGCCAATCTCCGAGTGCGTCCTGCGAGACGCCCCACCGCCACTGACCGGTCATGCTGTGCCCGTCGCCAGCAATATGGACCGCCCCGTCGCCAGCAGTATAGCATGCCCCGTCACCAGCAGTATAGGATGCCACGTCCCCAGCAGTATGGACTGCCCCATCGCTCGCTACACGAGCTGCATCTCGCCGTCGCTCAATGGAGCCTATCTCACCGGCGCTCAATGGAGTGTATCTCGCCGACGCTCGACGAGGTGTGGGTAGTGAGTTTGGATAGAGCGCGGTGATGAGTTTGGATAGAGAGCGGTGGTGAGGCTTGCGAGAAAGAGGCGGTGAGCTTGAATAAAGCGCGGCGGTGAGTTTGGAGAGGACGATGGTGAGGCTGGATAGAGAGCGGTGGCGAATTTGGGGAGGACTATGGCGAGAGGGAAACGGGGAATGGAACGGAACGGAAAAGGATGTGAGCAGAGGGGGAGGGAAGAGAAGGAAGTGAGCAGGGGATGGGGAAGAGGGGAAAAGAAGGAAGTAGGGGAAGGGATGGACAGATGGAGAGAGAAAGAGGGGAGCAGGATAACGAGACGGACGCCGAGCGGGGAAGAAGGAGGGCGAGTCGGACGAGCGGGCAAGAAGGATAACGAGACGGACGGGGGGAGGAGAGAGACGGGAAGAGGAACATGGGAGGGGGAAAGGGCGCGAGGAGGTCATAGGAGAGATGGATTGAGCTAACTTGAAGAAGGTTGAGTCGTGCGGAGTCGCGGTCGCGCTGTTCCGCTCGTCCTGCGACTCGCATTCGTGCTGGTGTAGTGCTGCGACTCGCATCCACGTGGCGTAGTGCTGCAACTCGCATCCATGCCGGTATAGTGCTGGGTCATTCGCACACACAGCCCGGCAGGTTTGTCACCGAAGATCGACGTCGCTCGCCGTTATGACCCTGCGTTCCTGTGGAGCACCTCTTGGTCTTCGGAGCACGGCGATGGTGGTGCTTTCCACATTCCTATCGTACAGACGTGAGCTGTTGGGACGATATTGCTTTTATGTAATGGTAGAAGGGAGGAAAAGCCAGCAGGAGGTGAGAGAGGCAATGGAAGAGGGGAGAGATGGCATGTCAGGTTGAGGGAATGGACCTATGGACATGGGCAAGAGCGTCGACGTCGATCGGATGTGCATGAGAGCACCACGCGCGCCAGCCGTTATAAAGCAGTCGAAGCGCAGTCCTTGAGCACCGTGTTCGGGCATGGTAATTTCGTGATATTGCAGTTCTATGCCGGCGCTACCAACGATCTCTGCCCACTGGAGAATCCTTCCGTGCGTCCGTCCGCGATCGGTGCTGGCAACGACGAGCGACAGACATGGTTACCGAAGTCGCCAGGGGGAAAATGAAAAGGCGCGGCGTTGACATTCTATGGGGTAAGGGCGCATGGGGGACGAGGACGAGACGAGCGAGCCATCGAACGAGGCGCGATGGCAGCCACGTGTACAGGGCTCGGCAAGTCGGACCGCCATCCCGCCACCGTCATCCGACATGTTTCCTACTCTCTATGATCTCGACGCGCAGGGACCTCTGAATCATGTCGTTCGTCGCTTCTGCTCCCCGATGAATGCACTCACTTCGCGTTTTTCGTCGTTCCTTCGACTCCGCTGTGTTTACCGATGCTTGCTGTCGTCACATTTTAAACTCCTGCTTCCTTCGGATCTCTGATCGATGTCTTCGACTTTGAAGTGGACTCGCGCGCATGGCATATATGAGCAATGGTGTTGACGAAGAGGGACTAGACCCGGAGGGCCGGGAGGGAAGGTGCGGGTATATAAGCGAGAATAGGACTTGGTCGCTGGCGTGATGGAGGGGAAGCGCGACGCGCGAATGGTGATCGAGTGTAGGAACTTTGTTTATATGGGCGTACGCGCTCTGTTGTACCGTGATGTATCCCCCCCCATAGAGCACATGATCAACGCGTGAGCATCACGGTGAACTTCGATTATGCAGGTACTAGATTCGAACAGGCCTCCTACCAAGCAAGCAGCGTTGAAAGAGAAAACTGATACCAGCTTCGATGGGGACGATCTTCAAAATAACCTATATATGCTGCACAAGCAAAGCGCATACTTCATCGTCCACTTGCGCGAAGAACAAGAGAGGAGTGAATAATACAGATTATCATACGGCGCGCGTCGACCCCCAGGGTGACGGCTAAACGATCTTATATACAAAGGAGTGCACGTGTGTTGATTTGTGTGTATCGCTCATCTATGAAAGTAGACGCTTCAAGACTCGGAAAAGCAAGCGTCTAAGCGTTCGCCGTCACCGCCGCCTTCGCCCTCGCGCGCCGGCGGAAGATGACGACCGCGGTGATATTGAATGCACATGCGGATAGAACCATGACCTGAGAGAGTCGTCAGTACACTATTCGACCCATCACACGCTCACTCATGCCCCTCCGTCATACACGGGGTAAGGCGCAAGAGCAGTGCGCACGACGACCGCCTTCGCGGTGTGCACGACGCTTTAGTCATCGCAATGTGTCGACGCAGCGTACGATGCCACATTACCCGAGCGTTCGAAGGAGCAGGCAAAAAGAACTCACCCCCGAAAACACGATCGTCTTCCACCAGTCGTAGTTTGGGCCGAGAATAGCGCCGACCATGGGCGGGCCGACGAAGGAGCCGATGCCGACGGGCGTGAGGGAGACACCGAGGCGGCGGCTGAGAGGGAGGGAAGGTCAGTATACGCGCGTGAGGGGTTAATGGTAACTACCCACCCCATCCCCGCCCCCTCAGGCGTCATGGACGCGACCATGGGCATGTACATCGCGATCACGGTGCCGAAGAAGTAGCCGAAGCTGCGAGAGAGGCTATGTTAGTACTGTCTCAGAATACGCACGGAGTATACCGTCTGGCGAGGTCCTGGTACACCGTTTGACGAGGTTCGCCTCAAGGTGGGTACAATGCAACCGCAAGAACAACGCAAAATAGAACTCACATAAGCGCAAAAATGACAAGCCCCGCCGGATGCCGGCAGCCGAACATGGCGAAGCTGATTAGGCCTAATAAAGGTATTCATCAGCGAATTCAGCCCCCAACAAAACTCAAGGAACCCCCACTCACCCACCACCGCCAAACTCGGCACAAACACCTCCGCCGCGCCCCACCGATCCGCCATCCAGCCCGGAAGTATCCTGCCGAAGATGCTCGCGAAGCTCAGAATCGCGAAGGAGTAGAAACAGAGCTGCTCGTTGACGCCGTGCAGTTCGGCGTAGAGCTTGGATGGGGGGTTAGTGTTTGTTTTGTTAAGGGAAGGGGTTGTCAGCACGGTTGTGAGTGATGGAGGGAGAGCGGGGAAGAGAAAAGGAAGAGCGGAGGTTGGAGAAATGAAGGGACATGGATGCGCGCAACCCGCCACACACCTGCATATAGAAATTCGGCGGCGTCGCGCCCAGTGACCACAGCAGCGCGCTGATCATGACCAGGACGAAGGGCAGGTCCCAGAGGGGGGCTTCGACGGGAGGTGAGGCAACTTGTGTAGACTCCTCCTTTTCGAGTGCATTGCTGCTGTCGCTCTTCGGTGTTGCCGCGCCGTCGGTCTTCGGTGTCGCCGCGCCGTCGGTATTCGGTGTCGCCTTCCCATCGGCCTTCTCTGCGCCGCCTCCAGGCTGCGTATCCACGCTTTCGGCCTCGCTCGAAGAGTGGGCGCTTCTGGAGTCGGTCTTGCTGGAGCGTCGAAATTTGATCCCACTCCGACTACGCTTCCCCTCCTTCCCCGGACCACTCGCCCCCTCCTTCACCGGACTATACAACATCGCATTCCCCACCACGAAGCACCCGAGCGTGGCGAACGCGACGTAGCGCATGCCCCACGCGAAGCCGACGGGGCCATGAAAGAGGTGGTTGAGGAGGACTGGGAAGGGAGTAAGTATTTTATAATGCGTGGTGAGGAAGGGGCGGGTGCGACGAGAAGAAAGGCAGGGAGACAAAAAGGGCTACGCACTCGTATACATGATCGACCCGAGCGGCGCGCTGGCAGCGACGATTCCCTGTGTGCTTGGTCGGCTACCCGAGTTCAAAAGGCTGAAGGAGCTTAACCCACCATCGCCAGCGCCCGCTGCCCCCGAAAGTGCTGCGAGACCATGGTCATGGTCGTGCCGAAGACGAACATGAGGCCGAGGCCCATGCCAACGCCTTGGACGAGGAAGACCTGGTAATACTGATTCGGCTTGACAAGGGAGAGCATGAAGAAGCTGGGGGTGCAAGGCTGGTCAGAAGTTATTCTTTTGTGGCAATAGATGACGCTTCCCCATATGACTCTGCATACCGAGAGGCTCGCACAAGACGAAGACTCACCTAAACATCGAGATAAAGGAGCCCAGCAGCGTCGAAAGGCGCCCGTAGCCTGCGTCGTATCTGGAGGAGGGGAGGTTTAGTCTAGTGGTCGTGGATATCGAGGCACCAGTATCTGGATCGGGCGCTGCTAGAACGTCTGAGGCGCATAGGTGCGTTTCCCCCCATCCTCCCACTTCCCTACGCCCCTCACCCTCAACATCCTCTTCCCCACCTCCCCCCTTCGATTCCCACATAGCCCCCCTCCGTTCCCTCACCCCTTCTTTCGCCCAACCTCCCTCCTCGCCTTCCTCATTACACTCCACCCCCCTTCCCCCTCCATACCCTCATCACACGCCTCCCACTCTCCTCAAACCCCAAAAACACTCACAACCTCCCCGCCACCGGCCCCAATCCTAACTCGAACATATACTGCACGCCGCCAATCCAGCTGATGTCGGAGGTCGTGTAGCGCGGGAGCCACGCGGTGGTGTAGTACTCTTGGAAGACGCCGAAGCCGGTGAGCTGGGGGAGGGTAAGTTGGGGTTAGGGTTTATTCTTATGTGTATCTAGGGGGGGGGGAGAGTACGAAGAATGATTGAAGGGGCGAGGGGTGAAGAGGGAGATGAGAGGGCGAAGGGATGAAAGGGGAATGGAAACAAGGGAAGGAGCACGCACGATGCCAACGACGTAGAATTGGATGAGGAAGGCGCCGATGACTAGGGTGATGGGTGAGTATCAATAGCCGGTAGGATGAGGGCTTAGGCGCCTAAACAGTGATCGAGTGATAGAGATGGGGGAAAGCATCGTACTCACCCGTAGACCAAGCCTTCCATTTACCGCGCGGGAAGGCGCCGTCGCCTTCAATCGCATCACCTGACCCTCGGCGCTCGAGGTCGTCGCCTTGCACCCCCAGCTCGTTGGTAGAGGCGCATTTCTCAGGGTCCGAGTCTTGTGTATGTGAGCTGGCGTCCAAGTTATGCGAGATGGCCTTCGTGCTCCGAGTATGCGAGATCCCCGTCGCGTCCTGCGAGTGCGAGATAGCCTTCACGTCGAAGGCCGGCGTCATGGGGGTCTCCAGCGCCTTTTCCGAGTCGTCGTACGCGGGTCCGCTCATCGTGGAAGACACGATCGGTCAAGCAGGGTCCTGTAGACGATGCAGAGCAAGGATGAGCGCGTCGAAAGGCCGAGGGAGGACAAGCACAGCAGATCGACGTCGGAAGTACAGCACGTCGAGGTCGGAGGCAAGCGGCCAGACTCGATTTCGCATTCACAGCGGGCCCGACAGACGTCGTGCGCCGGTTACATCCATCGCTTACGCAGGCACGCAGGATTCATCGCTTGATTCTCTTCTGCATCGAACACCAGGTCGAACAGCCGAACGCGCTGGACCGCCGCTGCTCAATTGCCCCGGATCCTAGACATCTTGATGCCTGCTACTTCTTCGTGTGCGAGGGGTTCTTCATGTGCGATAGGATCTTCATGTGCGAGGGATCCCTCACGCGCAAGGGAGGCCCGTGTTGATGCGAGGGAGCTGCGGCCTCGCTGAGAACCCCGCGCGCCATCTCGTGCGGTCGACGCAGTTCACAGTTCGACCTAGGTTTGTCCGACGGCGGCTCGGAGCTGTATATTGAGATGCTTTCCGCAGGCAGCGTATCTTGAGCGACGCGGAGTGATGGAGCAATGCGCGGCCGGCGGGTTTGAGTGAGCATGACAATCAACGCGATCCGCAAGAGAGTGAATGGCCGATTTGAGAAAAGCTTCCGGCTCGCGTGCCATCAGCCATCAACTGACGTTACACGTGGCGAGTTCCCAGGGTCCTGTACGAACCGCACTTGTTCCCTTCCATGATCCATCACGGAGAGGGTCTGCCCCAAATTGCGCGTACAAAGCTCGCACCAAATCGTTCTGCGGCTCCACATGCACGCCGTCTGATGCGAGAAGATGCGAAACGGCGAGCGCGTCTCGGGTCCGGGCCCGCCAGAGACGAGCCGAACGGCAGCTCTCGAGCAATGTTCACAGTTCAGGGGTTTTGGCAAGCCGCCCACGCGCCCACGCACAACGTACGCACCCACGCACAATGCACGCACCCTTGAAGCCCGGAACCAGTGACTCCCAGGGCTCCGACTCTATACCGGCGCCTCGCTGCGTGATCTCGTTCTCGGCCTGTGTGATTTCGTACTTGCCCATATACCTTCGTCGACGGGCGCTTGCTACCCTCTTCCCGCCGCCGGACCACGATGCTCTCCTACCTGTCCTCGCTTATCTGGGCTCAGCCGGCGACTGAACGAGCGCGTCAAACAGAAGACGGTACTTCGCGTCACAAACTCCAAGAAGACGAAGAAGTCCTAACCGCAGACAACGTCGAGGCGATATTAGCAAAATACGACCACCCCGTCGTAGACCGCCTCCGGGAGCTCATCGAGGTCGGCGGCGCGGGACAGTACGTCGTTCACATAGCCCTCAATGATCATTAACACTCCACTCAACACTCACCCCCTCCCAGCTGGCCCCCGCGCGCCACATACGCCCCCACCTGGCCCGCGCCCCTCCGACCCTACGAGTCCATCTACCACGCCGTTGCCCCGCACATGACCGTCGCGGAGTCCTGCCTCGATGATGCGGAGAACCGGAAGACAATCGACGCGTTCAGGGCGAGGTTGAGGGGGCTGCTGGAGGAGGGGATAGACCTCCCTGCGGTCGAAATCGTGCTCAAGGCGGAGGGTGGTGATGAGGAGTTCACACCACCCGCCTGGATGGGCTTCTTCGCCTGCATTGGGTTTTTGCGGCACGCGTATCGGTGCGGTACACTCACTTCCTTGTGCGCGCCAATACTCACAAACTCCCCCTCCATAGCTGGGGCGTCGTTCCCATCGTCCGCGAGGCGCAGAACGAGCCCACGCTTGAGTTTCCTAGGGAGCTTGACGTGCCGTGGAAGGTGCTGCAGAGGCGGTTCGGCATCACGAGCCCGGGCGGGAACCTGACCTCGAACGTCTACGCTAATTGCGACTTCACGTCGGATGCGCACACGGATGTGGCGGTAAGCTTCCCCTCTCTTGTAGTCACGAAGTCGCGTGTCTTAAGACATGAAATCGCCTGCTCTCATGGGCCCAATTGCTCCCCAACTGGTGGACGCAAATTCCTTCGACTCCGGTTGATGCGAATGACTTGACTGATACCTCGTCGCAGGACACCATCTCGCCGCAGGGCACCACCGACGACGCCCCCCTCCACCTCCACTACGCGATCAACGTCGCGCTGCCGGGCGTGCACCTCCGGACCGAGCAGTGGAACTCGAGGATGTTCTACGAGATGGAGGAGAAGGTGGGTGTTAAGGTTGTTTGTTGTTCGCGGCTTGCGCTTGTTTGCTTGATTGCGCGTGTTTGCTCGCTTGCCCTTGTTTGTTTGCTTGCTTGCTTGCGCTTGATTGCTTGCTTGCGCTTGTTCGCTTGGCTTGATTGCGCGGCGCACGCGCGCTCGACCGCCGTTCTTGATTACCCGTCCTCCTCACCCTCTCTTTCCTATCACTCGACATCTCTAGCTGCTCATCTCGTTTTTTTACCCCACCCTGTCGATTTCTAACCTCACCCTTTCGATTTCTGAACCCACCCTTCCAGGCCCTCCCCATGTACCGCCTCATGGCCCTCTCGATAGCCCGTCTAACCTCAAACGACATCCCCGGCACCCTCCGCGCCCTCGCCCTCGCCCACACCCTCCTCCGCGCCGTCCTCCGCTTCTTTTACGACAACCTCAAGGACGAGAACCTCTCGACCCCGCTGTGGATGGCGTACTGCCAGGGCTTCCACGGGTGGACGCTGGACGGGGTCGACGGCGTGAGCGGGGGCCTGTCGTTGGTGATAAGGGTGCTGGATTCGTTTCTTGGGATCAGGCCTTTCCCGAGCGAGGAGGTGGAGGCGCTGCATCTACCGCTGGCACAGAGGAATTGGTTGAACTACCTGCGGGAGTTCGATATCAGGAGGGTGGCAAGGGAGAGGGGCGAAATGGAGGTCGTGGACGTGTTGGAGAAAATGGTGGCGCAGTTGAGGGTGAGTAGTCGATTCTTCCCTCGCGCTCATCGTAGTCTTTTGTCTCTCTTTCTCTTCCTCGCCCTCCTTGCCCCCTCGTCCTCCCCTGTCAACTTCTTCCCCCATCTCCCGCTACGGCAACACAGGCAAGGCCTCAACTAACACCCTCCCCCCAGATCTGGCGCATGGGCCACATGCGCCGCATGGTGCCCTACGAGGGCGTCGCAAGGCCGGAGCGGAAGAAGATGACCGCAGGTAAATCCGTGGTGGCGGACGAGGTGCTGGATGGGTATGGGAAGGGGCGGGCGGAAGAGGGCCTCGCGCCGGAGGAGGACGCGATGGTGGAGCATCTGAAGGCGCAGTTGGCGCAGAGGTTGGCGGAGACGCGGTAGACGACCCGGCTTGAAAAAATGGTGAAGACACACTAGACTCATTGCATCCCTTTGTTCGCTCGTCCTCTTCAAGTTGTTCATTTCCTAGATCGACCAGTTCATTTTATGTATCCCTTCGTTCATTATGTATCCCCTCTTTTCTTCATATCAGCTATCAGCATCTATACTCTTTCCATCTATACGCATACAAGTACGTAGACTATTCATCTGTGGAATTCAAGTAGAGCTTTCGTTCTTCCTACCTCAGGGGCTGTTGTATACCGCCTGAATGCGAATCTGGACCGTGACAGGGACCTCGCCCGTATAACCGATTATCTTTCCTTTCCTTTCTTCACCTGCGCATCTTGGCCCTCAAGCCCATATTCTTTATGAATCGCACTACTGAGCTCAGTTCGCCTTTCAGGTCCCTCGACTACCATTTTCTTCAGGGCCCTCGCTTATATCGCTCGACTAGCCCTCGCCTATCTTGACCTTTCAGGGCCTTCGATCTCAACCCCCGCCTACCTCGGCTTTCATCTCGCTTCGAACAGACTCTGACACCAGCTTCGTCCCACGTCGCGTCCTCTCGAGCCACTTGAAGGGACAACTTCACGAGCGACTCATAGGCCGATTGTGAGGTTCTCCGCAGGACGCAAATGCTAGCAGAACGAAAAGAGGTTACATTCCATTTTATTTTCTCTAGCTCCGAATCGTTACAACAGGTATAGTAGAGCACAGAGATCCGTCAGCGTCAAACGTTACAACATCAACATCAAAGTCATTCCACGATGAACACTCCAACAGCCATCGAGACGAGAAACTCATCGCCGAACAGTGAACTCATCGGAAAACAAACACCTTCCCCTCAGTTCTCCGGGATCGGCTGGAATGTGCCCGCCGCGAAGAACTTGTAGCCCTCCTCCGTGTACGGCGGGTAGCGGTAGCCGAGGAAAGGTTCAGCGCTGAGAAGGGGGAGGAGGTTAGCGTGGTGTTGGTGGATGTGCGAGGCAGTACAATACAAAGAGCAGCGCAAGCGGCGTAGCGCAAGGAGCACCATGGCACAAGAAGAGAAGTATAATGCACGCAGGCGGAAGGGAACAGAGAGATAAAGAGCAAGAGCGTGTGAGAAATGACACGCACGCAAGCGGGACGTTGATGTAGCTCCTCGAGTGCGTGAAGGTGTCGAAGCTGAACTTGCCGAGGTAGGAGCCATCTGTAAGGGTCGGAGTGAGGGTGAGTGGTAGACTTGACAACATGGCGGAGCATGCTTACACCCAGAGTCACCGATGCCGCCGAAGGGCATCTCGTATACGCCGAGCTGCATGAAGCTGTCGTTGAGGACGAGGGTGCCGCTTTGGGTTTCGCGGAGGACTAGGGAGGGCAGTCAGTAATTGAGGATGGCGTCAGGGTGGAGGTTGGCGTCAGGGTGGAGGTTGGCGTCAGGGTGAAGGTGCAGCCATGGGAAGACAGCAGCTAAAGTGATGGAAGGAAATGCACGTACACTTCTCCTTCGTCGCCTCGCTCTCCGTGAAGACGTGGATGACGAGGGGCTTCGAGTACGACTTGATGATCCTGATCGCCTCGTTGGCATCCTCGACGGGGACAATGGGCATGATGGGGCCGAAGATCTCGCTGCAAGACGTCGTTAGCCACTTGCCCGCCCCCACTCCCCCAACACCAACATCCTCTAGCCACCAACATCCTCAAAAGAAGAAACCACCGAACTCACCTCCGCATCAACGCATCATTAACCGACACGTTCTTCACCACCGCCGGCTCGATCCGCCCATTTGCCCCCTCCCTCCCGCCCACGACCAGCTCGCCCTGCGTCGACGCGATCAGGCCCTTCAGCCGGTCGCGCGCGCTCGGGTGCACGCCAGTCAGGGTCGCGGACTCGTGTAGCGCGCCCTCGGGGTAGAACTGCGCGTACGCCTTCTTGACGGCGGCGACGAAGGCGTCTTGGTGCGCCTTGGGGACGAGGATGTAGTCGGGGGAGACGCAGAGCTGCCCGGCGTTGACCTGGCGGCCCCACAGCGCACGCTTGGCGGCGAGCTCGATGTCGGTGTTCTCGGCGTCGATAAAGACGGGGGATTTGCCGCCTGGAAGGGAGTAGTTCAGTTCAAGTTGCTGTGATGTGAGTACGGCTCTACGCACCGAGCTCGAGCGTGACAGGCGTGAGCTGCTTCGCGGCAGCAGCGGCGACAATGCGGCCGACGTGGGTGGAGCCGGTGAAGAAGATGTGGTCTATTCAACGAATTCTGGTCAGTGGCAATCCCAATGGCAGCTTCGATGATCGCCCACTTACCCCACTTCAGATCCAGCAACAGCGCCGTCTCGCTGACTGCGCCATTCACGACCGCGTACGCATCGGTGTCGAGGTACTTCGGGAAGAGCTCCGCGTAGAGGGCGGAGACGGCAGGCGTGTGCTCAGAGGGCTTGAGGACGACGGGGCAGCCGGCGGCGATGGCGCCAATGAGCGGGCCGAGGGAGATGATGTAGGGGTAGTTCCAGGGGCTGGGGTGGGTGTGAGTGCATGAAGGGGTGGGGGACAGGGAGAGAAACGGGATAGGGGAGGGGGCGAGATAACGAAAGAGGGGAGAAGTAGAGAGGAAGTAGGAGAGATGAGCGGGGGATGGGGAAGGGAGAATCACAGATAAAGTGCGAAGGGAGAGCGAGACTCACGAGATGATGATGGAGACGCCCTTCGGCTGCTTGTAGATGGTTGTGTCCCAGGAGCTGCGCCACTCCTCGACCGTGGGCTTCTCCGGCTTCGTCCACTCCTCGAGCTTGTTGGCGGCGTGGATGGCCGCGGAGACGGAGGGACTGAGCTCGCCGATGACGACCTCGAGTCGCTGCTTGCCGTAGTCCTTGAAGATCGCGTCCTGCATCGCCACCGCATTGTCCTGGACTGCGAGGGGGTGTCAGGATGAGCGCGTGAGAATAAGACGAGGCGAAATGCATACTGAGGCGCGCGAGCTGCAGGAGCTGATGTCTGCGGTACTCCAGGGGCTGCGTCTTTCCGGATTCAAAGGTCGCCCTCAACCTCGCGTGAATCTGTTCGGAATGAAACTCGTCAGACGCTGGCAGTGTCTACCTGGCGTCCGCTCTAGCGAACACACCTTCGGAATCTCATCGATCTCGGTGTACTTCAAAGACATTCTGGACGTTTGGGCGGCTTCGTGGAAGAGGAGTGCAGATCGAACGTTGGAGCGCCGTTAGACGCTGCGCCTTGTACTTATACGTGCGTCGCGAGGGGGGCTAGCGCTGAGCAAGAGTATCATGATCATTTGACGCCCGAGAGCTGACACGATCACATGGACCAGGATAAGGCCCGCATAACGAGAGAGCATTCCACAGGATCCAATTCAAAGGCGCGGGAGCCGACCTAACAGAGTCGTTAATCAGCCCAGCGGCCTTGGGAAGATCAAGCCCGTCTCACTACGCACCCCCCTTTCGCGCCTTCTCTGATACACACCGCGCGTACGCACGGCGCCGCAGGGAGAGCCGACTGATGTTGGTCTGATGCGCGCGAGACTTGGTACATACTTGCGAATCTTCCATTGTCAATCACCTCTGCCGTGGTAAGAAGGGCTAGAGGGCGAGGTCCTCCGAGAATATGGCTAGTCAGATCACCCTGTATTCCCAGGAGTTAACGCAAACACGCAGCGCAGAGGTGCGGCGAAGACGAGGATGAAGGCAAGTACGTGATGCGGTGATGGTTCGACTCAATTGAGCTCTGTTTGCGCAGCTTTGCCGCAGATGATGCACCCTCCTGCCGAATGCGGAAATACTCGTTGACCCAAACCTTCATCATAACATTTGCGCTGGACGCCCACCTCCGCTATCTCGCAAACGTTTGACTTGGACACTGCTGATGCTCCTCATATGCTCAGACACACCACCGAGGCGCCGGCCAGGACCCGGTGGGCGCAGTTAGACTCTGAATCACCACGCGCGCTCCCTTGAATTTACTCTGTGCGCCGGTCCTTACGGGACCGCTTGTACTTCCTCCGACTGTCCGATAGTACCCAAAGGTCATCGGACAATAACCGATCTCAATGGACGTGTGACCCGACCGTCCAACCCAGGCGAACCGCTCACCGCACGCGCGAATAATGCATTCCCCAGGCGTGCCCGGTTCTTCTCGACCGCGCGCTCCAGCTGATGTTCTGATGTGGGTAAAATACGCTGCTGTACGTTGCCTGGAGGTAATTGCAGAGGGGGAGGGCCCGCATGCGGTATAAAAGCCTACACGAACATGCACGGCGGAACTATCCACTGTCGCCTCCACCTTCTCCGTAAAGATGCCCGGGCTAGACATCAACGAGCTCTCGAGCCTCCAACAGACATTCAACGAAGCGATCGACGCTATCAAGGAGGAGATAAGGCTTGGCGACCTCCCAGAGCTGTCATCGACGGCGACTACCCCCCATCCCCTGGACGACCCTAACATCTTGGTTTCCCCACGCCTATTCGAAGCGCGGCGTCTGGCACTCGGTGAGTAAATGTATTGTACTATCGTCCGAGGCCATTTATCTGACATATGCTTCAGGTAGCATTGTATGGCGCGCGCATACAGTGTTCATGTTCACTTGCTGACTTGCTTCGTAGGGCCAGCTCAAGTACCTCCTTCAAGTTCCTTACGAGAAGGTCGTTGAGCAGTCGCTCGCTCCCTACGACGCTGCCTGCCTGGACATCTTCATTCGCACCGGCATCGTTGACATCATCCTTGCGAGCCCGCGGGGCGCGTCTCTCGAACAGATCGCCGGCGACCTTGACCTGCATCCGCACAGAGTCCGGGCTGTCCTTCGGCATCTGTCTGTTCAAGGATGGGTGCGCGAAGTCTCCGAGGACGTCTACTGCGCCAACCGCTGCACTCTCACCCTGCGGCCCGGTGAGAGCGGGCGCCAATGGGCCATGTACGTCGATCTTCCATCTGCCACGCTTGCTTTCACTTGCACGGGCGCTTGCTATCACTGGCATGGGCGCTTGTCCTATCCGACTTCTATAAGCGCCGTGGCATTCATCTGCTTTTGGGCAGCCATCTGTTCCGCTACGGGCGATCCGCCCATGAACTCACTTCGGCCCAGCTATCCCACTCCCCACGCATGCAGCTTCTCTCTCTTCTATCCGCCTTCTCATCCCCACACGCACCCACCTATTTTCATCCCCCGCTCTTCCTCCCCCGGATCCCCCTCCCTTCTCCCGTTCGCTCTTCCTCCCATCGTCCTCCGCCCTACCTTCGTCTACTCCCACCCTTCCTTCCTCATTCACGTATATCCTCAATATCTTCCACCCCACCCACCCACACTGACCTGCCCACCCAGGACGAAGGGCAAATCCAAGGTCGCCGGCTCCCTCCTCGACATGGTCACGCACCCGCACTGGAAGCACTCCACCTCCATTACGCACACCGCGTTCCAGCTGGGGCACAACACCGACCTGTCGATCTTTGAGTACAATAAGGAGAATCCGGCGGAGCTGAGGCAGTGGGCGACGTCGGTGAAGGTAAGTGGCGTGTTTATTCATTTGTTATGCCTCGCGTTATTCCTCCTATCTGTATTCGCCTTACTTACGCCTCTTCACAGACCCTTGGAAGCGTATACGAAAAGACGCTGCTGCACGACTACCCATGGCGGTCCCTCAAGGCGTCCACCTTCGTTGATTGCGCCGGGGGGCAGGGATACCTCTCCATCGGGCTCGCGGAAATGTGGGTGTTTCGGTCGTCGTCAGCGGACAGCCCGAACTAACTCATCCACTACAGCCTCCCCTCCGCCTCCTTCATCGTCCAGGACCTCCCCGAGGTCATCCCCCTCACGTGCGAGAACATCAAGCGCGAGGCTGCGTCTGCTGTCGAGAGCGGCCGGCTGCAGGCGCACCCTGCCGACCTTTTCAAGCCGCAGACGGTGCAGGCGGATGTATATACGTTGAGGTATATTCTGTGAGTGTTGTTTGGTTTCTTCGCTTGTCTGTTTAGCTTGTTTGTTTGTCTGTCTGGCTTGTATTTGGTTACCCTTGCCTGCGTTCGGCTTGGTGAACGGAAATGACTGAACTCGTCCTCCCAGCCACGACTGGTCCGACAAGGACTGCGTGTCGATCCTCAAGAACATCAGTATGGGGGCGAAGCCGACGTCCAAGATCCTCGTCATCGACCACGTCGCCGCACCCGCCATTGTCTCGCGCGGGTCCGATTCTGATGGCCGCCACATCGAGCTCGACGACCTCACCGGCGCCGCGGACTACACGACGATCACCGCGCCGCCCTTCATCCCGAAGAACTTTGGCGCGTACGCGTACATGCCCGTCGCGCTGGGCACGCACCTGATGGGCGCGTTCAATGCGAGGGAGAGGAGCTTGGTGAGTTTTGTCGACACGCTGAATGTTGGGTGGCATGTTGACGTGGATAATAGACGGAGTGGCGCTCCATCGTCGACGCGGCCGGGCTCCGGATCCTGCGCGTGAAGCCCCTGCGGGCGAAGACGTCCGTCATCGAGCTGGGCTTATGAGCTCGAGATGCTGAGGGTGTAGGATCTTGTCTGAGGCTAGGCACTTGGGCTCGCATCGACGCGGCTGGGCTAGCGTCGACGTGCACGACCCATGGCGCAGCGGCATCGCTCGCTGCACCCAAGGTCGTGCATTGTTCAAAATACAATGACTGCTTTTCTCGCACATATATACGCATTAGATGGGTTCGTGGAATGGCACTGTTATGCATTTCTTTCTCGCACCGAATATATGTTATTATAGAGATCTTCTGCACTTCGGCAACGGTGCCCATTCTTGAAGGTCTCTTCTAGCTTCAAGGCCCTCTCCGTCCATCATTGTGTTTTGTAGCAGCCCAGCTGTGATCGTGAGACGCGCGCCGTATCTCGCGAGCTTATTTGCGACCTGTGGACCCGTACCTCAGCGAACCAGAGCCAGGCAGGACGAGGCCAGCGCTGAGGAACCGTTCAACCCCACGCTGGGAGCTTTACTCGGGGCCGTGTATGGCGGGTGGCAGATAAACAACGACATCAACGGGGAGGAGAGGGGAGATCAACTGTCCATCAAAGGTCATTCAGCGGTCTACCTATCGGAGCGACGATCCATTGGCCGACGATACTAGCGCAGCGGGCGACACTGCTGCTTCGGAGGCCGACCATGTTAGCTCGGACGCCGTGAATGCAGCGAGGTCGCCTGCTGCAACAGAGATGTAGCCACCTCCACACACCGTTCTCTTACCAGGGCATCTCGCTTGGAGGGCGCCGAGGCACGCAATCTGTCGTCCCACGCAATAATCTGTGAGGCGCTCGGAGCACCTGATTCTAGCTGGACCGAGGTGGGATAGGGCACTCGTGGGTATTGAGTGGCCAGGGAGAGCGGGTTCGTAGGATATTCTTGAGTGCGTCGCGCCCCATGAATTAGTACACGTAACATTGCCTATACTACAGGTTTATAACTCAGTAGGTACAGGCGTCGCCAGGATCGATATATACTCCTCAATAAAGACACAGAACGTTTTACAAATCCAAGTAATAAAGAACGCAGAGGAAACGACAGGACGCCCGAGCGCGGCGCATAGTATATCTAAATGCGACGGCCGACCGGTGGGTACGAGTGGGAGTCCTCCAGTGGTATCTCCGGGTCCACATAGCTCTTGTCCTGTACAGGCCCTTCGCTCTCGGTGAACTGGCTGATGTGCACTTGCAGCGCCTTCCCGCGGTAGTACGACGCGTTCGGTCCTGAACTTTGCATGGCCGAGCGCGGGTGGCTGCCTGCGGGGTTGCTGTTGCTGCCGACATGCATGTTGTCATTCGCCTTCAGGCCGACACGGAGGAGGACCATGTAGAACGAGATCGAGATGATAGGGGTGACCTGAAAGGCGATTAGCGACGTCGTTCTAGAAGTGTACAGTAAAATAGAAGTGTACCATATCGAGGACGATGTACTGCGCGTGCGATTGGCTCGCAAAGAGGATGAGTGCGCATAGGAGGGTGACGGAGTAGAGGACGCCGGCGTCAATGACGATGAGGAGGACCGGCCAGATGTTGCTGCGACCTGTGCGCGCACGGTTGACCCCGCGTTCGACGGACCAGAGCCGGAAAGCAAGGAAGGCTAAGAAATCGTCAGGAAAATCCCGGGAATTACACAAGAGATGTACCTGTCGCTACGAAGTTGCAAGATAGAGTTGTCGCGTAGAAGGCAGTAATCCAGCTCGCAGTAGCCGACGCGAAGATGTTGCCCGAATCTGCAGTGACTTGCGAAATGGTGTACACCGTTCCGATCCCGGTGGCTGAGGATAGACTATTAGAGAGCTAACATCGCAGGATGAAGATCCGACGCACCCAACACGGCACACCACAGCATGATTGGGAGGACGACGACCCACCAGCTCCTCCAAACCATGTAGGCACGATAAATCTGCGAAGTGAGATGAGCGTGCATGTGAGTGTGATGGGGGTATGGACTTACAACGACACCATCACCCAAGCACGTATGAGCGGTGTAGATCCCGTTCTTGGATACGAAAGTCTCCTGCGAGACATCGGCGAAGAAGGCGATCGGGCCACCTGGGAATGTATCGCGGTACTTGACCAAGCCCTCGTATATTCTCTTCATGTCGATACAAAGATGCTGCGAAGCCGTCAATACGAGCACATTGCATACCGGATCAATGCTCACGGCTGTACTGAAGGCAAACAGGAAGAAGGATATAACAAGCATAGACCTGTTAACGTCCTTCCACTTGCGCCCTCTCTTGAGCACCCACACGGTTGCCGCGCCCATGAAGAGTGACAACCCTATGCGAGGATCAGCAGTGCGTCAGAATGCCAAGTCCCAAGACATACCATAGAGGACACCCTCGAGGACAGTCGAGATAATACCGGCGATATCAAGGTCGATGTCTCCTGCGGGGGCCATCGCGGGTGTAACGAGAATGGGAGGGAGGTGGCGGGAAGAGGACAAGAAGGGCCTGCGCCTCCGCCTCGCGTATGATGCTTTATGCACCTGGGCCGCTGGACCGCTCGCGATTCGCTTTGATTTCCGGTGCTGCACACTTCCCCATTGGTCCTGGGCGTGATTCTGAGCGGACTCCATCACGAAAACACAACCATACCCCTCCGACGATTCCACGGTTAGTCGCTGACATGATTGATCTCAGAGTGTACTCGCATGTGCTTCGCGCCTCTGAAGAGACAACGGGCGTACAAAGTCTTGGGTGACTATGAATGGAAAATGGTTTGCGGCGACACAGGCCGTATCAAAGGCTACACGGTCGTCAATTGAGTCGAGCTGATGGTTCATCATGGCCGGTATCATCTGAAGCGCACGCGGTGTTCAGTAGAGTAAACTGTGGGAGATGCAATGAACTCACCCACGCGTACCACACTACCCACCGAGCGCTGCGCCCAACGAAACTGGAGATACAGCGCCCTCGCTCCATCATAGCCCCTTGCTCTGCCAACGTCCGACAGTTCCACACCCATCATCCAAGACGCGCGGAGCCACTCGTAAGCGCGTTTCCTTCGCTGCAAGTTCCCAAAATTTGCGCGAGAGCTGTTGCTGCCGCGGACAATGTGCATCGGAAGCGTCCGTTGAGAGCCTATCTTCTTCGAGACAGAGAAGCTCCAGGGACGCGGGCAGGAGAGCTTCGGTTGGAAGGCGTCGTGGGATCCCGTCCGCATTCCGTGGTGCTATGCCGAGAGCACTCATGACTTCGTGGGGCGTCAATACACGCAGAGGAATATAAATTTCCTGTAAGCCGGGGCCTACCCGCCGTAGGTCGCGGAGAACGGCGGTCGCGCGCTGCGCAGTGGGCGATATGCGCAGTATTCGCAGGGCCGGGAGCTCGCGATTGGCCTCGACGAGAGGGCCGTCGATCGTGAGTTCAGCAAGCCTGGGACATGCCGGCAGGCTGATGCGCGTGACGCGGAGCAGATGCAGATGTAGCGCCTGGATTCGGGGCGCGACGAGCTCGAGAACGCGGTGCGCATCTAAGGGTGCGACATATCCGAGCTCCGCGTCGGAGAGCGTCATGAACAGACTCCGGGGACGGTGTGAGAGCGGGAGAGTTTCTAGCTTGCGGGCGAGTCGCGCAAGCTGGGTACGGCCGCGTATGGCGATGGACTGTAGACGGTATTGCTGTGAGAGCAGCTGAACGTACGAGGACACTAGCGCAAGGGACGCGCCCGTGCTACCATCGTCCGTGCATGCGAACTCGAAGATAGCGCACCACAATTCTGCGGGAAGTGCGTCCATGGGAGTTGCGTTGTGAGAGTAGAGGGAGAAACTTCTTGAATGGACGGCCGATAGTGATGTGTTGCGCCAGTCCAACTGTTCGCTTCCCAGACGGTAGCGGCCGTAAGATGGCATCGCGAGAACATTGTGCGCTGCTGATTGGGCTCGACGCATGGACATTCACCGTGGAGGAAGAGCTTCTGCATCGGAAAGAAGGAACGTACACGCTCACACCGATGGACGAGCACAATCACGAGGCGCGTGCGAGTCCTAGTCAGTCGAAATCTGGGCGCCGATAGACAGAAATGGTGCGAAGTTGAGCCGGCAGAAGATGGTAGGAGCACCCAGAAGAATGGCATGGTCGCTTCCTCCTATCGTGTCGCGAGTGTTCTGGGTAAAGAGAAATGCCAACTGGCCGGAAATCGATTCCACGAAGAACAGTGGCTTAAGCCGTCGGTCCAAACCAGCACAGGTGAGTCGGATGAAGGAATTCAAGCGAAAAGTCGCGTTTGAGGGGAATGATGACTATGGGCGTAGATCCGCCCTCGTAAATCGCGGTCTCCCATGTCCAGCCTTCTACCTACAGGCCAATCTGCCACGGGATACTCCGAGTATGGCAATGAGTTTGAACTCAAGAGCGCGCTTGTTTGAGGTTTGACTATTGCAGTTGCAGCCAACCCGCTGTCCAAGGAGATTGAGAAAGCATCAGACACTTACTCGAGGTTAGCGCGCACGGCTCGGCGCGTGCGGGAGGGCGTCGGCGTGCAAGTCCGAGGCGAAGCCTTCGCGAGTACGTTTGCCTGCTTATTCATAACGCGTAGCTCCACCTGATCAGGGATCGACACTGTATGAGTATTCGGCGCAGCAGCAACGGAGATTCGACATAGAAAGAGAAGAGCCGCACGGCGAAGACATCTATAATGTAAAACACGTCGAGCGTCAAAGTTGTGCCGACGCGTTTGCTTACCTAAGCTTTCGAGGAATTGCGTTGATTACATAAGCTGAGGTGCTCGGCTCTTCGGGCCTTGGGCCGTTCAGCGCGTCCTGCGACTCATTCCTGTGCGTGAACATACCTTCTGGTCCTGCCCCACGGTCGTGTCCCCCCGCCTCCCTTCTCAATCTGCGCGCTCTGGGGGACGTCAATTGTTGCCCCCTCTCGAAAAGATCAGTGCTCAACCGGCAGGTGAGTCCCCATTCAGATCCCTCGCGTCCCTCGGAGCTGATGCTCGCGATGAAGGACCCTCACCCAAAAATCCGTTGCGCCTCGCCGCCGACTTGCTCGATCGGTGAACGAGAAAGCATTGAGGCTCCGTAAGTCATCTCAATCTGCTGCGATCTGTATGTTACTCACCATCATCACTCACAGAATGTCATCCCCAACAACACCAGAGCGTCACCGTCACCAGGAGCGCCAGCAAGCGCGCGATCGTATCAACGTTCTAGAGACCCCCCAGCATCGACGCACACCCCACACACCTCAATTGACGCCGGTTCACAGCCAGGGCCAGCAGTATCTCTTAGACAGGCCCCTGGCGCAACGACTTCGCGCAGTCGAGGCGATAACCCCGGACTCTCTCCCCTCGAGAGGGCGCGCAGGCCGGAGGCGTACGCGGAGCAGGGATCATGCGCAAGAGCAGAGCAGCGGAAGGGGAACAGCGGCCAGGAGCGATGGCGCCGCCCAGCAGCAAGATGCGCCCCCGGCAAATGACGTGGCACCTGCACCGTCAAGGAGAGGACGCGGAAGTCGGGGCCGTGGGCGCGGCGGGGGGAGAGCTGGCCGCGGGCGGCGCGGAAGGGGTGATGCGCATGCACCGGGTGGTGCTCAGCGCACTACACCGCCGCCTTCGTCTGGAATACCCACTGCGGCGAATCGGTGAGTTTAGGCTGCCCTCTCAATGTCGGATGTGACACTAACATCTCGCCCATCGTATCAGGTCAACTCCCACTTCAACACCACAGCGTCAGCGCGACCAGGAGCGTCAAAACGCTCGCGAGAGGACAAACATCCTCACAACCCCCGAGCACCGCCGCATGCCTCCAGCATCCATCCTCACGCCCATCCGCATCGACGGACGTGAGTACCTACTGGACCGTCCGTCCGCAGAGCGCTTTCGGACAACCGCTCTCGCAGCTCAAGGTCGCGGGCGTGCAGGAGGACGGGATGGACGGTCCGGTGGACTGAGGCGAGGGAGCACGACCGCGCGACAGGCTTTTCGAACTGGCCAACTCAACACGCCTTCACCAACATTCCGGCTCCCCTCCCTCCCCTCACCGACAATCTCCCCTCCCGAGTCCCCCACCGAGCGTCTACGGCGCCGCAGATCATCAACGTGGTCATCGACACCATCACCTTCACCCTCACCGTCGTCTTCACCGTCGCCCTCACCCTCGCCTTCACTGTCGCCTCCACTATCACCTCTTCCGTCGCCTTCTCCAGCATTCCCTGACCCGCTCGAGCTGCGGGAGAACACGGGCGCTCGCGATGATCATTCGGCGCGGTCGCGTTCTCCCTCCGACCATGGCAGTGTCGTGTCGCGCAATGAATCACCTGACCACAACATGGATGGTGTCCCGCCACCGCTGCTACGTCGCCTGCCCCTTGCTCGGCGGCCCGTTGCGAACGAGAATGCGCACCTCTACCTTCCCCTTGACCTTGGGGAGATGACGGCGAAGTGCACGTTCTGCAATGCTCTGCACTGGCTTGCAGAGCGTCTGAAGAAATCCCGCATCAACCTCCCTCAATTCGGCACCTGCTGCTTGAGCGGAAAAGTGCAGATTCCGCTTCTCGCTGCCCCTCCCGACGACCTCTACACGCTCTTCTATGCAGTGTCCGACAGTGGGGCTTCGGAGGTGGACCGGCAGCGCAGTCGGCACTTCCTGCAGAAGGTGCGCAGATACAACGCTGCATTTGCGTTCGCGTCCCTCGGTGTGAGCACATCCCGCATCCCGGGCCGTGGAGTGCAGCAGTTCACCATCCGTGGTGAGCTCTTTCACGAGCTGGGTGCTGTGCTCCCAGGCGAGGATCCATCGCGACGGCCGAAGTACGCCCAGCTCTACTTCATGGCCCCCGATGATGCCTGCGAGCAGCGGTACCAGAACAACCTGACGCATGGGTTGCGCACCGAGATTCTGCAGATAATCCAGGATGTTCTGCTGCGATGTAACGGGTACATTGACATATACAAGCTTGCTGTTGAGCGCTTGCGTGACTCTGGCCGAGCTCCGTCCCACTTCGCACGTCTCGACTTCCGACCAGGATCTGACCAGCGCCGCTACAACTTGCCAACTGCAGCCGAGCTGGCAGTGGTCCTAGAGGACAGCAAGGATCACAATGCACGCCGAGACATTATGATTGAGCTGCGCCGTGGTGGGCGCAAACATCGCATCTACGACACCCACCCTGCCTACCAGCCCCTCCTCTACGTGCTCCTGTTCCCTCGCGGAGAGCATGGCTACCACGAAAACATCCCCTTGACAAACCCTACAACTGGAGAGGCTATCCCACTCAGGGCCAGGGTAGAGGAGGACGAGGACGAGGAAGGAGCAGATGAAGGTGATGAGGAGGGGGCAGGCCACGATAGCGGAAACAAGCGGGGGAAACAGACCCGTGTTACCCCCATGGAGTTCTTCGCATTCCGCCTTCACCGTCGCCTCGATGAGTCGGACCACATCTTTCGTGCGAAGATGCTGTTCCAGCAGTACATTGTGGACGGGTGGGCACAGACCGAGCAGACACGGCTTCGATGGGCACGGGGCCATCAGCCGCAATTGCGGGCTGACGTCTACCGGGGGTTGGCAGATGCCGTATCGAGCAATGCCGACGTCAATCCCCAGTCGGTCGGCCAGCGCTGTGTCCTTCCGTCGTCCTTCGTTGGCAGCTGGCGCAACATGTTCCAACTCTATCAGGACTCCATGGCTGTTGCACGATTCTTTGGTCGTCCTGATTACTTCTTGACGATCACCTGCAATCCTCAGTGGCCTGAGATCCAGAAGGAGGTTGAGAAGATGGGGCCTGGATTTGATGTTACGGACCGGCCTGATTTGGTCTCTCGAGTCTTTCGTGAAAAGGTGAGCTGGGTTGTTTCGAGTTGCTCTCTGAATTGCTGATAAAGCTCTCCCAGATTCGGATCATCTTGGACAAGATCAAGGGTGGACTTCTTGGGCCCTACCGCGGACATGTCTACACGATCGAGTTCCAAAAGCGCGGCCTCCCACACATCCACCTTCTCCTGTTTCTCGACCGTGATGCCCGACTGCATACACCAGACGATGTCGATGAGGCAATCTCGGCCGAGATCCCGGCCCGCGAGACCCATCCCCGGCTCTATGCACTGGTGACGAAGTTTATGATCCATGGTCCCTGCGGAGATCTCAACCCAAATGCACCTTGCATGAAGGATGGGAAGTGCAGCAAAGGATATCCACGCGAGTTCCAGGAGGTGACCGTCCTCACACCTGATGGCTATCCCCTCTACCGACGTCGCAACAATGGGCGCTACTACGAAGTCTGGCTAGATGGCCGCTGGGTTCGACTTGACAACCGGTGGGTTGTACCTCACAACATCATCCTCCTCCTCCTTCTCGCCTGCCACGCGAACCTCGAGTGCTGTATCTCCATCAAGGCCTTCAAGTACGTGCACAAGTATGTCTACAAAGGACATGACCGCATCACGATGGCCTTTGGAACGGAGACGGACGAGATCCAGCAGTACCTTGATGCGCGCTACGTGTCATGCTCGGAGGCGGTCTGGCGCTTGCTGCACTATGCAATGCACGATGAGAAGCCGACTGTCACTCGCTTGACTGTACACCTTCCTGACGAGCAGTTCACAATCTTCCAGCCCAACAATCTGCACGATGTTGTTCGCCGGGGTCCCTCCGTCACCACGCTCACCGCCTTCTTCAGGGCAAACCAGGCGACCTCTCCAGCCTCGGACATCGCTCGGACACTCCTGTATCAGGAGTTTCCACAGAAGTTCACCTTCAGCAGTCGGCGATCGTGGAACCTTCGAAAGAAAGGCTTTGCGATAGGTCGGATGCTCTTTGCCCACCCATCTCAAGGCGAGCGCTTCTATCTCCGCCTCCTTCTCACAGTCGTTCGGGGCCCCACCTCTTTCGTCGACCTTCGCACATACAATGGTATCGAGCTTCCCACCTTCCAAGCCGCATGCCTCGCCCGCGGTCTCCTTGAGGATGATCGGGAGTGGGAAGGTTGTCTTGCCGATGCAGCTCATTGGCAGACAGGTGTTGCTCTCCGGCGGCTCTTCGCCACTATCCTGAAGGACTGCCAACCCACTCAACCACGCGAGCTTTGGACAAAATTTCGGGACTCCATCTGCGATGATGTTCGAGTCAAGCTACGGCGCCTACCCTTCCCCATCGCTGATCCGACCACTGATGACATCTATGATTATGGCCTGTACTTGCTGCATCAGGAGCTCTGCAGCATGGGTTCGTCGCTCCACGACTTCGAGACTGCAGGCATGCCCCAGCCTGACTACTCGCGATGGCAGGAGCAAGAGGTCCACTACCTCATTGCCGAGCAGCTGGCATATGATCCCGAAGAGCAGCAGCGGCTTGCTGATATCAACCTGGCCCTTCTCAATCACGAGCAACGGGAGGCGTTCGATCGCATCTGCTCTGCTATTGGTCAGGGTACTCCTGGCGTCTTCTTCCTCACAGGCCCTGCAGGGACCGGCAAGACCTTTGTCTACAACACGCTTTGCTATGCCCTCCGCGCAACTCGCAAAATCGTACTCTGTGTTGCCTCATCCGGTATAGCTGCCATCTTGCTCATAGGTGGGCGTACCTCGCACTCGACGTTCAAGATCCCCATCAACATCGCTGAAGGGCAGATGTGCAACGTTCGTTCAAACACGGTGCGCGGTGACCTCTTCCGCCGTGCTGACCTCATCATCTGGGATGAGGTGCCCATGCAGAGCCGCTTCTGCCAAGAAGCTGTCGACCGAACGATGCAAGACTGCCGCCAGGATGATCGGCCCTTCGGAGGCTGCACAGTGGTCTTTGGCGGTGACTTTCGGCAGATCCTCCCCGTCGTCCCCAAAGGCGGGAGAGAGGAGATCATTGGCCAGAGCCTGCTTCGGTCGTACATCTGGTGCGACCACATAGCCCCGAACAACATCCTTCGCCTCCAACGAAACCAGCGCCTCGATCATGCCAGCCCCTCGGACCGTGCGTATGCGCAGTGGTTACTCGACGTAGGCGCTGGCCAGAACGTGGACGAGAATGGCTTCGTGACTCTGCGGGATGGGATGGTCGTGCCAGATAACGAGGACGATACGCTGATCAGCGAGATTTACCCTCAGATCTCGCATCTCGATGTCGACGCGAGGAACTACGACGAATGGTTTTCACAGCGCACAATACTCGCTGCTCGCAACGACACGGTCTCCGAGATCAACAGCGCCATTCTGGACAAGTTTCCCGGCCGCGCGCGAACCTTCAATGGCGTCGACTCGGTCATTCAGGAAGAAGGTGCGGATGCGACCGAGACGTTGGCCGGGTACCCAGTCGAGTACCTCAACTCACTCGACGTGTCGGGGCTTCCGCGAGCTAAGCTCGAGCTCAAGATTGGGTGCCCAGTGATGCTCCTGCGCAACCTCAACCCACGCGTTGGCCTCTGCAACGGCACGCGCGGTGTACTCACACGCGCTACTCAACGTGTTCTTGAGATCCGAGTCATTGCCGGCGAGTTCAAAGGTGAGTCTCTCTTGCTTATTTCTCCACGTAGATTCCGGTCCTGATTCTCCTCAGGGACGCTTGCGCTAATTCCGCGCCTATCGCTGCTGTCAGCTGAACAGGACTTGCCCTTTCAGCTACGACGGCGACAATTCCCCATACGACTCGCCTTCTGCATGACCATCAACAAGTCGCAGGGCCAATCCGTTCGCAGTGTTGGGGTCAATCTCCGCCAGCCCGTATTCACTCACGGCCAGTTATATGTTGCGCTGTCCCGCTGCACTTCCAGTGCGAATGTTAAGGTGGTAGTGCGCGATGTGGACAAGGAGACTCATAAGACACCAAATGTAGTTTATCCTGAGGCCATTGTGTAGTACTATCTATGAACGGAAGGATGTACCAAAGCGCGCGCGGCAGTGCATACTGTACTTCATTCCTACCCCCAAGCTCGCGCAACCAAAGTGTGGCTCGAAGCCCCCTGACCCCCTGCCGTAGGCAGGTCTCAAGAGCTAGTGAGAGTTGAGGAAAAGAGGCGCTTCGGAGTAGCGGTCCGAATTACCTCCGCAGCACATGGATCGCGCGTGACTTCCGCGTGCTTTAAGTTCAACTTTCAGATCGGACTCCTCACGATGGTATCAGAAACGAGAGATCCTGACTGCGCAGATTCTTTGCTCAACTTTGCAATGTTTATGAATTTTCAGAGGTACGAGTCGTCTATATACAGTGTATGTACACTATGTGTCTATGGAAGGAAATCTATGGTCTACAACGGGGAGCAGGAGATGGAGATGACAACAGCGGTGCGCAGCCCTACATGATAACGATACGTCGGATGTTGCATGGTAATGATGTCTAGAATGGCGTCGGTTTCCTAGAGAGTTAGCAGTGCCTATACTACAGTATGCGAGGGAAAGCAGGAGCCGGAACGGCGTGAACGAGAGTACAACAAGTGTCCCTTGGAAGCAAGAAAGCCCATCGGAGAAAGAAACGAAAGAGAGGACGCGAGATGATGGCACTGTTGACGCTGAGGCTCGCTTTTCGTGAGGAGGCGAAGGTTGTCGCCTGTCTAGTTCGCACGAGCGGGAGTGATGACAACGAGCGTCCAGAGGACGAACATGGCCGCCATCATGGAGATCATGCTGCGATAAAGTTGAGTACAAGAAGAGTGGAGGCAAGCGGAAGAGACGTACAGCGGCTGTAACGATTGGATGCCGTAGTTGTTGGCCAACAAGCCAGTCACGACGGGAAGAACAGCAGAGCCCGACACGCCAATAGCTGTGATAAATCCGACACTGGGCGTCTGGGGAAATAAAATGAGCGATACTCGCACCACGAAAGACAGGGAACATACGAGAAGATGCTTGGGGATGACATGGGACGCATGATTGACGATGATAGGAAACATAGGCCCGAGGAGCAAGCCGATGATGGAGACCTACGCGAAGACAATAAGCAAGTGTTGAAAGAGTAACTCCATATGCTTACTGCAGTCGCATTCCCAACGACAGATGGCACGAACCACACGGTGAGCTCGAGCGCGATGGAGATGATGGTGTACAGGAAGATGACCCGCTTCGGGCCGATCTGGTGAATGTGTCAGTCACACGAATGCACTGCAATGGATTTGGAAGGCTTCGTACCCATTTGTTGAGCGGAAGCAGGATGAGACGTCCGAGCATGAGACCGCCAAAGAAGCCAGACGAGATGTAGCCGGAATCGTCCTCACTGCCGCCACGAACGTGTATGATGAAGGTAACGATCCAGCCTGCGCAGCGATTCAGTATCATACACTGACAGCATCGAGGCCCGACTCACCACCAAGCGTAACCTCGACACCGATGTAGATGAGCGCAAAAGCTGCGAGCAGCCACACAGTGCGGATCGGGAAGATCTGGCGGTAGAGGTTCCCGCTCGCGAGCCCGCCGTCTTCAGCGGGCGTACCGAGGCCGGCCTTCGTCATGACGACTACGAAGCGTGCGCGCGTCAGCTTCCAGTACGAAGCGGAATAGGTGCAGACGAAAAAGCGACTTACCCTCCTGACGTTGTCCACGGAAGACGAGGGTAAGCAGCACGACATTGAGCGCCGCGAGGCTCATGGAAGCGAAGTAATGGTGGGTCCAGTTCGGCGCCGTCGCAAAGTACGTCGCGGAGAAGGGCGAGGTGAAAGCGCCGAGACCTATGATACCCAAGGTGAGCTTGCGGAAAAAGATTCAGTGGACATGACTTACCATATGATGCATGCAGGAATCCCAGCTTCGTAGGCGCGTCAGGAAGACGACTAACAAATCCATTTCCTTGAGCATTCTACCATTCGTTGAGCAAGCCATCAGGACAAGAAATTGCCTAGTCGCACCATGTAGCTCATGCCGAAGCCGGTGAAGCCGTAGGCGACGACAATGGCGCCGAATGGCGGGTGTGGTGCCATGATGATATACCCGCACATCTGGAAGATGGCGCCGAAAACAATCGCCTGACGATGGATGCATATGAGTTCGGTCGCGCAGGCGCTGTAGAGAGTAGCTCACCTTGCCGAAGCCGAACTTTTGGTCGACATATACATTGAGGAAGCCACCGCTGACGAAGCCCTGCAAGCACATCAGCAAGCGTTCAGATAACGTCCTCACCGAAGACGTACCAGACAGCCGACGACGAAAATGAGGGCGACCGTGCTGTAGCCAATCTGCTTTTTGTGTCAGCATCACGTAGCGAGGAACAACAGGTGAACTGCATGGGCTTGTTCGCAATTCGACGCGGAAAATGACCCCAACACGAGGACGAAGACGTACATTGTAGTCCGTCTGCATGCGCGGAAGCAGGGGGCCTGTGCTCCCGTCGTTCCACCCACAGACATACAGCGTGTAGCAGACCGTAATGAGGTTGATCTGCTGCCTGCGCCACTCGGGGTCGCGCCACCCGCCGCGCGCCTCCGGGACGAGGGTGCTCGCGCGGCTCAGAGGGTCGAGCGGCGTCTTGCCCCCGAGCGCCTCGACGTCCTTGTCGAGGTTGTCCACCTCCTTGCTCGTCACCTCGGCCTCCTTACCCAAGTCCTGACCCTCCTTCCCATAGAGGTCGGCATCCTTGCCGATGCTGAACACGAGCGTCGCGTCCGTCGCCTGGCGCACCACGCTCGGGCGGCGCGTCTCCTGCACGCTCGAGGAGGGCAGCTCGAGCTGGGGCAACTCAAGGTGCGGGAGGTCAGGCGTGCCGAAGGGCGACTGGACAGCAGTGCCGAGGTCGTCCTCGTCGTCGAAGACGTCCTGCGCGTACGACTCGTCGGCCGCAGCGGCAGGAATGTCGAGGACCGTCACATCGGCGGCGGTCGTCCCGGGCGTCATTTTGGGGGTCGGCGTCGACATCTCAGGTACACGTGTGAAGTCGCCGGAGGAGGGAGGGGGTGGGCGCGACAGCGGGGGACGGACACTGGGCACTACCGTCCAGCGATCTTCCCCTCTCCCTTTAACATACCACCCCGGCAGCCGGGGAGATAGTAGTTTAGGTCCTTATCGACGCGAGTACAAATTTTCGGTGCTCTTCCAGGGTGCGTGGCTTGATTCTTCCACCGTAAGTTTTCTGCGTCTGAGACCTGCGCAGGACCTGTAAGGGCAGAGGGTGCGCGCAACGAGGCCGAGGGCCGCGATGATAATCGCGCGCGCGGAGGTCGTCGTTTACGTCCCCCGACACATATACGCGGTCACGTACTCGATAACTTCGGTGGTGCGTGCGGTCTCCTGGCGGGTACCCAGTCCGCATTTCGAATATCGCGTACCAGAAAATTTGTGCCGATAGGGCACGATTGAGGGGGACGTGCAGGGCGGGCAAGAACGTTCCTTGCAGCGAGGGGGCGTCCCTGCCATACTCCAGCACGGGACATCGATCGCTCGGAGATCGAATTCATCGCTTGAAGCTTGACGCCGGAGAGGCCGTTTCGCAAATACGACCCGCAGTCTGCGCGTCCCACTGCGTACTGGAATAGCAGAGAGAATGACAAAGGAAGGAGGTCAAGCTGGTCAAGAGCGGAGAAATTTGGGGGCGGGCGCCGACCCCGGACCCCGGACCCCACATGTTTTACCACGTGCGCCGGACCCACAACAGAAATTTCCGCGCGCCTTTGATTGAGAGGGGTGCAAAAGCATCGAGTTCTGCTAGTGATTCGGGCAGATGGATTGCTTACTAGGGTTCCCTCGCGTCGCTACTGTTGATCACCGATTTGCTCAGCGAGTCAGCGAGGTCGTCTTCGCCGCAGGCGGAGACGTCGCTATTCTCCCTCTGTTCATCCATCCCTTGTATCCTCTGCACGGTCGTGAACGCCATCGCATTTGGCCAACTTGGCGACGTTGGAAGGACTTGCGCGCTCATTCGCGGTGCGAGACGGAGCAGCGTCGGGGCGTCCTTGTCGAGCTCGCGGGTCGGTTTGCTAGCGTTTGGTCAGCCCATGTTTTAGATAGGCGCCAAACTGGTCGGTAAGTCGTCGAAAAGCACAAAGCGCGTGTATAAAGGGAGGAAGAGGTGATGAAACATGAAGATCACGCTCACTTTTCCACATAATGGTGCAGACGATTGCCAGCGAGAAGTACGCGCTCTAGGTTTGGCTCATTCGCTTTCAAGACGGCTTCATACAGCGTCATGTCGCAGTGTATCATATAGAAGAGCGTGGGTTCTGTGGCGAAGTGACGTGGCTGGAGGAAGGTGACCAGCACGAGAGAGCTCGTCGTTGAATCAAGGACATAGGACATCACCCGAGAAAATCATCGTACCTCTTCGCGTAAGCCTCTCAGTCCAAGATCGTCGAAGAGCCTATAATCAGCATCTGTAAACTGGGGATCGTATAGGGTGACGTTCGATCTGGGCTACGAGATCCGTCAGTGTGAGGAAGGAGCGGCAGATATGGTCGATCACTGACAAGCTTGAGCTTATCAACAAGGTGTAGAAGCAGCGCTAGCTGTACCCGAGCAGGCTCAGAATCTTCAGGACTGCCGAGACCGAGGCAGCTACATCGCGCTGGTCGCGTGTGTATGGCAGCGATATTTTCCTGGAATATTGCTATGGAGGAATGAGCGTGCATACTATGTAAGGAATTGAAGTATGTACTAGCCCTTTACTTCTTCAGCCCACAGAGCATCCTCTCCGTGGCCGCATAGTTCGTCCAGTACGAGCTGAACCCTCTCGAGAAGGGGGCGAGGTTGGTATGCCTTATTCCTTCTCTTCTTGCGTGCGACAGGGATGTATTCACTAGATGAAGACGCCGCTAGTGTTCTTTCCGACATGTCGTCTGAGGTGCGCAGGGCGTGGACGATGATCGAGATCCAGAAATGATGATGGCCGTATGCGCTCAAGATGCACTGGGGGAAAGTCGGGCCGAAGCTCGGCGGGACGCCACTTGTCGCTGATCACAGATTTTCCAGGGGCAATAGGGGTATCTTACGCTCACTCCTTGTCTACCAAGGTGCGTTAGCTTGCAATGAACGCCTTCGCATGAAATGGTGTTGAAGAATATCCAGTGGTTTGCGTCGGCTTGGCAGAATCACGTCATCAGCATAGTGCTGTGGCTCGACAGCGTTAACTCATATGACTCAGACTGCACCGACAATACCTCTTTGGACAAAGGAATAGTGGTATCACCTACACATGACAACAGAATTGCTCCTCTATAAGTAAGTGTCAAAGCTCGTAAATCTGCGGCTTCACTTTACTCAAACCGGGCTCGTGGCAACACCAGTGACATCGGCGCCGCTTGTAGGTCCAGAGTCTTCGCGCTGCTGAGGCTGGGACTCAGGCGCGACGAGAGCTGATTGAATGGTTGGAAGAAAGTGGTCAATTGGTCAAAATTTCCTGAGATGGCGAGCAACTCACTTTGGACTCTTGTACGCCACCTTCTGAAGAGCCCTTGCTGTGCGTCGCCACGGTTGGCGGACTGACTAACGAGGGTCCTTCCCTCGGGTACACTGACATGACTCAATACTCTTTCCCTTGAAATCTTAGAGTGGTCGCGAGAGACACGCGTGGCCTCGACGTCTACTCGCTTCATATAATCGCCTAGCGGGATGAGTCTCGAAATAGGCAGCACGTCGCCCTCGTACATTTCGTCTGGATCGATCAGAACTGCGCGAGCTCTGAGTGAGTAGCATTTGGTTAGTAGGAAGAATGATTCAAAAGCCAATCCACATACCGTTCAAGTTCCTTGTCATCCATAGAAACGGTCAGGTTCTGCGGCCTTAGTCCGCTGTCCGGCGCTTCCGTCTTGCCTTCGTCTGGGTGCAGGCTATATTCCAGCTCGCGGAAAGCCTCGAGGCCACGCGGGTCTCTAAGGGCCATTCCCACTGCCAGTGGCAAGGGACATGCTATAGCGGCGCTTATCGCCTCCTTCCAGGCCGGCGATCTGAGATGTATCTGTGCCCGCAGGATATTATGGAATGAGGAGGGGCCCTTGCCCTGTAAGCATGACTCGGTAGTCTCGCTCGGGCTCCGCAGCGCCATGCTGAGGACATCTGTCCAGATATACCAAGGTAAATTCTCCAGATGCTCGACGTCCCTCGTTGCGTCCTTCGCGCGCTCCCCGACGCGACCGTGAGGCGGTCCAGGGTCGGTCTCATGATTTTCGCGCTTTTGAAGGTACGTCGCAAGTATTCCAGAAATCACCAGAGAAAGACGTCCAAATCGGGGATGGCGCAAGATGTAGCCTGACATCGAGCACAACGCCTTCACGGAATCCAGCTCATGGGCCATGTGGGGAATTGCATTGAACACGTCGTTGGCGTACTTTCGAATGAGGGTGTCCAGTGCCTGCAGAATGTCCAGGTCCCGGCGATCATCCGATATCGGCGTCACAGAATACAGATTGATGAAGAGCAAGCACAAGGGTCCGATACACGCTCGAGGGACAGCGACACCCTCCTGCAATGCACCACAATACCTCTTGGCAAGCACGTCGTAGAATTGTGGCCGCAGGCCGGGACGGCCGATTAGCGTCAGTGCGGTGTCGACGGACTGCCAGGCGTATGAGGGAGTGAGCGTTGAAGCCAGTTTTTTCGCTAGGAAAGCAATGTCATCATCGAAAGCACCCGCCTCTTCTCCAACGAGAGGTGGATTGGATGGGTCACTGTCCCCGGTAAGGCATTTGATAGCCTGGATACAAACGTGCCTCCAAATTTCCTCCTCTTCAAGATGGCAGTCGAACTAATCAAGCCATACCGATTAAACTCAGCCCGTATACAATCATGGTAGCAAGAAGCGCTTACCCATTTCTCGTCCGCGTCATATGCACATTCAAGTTCCTGACGAGAGCATAGGCAGCGGTGAATGGCGCGCTGTGCCAAATTGACCCGGTCTCTTTGGAACTCGCCCGAGTCTATTGGGAACCCGTCCAAGCCTGTTGTAATGCAGAGCCACTGCTCTAGTGTCTGAGTGGACTGTGTCTGCCCATGGCTATCGGACGAGCTGTCAGACATGTTCCGCCACAGAAGCATCGCGAGTGAGAAGCGGCCGGGTGATGTATGGCGCTTATCGGTGCAAGCCAAGAATTCGAGCACGTTATGCCAAACCTGGGGGTGCAGGCGAAGCCGCGTGGAAGACTTGTGACTGAACGATGGGGCGTACACGGCATAAACCTCCTCAAGGGTTTTGTCATCCAGGTGGCAAGGCTGTGTTTGCCGGAAGAGCTGCCTGTCGAGTCGATGACATAGGCTAAGGATGATCGCGCCCAATACGCGATTGTCGAATTCCTCCTCCTCATTCTTTTCTATTGCCGCCACGAGTGCATGCAAGATACGTTGGGCGCATACGCGATATTCGAGGCTGTAGCGGATCTCTTCGAAGGGAGCGAGCAACAGGCTGCATGCCATGCACTGGAGTTCCTTTGCTCGGCCCGGCGTGTAGTCGAGGGTCATCCCTCGTGCGTTCGAAGCCGTATGGAGCCAGGGAATGATGCTGTCGCGGAGAAGCGCTCCATAGGGCAGTTTGCTGTAAGCTGAAGCCTTCGGATAGAAGGGGAGACTTGATGCAGCCTGCACGACGATAGGAGCGACAGACAAGTCTGACGATGTTCGTATAGCTGAGTCAAGGCTAGCGCACATCACGTCGTGTAGGCGCCGTGATAGTCCGTCCCATTCGTAATCGCTCGGAGCTTTGAAGTCTTCCCTGTTTCCCTTCAGTTGTCTGCGAAGCATCGCGCTCAGCCAGTGCAACGAGGATCTGAGCCAGTAGCCGCCAGTCGACAATGGCGAGCGATATGGGCACTGTGGGAAGAAAACCGGCAGGGTGTTCGCAACGAGATACACAGTGTAGAAAAGGATGGTGAGCGCGATGATCCCATGCGCCATGGAAGGATCAGATTGACGGACATAGCGGATGAGCCCAACGAAGAATAGCAGAAGAGAGATGTGTAACAGCATGGGTAGGACCGGCACCATCCACTTGACCTTCCAATGGTCTAGGCCGACGTGTCGATAGTGATGAACCAGAGCTCGGCGTTTGGAAGGACCAACTATATCGCTTTCGTATTCCTATGGGTGGTTTCATACAGGTGAAATATATGTTGCGGAAATCTCCACCCACCTGTAGCCATTGCCGAACAACAACGGCGCTGAAGGCGGCGAACAGACTGAAGGCCAGGCTCAGAAACCAGAACCGGTTGATCCAGAGATCCGGGACTGGCGCGGTGACGGCGTTCATGGTGGGCACTCTGTCAAGAGGCAGCTTGAGTGAGGCCCGCTGGATGGCAACGAGTTCCGACAAAAGCGCCAAACCTGCGCGATTATCGTCGGACTGGACTGGTTGGGATGTTTGCGCGACGAAGGTAGTCAGGACGGCTGAAAATAAGCCTGCCTTGATTTATGCGCTGAGTAACGTTTGCTGCGTTAAGACCAAGAACTTACGAAGACAAGATCAACGTCCAGGTGATCACGCAAGCGCGGCAACATCACAGCATCATACGCCCGACCTTCGTCCAACAGGACGCGCCAGACGCGCGCTTCATCGCCCAGTTCTTCGCCCAGTCGATCGCGCTCGTATATTTCGTCGTAGGTGGTCTGGTTATCTGAAGTTTGTATCGAGTAAGAGCGCTCGAATATCATAGAATCAGACCCAGCCTGTTGATCCATGACTTACCTGCCTGCGTCGCAATGCGTGTAGCTCCTTTGACACCAAAGATGGACTTGCGGACGCGCGACATTGGATCAGAAACTCGTGAGTTCTTCAAACTGTCGAGCATGAGCGAGGAGGCTAGGCGAGAGCACCGCAGATCGCCTTATATCACTCAGTTTCCGCCGTCCTAGGAAGAAGCTCTGGTGAACAGGTATCTGACAGCGAGCACGCTGTCTTAGTACAGTGCACTCACCCCGCTATGATTCTGCGAACTGTCAGTCATCGGCCCTTGGTAGAAGCCGGGCGGACTATCCAGAGTTACCTGCGTTTGAGAGACGCATCAGAAGGCCTTAACACGATGAGGGAATAGGTTCGAGTGGAGATAGCCATACCTGTGCTATGTTTCATGGCTTCGTAGGAGATCATGTATCACGGATGGCGCTCTACCCGACCATCTACTGAATGTTGTGCGCGAAGGCAACCTAGGACACTGCATCTTGCCATATTACCGTTCAGTTTTCCGGGGATCCCTCTCCCTTGAACATAACCCTCGCGAGTTGTTAGAGCTTGAGAATGACGATGTCGCTCGAGATTGACGCGGAAGTCAAGCGGGAGTAATGGTCGGTATGTTGTTCATACACCATATAGATAGATGAAGACCTAAATTCGGTAACATGAGCGTGGGTGGCAAAGAGGTGCCGTGAGAAATTCAGACGCCACTGAAGACAATAATTGATTGTTCCAAAAAAGGCAAGCGTCCCTTGCATCCTGCCTCCATCGTCGCCGCCACACGTCATCCCCTTTAGACGGAGACGGACCGTCGCGCAGTTCTGTGTCTTGCGAGACATCGACGCGCTGAGATGAAGGCGAAAAGTCTGAACACGTTGAATCCATTCACACCTGTCCGCAACTTCCTACAGCGTCCAGCCAAACGCCGGCGTAACAGCGAAGACAGCGACACCGGTGACCCCGCCAGCTCCTCTGCGCCCTCCTCTCGTCGTCTCGCACTCCAGACGAACGATGCCGATGCCGATGCAGTCATCGTCACCGCCCTCGATACTCCGCCTTTCTGCTGTCATGAAGACCTGCTTACGATGGCACCCGCTCAGCTTGCCCGGGTCGCTACTTCCCTCAATGCTCGACTACCTATGGCGCTCAGGATAGATACGAATGCACCGTCTGCGGCGATACGCACGGCGATCGAAGTACTTGTTGGGATTCGAAATGGCGAGGGGCCACCTCCCGCCTCGCGCACGACGCCCTCGAATAATCACAATCATCAAGCAGGAGGAGAGCCCCGCCCGCCGGAACGCCCGCACGCCCCGCGACGCATTCGACGACTTCCCACCAACGCGCTCAAGCTCACACTCCGGGACGAAGACGAGGATGAAGGCGGCCCGCGTGCCCTCCTCCGCATGGATCGCGACCCGCCGTCGAGCCCCCTCGCCCACCGCGCCGCCCCTCCCACTCCCGCACCTCGCGCATTCCCTCGCACGCCTACCCTCCCTCGCATCGACGAGGAGGGCGGCAGCCCCGGTGCGCGCCCAGTCAAGCGGCGCCGCGTCATCGAGGCGCGGGATGCGGCGACGGAATCGGAGGAGGCGGAGATCGAGACGCCGACGTGGCGGGTATTTGCGAGGCGGAAGAGTATCCACAATCCTCCCAACCCTCCGCAAGTGCGCACGTCCCGCGTCGAGCCCAGCCAGCGGCGCGCGCGGGCGAGCACGCTTCAGGCGCCATACATCTCCACCGCCCAGGCAGCGCGCAAGTCGGCTACCCAGGCCATGCATCTGCCCATCCAGTCCATGCGTGGACGCGTGCAACCCGCACGCCATTCCACCATTGACGACGTCGAAGCCATGAACGACGCCGAACCCCAGCCCTTCCCCCCGACCGCCACCACAACCCGTGGACACACTGCGAAAATGACCGCCTTCCGCGAACGCACGTCTACGGCGAGCAGCAGCGCCGAGTCGCTATGCCGCGAGCGCACCGAGACGACCAGCAGCGTCGGGAGTGTGGGCTCGGTTATGAGTACGGGGTCGGCGATGAGCACGTCGTCCACGAGCTATGGCATGCACGAACCTCCTCCATCCGGTTATCCGAGCGAGGACGTGCAGATGGCGACCAGCAGCAGCACGGTGTCGATGGGAAGCGTCGGTGCTAGCACCTCCCCCTATGTCGCCGGGTTGGATGCTGGGGTAGCTGTTAGGACGGGAGTGCGCGCACACGCTGCGATGTCCGCTATCGACGAGGCCGACGCGTCGACGCCGATCATGCAGCAGCAGGGTTGGGGCGCACGCTCGTCGTCCCCGACGCCGGTGATAGGCAAGAAACGCAGGGCGGAGGAGTCTGCGGAGGTCGACGCTTACCATCGCGAGAAGGCGATCGCTCACTCCTCTGCTGTGGGCATCCCTTACGACTACGCCAAGGGCATCGCTGGCGACCCTGCGGGAGTACCTCGCAGTGACTCCGCAGAGATCATCGATGGCTGGACGGAGCGATCGGACCTTCGCGCGAACAGCACTCACCCGGTGAAGAAGACCTGGACGGGTGGGATGGAGAGTATGCAGGTTGCTGGCGAGCACGGCGTTGATGCTGCTTTACACGAAGGACGAGGTCCTCGACATGACGAAGATAGGCCTCGAAGGGGGAGTGTCAGCGCTCGCCATCGACCGGACAAGAGATGGGCGATGCATCTGTCGTCGTCGCCATGATGCATATGCCGCCCTCGTCGTCATCTCGGGCATCGCTGCGCTCGTCCTATCTCCTTCCTTTCTGCTCTCATATCTTTGCTTTCATCTCGGCCTTTGTCCCTCACATACTCTCGGTGCGTACCTCCGTATATGCGTTCGGTGCGTCTGCTGTGTATACGCGAGTGCTTGGCTGACCTATCCGCAGGTTTTCTCTGCCTCTCGGTTTAATCGCGTCGGGACCATACTTGGTTCTCTTGCTGCTATGTCAGGTCTACCATCGCCTCTGGACTCTTCGCCTTTCAACTCTGGTCTTCGCTCTTCCGCTCTTCGCCACGGTGTCAATCTCGCCGGTCTCCCTTCAACCACACACACCCTTTCTTCAAGCGCACACACCCTCGCCTCAAGCCCCTACGTCGCGTTACCTCAAGTTTTGTTTTACATCGCCCTTCGGTCTGCCTGCTTTTCGATGTTAACCGATCATATCGCACGACTGCTATACATTCCGCGACTGCTACGCTGACGCTGCCGCTCTCGCTCTGCTCCCTTCGCTGCGTATCTTGGTCCAGCCTCATCGCCTCCTTCGTCGCAACAGCTTTCATTCGCGTCAACCCTCCTTTCATCGCGTCGACTTTCCTTTCGTCGCTTCGTCCATCGGAACGCCAATTCTCTCACTGTCATCCTGGCGCCCTCAACTCTGCCATCCTGGTGCCCTCGACTCTGCCACCCTGGTGCCCTGGAATGTCACCCTGGCATCCTTATCGCGTTGTCCATCGGAACCTCGAGACTTCACCTGCGTAACCCACCCTCGGAAGTCAAGCCCTTTTCGTCATACTTTGCTGGTCAGATCCTGGTCGCCATTCAGTGTGTATAGTTATCCGACGGGACTCCGTCTGTGCATTGTCATCGACTTCCGTCTGTGCATTGGCATCGACTTCCGTCTGTGCATTGTCATCGACAGGGCTTTGTCACTGCGTACTGCATAAGCGCTGGAATCAACTGCGTACTGCATAAGCACTAATCACTGCGTACTGCATAAGCACTATCATCAACTGCTATCTTGGCGTCTGCTTTTATCGCGAGTGGAGTTGACTGGCTCGCTGAATGCTTCGCGTGAGACAGCTTCAGTGTAACTCTCGAATGGGAGAGAGGGTTTCTGAGATCAACTGACCTTGGGGCACTTCTGTACGCCCACCACCGTGACTCACCTGCAAACTTGTCGCAAGCTTTGGCATTTTGAGGGTGGACGCCGCATCGCGTATCTGCTCGCTTCAACAGACTTCTGGCGAATAGCCTGTCACGATGCTCTACCCTAGCTCATTTGAAGGCGCTCTTTACCTTAGTACACCAGAAGACCCTCCTTTCTACGTTTGCTTGGACCATTTCGCTACGTTGGCTTGGACCTCTCGCTACGTTGGCGCACCCGAACTTGCAGCTCTGACAAGAATACTCGCGCTGAACGCGCCCGGTGGAGCCGTGATACGTTACTGTCTTCCACAACAACTTTCCAGTGGAATTGGAACAGGCGAATGTGTAGAGGATGCACGCTACCGCCATGCGCCGCCGCCTTCGCATACAATAGACTCGCACTTCTTGCAATGCACGCGCACTTCTTGTAATGCATGCGCACTTCTCGTGGTGTATATGCGTGCCAGGTGACTCACCTTCCTCAGCCCAGCAGGTGTTTTATACACCGGAAGACATGAGCCCGTCCTCCGCCACGCCGTCATCGTCGCCAGACTTGTCGGATGCGACGCAATCCGGCGTCGTTCTGGGTCCTGCCACTGCGCGGGTCTTGCTCGTCACCAAGGCGGCCGCGATTTGAGACCCACGCTGAGACGAATCTCTCGGGGTCGGGAGGGGAGGTGTGACTATCGACTCCGCTGCGTATGTAACTTCTGCAAGCTTTTGTCAAGAGTCATTGCACTGAATGCAGTCGGATGCTGCTCTACGTGTAGCGCAGGAGGGCTACGTCTTCGGCTCCGAGGCTTGTGTCGTTCGCCCAGCTTGCGGCAAGTCGCCGGCCAGGGGCGAGGACACACGGGGGCTGCACAGCCTCCGATTAAGCACCCACCGGGACTCGGGAGCTAAGTTACCGAGACATATCTTTAGCGGCAACCGGAGCCTGCCTGCCCGGGGTTCTCCCTCGCTCGTCTCCCCTTATCAATTTTCTTTGTCACGAAACCACACTCTAGACCGACTCAGAGCGGACGACTATAAAAGTATACGACACTCACGACCGGGGGCCCTCTCCCTCTTCCCACACGTCCACGACTATCTACGACTAGTCTTTTGACTTTCTGCGCGGCCAACCTTTAGGTTGCCCCTGTCATTTATCCTCGCCCGCCTCCGCTGCTCCCTCGGTACCCACTTTGCGCTGTCCCGCACTCTAGGAGCTTCAAAAATATGGCGTCAGGATCGACGGCAGCGACCCCCGATATGGCGTATACTTCCGCAGCCATCGCGGCGTCGGCGCAGACGTCGCGGTCTTCCCTCACCATGCGCGTCGAAGAGGACGCGGTGCCTGTGTTCGTCTCCCCGGAGCTGCAGCGGGAGATCACCCGGCAAGAAGCTCGGATTGAGCAGTATGGCGGCGACGACGTCGAGCTGCCGCAACACGAGAAGGCGCAGCCGCCTGCTGAGGACCCAAACCGGGTCGCCTGGGATGGGCCGGACGACCAGCTGAACCCGCAAAATTGGTCGGAGAGGAGGAGGTGGCTGATCACCTTGGTGTGCTCGTTGATGACGGTGAATGTGTACGTGGTCGTTTGCGTCCTCTCCACGCCCTGCTAATCGGCGTTCGCAGCACATTCGCATCATCCGCGCCGACAAGTGCCACTTTGGCGATCGCAATGCACTTCCAAGTCTCTAGGGAGGTTGCATACCTGATCACCACCATGTTCCTTTTGGGCTACGCTATTGGACCCTTGTTCTGGGGCCCTGGCAGTGAGCTTGTGGGCCGGAAACCAATCTTCGTCGTCGCCATGATCTGCTACACCCTTTTCATCCTCGGCCAGGCACTCGCGCCCAACATCCAAACACTCCTCGTCACCCGATTCTTCTCCGGCTTCTTCGCTGTCGCCCCTCTCACCAACTGCGGTGGTGTTATAGCCGACATTTGGTCCGCGGCGATTCGTGGCAAGGCCGTCAGCTTGTTCACCGCCTGTGTCTTTCTTGGGCCGACCATTGCGCCTATTGCGTCTGGGTTGTGAGTTTCTTCCTATCCTCGATCGTGAAGTTAGTAAACTGACGCCCTTCCCTAGCATCACCGAGAGCTACCTCGGCTGGCGCTGGGTGTTCTGGGTCATGTTCATCTTCGCCGGCGCGTGCACCGCGCTCATGCTCGTCGCCCTTCCGGAGACCTACGCGCCCGTGATCCTTGCGAAGAAGGCGCACCGGCTACGCAAGGCGGAGCCCGAGCGCTACGCGAATCTTTATGCTGAGCACGACCGCCAAGACTGGTCGCTCGCTGGCGTTATCCGCCGCACGCTCTTCCGACCCTTCCAGATGCTCTTCATCGAGCCCATTCTCGCGCTCGTCACGCTCTATCTGTCTCTCGTGTATGGTGTTTTGTATGGCAGTAAGCACCCTCTCCCTCATCTCCTTCAAGCGCTTTGCTGACGCATACTCCCCTCTTCACAGTGTTCGGTGCCATCCCGGTCATCTTTGAGCAGATCCGCGGCTTCTCCATCTCGCAGAACGGTCTCATCTTCATCGGCGTCGGCGTCGGCACCTCCCTTGGCGCGCTCACCAATTACTTCCTTTCCCGACACTATCCCAAGCTCATCATCCGTTGGCGCGGCTTCCCGCCCGCCGAGGAGCGCCTCTACGGCGGCATGGTTGGCGCGCCGCTCCTTGTCGTCGGCATCTTTTGGCTGGGGTGGGCGGGGAACTACGCCTCGGTCCACTGGGCGGTGCCCGCGGTGGCGACGGTGGCGATCGGCATGGCGATCAGCTTGATCTTCATGAGCTTCTTGAGCTATCTGGTGGATACGTACCTCGCGTACAGTGCGTCGGCGCTGAGTGCGAATACGGTGGTGCGGTCGGCGGTCGCGGCGGCGTTTCCGCTGTTTATTGTGCAGATGTTCCAGCAGGTGTGTTCGGTCCCGACGCGCAATCTCTCATTCATAACTGACCCATTCTCTATAGTTGACCGTCAAGTGGGCCGCCACCCTGCTCGGCTTGATAGCCCTGCTGCTCGCGCCAAGCCCGTTCCTGTTCTACCGCTACGGCCCTGCCATCCGCGCGCGCAGCACGTTCGCGCCGTGCTTGGACCTCAAAATTGCGAAGGAGCTCGCCGAGGAGAAGGCGATGGCGGGGGAGAAGGTCTAGTAAGGGAGAAGGTCCAGGAGTCCTTGCCGTTTTACCCAAGCGCGCAAGGGTATTTCGAACTCACTCCCCAATCTCCCTCCCACCTTACTCACCCCCGGCCTGCTCTGATATGAGCTTCGCCGCCTCATTCGCCTGTTCGATCGCCTGTTGTACCAGGCGCACATACACCTCACCCGACTTCGGACACTTTCACGACGCTTGACGACGTACCATTCACCGACTCTCGACGGCGTACCATTCGCCGGCTCTCGACGACGTATAATTCACCTACACGATAGACTTACATAGAGCATGTGTGGACGGGATGACCTCCATGTAGCATAGCATTCATCATGGCGCTTGGTTGGTTTTTGGATAGTTAGTTAGACACAATGGGAATGAATTTGGATATGTTTGGCGTGAAGCTAGAAGAACTCAGCTGCAAGATGTCTGGATAAGAGCAAGGCCGAGAGCGCTGCCGTTGACCTTTGTTTGTTGAGCTGTTTCTTTCCTGATTTGGAAAGATCAGGGGTTCGAACTTGCGCGTGCCGGTGACGCGCTTGTCTTTGTTCGTCGCGGCGGGCAGCGAGCCCTGCGACTGAGACGCGCTTAATCTACCTACACACCTCTGCTTCACCTGCACATAACGACCGCCAGCCATGCCGGCGCCAATGCCGCGCCCGTCTTTCAGCGCGGCTGCTGCGCACGCCGCTGCCGCCCAAGCCGAGTTCAACGAGAAGAAGTGGGTGTGGGTGCCCGACGAGAAGGAGGGCTACCTCGCGGGCTGGGTGAACAAGGAGGAGGACGATGTGGCGGAGATCGTCATGGCCGCGGGCGGCGACGTGCGTGTGCGGGCAGCGCTGGGAGCGCACGATCGACTGACGCGCCGCGCAGATCCGCCAGGTGCCCATAATCGCGCTCTCGAAGATGAACCCGCCAAAGTTCGACCGCGCGGAGGATATCGCGGACCTGACGTTCCTCAACGAGGCGAGCGTGGTGCACAACCTGCGCCTGAGATACGGCTCGGGCGCGATCTACGTGCGTTGCCACCCGCGGGACGCGTCTGATCTGGGAGATTGACGCGTTTGTACAGACGTATTCGGGGCTGTTTCTGGTCGCTATCAATCCGTACCAGAATCTGCCATTGTACACGGACGCGGTGATCCAGCAGTACAGGAATAAGCGCCGCGATGAGAACCCGCCGCACATCTTTGCCGTCGCTGAGCGCGCGTGGGTCAATATGGGGGACGAGCGGGAGAACCAGAGTATTCTGATCACGTATGTGCTGCCGCTATCCGGTTGGGTACGCACTCACACGTCGCAGAGGAGAGTCCGGCGCAGGAAAGACGGAGACGACAAAGAAGGTCATCCAGTTCCTCGCAGCCATCGCCACCGACGTCCACATGCCATCACATTCCCGCTCCCCCACCCTCACACACACCAACTCCTACAGCGGCGTTATGCCAGCATCGGGCTTACCCCGCAGCACCTCACAACGGCGCGGGCACGCCATGTCACCTTCTGTGTCCGGATCGGGCTTCAACGCGAAGAGCCGGCTCGGCTTGCTGGAGCGCCAGATTCTGCAAGCCAACCCCATTCTCGAAGCCTTCGGTAATGCGCAGACGCAGCGAAATAACAATTCCAGTCGGTTTGGGAAGTTCATCCGGATATCGTTCGCCCCAGATGGTAGTATCGCGGGAGCGAATATCGACTGGTACCTCCTCGAGAAGAGCAGAGTGGTAGTGCGAAGCGAGGCGGAGCGGAACTTCCATGTATTCTACCAGCTTATGGCTGGCGGGGGTGCCATCAAGAGTGCGTCAGTCTTTCTACTATTGGGATAAATTGTAACATTTGCGCAGAGGATCTCTTGCTTGACGGTGATGTGGAGGACTACGAATACCTCAACCGCAGCAGGCGTGAAGTGGATGGAGTGGACGACAAGGAGGAATGGAATTTACTCAAGGTACTTCTTACTCCTTCTCATGCACAGATCCATGCTCACGGTGATTAGTCTGCCCTCGAAGTCGTTGGTTTCACGCAGCAAGAGCAAGCCGACCTATTTCGCATCGTCGCAGCTGTGCTTCACATCGGCAACATCGTCATCTCCTCTACGCGCGACGACGACGCGACTATGCCACATCATGCGCAGGCTGAGCGTGTCTGCTATCTGCTTGGTCTTCCGGTGGATGAGTTCAAGAAAGCCGTACTGAAGCCCTTGGCTCGCGCCGGTCACGAGTGGGTGTCGCAGGCGCGTACGCGCCAACAGGCCTGCGACGAGCTGTCTGCGCTCTGTAAGACCCTGTACGAGAAGTCTTTCGGTGCCCTGGTCGACCGCATCAACCAAGCGCTCGACCGACCCTCGTCAAAGTCCACATTCATCGGCGTGCTCGATATAGCTGGCTTCGAGATCTTCGAGGTCAACGCGTACGAGCAGCTGCTCATCAACTACACGAACGAGAAGCTGCAGCAGTTCTTCAACCACCACATGTTCGTGCTCGAGCAGGAGGAGTACGCGCGCGAGGGCATCAAGTGGGACTACGTCAACTTCGGGCTCGACCTGCAGCCGACGATCGACCTCATCGAGGCGAGCGGGAACGTGATCGGGATCCTGAGCTGCCTCGACGAGGAGTGCATCATGCCGAAGGCGACGGACCTGACGTTCACGAACAAGCTGAACGCGATGTGGGCAGGGCCGGTGCCGCGAGGCGAGGAGGTGCATCCTGGGCGGCTGAAGTACGAGCCGTCGCGGTTCGAGCAGGGCTTCATCATCCAACACTACGCGGCGAAGGTCGAGTACCGCACGGACGGGTGGCTCGAGAAGAACAAGGACCCGCTGAACGACCACCTGACGCGCGTGCTCGCGCAGTCGTCCGAGCGGTACGTGGCGAGCTTGTTCTCGGACTACGTCTCTGCGGGTGCGGTGACCATCGGGAAGAAGCGCGGGCTGAAGAAGGGTGCGTTCCGCACGGTTGGGCAGCGGCACCGCGAGCAGCTGGCGAGCCTGATGGCGCAGCTGCAGGCGACGCAGCCGCATTTTGTGCGCTGTATCGTGCCGAATGCGCACAAGAAGCCCGGGCGGGTGGACGTGCCACTTGTGCTCGACCAGTTGCGGTGCAATGGTGTTCTTGAAGGGATCCGTATTGCGCGCCTTGGGTATCCGAATCGCCTCCCCTTCGTCGAGTTCCGTCAGCGGTACGAGATCCTTACGCCCGGCATCATCCCTCGAGGGTACATGGATGGGCGCGAGGCGTGCAGGCGGATGGTCAACGCGCTCGAGCTCGACGACGCGATCTTCAAGATTGGGACGTCGAAGATCTTTTTCAAGGCAGGCGTGCTGGCGGAGCTGGAAGAGCGGCGGGACTTGCTGCTGTTTGACATCTTCTCGAGGCTGCAGGCTGCGGCGCGCCGGTATACGGCGAGGCGGCAGATGAAGAAGATCCTGAACCGCGCGGTGGCGATCCGGACGATCCAGCGGAATGCGAGGGTGTATGGGGAGTTGAGGGATTGGCCGTGGTGGCAGCTATACACCAAGGTGGGCATCGGTGTGCTGGTGCAGACGTGCTGGCTGACGTTGATCAGGTTCGCCCGTTGCTCGCTGCTACCCGGAACGATGAGGAGCTACGGCGGAAGGAAGCCGAGCTGATGCTCATCAAGGAGCGTGCCGAGCGCGATAAACAAGAGCGCGAGGCCCTGCAGACCCTCAAGATGTCCCTCGAAGCCGAGAAGCGCCGCGTCGAGGACGCGTTGGAGGCCGAACGCGCCCTCGCGCTGGACAAGGACAGCCTGCTGGAACGCAGCAAGAAGCGCGAGGCCGAACTGGAGGAGGACGTACTCGCACTGCAGAGCGACCTCGACACGCTGGACTCGCAGCTCGACCGGGTGATGAAGCTGCAGAAGGAGAGCGAGGAGAAGTACGAGGCGATGCGGGAGATGTTCGACCAGGCTGCGGAGCACCTTGTCCGCCTGGAGAGCGAGCAGAAGGAGTGGACGGCGCGCGAGGAGGAGCTTACAGCGCAGTTGAATGCAGCGACGGATGAGCTAGAAGCTGTACATGCGGATATGGAAGAGTTGAGGAAGGTCAGCGAGGAGCTGAAGAACCTGGCCATGCAGCGCGAGGAGGACCTGGATAGGTTGAAGGACCGCTCAGACGTCCACCTGAAGGAGCTCGAGGGCAAGCTAACGGTCGAAGCCAGGAATAGGTATGCATTGAAGACTTGTCGAGCGTGGACGATCGCTGACTGACCTCATAGAGAGCTACTCAAGGACAAGGCCGATGGTCTTGAAGAAGAAGCCCGTCAAGCCAAAGAGCAACTCGCCGAGATGGCTCGCACCGCCAACGAGTACTCGACCATGATCCAGCGCAAGGAGGAGCGCATTGCTAGCCTGCAGCAGGATCTCGACGCATCGGCACTGGCCTCCAAGCAAGCCGCGAAGGAGATCATCGACCTCAAGAGCGACATCGATACACTTGCCGCCGAGCTGGACGCTGAACGTCAGGACCGCACACGCGGCGTAGCTGTGCAGAACAAGCTGCAAGAGGAGCTCGATGAGCTACGAGCCGTCCTGAATGCCAAGACCAGCGAGGAGGAGCGCCGTAACGAGGTGGAGAAGAGCCGCGAGCAGGAGGTCGCCACTCTGCGGTCTCATGTCGCGCAAATGGAGGCCGAGGTCACCGAGGCGCGCCGCACGGCCCTCGAGCTGCAGGGCAAGCTGAAGACGGAGCTTGAGCATGTGAATCGGGAGCATCAGTCTCTGGAGAACACCTACGCGTCGCTGCTGGAGCGCGAACGCGGGGCGCAGGCTCAATTGACGAAGTCACAAGCGGCTCTGGCGGATGCTGAGAAGGCAAAGCGGGCGCTCGAGTCGGAGCTGCAATCTCTGCGCTCCCGACAGAGCGAGTCGGAGGACTCGCTGGCGGCGGCTCAGAAAGCGAAAGAGGTCAGTTCCTGCCATCGTAGCGCTGCGTGCGGAGCTGACCGATCTGCAGACTCTGGAGCGCCAACTTGCTGCGGCGCAAGCCAAGTATCTGGACTTCGACGAGCTTGTCATCCAGATGGAGCGGGACAAAGGTGCCGTCCAGCGCCAGCTGGAGTCGAGCAAGAAGGAGCTGGAGAGCGAGACGTCCAAGCGCACCACCCTTGAGCAGCGACTTGCTAGTCAGAAGGCAGAGCTCATCCGCATCAAGGACCACAACGTCAAGCTCGAGCGCGACCTGAAGAAGGCGTTGGATGATCTGAAAGCCCGCGAATGGGAGGTCAAGCAGCTCGAGTCTAAGCAGGATAAGACCATCGTCGAACACGTCCACGTGCTCGAAGAGGCCAAGCGCGTCACCGACCGACAACTCGCGGATGCTCAGCTCGAATTGCAGAAGAATATTGCCTACATCCGGTCCTTGGAGAAGGCGAAGAGTCGCTTGATGCACGAGGCTGAAGACATGCAGCGCGAGACGGAGCGGGAACGCTTGGAGATGCGCAATCGCGACAAGACGGGCAGAGTGCAGGAGGAGCGTGCCGCGAAAGCGATGGCCGACCTTGAGAAGGAGCGCAAGGAGAAGGACTTGGCCGAATTACAGGTCCGGCGACTCCAGAACGAGCTGCACAATACGCAGACGCGCGTAGAGGAGTTGGTTGAGCAGGTGCAGATTGTTCAGCGGTCGAAGGATGCCCTCGAGAAGGAGCTGGAGCGCTTGGCAGACGAGACCATCACGCCAAACTCCATGGCCAAGATGCAGAGGCAGTACGAAACCAAGATCGCTGAACTACAGGCTCAGCTTGATGAGTCGGAGTCCGCGAATGCGACATCCAACAGGATACGCGAGCGCATTGAGCGTCAGCATGCGGAGATCCGCGACCTCGTCTTGAATACTGCTCCGTCGGATCCGTCCTTCCAGTCCCGTCTCATCCGCGAGCTTCAGGCTCTTGACGACGAGCTCACGAATACCCCCTCGCGCCCGCGGAAGTCTCGTTCGAGCGCCTCTGCTAACGACTTCCGTCGGATGTCCAACGTATCACCCAGCAAACGCGGCTCAGATGGGCACTCGGGACGGACGCGCACCAGTTCTCGTCCGGACGCGCCTCACATCTCGGAACGCCAGATCAGCGCTCTCAAGCAGCAGGTCCAGGTGCTCGAGTTGCAGATGGCCGCCCAGGAGCGCGTGCGGCAACACCTGGAGTCGTCTATCCGCGAGATGACAGCGGAGCTCGAGAACAGCGACGGCTCGAAGCAGTTCTTGCAACAGTACAAGGTCCGGCTAGCGAAGGAGAACGCGCGCCTGACCGAGCTGTTGGCGGAGGAGGCCGAAGCTCGCCGTGTCGCTGAAGCCGCGCAGATCGATGGCATCCAGGCGATGTGGTCAAAGTTCCAGCACGCCATCACCGAAGAACGGGAGAACTACACCCGTCTGGAGGAGTCGAGGAAGGCTTTAGTGAGTCTCTGCCCAACGCTTCATAATCAATACTCACTCGCACCATAGCTCGTTCAGCAGCGGAGTGCGCAGAGCGAATTGGAGCTGCAGAAGGGCCAAGTGCGCGAACTTAATCAGGCCAAGAAGCAACTTCAGGCGCAGATCTCGCAACTGGAGGAACAGAACCAGTTAGCGCAGACGGAGGCTGCAAGTATGTGATACACCTTCGGAGTCCAATAACTCGATACTGAACACAATCGTAGATATCAAGCGGCAACTGCAGCAGAAGCTTCAAGAGGAGGCCATCACGTCTTCATCGTCGTCCGCTGCTGTTTCAGGTATGTATTGGCCTCGATAGACTCTAGCGACACGAAACTAACTGTGTTCGACTAGAACTTCGCACGGCTATCGAGGGCTACAAGGCTAATGAACTTTCATATCAGCAGAAGCTGGAAGCCACCGAGATCGCGCGAGCGAAGGCGGCACGGGCGGAGGCACATGGTGTGTTGTTTGGCCAAGTATGTTGCGATCTTGACTGATGTTCTTGCAGTGAAGAGGCAGCTGTCAGATCTCGAGAAGGCGCACTCTGCACTCGAGTCTGAGCACAAGGGCGTTCAGAAACGACTCAAGTCTGCTGAACATCGTGTCGCGCAGCTCGAGGCCAAGCTGGAAGACGAGGGACGGGAGTCATCGGACCTCGAACTTCTTAGGCAGCGTCTCACTGAAGAGCTCGACGACGAGCGCGAGCAGCACCAGAAGGACCTTGCTGAACGCGACTTCAACGCCGACCAGACACGCAAGAAGTATCAAGGTGCGCTAGTACCTTCTCATTACGCAAGACAGCTTAGCTGACATTGTACGAACTCAGCCGAGCTGTCTCAACTCAGCGAAGAGCTTCAAGCTCAGCGCGACGCGCTCAGCCGCCTTCGTGAGGAGAACCGCAAGATCCGTTCCGATTACGACGAGCTCCAGCTCCGCTTCGACGATGAGGTCTACAACAGCGGCGGTTGGAAAAAGGAGAAGGAGCGCATGGAGACGAAGATATCCGACGTCACTAAGGCGTACGAATCCTCCGTCGCCGCACAAGCAGAGCAGCAGTCGCAGATTGTCGCCCTTCATTCTCAAGTGCGCGAACTACGCGCCGTGCTCGACGACGCGGAGGCGGACCGTGCGTTACTGCAGAAGGCCAGGCGAGCGCTTCAGGCCGAGCTCGAGGAGATCAGGCTTGATCACGTCGATCCGAGCGACACGGAGGTGCAGCGTCTGATGCTTAAGAAGCAGGACCTTGAGCGTGCTGTCGAGGAGCAGGAGGACCGGGTTGCGAGCGCGTTCGAACGCATGAAGCGTGCGGAGGCGTACGCGAACGAGTGTCAGATGGAATTGGGGAAAGTCAGGGTGGAGAATTCGGAGCTGGATAGATTGAATGTCAGTGTGCATACGCCTTTCGTCGTCGGGTACAATGACTGATGCACGCCATACAGGCGCACCTCGAGAAGCAGGTCAAGGAACTCAACGTGCGCATCGTCGACCTCGAGACGAAGTCCCTAGCCAACGCCAGCCGGCCGGCGACCATCTCGCGACGAGCGGATCCCCGGATCGAAGAGCTGACAAGCCAACTCAGTGGCAAGGCCGGCAACCAGCGCACAGTACGCGACGCAAAGCATGCGGTCGCAGAGGTGGAGCGACAGCGCGCGAAGTTCGAGGAAGAGAGAAGGGCATACGAGGCGAAGCTGGAGGAGCTAAGGAGAAGGACCGATCAGCTGGTAGGCCCCAAGCCGTGGTCTCCCCGCTTGTATGTACTGACGCGGCGTGCAGCACACTCAGGAGAACGAGCTGCAGTCAGCTAAGCGGAGGGCGGAACGGGACGCGGCCGACTATAAACAAAAGGCGTTGAAGTAGGTTTATTGTCATCCGCGGCGTGTAGTTAGCTAATCGTGCGTCTCTTTCCAGCTTGGAACGGGACAACGAAAGGTTGCGAAACCGCCTGGCTATTGACAGACCATCCTCTGCGTACGGCTCGCCGCACACGTCGCCCAGGAAGTAGACGAGCGCTCCCCCCATACCCGCGAATGTCTTTCTGTTGTAGACTAGCGCACAACTTAACGTTCAGGACCTCACGATACGCTTAGAATATCAGAAATTACCTTCGAAGTTCGTGATACACGGTCAGGCAAGGGACGACGACAGAGCGAGTCAATGTCGAAGCTCTTGGCGTAGGCAGAGCGAATCAATGCGTTACGACTTAGGCTCACGCGGGTAAGGCGGGAACACGAGGCAATGTATTACGAGGGATCGAAAGAGTTGTCGCTCCGCCTAGGAGACGACGTCTATATACCAGTACATGAGTATCGAGAAGGCTATGGAAATTCTGAGTATTTTCTACTATATCTGAGAAGGATAGGAAGGCAATGGAAAGTACACGAACGAGATAGAAGAAACTACGGGAGGAGCAAAACTAAATTACTAAGAGATGAGTCGCGTGTCGAGGCTATCTAATCGAGATACTGTAGCGGTCACAGTTGAAGTTGTCACACGACACGGCCCCCCCAGCCTCGACTACGGGACTTCAAATGAAGCCGAAGACCGTGTGCGTAACATCACGAGAGATAAACCGTACGAGATGGCGAGCAGGCAGGTCACCGGGCTCGAGCTCTTCGTCAGCGACGTCATCGCAGGCGAGTCGAATAGAGAAAGGCAGGCCGAGCACGTTGTGCGAAGCCGCCCATCCAGCATTGATGTCGCCCTCGGGCTCTGGCACAACACGGGCCTTGTTGCTACCGTCGCCCGAAGGGGAGGACACGCGGAGAAGGGTCTCAACGCTCATGCCACGGCGCTTCGCCTCCTGCTCAACAAGCCATGGGGCGATGACTTGGAGGAAGGCCGCCTTGTTGAAGCCCATACAAGCCCCGAAGTTGTACGCGCTGTCGAAACCGAGCTGCACCTGCCGTTCGAGCAACTTGAGAAGGAGACGGACGTAGAAACGAGCGGTGTTCTGAACGTGATTGTACACCTCAACGAGCTCCTCGCCGGTACTGGTGCGGATGGCAGAAAGACAGTTGGTGTGCAGTGCGGCAGCGAGAAACGCGGGGACGCGAGGGAGGCCCGCCTGTTGAAGCGCGCGAGCCGGGATATTGGCGGGAAGGTGATCCATGGTGCCGCCGATGCAGTGGTCGGCCAGAATGCACGACAGCATGGTTGCCAAACGGTGGATAGTGGCGTGTGTCTTCTCGGCCGTGGTCCACTTGACCGCGTAGTTCTGGACGATGCCCTGCTCGTTCACAACCTTGACGATGTCGTTGTTTGACAAGGGCACGATGAGGGAGTCGATGTCGATGAAGGAGGTGATGAACGTCGTCATCGCGGGGTCACGTATCACCCGCTGAACGTAGCCCACGAAGGAATCGGGGTCATAACGGGTGAGAGCGACCGAAGGCGAGCAGATCGACGCGAAGGAAGACATGGTGATTGAGAGTGAGAGAGAAGCGAAGAAGAACGTGTGTTGGCGGCGAGAGTAAGGCTGAGTAGCTGGCTAGAGGGGAAGAAAACATACTGACTTAAATACTGCTGAGACTGACCTGGTCAAAGACGCTTGCCAAACAACCGCGAGGATGATGCGCAGCGAACAGAAACGAGGCTTGGAGCGGATTCCCTTTGAGAAGCTTATCAACTTCATATCGTTTTTTAATGTGAAGAGACAGCTCCACTGGATGTGATTACAGAACGCCATTTCCTAAGGACTTCCGGCGCGTTTGCAAGAGCGCTCGCGGACAGCCATTCGTCATGATCAGGCGGGAATCCTTTCCAGCGCACTTTATAAAGGCGATGTCGGCGCTTTCCGTGGCGTCGGCTCCATTTCTCATCGATGATTCGTTCGATCTCGACCTGCTTGTCGAGGTCAAAGTCACCTCGGTGGAGTGGTTTGGTCGGGCGCTCGCCAAACTCGGGAGGAGAGCGCTGATACCTTTCAAGATGCGCGATATTGAGGATGGGATGCATGCCATACGATTCGGGAAGACGCAGCTGATAAGTTACCGGGCTTATCTTCCGGATAATCTCGAAGGGCCCGTCGTACTTCATGAGCAATTTCTTGCCCCGACCCTTCTCGTTGCGGAGTAACTGAAGTGAATGCGGATTGAGGACCACAAGCTCACCTTCCTCAAACTCCTCCACACGTCGGCCTCGATTATAATCCTTGCGCTGAGCAATTTGGGCGAGAAGGAGCGCTTCCTTAGCTCGAGAACGATCTGCTTCGAAATGTTCAATCATCTCCTGCGCTTCCTCGTCGGCTACAAGAGTACCTTCACCCCCCCCTTCAAGACCGGCGCCTCGAGTCGGGCGAGGGACTGAGGCAGGATCCGAGAGCATTGAGGCGGCGGTTGTTGGATGGTACCCTCGAAGTAGGTAAGCTGGCGAGAAACCCGTCGAAGTGTGAGGTGTGGTATTGTAAGAAAGCGCCAAGGCGGCGAGGTGGTCTGACCAGTCGTTGCGCGAAGGGCCGACGTACGCGCGAAGGGCAATTTCCAGATATTGATTAAGAATCTCCGTTTGACCGTCGGCCTGAGGATGGTAAGCTGTAGTGAGAGCGCGTCGACTACCCATTAAATCACAGATGTTCTTCCAAAACTCACCCCGCCAACGTGTATCGCGGTCGGTGATGACCTGAGATGGAATACCATAGTCCTTGATGACGTGACTGAAAAATAGTTCAGCTGTCTGAACCGCAGTGAGGTGAGTAGAGCACGGAATGAACAACGCGTACTTCGTCAGTTTGTCAACAATTACAAGGACATTATCAAACCCGTTTGACGTCGGGAGCTCAGGAATGAAGTCCATGGTGACAACTTCGAAGGGGCGAGAGGGGATGGGGATTGGTTGGAGAAGCCCTGCGGGTGCATGACGGCGCGGCTTGATCTTCTGACAGATGTCGCACGTACTTACAAAAGCTCGGATGTCACGAGACATTTTCGGCCAGTAGTACATGCTCGCTATGCGGTTGTAAGTCTTGTGATATCCGCCGTGAGCGCCTTCTGAGATGGTGTTGTGTACGTCGTTCATGACCTGAGCCCGAAGCGAGTTAGGGACGCAAAGACGGTTATTCCCATTCCAGTCCTCGAAGTATAAGAGCCCATTATCGCTGTAATGATACTGAGGATAATCCGGGTTGTACCAGCTCTCCTCGCAGCTCATGCTCTCGAGGACCTTGGAGAAATGAGTATCCGAGGCATAAGCGGATCGCCATGCACTCACCTCCGACTCTTCGAGACCGACAAGAACGGAGAAAGACCGGGAGGTCGCATATGGGACGTCAATGCGCTCTTCTAGTCCCGTGGTGAGCTCAACATCGAAGGTCAGTGCTGACGCTCGGTCTTCGTTGTTTTCCTCACCGTGTACATAGCGGGAAGCGACCTGAAGCAATTTCTCCTCGAAATTTGTACCTAATTCTTCGTACATTCCGCGCAATGGGTCCTGCTCGGCAAAGCGAAGAGTCCTAGTGTCGTCAACTAGCGGTCCATCTTGATAGGGCACACGTCGGCGCAAACGTGAGATGGGATCGACATTACTGTGCACCTTACCGGCACGATGCACGATGCGAAGCCCTGGGTAAGCGGCGAAAACAGTACCCCACGTGAGAAGACGACGATTGACGTTCTGAAAGGTCTTGCTCCAAGTCAGTGCTGCGTGATCCGTGATGGCGAGGATGTCCTCACCCTCGAGGTATGGCTGGAACTTTATCAAAGCCTCCTTGAGTGCCAATGCCTCACGCTCCGTCGGCGAGTAATTCCTTTCAGGCGACTTCAGCACACGCGACCAGTATGCGATAACGCGCTCGACGTGCACCGTGGTGTCCTCGAAATTATCGGACCACTCACCATTCACGGGGACGTCGTCCAGGTCCTTAGAGACCGTCGTCACCAGGCGAGGAATAGGCTGCTTGCTCTTGTACGCGCGTAGAAGTTGATCGTAAGCCTTTGTACCTCGTAAATCCCGAACGAGGATCGGCTGGACTTGTTGAAGGATACCTGCCAAGCCATAGTCGCAAGCGTCAGTATACACACGGTACGGGCGACCTGGAATCGCGTAGGCGCGAACGGGTGCATTCGTAAGAACCTGCTTGCATAGGTCGAAGGCCTCGCGATGAACCTCAGTCCAGCTCCAAGGCGTGTCCTTCTTCAACAAGTTGAAGAAAGGCTGCGAAATCCACGCGTAAAAGGGAATGTATGACGAGAAGTAAGTCATCATGCCCAAGAACGTCTGGAGCTCACTCACGTTTCGGGGCTCCTCGAGATCGAGAATCGCGTCGACCTTCTCCTTGTGCGTAGAGAGTCCGAGTCGGGAGACCTTCTGCCCCAGAAGCATAAGCGACTGATAAGCGAAATGACACTTAGAAGGTGAAAGAGTGATACCTGAAGCAGCAATAGCCTCGAAGACTTGGTCGAGATGCTTGACGTGGTCCTCGAAGTTCTGCGAGAAAATCACAATATCGTCAATATAGACGAGCGCGAAAACCCACAGGAAGGGGGCGAGTATACCTTGCATGACGCGTTGAAATACGCTCGGCCCATTCCGATAACCGAATGGCATACGCTTGAACTGCCAGAGACCACGATGACAACGAAAGGCTAATTTTTCGCTCGCGTCGGGAGTAAGCGTCAGTTGGGTGAAACCCGAGAGAGCGTCCAACGTACTGAGCCATTGAGAGCCTTGCAACGCTTGCAAGATATCGTCTTGACGCGGGAGAGGAAACTCGTCGGGGATCACCGCTTCGTTCAGCTTTCGCAAGTCGATAACCATGCGAGGCTTACCATTGCGATAAGTAATAAAAACTGGAGCGGCCCAAGGGCTTTTTGACGGCTCAATGACGCCCAATTGTATCCACGAGTCCATCTGTTTGTCAATGACCTCGCGCTTCGCTGGAGAGACCGGGAATGGTGGGAGAGAGATTGGCTGCGTACCCGGCTTCAACTTGATCTCGACATGAGCGGGATAGTTCCCAAGGCGGCCATCGAGACCAAAGGCGGTTTTATGCTTGACGATAGTCTGTTCGATCCGTGCTCGCTGATCCGAGTTGACGTCGGGAGAGATGTCGAGTTCGTCGAGCAGACGCGCGCTGTCTACGAAGTCTTCGGGCGGTAAGGATGTCTTTGGGCCTCCTTCCACAGGATCTGTCGCTGCGGGGTCGTCCGGCTCGGTCGCATTGCGCTGCGCTTTTGAGCTGATGTTAGATTCGGAGCGGATGGCATGGACGTCAGCGGGAGGAGGCAAGCACGATGTGGCGTCCTTGTGCCCAATGCGGTAATCGTCCGGAACACGCCGACTATCAAGGCCTTCCAAATCCGTCCTGCCTCCGACTTCATCTCGTCGTTCTTCCACGCGCAGTTCGGTGCCTCTGCTCTTCGAGCTCACTAGATGCCGCAGAAAGCTACTATGAGCTTCGATTTTCGCTCGCGCCCCGGCCGACATCTTGCTAGAACTGTCCAGCCAATTTCGGGGATTTCGGCATGTACCCAATACCTCGCCGTGAGCGATGGTCACTGGCTTCGACGAGAAGTTCGAGACTTGGAGGAAAGGATTGTCCTTGTATAGGAGGGTGTCCGGCGCTCCGAAAACTTCATCGATATTCCCGTGGGATAGAAGCTTGGACTCAACGTAGACGGAGTCGAGATGTCGGCTGAAATGTACGTCGACTGGCACCTTCCTACACGTCTCAGGAGGGATAATGATGTCCTGCTTAGCACTTACATCACCTTGCAGCTGTTTTTGCCTCAAGCGACGTTGCTGACGCACCCGGCGATATTTCAGAGCACGAGGAACGCGCTTACTGTATTCAGGTACAACATTTACGCGGAAAGCGTGTCCCTCCTCGTCCACTAACTTCGAGGTCGAGCTTTCCACATCCATGGTCCTTCCTGAATCACCGAATTGCAGGCGAGTCTTTCCTTCCTCGCGCAAGATCGAAATGGAGTACTGATCTGCAAAGTCATTGCCGAGAATAAATGGAGTACCCATGCCTTTTACGACGTACGCCTCCACATTGAGCTTCACCGGACCCTCGCAGGTATGGAAGTAAAGGTCTAAGGTAACGTAGCCTGAAATTACGGAAGAGCCCGTAACCTGGACTAAATTAATCTTTTGACCGGCCTTCATGCGCGGGCGGCTGATCAGCGCGGCGAGAGCCTTCGCGGAGATCAAGGTAATATCAGATCCTGAGTCGATAATGGCCTCAATCCAGTCGTCTAATCCATTGACAGTAGCCTTAGCTTGGGTCGCCTTGGCACCAAGGAATGAAGAACCGGGTGGACGCGCCATATGCTTCCTCAACTCGACGAGAGGCTTCTCGGAATCCTGCGAAGTATGAACCCGGTAAGAGGCCGCTTCAATTTCGCGTGCTAACCGCCGACGTGTCCGACGATTCAGCGCGGGTTTGGGAGGACGCTCCGCAAAGGGAGCGACCGCCTTTGAGCGGTGACATTGAGGTTCGTACGTCTCTTCTCTGCGATTAGCGTGCTCCTGAATGCTCTCTTGCGCAGACACTCCCTCCAGCGCCATCGACTGCGTCATGTCCTGCTCGCTTGAGCTTACGAGCGACGCACTAGCCTCGGCTACCTGGAGGGCCCCTTTAAAATCCTCCTCGCTGCTCTCATCGGACAAGGTACTACAATAGAGCTCGTCGTACTCGTCCTCCGCTTCGAGATGGTCTTTAGAGGCTTCTGCCAATCGGGTACGCGCCGTCTTCATTCCCTTACGTGCATGCTTACATTCCTTATCCCAGTGAAAGGGACTATCACAATGGCGGCAATTACGAGCGCCCTTGTCCTTCGGCGTTACCTTGGACACATTCGTGTTGTCCGGCGCGAAGCGAGGGGGCGGCAAGTCCTTAGATGCTCCCACAAGGTGTACTCGAGCGGAGGGCTGAGGGCGCGGCTTGCTCCCCGACCGACGAGGTTCGTAATGATTATCGGTGCTTCGTGCAGGAGCTGAAGCATCCATCAGTGCGTCCTCATGGTAGCGGATTGCCGACTGGAATGAACGAAGATCAGGGTAAAGAGTGGTCGTCAAGATATTGTTCCAACTCGAAGGTGCGTTGTCCATGACCTCCATAATCATCTCGTCCTGATCCAGATTGTGAACCATGGACATCAGCTCCACTTTGCGAATGAAGTACTCGCTGGGCGTCTCGCGCGCGTACCCAGCTTGTCGGTAAGCTGCATTTCGCGCTTTCGCCTTCTGCTTCATGACCCACTTACGGTTCATGTAGTATGACGCGATTGCATGGCGTAAGGAGCTCCAGTCCTGGCAGATTTCGGCACGGTATGCTTCCTCTAAGGACCAGAACCAGGCTTCGGCGCTACCGGTGAGTCGCTTTGGGACCACAATACCAAGCTGTTTAAAGATTGTCTTAGACTCTCTCGACAACGCATTGATTTTGCTGATCCATTTGGCGATTGTCTCCTCGCTACCGTTCCACGCTGGTACGTCGGATATCTTCAACTTCATATCGAACCGACTTTCCTTATTCTCAGTCTTATCTGCAGGTCGGCTTGAAGGCGCGAACCGAGGAACTCGCGGCGGTCGACGAGGATCCCTCCTTCCATCGTCATCATCAGATGGCGGCGGAGAGGGAGAAGGATTGCCACCTCGACGACCGCGACGTCCATACGAAGCGTCATCCCTATCACGAGGCAGGTTGCTTCGCCCCCGATTTGTGGGCTGGTCGTCCTCGCCAGAGTCATCGGGCTCATCATCAGGTGGTTCCCCACCTCCTGCATGCCGAGAATATGCAGCGTGGTTCGAGATGGAGTCTTGTGGCGCGACGCCGTACGCGTAAGGATTAGCGGCATTAGGATAGGGCGACGTATAGGGTGTAGGTACGAAGCCGCCTGGCATCCACGTCGAAGAGTTCACTGCAGGCTGAACATAGGCAGGATCATTACTGAACAATTGCGCAAGTCCCGTGGATGGCGTGGAGATACGCGGCGCAGCGGAGCCTGTACGCCCCGCATAGACCTGCGATGCGTGCTGACGATGGATCGATGCCAGATCGCCAGGTACGTGCAATGGCTTCTGCGCTTGACGAACCGTGCGCTGAGATGCGACAGAAGGAACCTCTTCCTCCTCATCTGTGGTTTCAGTACCTCGAATCTTACCTGTAGCAAAATCGAATACTGAATCCAGTCGCATCAGGAAATCTCCTACCTGCAAGCGGTAGAGTATACACATACCTTCGAAACTGTACGAGCGATAAGCTAGATCGAGGTCATTCTCGCGATTCCATTGGGGAAGAGTAGGTGGCCTTTTCCCAGCGAGCGTGAACGCTTCCTTTGCTTGCTTACGCCTCTTCTCCAGTGCTTGAGTAAGCGACCGGATGCGCGCAGGTTCAGGGGCGTAGATATGCTCGTTTGGGTGCTCACTAGAGCGCGCGGTACGGACGAATAGAATCGCGTTATCCAGCAGTTCTAGTTCCTTACCAAAAGGACCATTCGCCTTCCTTAGAGATCGAGTCAGCTCGCGATAACTAGCGACTTTCCGCTCTGATTTGGTCTCGACTGAGGCATCGGAGAGTACTCGCTGGTAGCGCTCTCGCGCGACTTCCGAAGCACTCAACTTCCAATACGGTTTCGTCACTGGTGATAGATTTTTGACTACCGTACTAGCTAATGGGTCATCTTCGGGAATTCGCTCCTGTGATTCCTCGTAGATCTCCTCCACAGACCGATCCCAATCGTACGTACGATCTGCCCCCAAGTACGAGCCATTGTCCGGAGAATTCGGACGTTCCCCGCCATCCTCGTGTCGACGGGTGCTGATACCCGAGTAGCCAGAGTACGGTCGAAGGGGTTCGGAGAGAGGATTGAGTGCCACTCGATCGGTGGCTCGAGACGGCGGCCGTTGTCGGGACATGGCCTTGCTTGAGGATCGGTTCGAACTTGATTGTTGATGTAGACGCGAGAAGTAAGCAGATAGAGTGAATATTCCAAGCTATGGTGCAGTTCCTGGCTGCGGACACCAATGTTGTAGACTAGCGCACAACTTAACGTTCAGGACCTCACGATACGCTTAGAATATCAGAAATTACCTTCGAAGTTCGTGATACACGGTCAGGCAAGGGACGACGACAGAGCGAGTCAATGTCGAAGCTCTTGGCGTAGGCAGAGCGAATCAATGCGTTACGACTTAGGCTCACGCGGGTAAGGCGGGAACACGAGGCAATGTATTACGAGGGATCGAAAGAGTTGTCGCTCCGCCTAGGAGACGACGTCTATATACCAGTACATGAGTATCGAGAAGGCTATGGAAATTCTGAGTATTTTCTACTATATCTGAGAAGGATAGGAAGGCAATGGAAAGTACACGAACGAGATAGAAGAAACTACGGGAGGAGCAAAACTAAATTACTAAGAGATGAGTCGCGTGTCGAGGCTATCTAATCGAGATACTGTAGCGGTCACAGTTGAAGTTGTCACACGACACTTTCCGCTGTATACCACTGACACTTCCGTCGATTTTCCTCGTAGCGCTGGTACTGAAGGACTCTTACGCTAGCGATGACCTCTTATACGATCCCTGTATGCACATATCTATGTATCGTTCGCTGGTGACGACGCACATGTATCAGGACTCCCGCACACGCATTGTTTCTCTAGTTTCTTTTGTTTTCGATTTCATCATCTTCTCCCTGTGTTCTATCGAGGGAGTTGTCCGCGTGCACGTGCGAGCGCGGCTGTGCCTCGCCCCTTTAGCGGCTCGCAGTGCATGTTGTTGATCTCCTCTTATCAGCAAGGTTGCTGAGCTCGTCTCCCTGCCTTCTGCGCGGCTCTCTTATTGACCTCGTTGAACGCGATCGCAGACGGCACTTTCGGGTACAGAGCTATCGTGGACGACTCTGACCTTCACTTTCAGGACCTTTTCCGCTCCATAAGCTCCACTGTGGTGGACTAGCCCTTTGCGAGCTAGCCTTCTGACGTGGTTTTGCGGTACATTGACAACACGGACGACAGACCTTGACTGGGAGATCGGCCGCGAGCGCAAACAGAGCGCTACGCACGCGCTCTACTGCTATACACCGCCGATGAAGATCGCGGCAAGAGCTACAGCGATGTCGGTGGATATCGTGACGATGGTGACGGAGACGCTGACTGTCGCCCCATCTCCCCGCCCCCTTCATCCAACTCCAGCTGACAGTAAACATGCATATGGCGTCTAGGCACCGTTCGTCTTCCCCTTGTCCACCATCTTCCTCTCCCGAGCTATCCGCCTTTCTGCCCTCCGCACGATATGTTTCTCACCATGGAATCCAGCTGCACGCGCAACTATAGCTTGGCACAGACTCATGCGCTGTCTAAAACTACAACCATGTGGCTTGGCTCATCGTCGATCTTCCAAACATCGGCTCGACATCCACAAACGACGATAAGAGGCGCCTAGGCTTGCAGGGCCCCGGCGACGTCGCCGCCTGCCCTTCGCGATCCTCGAAAGGCTGCATGAATAAGGTGCGATGGTTGATGGGTGGGGGCAATAAGCGCTGAGGTATGGAAATTCATCCTGTCAATACCGCGAAGTTCACGAGGCTTTCAATTCGCAAGTTCAATGAGATCCAGGGTGCTCGGGAGGCCTCAAAGACCGAAATTTGACACCTTTGTCTCTCTTGAACGCGGCGTACAGCAGCAGTAGAGAGGGCGCGCTGTCAGCCGCATAGTGGGGCATCCTCCTATCAAAACAGGCTACCTGGTGGTCAGTTCCCTCCTTACAGGAACTTGACTTCCACACGCGAGGTGGCGTCTGCATCGCATGCCCCAGTAGCGTGTAAGCATGCGTACTGATCCGGTGCGGTCCTAGCATGTGTGGAGCAGAGTCCCGGTTGAAGGTCATGGCTCCCAAATTACTTAACGCGCAGGAACTACAGGTCGTCATATAACTATAGCTCAATGGCAGAGCACTTTTCATCAGCTTCCGTATTCTGTGCTTCTTCACCATCATCATCATTAACATCGACCGCACATCGACTGTCGGCGGTTGGCGACTGCCGTATATGCTACTACTCCCCGCCGCCGGCTTCTGCGTGTCGAACTTCCGGGCCAATTTGCCCTTCTTATCCGAGGTTAGCCAACGAAGCTGTTTCACCATCGACCTTCATGCATAATATAGGGCATCGGTGACTCTCAAGCGCCGGTGAGTACGACGCGCCTGTAGCTCATGTCTAACAGCATGTGCAATTGTTTTCTGCGATTCGGCTGTCAAACAGCATTGCCGCGCGTGATTCGTCAACTTTCGGCCGTGCTATATAGCGGTGTCGGACGACGAAGCAGCACTTCAGTCTTCGACCCGTCTCCGAAGGCGCAGTATACTCTCAACGAGCTTGACAATGGCAGACACGCAAGATCCCAGCGTAAGGGCTCCTGATCATTTCAAGCCGTTCGGCCTCTCAGGAGCTCGTCGCGGACAAGCAAGTGGTAAGTGGCACCCATTAGTCGACAGTTCTATGGAATGCTGACACGCTTCGGCAGAGAACTGGCGAGACCGCGACGAGTACGAGGATGATCGACCCGGAGAAGAGCTCGGAGAGGAAGCACGCGTGTGGCATGTCCTCTTTGACGAAGGCACGAGGCGCGATGCCAAGGCCTTGCAGGGTCTGCGTGATCATCTAGATGTTGATCTCGTATTCGTGCGTGTGCTCGTGCCATCGCTGGATAACTCTGGTGCTTATTACTTTGCAGTCTGGACTATTCGCTGCTGTCGTCTCAGCATTCGTCGTTCAGTCGTCTCAAGCACTGCAGCCTGACCATGCCAAGATAGGCGTGGCCCTGTTATCCGAATTAATTGCCCTTCAAAGGGCTGTGACGAACGGATCCCCGGTGGTGGATGTTCCATCTGCCAGAGTCACACCGGATACTGTGACTGCGACAGCCCTGGACTATTGGACCAATCGACTATGGTATCTCAGCTTGCTACTAGGCTTGTTAGCTGCATTCTTGGCTTTCATTGTAAGGAGCTGGCTCTACGTGAATTGCCTTCAATTTCTGATTTGCTGTATTCTGAACATCCGGCAGGCATACGACACCGAAGTGTATGGCTCACCAAGGCGTCGCGCTCTTGTTCGACACTATAGACGCGTCGGCTTAGAGCGCTGGAACGTCAGTCTGATTGTGCTCCTTCTCCCGACAATGCTTCACGCCTCCATGCTGTTATTCTTCATCGGGCTGGGCTTTTACCTCAACCTGTTTGATGCACCTATGTCATATTTTGTCACTGCACTCACGGCGAGTTTTTACTGCTTCTACCTTTGGTCAACCTTCATGCCGGTCTTCAATCCTCAATGCCCGTATCGATCGCCACTAACAGACTGGGTGTACTGGGTTAAGTCTGTTCTAGCTTGGATATACACAGCGCTCCTGTGCCAATCTCGAGGCACAATGAAGACCCTGAAGACGTCAGCCGACCACGAATGGGAGGCAGTGTTAGAGTGCTCAACGACTCTGACACCTAATAGTCTGGAAAGGGCCATGCGGGAGTCTCCTTCGTCCTTTGTTGCTCTCGTCATCATACAGGCTTCGTCCTGCTTCGTTCTTGGTCGAAACTATGACCAAAATCAATGCATCTACAAGGATGATCCCAACTACGCACTCTTCAGTCAAGTCTTGAACTGGCTGTACGGCGCCTTGTACTCTCGACCAACGATATTCGAGTGGGAGCTAGGTCGGGAGAACGAGCTCCAGCGCCTGGCGTGCTGTCTCTTGCTCGTCCCAGTGGCCAAGCTCAAGACGACACTCGGCACTCGGCAGTACTACATGTGCGGCATACGCATCTGGACCGCGTTGAAGCAGGCAATCATGTCGCGCGAGGTCACGGACACTGCTGCACCGGCCTTGTGCGCGACCGTCTTCGCGCTCGGGCAAAGGCTCAAGACTCTCGACCACCAATATAACGTCCCCCTCAATTGTGCTCTGCAGCAGAGGATGATCGAAGTCTACGTGGTGATGGCCCAACAGACCCCGCACACGCGTCTGCGTCTGCGACCCGTCGTGTGGGAGGGTATGCTCGATTCCTTGAGGAGTCGTCACCCACTGGCATCCACGGAGATTTGCGTTCCCTTCGCGCTTGTGCTGTGGCGTAGTCTCAATTGCAGCACGATTTTCCCGGCCAAAGACGAATCGCTCTGGAACACGCCGTCGTCCACTATCATGACTTTGCAAGCTTGGCTTTGTGCGACGAAGCAGACCAGCCTCGTAACGCAGGTCGTCATGCATCGCTTTTTCTGCCGCGCTTCGTGCAAGGTGCCTGCGGTGCGCCTTCCTTTTCGTCGCCAATGCTCAAGCTAATCATGGTTCTTCCTCTACCAGCCCCCCGACGATCACCTCTCAAGCGCATACGATGCGTCGACTATCAGCAGCACCTCCATCGCGCAGAGGGACAGTGCTTGGCTGCACATGGCATGCCGTGCTATCGACCTGTATGTTCAGACTGACGAGGCAAGCAGAGGCGCGGCTTTCAGCGACCATCTTGGGTTCTTGGCCGAGCAGTTGATCTCGACGCTCGCCACCAACCTGAGATACGGTCCCCTCGACACCGCCTTGCAGACTGTCGAACGTCAGTGTGTCTCTTACCTCTTCGAGTCGAACTTCCGCCCTCGTCCCAGCCCAAGTCTGGAGGAGATAATCAAGCCCGAATCGGATGAAGGCCTGCCCGATGACCTCGTCGGCCCCTTTTTCTGGTTCCTTGTCGGTCTCATGCGGGCGGTGGTCGACGCACCCGCTAGCCATGACCGCAACGCAGCACCTCAGGGCGACAAGGCGACGAAGGAGGTCGCGCACGCGACGGAGCGCCACGTCGAGAGGCACCGCGAATATCTGATCAAGACTCTTGTCGAAGACGTGGATTCCCTCGAACTTCTCCGTCCTCTGGCGATGACCATCATCACTCATCCTAAGCTTGCGGCTCTCTCGACTTTAACGGACGCGCTTGCCGATAAGATGGCTTTACTTCTGCGCCGACTGGCTTCCGGGGACAGTACGCAGTCACCCACCGATGCTGGTCAGCCGCAAGGTGTTGACGCAGGGCCCGGCGATCAGCCACCGCAGGACCTCGTTTGGTGCATGTGGGTGGATGCCTTCTGCAGGGGTGCCGGACAAGCGAGCGCGACACCCTCCGATGCGCTGCATGGTGCATTGCTCTCCTTGAGCCGCATCCACCAAGACGCATGGGCACGGGAGGTCGACTCCACTCATTCGCAGCCACTCTCTCTACCCAAGAGTATGACGCTGCGAAGCCCGCGAAGTCGCGAAGTACTCGCAGAGCTGGTGCCGAACGCTCAAGCGGTATTTTCGGATCCAATACTAGTATCCGTTCCACCCATACTGTACGATCCTCAGCTCCTCTAAGCGATCTCATCTGCTGATCGCATTTGACCCCGTCAGGCGTCGCACACATCGACTCGATGTCACTGGCTCTGACTCTCTCGTTCCCATGACGGAGATTGTCACGGTCGACGAATGCCACAGGCGAATGAGAGCAGACATGCCTGCAGACGACGCTCAGAGTCATGCTCCGGACGCTGGGAAGTTGGAAGATGATGGCGCAGTCGGCCAGTGGACGATCTTCAGGAGATATTCGGCTATGACCACTACCCGCGTTTACTCTGCCTTGCGGTGGACTCGCCGCCATCTAGGTCAAGAGTCTCATGCTCCTCGATCTGACCGAGCCCTATTGACTCTTCCCCAGCTTCAACTCAAAGGTCAGAGGTGGTCGACGAGGAAATGGCTTCGCATTCGTGTTACCTAGCGCCGCAAACACGTTCTAGCGACATTGAAAGCGATAGTCCTGGTCGGGGAATTGGTGAGGAGGTGCAGAGGGCAAACTCTTGACCACGACAAACGTTGAAACAAGGGCACGCCGACGTATGTATCTCAGGATTGTTTTTGCTAAATCATCGTATGTACTATATCATATGGGCATCGGAAACGACTTTTCGCCGTTATATTTGCACCTGCTCCAGTTCCATGAGTCGCCACCAAAGATCCTGCAAGACGGCCGGCACGCAGAGATCTACCAAATCAGAAGAGAGCTATGACTGCGGATCACGCGGCTCAGGGGAGTTACGACAGGGAATCGAGCGATTCCGAGGACGAGGAGCAAGGGCAGAAGGCGCACCAAGTCAGTACCGCGCCATCTAGTTCTCAGGCAACTACTGCGTTAGACAAGTTCCTCGCCTGACAATGGCAGCGTACCGCTGACGAACCTACAGACTCGGAATCCAAACCGAGTAGCACTCGCCTCAGAGACCGACAACAGTCCGGTCTGAGTGAAGGAGAGCAGTGACGAGAAGGAAAGTATGCGGCGCAGGCGCCTAGGCGAGTGTGGTTCGAACCGTCTAGCTCAATCTGCAAAGGTGTAGTCGGATCAATATAAACAACACCTTGCCAGCCCTCGACAACGAGAAACTTTCACGTATCTCACGACGCACAATCCCACGCATATTGATAGCAATTAGCGAATTGTACGCGCTGGGCGAACGTGCTCTTTCATTGGACCGTACGTCAATAGGCGTCCGAGATAACAAGGTTGCGCTTGGATCACGAAGTGTCGTGAACCCATCTCAGACCCCAACCACATCTATCCACCCCTGTATCTTCGCCGCCACCACGGGCGGGAACCTGAACGCGGAGAGCTTCGCCCCGAAGGTGCGCACGATGCGCGCGAGGGCGGTCTTCAAGGCTGCGAGGGAGAGATGAGTTAGCTTGTTCGAGTGAACTTGTTTCAAGCAAAGCAAAGAAGAGCAAAGGCAACATGGGCGTAGGCGCGGGAATGGAGGTATGTCAAGCAGAAGAACCGAGCAACTCACCCTCCGCAACGCCACCAAACGCCTCGTGCGCATGCCGGAGGTCGTCCTCGATGAGCGCGAGTTGGTGCTCGAGGGCCTCTACGTTCTCCTTGGGCGGCGCCCTTTCGGATTCCGCGGCACGCGCGTCCTCGCCTTCATCCTCCCCACGCCCTTCATCCTCGCCCTTCTCTACCCTTCCCTTCCCCTCCAGATCCCGGACGATGCGCGCGCGCTCGAGCTCCTCCGCCACGGCCACCCTCCTCGCCTCCATCTCGCCCACCCAGCCCTCGACCTCGCCGAGGAAGCGCACCATCGCCTCCATGACGCGCGGGATGTCGCGCTGCACGGCGCCGAAGCGATCCGCGGTGAGCGAGTGCGCGATGATGTGCGCGAGGGCTAAAGTGTATGATCAGTATGCAAGCTACTATACCACTAGCACCCCTCCGCCCCATGCAAGATAGCACTCACCTCCCACGACCACCGCGTCCGTCTCCCGCCGCGGCAGCGCGCCCGCCGCTGCCCGGCCTGCCCGCTCCCGCGTCCACCACGCGTGCAGGCTCCCATACGCCTCCCGCACGGGCGCCGGGAGCACCAGATCATGAATCTTCGCCACGATCTCCGCCACCGCGCCCCGCGTCTCGCGCACAGGCTCAACGACGGCTTCGTGGAGGGCATCTTTCACGGGCGAGACGGCGCGCTCGAGGGGGCCGGCGATTGACTTGCTAAGAGGGCCAGCGAGTGTTTTGCCGAGGGGCGAGAACGCCGCCTCGACGGGGTGCAGGGCCTTTTCCACACCCTCGACCGCCCCGTTGAACACGTCCGGCACGCGGCCCACCACACCATCCGCAGCTAAGGCATCCGCGACGACCCGCGCGGGCGACGGCGGGGCCTGCTTGAAGATCGACGCGCGGAGGAGCGGGGTAGGCTTGACGGGCGTGGACGCGGAGGGCGTGGAAGATGCGGCACCGAGGGTTGACTGTCCGAATGTCGACTGGGAGGCGCCAAAACTGGGCGTGGACGAACTGAAGGTCGATTGTCCGAAAGTTGATTGCGAGGCCGACTCTTCAGTAGCAGATGATGGTGCAGGAGCCGGCGCCGGCCCGCCACGCCGGACGAGCTTTTGGTAGTCCTCGCCTAGCAGCAAGAGCCCTGGTCTCACGACATGTGGCCACAGCGCCGTGTCAGCGAGGAGGGCGCGAGCGAAGGCTAAGGGAGAGCGTTAGCGTGCCATCATAGGGGCATAACATGGGGATGAGGCGCGAACGCGTCGTAGGACTGTATTCGACGACGCAGAGGCAACACGCAAGCTCGCAGAGACAACACGCGCGCTCGCAGAGGCCTCATGCAAGCTCGTCGAGGATTTATCACGGATGGTGCGACCGAAGCCGCGTCGCGTCGATAGAATATATGCACGTCGCGTCGATAGAGCATATATGCACGCCAGAAGAAGAATGTACTCACCCTCACCCTTCCCATCCTCCTCGCCCGCCCTGGCCTCCAGTTCTCTCCACGCGAGCGCCTGAAAGAGCTCCGACGACGGCTTCGAGACAGCCGATACGAGCACCGCAGGGTCGGTGGTGGTTTGTATGGGCTGGAGGATGGTGTCAGTAACAGTTCGTAGTCCGAATTGGGGGTACAGAGACGCGTAGAGGGCCGCAAGGACGGGGAAGAGGCCTATTGAAGGGGGAGGGGGAGGATAGGGAGCGAATAAGTCCTGAAAGAATTTGACTCACCATCGCCACACAGCTATCGAACAAATAGCACGCCACGTCCCACACGAGGGTCGTCAGGAAGCCCGCGATGAAGGCCTGCCCGATGACGCCGAGGACGCGAGAGCCTAGGGTGGGGTCAGCAACTACATCAACGCAAGACCAAACGCCCGTTGACATGCTCGTCGGTATCGTCTAACATGCTCGTCGACATCGTCTGGCATGCTCGTCGGGATCGTCCGACATGCTCGTCGGCATCGTCTGAGATGCTCATCGGGATCATCTGACATGCTCGTCGACATCGTCTAACATTCCCTACTGCACCAATCAACAAGAAACCACCCCACTCACCAAACACATTGAACACCCCAAACACGCCGCCCAGCAGTCCACCCCGCACGAAGTGCCCCGTGAACGGCTTGAGAAAGATCGGCAGGACGGGAAGCCAGTACAGCAGTCCGAGCGTGATCCGCCCGACGAGGAGGGTGAGACCGGCCAGGGGGAGGGCAGCGACAGAGGATAGCGCGGGCACGATGGTGAGGGAGGTGGGGTTAAGCTGAGTGAGCGTTAAGATGGTGTGAGATACGGAGAAACAAGGAGGAGAGAGAGAACGTCGGTTCTGGTGGGGAAATAGGCATGTGATGGAGAAACATGCGTATGGTGGGGAAATATGTATAGGGTGGACGAACATGCATAGGGTGGAGAAACATGCATATGGTGGAGTCGGAATGGGAGAAGTAGACGAACCTGCGGCGCGGTCCATGGGAAGACCATCCGATCCCTGAGCACAACGCGGAGGAAGAAGAGCGCGGCCGTTGCCAGTTGAGTGGAGAGGAGGAAGAGAAGGCGCGGGTTGAGGTAGTGCGGGTGCTTTCTGGCATTGAAGGACAACGTGAGCATGCAAAGATCAAGATGGACTCGGTAATGATCGCACCTCGAGTTGACGAACACCGTGAACCGGCTCTTGGAATCGACTATCGCAAAGAAGGCGCCAAAGAGAACTGCCGAGCCAAGAAGGGAGAGGAGCGTCCGTGGCGAGCCTGGCCTTGCCATTGTGGCGCGCAGGAGCTGGGCGGGGGAAGAAGCAGGTGTGCGAGACACTGCAAACAACGTCAATACTTCGGGCGATCATTCAAAGCACGACTTCACATACCCGTCAGCCCCGCCTTCCTGACCACGATTGCCGGCACCGCGACCAGCATCCACAGCACAAAGCCCCTTCCCACCGCCGATCGTACGAACTCCGCGAAGTCTTCGCCGACTCCTGCTCCCCATGTCCACGCCCCGCCTATCGCAATGCATGCGGCGAGTGCCCACGGGAAGACCCATCGCGCCAGTCGGCTTGCTAGAACGCCCTTGACGAGGGGCTCGTAGGTTTGCGACGCGGGCGGCAGCGGTGGTGCATGTTTGGATGACAGTATGGTTGAGGGTAGCGGACGGATGGGGGTCGCGGGGGAAGCAAAGGCAGAGGAAGAGGTAGAGGGGTTAAATGGGGTCGACGTCGAGGCAGGGAAAGCGGACGACGCCATAGACGCGCGGTAGGAGGAAGATTGCTGGAAGGCCATGGCGGACGTGCTGCGTGTTGAAGTCGTGGTCGTCGTTCCGGATGGTGCTTTTAAGCTCCTGCTCGCTGCTGAATTTTACGCGCCGTCGTCGCGGTCGTGAAGATGTGTGCTGAGGACGACGCGAGTGACGCGCGACCTCGACGCGTCGAACAAAGGCTTTTTGGATTTCCAATGTGGACACGGAAAACGTGGAAATAGGACCACGTGATCTCCGCACGCGTAAAATGAACCGTGACGGTAACGGTAACGGCCAATCAAAGACCTGCATTGTAGTACAATAATAGAAGCCTTTATTGTCTGCACCTCATGCCAAACTCGATGAGCGCTATCAATATACTAGTGCGCGACGTGGCACACTGCCGGAAGCTCATAAGCGTCACGTCGTGTCCCGCGCTGATAGTTCCTCGTGCGCCACTGACCGAGTAGGGATGTAACAGCAGTGAGGTCGAGGAATAAAAAATATGGAGGAATAATGGAGGAATGGAGGAGAAGGGCAGGAAGGGAAACGGGAGGGGGCGAGGTGAACGGGAGGAGAGGTGCGCGTAAGGGGAGGGAGGGTAAACAACGGAGGGACGAGAAGGGTCGGAGAAGGAGGGGAGGGTAAAGCAACAGAGGAGGACGGAAGGGTGAGAGCCCGCGAAGGATCCAGCATCAGAATGAGGGTGCAGGTAAAGAAGAGAGCGGTGAGACAGGCATAGCATTCTCGGACTACTAGCTGCGCTCAGCATGGTGAATCGGGAGCAAGGACGAGCGTACATTTGTATACCGCGTCATGTACCTAAGACAGAATGCGGTCGCCACATGAGTAGCAAAAGATTGTAACAGTATCCTTTCGTAGGTATGACTGTCAGGGCATGTGCTCTATGGTGGCTTGTCACGTTCAGCAGCAAATTAGCCGCTTGCTTCGCCCTGATCTCCACTGGCGATAAGCTGCAATGCAGCTTACATTGCGCCGAACAACGAGTCCGAAAGGGCGCGGGAGAGGCTCGGAGCCCATCCGCGCGACCATGAGAGGCCGGCGCCAAGAACATGCTCTTCAGCCTTGCGAAGCCTCGTGATACTGGCACAAAAATCTGGCGGGTAGCTTCTGAGCGGGAGGTCACCCTATCCGGTCAGTTCTTTACGTTTGAAAACTGAAGTGTTGCCGGGTAGGCTTGACATGGCTGGTTTTCTGCGCCAATGGTCATGAGAGCGGGAGAGAAACTGTTGATCCAAGTTTGCATCCGTTTCCCATCAACTCCCACGATGTCACACAACGGCAAATGCCGTGGATTCTTGGACCCTCGCCAGCGAGCTGCTACAAGCGCTACTGGCTTGTCTCTTGCACTGGCTGAACCCTTGACTTCACCTGTACGACGTTGTGGCCGTTGAACCCGTTGACGATTCTGAAAGGCTTAGCACGACGTTTCGCAACGACCTTATTGTGCTCCGCGATCTCATCATGATGACACCGCCCAGGTGGCAAGACGCCAACGAAGGCTGCTCGTGACCCTTCTCAGGGCGCGAAGTTCAGGCAGCCAGCCGCTTTCATGAGTGCAATTATGCGCCTTCAACGTCGCGTCGTGTGCCCCCATCCGAGACACGGTTGCGCGCTTGATTTATGCACCTACACCGGCGCAATTGTGCGCTCTCACGTAGCCTGACGCCTGACGCTGACAACTGACGATATCCCATTCGTCAGCCCGGTCCAGGGGAACGCGGGTATAAGTAGGCAACGGTTGCCACTTGGCGATCGACGTCCTTGTCTTTCGCCATCATCTTGTTTGCTTCCGCGGGGTTGTTACCTGCTCACACGATTTTGTTTTCTGCTGTCATCACTGCTCAAGTCTTGTCCTCCGCCAACACCGCTATCCGGCGCGCCATCCCGCTGAAAACTGACTGATATGTCGCCGACCGCACTGAAGCACACCGACCTGGGTGAGATCGAGTGGGTACGTATACTTCTCATTCGGCAGTGGGAGTCATGGTCGGATGATGACCCTGTCCTTCCAGATCCACGCCCGATTGAGAGCTACGTTCGATTCCGGGAAGACTCTGCCTCTGGCATATCGCAGGCAGCAGCTCTTGCAGCTTGCGCGTCTTGGTGTGTATACCGTCCTCCTTATCCTCGCCATCTTCCGCTCGTACGACATCCACTTACCCTAATGCTAATCTCACCCTAACCACCTCCAGTCCAAGACAACGCCCAAGCCATGCAAGAAGCCATCTACCAAGACTACCGGAAGCAGCCGCTTGAGGTCGCGCTGGGTGATACTACCCCCATCGTCCCGGCCGCCCTCCGCGCGGCCGAGAAGCTCGAAGAGTGGTCCAAGCCCGAGAAGCCCGAGGTAGAAGAGTGGCGCAGCTCGTGGGATACGACGATCTACAAGGTGCCTAAGGGAGTCGCTGTTATCATTTCGTGAGTTTGATTCACCTGTCATTCGCAATCGTGGCGTAGCGAGCCGGCCCCGGCGCGCTATAAGCGGTTGCTACTGCAGTATTGGGCCCCTGCTAGCGCGCCAGCGCTTCCTCTACTCTTGCATCGGACACCATACTTACCCTCCACTAGACCCTGGAACTTCCCCTACATCCTCTCCTTTGGCCCGCTCGTGGGCGCCATCGCTGCCGGGTGCCCGGCCATACTGAAGCCCTCCGAGCACACGCCGAGCGTCGCCGCCCTCTTCGCGAAATTGGTGCCCGAGTATCTGGACCCGGACGCATATGCGGTAATTAATGGGGCGGTCGCGGAGACGGCAAGGTTGCTGGAGCTGAAGTTCGGTATGCGCTGACCCCATTGTGAGACTGACATACGACTAACCTAATATTCTAGACCATATTTTCTTTACCGGTAAGGCGCTTGCTGTGATAAATTTCATACGGCTGAGGCACTATACTCGATAAGGGTCGACGAACGTCGGACGCATTGTGGCCGCCGCTGCTGCGAAGCAACTGACTCCCACGACGTTGGAACTCGGTGCGTAGCGTTTGTGAATTTTCGGGAGATATCTCATGTATCCTGTTCGCAGGAGGAAAGTCGCCAGTGTTCGTAGACGCTGAGAACACCGACATCGAACTCGCCGCTAAGCGCGCCCTCTGGGGTCGTCAGATCAACTCTGGACAGGTAAGCTGTCCTTTGTCCTTTTGACCGTTGAGGGAACGCAATGGCTAAAACTCCACCCAGGTTTGCGTCTCCCCCGACTACATCCTCGTGCCCCGCTCGCACCAAGACGCCTTCGTCGCCGCCATTCGGAAGGCGTACAAGCAGTTCTACCCCGACGGCGCGCTCGACCCATCTGCGACACTGACGGCGGTGCACCCGAGTGCTCACGAGCGCGTGAAGGGACTAATTGCGAGGACGAAGGGGGAGATCGTGCTTGGAGGAAAGGAGAACGGGGGGAGGATCGAGCCGACGGTGGTGAAGAACGTCGATGCCAAGGATGCGCTCATGGAGGGGTACGTCGTGTTCTTCTCATCTCGCAGTCATTTGCTGATCGCGTATACAGAGAAATCTTTGCGCCCATCATGCCTATTGTTCCGGTCGACAATGTTGATGAGGCGATCAGGATTATCAGGTCGTACAGTACGCCCCTCGTCATCCACGTCTTCACCGAAAGCGCGGAGACGAAGGACAAATGTGGGTTTCAAGGTCATCCCAAACTACGGAGGGCTTCTACTGACGCGGCTATCCATCCTCTCAAGTTCTCTACGGCACACGCAGCGGCACTCTTGTCCTCAACGACACCTTCATGGAACTCGGCGGTACGTCAAGGTTGTCTGTCTTTCAGCCCGTCTGCGTAAACTCACCTTTGGCTATAGTACACGAAATGCCCTTCGGCGGTCTGGGCGACTCTGGGTGTAAGTAGGCGCGCACTAAGCCTGTGGCCAACACTGAGAGACTCACAGTTGGCTCCTTCTCGGGCAAATATGGCTTCGACACCTTCACGCACCAAAGGAGCTACATCAACGTACCGCTCGCGTATGTGGATTACGTAGCTGTACTACGCTGGACATTGGACGCTGACAATGGTCTTCCTCATACAGCGCCGAACCCTTCCTCGGCCACCGCTACCCGCCGTACACGGAGGAGGGATACAAGTTCTTTGCGGCGGGCGCGTCGCAGAAGATCCCGGATAACTGAGAATATCGCATGGCTACGACGCGGTTATTGTTCCTCTCTTGAATAGCTACTAACGGCACACCAATATGTAAGAATACGATCTATCATGACATCTGTACCATCACAGAGGTTCGACGCTAGGCGCCCACATCGGACCTACATGCGCCCACAAAAGCGGAGGCAAATGGCTGAATGGGGTACAGTACGCGGACTTTCCCGAGGTATGTCTTGTCTCTTCCGCCATTCTGAACTTGCATCAAAGGCGACCGCAGCCTCTGTGAGATGAATGCGCGAATTGAATCCATACTCTGCTCTCGGGTGAAGCTCATCTCAGGTGACAAGCATCACTTGGGCTATATGGACGTCTCGCAGGTCGCTGCGGTTTATATCAAGCGCCGATAAGTTCTTCTATGACTATGTTGAGCATCCGTACGTGCTATCACCCCTCCGCGTAGTCCCAGTCTTGCTTCCTCGCACTTGTGTTGCAGGAAGCAATACAAAGCTGCACTGAATTCGTAGATAATCCTTGCGACGGAGGAATCTATCTCTGACCAGGCTCGACTGCAGGCCTTCGAGGCTACCGCCTGATCACGGGAGATCCGAGGAGAACGCTTCGCCGAATGAAGACAATGCAAGAAGGCAACGGGCTCGGAATTCGGGAAGCATGGCCTCGGGATCACTGCGTGGACGTGGGAGTTACCATTCAGTGGAGAACGCCTCGACTAACTGATGAACGTCGTGATGGTTCTCTCCAACATGCCAATGGCGTCCCGGCACTGTTGTGGGTCGGCGTATAAGGCATCCATACGATCAAACAGTCAAGGAACCTTCCGTTGCGGACACTAAAGGACCCGTTTCAATGACATTCAAGCCCGCAAACAGCGCCGATGGCGGTGCGGCGCCTACCCATCATTCTGAGGTGCCGTCGCATGAGGCCAGGCATCGCGCGCACTTACGGCGCACGCCGCCGGGCTAATCAGTGCGGAGCGCTCTCTCGTCACGCCGTCATCTGGTCAAGCCATGCCGCCCGCGAGCGACATCCCTCTGGACGTCGCCGGCATCATCTCGACGGTCCTCGAGGGCGTCCTCTATGGTACGACGCCCGTTAGCAATACGTGGACCTCGCTGATTGCGGATAGGTTTTTCGATTTTCATGGGCGCTGCGACCGTCTGGGTACTGAAGAGAGGCCGCAAGTGGAAGGACGTGCACAAGCTCATGCTGTTTGCGTCCTTCCTGCTCTTCGCCTTCAGTACAGCTGTGAGTTGTATCGTCTCAATCCGGCTGGCATCGCTCATGACTGCCTGTAGCACCTTTGCATAGACATCAGGAGGATCTACCTAGGCCTTGTTCGGCACCGCAACACTATCGGAGGGCCCATCGCCTATTTCTCTGACGTCTCGCAAGAGACTTTCGTGTCGAAGAATGGGATCTATACTGCTCATACCGCCTTGGGCGATGGTGTTGTTGTAAGGCTTTCTTTCACAGATCATAATGTTGATTGGCTGACGAATGCCACAGATATACCGTTGTTACATGGTGTGGCGCAAGGTGTGGGTCATCGTGCTCCCGATGATCCTGTGGTGCTCTGTCCTAGGTTTGTCCCTCGATAACCTTTACAGAAGTATGCTAAAATACACTGTCTATCAAACAGCAAGTGGCATCGGGACTGTCTACACCATCGCGCAAGTCACCCCGGAGTCCGGCAATATCTTCGCATCGAACACAGCGAGGTGGATCACCGCCTTCTACGCGACAACTCTGGCGTGCAACTTCATGGCCACCGGTAAGCCTTGGCTTTTGACGTGCCATTGACTCCCCGCGCTGACCGGTCACCAGCGCTCCTTGCCTACCGGCTCTGGTCCGCCGAGCGCGGCTCTCATGTCTGGCGGAGTGGGCGCAGCTCCATCCGGCCCGTCCTCCTGATCGTCGTCGATGCCGGCGTCCTCTACTCCGTTACGCTCTTTTGCGCCCTCATTCTCTTCGTCTCCCAATCGCGGGCGCAGTACGTGGTGCTGGACTTGGTGCGCTACAATTCCCTTCCCTATACTCCACGTCACCCACCTAACGCCGGTGGTAATTTCACTAGATCACGCCCATCATCTCCATCTCGTTCTACATGGTCCTCCTCCGCGTCGGGCTTAAGGCGCAGGAGAAGACACAGGCGAACGGCCTCACCGCGCTCAGCAGCGGTGACCGCAGTGGGATGCGCTACGCGCCGCACGCGTCATACTACCGTAGGGACACCATGCAAGTCCACATAAGCCGGCTCACCGAGACGCAAATACTAGAGCAGGACAAGACGTTCGCGGAGACCGGGATCAACGGGGACGAGCCGCTGTCGCTACGTTCGAGCGATTCGCCTCCACTCCGTACAGACGACCTGCCCATACCTCGTTCAGGCGACGCGCTCGCACTTCGTTTCGATGAACCACCACGACACGCCCATCCTCCCGCCGGTTACATCCCGTGAGTGCACGACCCACGATGCTCGCTACGAAGTCTCTGAATGATCGTTGTCGATGTATCCTCCTCATCTCGAACTGCTATCGTTATGTATTCGCGCACGTTATTTATCTGCTCACGTTGTCTGTAGTATATAAGCATGTAGTCTAGCGGAATCGGTGTGTTATAGTGTTCTGCAGGTCTTTCCCACCTTCTTAAATATGCTTGCCCGAGAACTCAACGTGGGTGGAAGTCCAGGTGCGTGTGCCACCTGCCGAAGGAGAGCCCTTCCGCAGCAAATACATAGCGCCATCATACAACCTCCAAGATACATACTATAGTACAAAGAGCAGGTCGAATACACTGTCCGTCTACGTGCCTCACAGGACATCCTGTACGACCTCGTCAGCGAATAGCTTAGGCATGCTTCAACACAATGAGTCCCACCTCAAACAATCTCCGTCAAGCCTCCGGCCTTAGCAACCTCCGCCGTATCTCGTCTCCCTGCATGCGCCGTACATCGCCTTTCTGCCTCCGTTGTACATCGCCTTCCTGCCTCCGTTGTACACAGTCCCTCTGCTTCCACCGTTGCTCGCCTCTCCACCTCCGACGTCGACGACGGATCCGAGCACACCAGCGAGTCAAGCACCACAGTCGAGTGCGCGACCACCCATGGCAGCGTGGTCAGCTCGACGCCGCCCGTAGTTTGCTTCGAGCGGTTTGCGGAGGTCTCCTGCAGGTGGAGCATCATGCGCGAGAGGATGGCGACGGAGACGCTGTGGGAAGAGTATATTCCATTATGAAAGGTTGCTAACCGCTGTAGGATAACTCGTACGCACCAGCTAACGACAGGAACGAGAAAGCCTTGGAGAGAAGGCTGGTCGGGATACGTCAGTCAGTGAGGTCGAAGGGAGTGAGCGCGATATGGAAGCCTCACGTCCAAAACCTGCGCGTGGTCAGTGAGGCTGAGCGTCCGGATGGCTGAACACTACGCACATAATAGGTCAAGACGTTGACAAAGTTCAGCGCGAACATGCTCCTGTGGTGGTACTTTCAGCACGAGCACTACCGCACAGCTCGCCCCGATATCCAAGGCGCGCATCTCAGCTACCCGACGTACCCAAAATATATAGCACCTGTGCATCCAATGAGTAGGCAAGCCGAGGCCGCTGAGGCGCCAGACTCACCATCCCTCAACAAGAGCTGCATAATTGGCATGTGCGGCTCGCGCAGCGCTCCGAACGTCTTGTATGTGGTCATCGCGAAGACGATGAAGTCGTAGACCATGACGGTGATCCATATCGCGGAGAGATCTATGGAATGTCGGCATCGTGATCGCTGCTATACAGAGCAGTCTTGTATTGGGTTGGACTCACGGTTCGAGCTGGAGATCATATCAGCGTTAGCCATGCCATCGCGAGCAACATAGAACCCCTAGACGCACTTCACGCCGGAAACTGTCACCGGGCACCGCAGCCCTGTCCCGGGTTCCAAAGCCTCGTCCCCAGGAGACATGTCGTATTTCTGCGTGCTAATGGCCCACTATGCGGACGAGACCGATGAGCGATTATTCAAAACGCTGCGAAATGACACCCACCAAGATCACCGCGCTCCCGACTGCCGCATAGAGCAGCAGGCCGTACAGCACGCGCCTACTCTTGCCGAAAATTGCATAGACGCGCTGCATGATAAGAACTGGCGGGAGGTCGTCAGTCAGGCCCGGACTCAACACCCAAGAGTGGAGTCTAACTCACTGGCAACAGCGACGGCCATAGCAGTGAATGCCGCGAACCGAAAGTTGCGTATCGCTCGGCATCTGTGGGGCATGGGAACATACGGTTAAGACTGAATGGGAGAAAGTCCTTATGGGGGACTTACGCCTGGAGATGTGTGTCAACGGCCGGTGAAGCGAGCAGGTGGTCTCGCGTACCTTGAGCGGCGCGGTCCATAGACCGAGGACGGTGGCCAAGACCGTCACGATTAAGGCGGTGTAGCGGAAGACAAAGAACACGTGCGAGGCGCGGTTCTTGGGTCGTAGCCAGACGTACTCGACCTCGATTGCTGTTGAGCATATGGTCAATTAATGTGAAGAAAGCAACACAATTTGGAAGGACGTTTCCTACCGAGAGTTATAATGTGATCGTAAACTAAAATCGCTGGAGACAAAGCGCTTCAGAACGGGGGGAAATTGAGGCAAATCGGCAGGACTTACCCATGCTAGTCAGGTGCATGGCATTGTTGATGAAGCTACGGGGCCAGTTCAGCAACTGCAGTCTCCCTCTTCGTGAAGCCTACCGACAGGGATTTGGCCAACAAGGGAGCACCGCCGTCCGGGCTCATCGCGCCCTGTAGGGGAGCGAAGAGGGAGCACGATAAGCCATCCCCGTCAGTTATATGCGGCAGCACGACGGCTAATGAGACGCTGATCTTCCCACTGGCCCTCCTCACGCTCAAGATACTTGATACAGTTGAGCTTCGAACTTCGGGGGAATGAAGCCTTACGGCTCGAGGGAATCACACGCTTGGCATCATTGAACATGGTCTGGTCTGGTCATCGGCGGCGAGGTGCACTGCTCTTGGTACGTACGTGTATTGGATGCGCGAGATAACGAGGAAGCTCAGAAACCATCGTCGAACGTGATGGTCGGTGAGAAAGATCAACGGCGGACGCGCGATGTGACGGGGTCAGGTGCGTCGGGGATTGCCGGCAAAGCACGTGGCCACTGAGTCCATCGTTCGAACCCGAACTTGAACTTGGTTCGAACTTCGTCACAGCTTTCAGCATCAGCTTCGAGACTTCAAAGGTAGACAAGCTCAGCCGTATGAACGAAGTGTATCCCGGTCATATCAGCTTGACGCAATAGATCAGCCGCCCTCCCGAGATATCGATGATGAGGAGCAGTACGCTGGCAGGCACGGGTGCTTCAAGTTGACGGTAGAGTCTGCCGCTGGCCCCCTTCACTAGATATGCCGCTCGTTCCGCAAAATGATACTTAAGGATGATGCAAAGCGCTGCCTCATCCTCCCGGTGGAGCCCATCTTGACCAACAGCTCAGGCCCCGAGGGCACGATGCAGGCGGCAGCGCTCTACCAGCGCGCTGTGCATTGTGGCGGAGACGCCATTATATCCGCCACGCCATCCCGATAGAAGCAGCGCCTTCTCTATGGTCACCGGAAGCCCCTCCCGAGCCGAACTGGTCGCGCCCCGAAGCCCTTCCCGGCAACTCCCCCGGCCGTTCAAGGGCCCCAGAAGCGAAGACGCGAACGCTCACGGCATACACGCGTAATTCTTGCCCGCAGCTTGTTTTCTTCGACCTTGACGTGCGCGCCGAGCTGCATGCACCCTGAACGATAGCTCGACGTATACGCTATGAGTTGGCTCGCACAACTTGGCGCGTCTGGACCCACTGCGCAGGACGCAGCTGAGAAAGAGACCACTACCGACGCGACATCCCATGGAAAGGGACCCAGCACAGGCAGCACGTCAGCCGCATCAGTCGACGAGAAACAGGCGAGCGAAGAGCAGCCCTATCCTCGCGGGCGGTGGAAGGCCTGGTCTACCGGTGCGTGTCACTCAAGCTGTGCCTCTAGACCGTAATCCTGACATGCATCTCAGTCATGGGCGCCTTCCTGATCCAGTTCTACGTCGTCGGGATTGTATGTGTCTTTCCCATCATTTCCTGTGCGAATGGCTGACCGCTCCTTCACTTACCCGTTAATTCACGACTTACTAGCTCACGGGCTTCGGCGTCTTCCAAGAGTACTATACCACGGAATGGCTACCAAGCTACTCCGCATCAGACGTGAGCTGGATCGGCGGTGTGCAGTACTTGTTCGAGCTGGGACTGGGGCCGGTAGCGGGAAAGCTGTGAGTTTGCACGGACGTATATCACTTCTAGATCCACGCTCGCTGACGCATGACTGCAGCTACGACGCCGGTTACGGGCGAGCGTCTACCCTCTTGGGGTCGTTCATCTCCATGTTCAGGTGCGTCGTACTGTTCCTAAATTTCTCAGCATGTGCTTACGAGTATGCAGCTTCTTCATGCTGTCCCTCGTCGACCGCGATCAGTACTATCAAGTACGCATTCTTCCCATCCGCACGCCTGTTTCATGACTGACCCACACCTGCTTCATGTATGTCCCCATACCTACTTATAGCTGACGCTCGATCCAGGTCTTCCTCGCTCAAGGCGTAGGCATGGGCCTCGGGCTCATGTTCGTCTTTGGGACGACCATGACGATGGTGTCGCAGCACTTCAAGTCGCGGAGGGCGCTTGCGATGGTGCGTGCAAGCCCTAACCGCAGCTTCTGGCTTCATTTATTTGTAACTCGAACTAACAACGCCCATAGGGCATCGTTGCCGCAAGCTCTCCCCTGGGGTCTATCATGTATACCAGTGAGCGTCGTAGCACGCGCGATTTTGCCCTAAGCGCATGCGCTCCCACCGATCGCGAAGCTCACAACCACCCTCAGTCCTCCTCAACCACCTCTTCCACGGGCCCACCGGCTTCGCCTGGGGCATGCGCTACGTCGCGTTCGCTACCCTCGGGTGCTTCATCGCGGGCAACCTCCTTCTCCACAGTCCTGTGAAGGACATGAAGCGGAAGGCGAGGGAAAGGAGGACCGTCGCGAAGGAGGAGAGGTCCGCATTCATTAGGGCTCGCTCTCGAGAGACGGCGGTCGAGGGGAACGCAAAAACGCGCGCCTCCGACAAGACTGATGGACCAACCGCGCCAGTTGCCAACGGAACTTCGGCCTCTAGCGAGGCCCCCCTCTGGGACCTACCCTTCGTGCTCACCATGATCAGTGCGCTGCTCTGGTCCCTCGGGGCAACGCCGCCTAATTTCTACATGCAGGTGAGTAGACATCCTGGCGTCGTTTATACAACTACCGCGCACGCGGATCGCGGACTGGAGACTGCACTCGTCGCTGACCAGAGACTGCATCCGTCGCTGACCGCGCTACACACATGTGTCTGACCGGGGCCCGCACTCTGCGCTTCCGGGCATTCACGCTGACGCTGACACGGCTCCGAACCTATTGCTAATCAACCCCTCCAGCTCTACGCCGAGAAACACGGCGTGGACCAGCAGCTCTGCTTCTACTCCTTCGCCATCCTCAGCTTCGCGAGCATCTTTGGGCGCATCGTGCCCGGATGGATGGCGGACCGGTGGGGCGCGGCGAATGTGTTTATTCCGAGTCTGTTCATGGTTGGTGAGTAGGTGAATTCCCTTGTTCCGCTGTTTGGTTTATTTGGGCTGTGTTACAATGTTGTTCGGGTCTTTTGGGTTGTCCGAATCTTTTGGGTCGCTGGGGTTGCTTGGTCACTCGGGTAGCTGGGCTCGTTCGCATCGCTCTGGGCGTTAGAGCCGCTTCAGGCGTTCTAGCCGTTCATCGCGAGTTTGCGGTCAAGGCTCACAGTCCACGCACAGCTGCCATCAGCTTCGGTATGTTCGGCTGCCGTCATCCAGGAGGGCTCGTCGTCTTTGCTGTCGTGTGAGCCCACCTTTCGTCCACACGAGTCGATTGCTCATCGCGCACCCCAAGTTTTGGCTACTTCTTCGGGACCGTGATCGCGATCTACATGCCCATGGTCGCCTCCATGACGCCGCCTGGCACAAACATGGGGTGCGTGACCGTCTCGGCTCTCTTTTGGCGCTGTCCCATTCAGATCAGTTTCTGACATCGCTGCAGCCGTCGATTGGGAGTCTCCCTCGTGCCAGTCGGGATTGGGTCCTTCGTCGGCCCACCGATCTCAGGCGCCATCCTTGGGCGAAGTTACGATTGGTGGAAGACGATCGTGTTCTCCGGGGTGAGCGAGTAGCTTTCTCTAGAGACCTTGAGCGCAAGAGATCTGACGATGGGATTTTCAGGTCCTGCTAATGGGCGCATGCGCGTTCAATATCGCGGCGCTTGTCCTTCATCGAAGGCGGGCGGCGAAAAATCGACTGACGAATGCATAATGTTTGAATAACTCTCGTGATGTAGAATAGATGTTCTGGAATACAAATGGGTTTGCCTTGGGCACTTGTGGGGTTGAGTTAGGAGTGTGTGCGGCTATTTGGTCTTGTGTTCACCTCGTCGACTTTCCTTATTTGGACACTCTTGTTCTCGACGACGATGTTGAATTGCTGTCGGTCGGCTGGTTCAATACACCGTGCCGCGTCCTTGCAAATATCTTCAGTACCTCACCCAGGATCTTGTCCTTTGCGAATGCATTGATTATCTCACCAATTCTCCGAACCTCTGTGCGCGTGGATGTGAGAAGCAACGAGTCGCGCTAGCTCGTACCGTGCGGAAATCAGTACTGACATCCAGCGTGAGGGCTGCGCGAGGGTGTCTACAGGACCGCATATAAGGTGCGCTACAGCATTCTTCCCACGAACACAAAGCTCACTCAACATCCAGGATGACTTCTACATGTACTACTGAGTCGATCGGGTACTGCTATATCTTCCCTCCCAGTGGCGACATACACCTTCGGCATCTCACCCCTATCCCCTCGCTCATTCCTGCCTACAAACAATGGACATTTCGGCCGCGGCCGACGCAGCGACCTTCCCAGTCACCTCATCCGCTCTGAAGATAGGCTTATCAGGTATCAGCAGACATCAGGCGGGCTTGTGCGGAATATTCGGGCCCTTATCCCCCGGGCTGGCCTCGCGACATGAGAATCGGGGCGGTCTCGCGCGCGACATAAGAACGAGGGGACGCTCGTGAGGACCTTGTCTGCGACTATCGCAATACCCGCTACGGTCACCCATGTCAGTGCTGAACTACTTCTTTGGGTCGAAGACCGCGGCGGCGGAGGACGCGAAGCCGGCAGCGCTGCAAGTGAATGGCCTCCCGCTGGCCAAGGGCATGTCGCTCTCGCAGTGGCTTCAAAACGTGCGATCGAACCCGCTGCTGGACCACCGCACGACAGAGGCGCTTCCGGAGACGGCGGACGTGGTGATCATTGGCGGAGGGGTGCGTGGTCACTAGGTTCTTTGCAAGCGACGAAACTGACGCGAGAGGTCCATAGATTTCCGGCGCGACGACCGCACTGGCGCTGCTGCAGAGCCAGACACCGCCGAAGAGCATTGTGATGCTGGAGGCGCGTGAGCTGTGCAGCGGCGCAACGGGGAGGAATGCGGGGCATTGTAAGCCGGATCAGGTGCGTGGTGTGGCGATGTGGACGCGCATATACTCACGCTCTACAGTGGCGCGGATTCCTGAAGTACCAGAAGAAGTTTGGAACGGAGCAGGCACTCAAGGTGCGCCTAGTCGAACAGTAGACGCGCATATACTCATGATTCCTGCAGATCCTCGCGAACGAGCAGGAAACTTGGGAGAAGATCGTCGCGTACGTGAAGGAGAACAACGTTGACTGCGATCTGTGGGTCGGGAAGACGGTGCGTGGCTTGATCAAATAGAACGCATATATGCTGACAGAGCCCTAGCTGGACGTCCCCGTCACCGACGAGGTCGCAGAGGCGACGGCCAAGATCTTTGAGGCCTGCAAGGCCGCGGGTGGACCGACAGACAAGGTAGAGGTCATCACGGATAAGGCTGAGGCCGTGAAGGTGCGCATATACCCATGCGCGCGAAGTACATGACTGACACCCATCCTTCAGCGCTCCCGTATTAAGAGCGCTTGCGCCGTCTACGCCTGGGACGCGTCTACCCTCTACCCCTGGAAGCTCGTCGCGCACGTCATCAAGCGCTGCCTCAGCATGGGCCTCAACCTTCAAACCTGGACCCCCGCCCTTTCTGTCGCCCCCTCCTCCTCCTCGCCTGACCAGTGGACCGTCACCACCGAGCGCGGCACAATCACCACCCCGACCGTCGTGCACTGCACCAACGCCTACGCGGGCGCCATCCTCCCCGAGTTCGCCCCCGTCATCCAGCCGCGGCCGCACATGTGCAACCGCGCGGTCCCGCCGCGCGCGTGGTCCGGGAGCGGCGCGCTGCAGAACTCGTACGGCGTCCTCCTCCCGAACGGCGCGCTGTTCTCGATCAACCCGCGCTGCACGGCGGACGGCGTGGTGCTGTTCGGGGGAAGCAACCCGGGGCAGGGCGAGCTGGAGAAGTACGTGGACGAGAAGCCGGAAAGGCGCACGTGCGACGGGTTGTCGAACTTCGAGCCGGTGACGCGGCCGGTTAGGGAGTTCACGCAGAATGAGTTTGAGGGGTGGGGCACGGAGTTTGCGCCCGGGGAGGGGTATGACTATTCGTGGAGTGGGATCATTGGAGATGTGAGTGGGGTGTGGTTACGCGCAGATGTGTGTGCTGACTGCTATCACAGACCGCGGACGGTGTCCCGTACGTTGGGCCGGTTCCGGGAAAGAAGGGGCAGTGGATATGCGCAGGGCACAATGGGCACGGCATGGTGAGTTGGCTTCGTAGGTTGCACGAAGTTTCGCGGCTAACCTCTTCGTCCCTCAGGCTCGCGTCTTCACCTGCGGTCCCGCGCTCGCAAAGCTCATCCAGGGCGCTGAATGGGCCGACATCAACCTGCCTGAAGTGTTCCAGATCACGGAAGAGCGCCTGGCGCGGTTGCAGGCCGGCGAGAAGAACTTCAAGCACCGTATGTAAGGTGGCTGATCTCTATGATCAGCTTGTGTTTGTATAACTAGATGGACGTGGTCGTTGCATATCTCATGGCCAGCTTTTCGCATGTTTATCGCCACCATCTCCTCTGCGAATGCGTGCTATCTGATAGGCGGAGCCCAACCGCAGGTTCATTTTGCATAGTCGCCATGGTTCTTGCTCACCTCATAGCAATGAAGGAACGTTCGCATCGCTTTGATCTCGGTCGATATGAAAACAGGTATGTCTTGTCCTGTTGTATCACGAACAACGCTTACATTCATTGACAATAACGGCAACTCGGTTACAATGAACATTGAAGCTTCGATGCCACTCACTTCGCAATGCGCCTTTGTTGTTCGCACGTTAGATCAAATGCCGAACTGGAAGGGGCGTGTGTTCGGCCTCATCCAGGAGTAATCCTGCATCAACGTCACGGTGGCCACGGCGGGCTTTGGATGTTGGCCGGAACTCCCGCATGTAGGAACATCACAAAGATGCTACCTCGTGGCATGCAAAGAAGGCCCACCCAATACGTGCCAAAGACCCACACAAACCGTGCCAAAAGTTGCCTAATGCGGAAGATTAGGCGGCTCCTCGATGTTTATGTCCGTCAGGGGTCGGATTCCGCTCTTTGTCACGCCAGGCTAACGCCGGGTGTTTGTCTGCAAGGCCACCAGGACGGGTATATATACCTCGAAGGATGTGCTCCGTACTTGAACCGTTGTCCATCACCTCCCCACATCTCACCCGAACCAATCCGTCTGCTAATGGCACCGTCGCCACGCAAGAAGGTCTCAAGGCCATCGAAGGTAGCGCCAGCGGTGCGTGCTCATCTTTCCGATACTCTGAGCGCGTCTAACCTGCTTTCACAGGTATGGGCCCGCAACAAGCTGGCCATGTTGCCACTGGATTCCACACCGCCACCCGAATCTCCCAGGCTCGGCCACGGTGTCGAGTGTCCTGTCCGGGCTCCCATCTTCCGCTATGCCTCTGTGTCCGAGCTCGAGCATGTGTTTGCCGCCCCTTCGCACGGGGAGTCTGAGCTCGAACTCATCGATCGCTACAAGAAAGGGCCAGCCCCGTTCGGCCATGGCGGCGAGTTCTCCCTTGAAGGCCATGCTAGTCTTGCGAGCGACGACGACGAGAAGACCGAGGCCGATGATGAGGATATCGACGAGGATATTCAAGTCGGCGGCGAGCACGCAAGAGTCGGGCGATCCGAACACCGGCACAATCAGGCTATACAAGATGCCGCTAGCGAGCCCGACGAAGAGATCAACGTGCCCAATCTTCTGAAGCAGCTTGGTGTTAACGACTCAGACGACGACAGCTCGGATGACGACGACGACGAACACATCAACCCTCTCACCGAAGATATCCCACCAGTCGACTGGAACGACGATGAGCCTTACCAGCCCATGGATATTGACATCTACGCCGAACTCGATGCCTTCGGCATGGATTCCAACGCGAACGACGAAGGCTACCAACCGGGCGAGTATCTTATCTCGCCCAACGGACCCTCCCTCTCCGCACGGAACCCACCGAGACTACCAGCGAACTACATTCTACCAGTTAACGCATTCGACGCGGGCTGTATACTCCGACAACTCTACCCCCGCGTGCAGGACGCCGCAGCGCACATGGACAGCATCCCCCAAGAACAAACACTTACTGCTGCCCACCAAAGCATATGCCACTGCAAGGTCCCCGGCTGCGAGGCCCACGTATCCATATACGATTGGTGGCTGCACGCGTACACGCACTGCCCGATCGTGGACTACGACGACGTTATCATGACTTTGCCCTGCGACGGCGATCCTGTCGACCACGTCCAATGCATCTGCCTCGCCTGCAGCCGGCCATTCGAGGCCGCGGACGCTCTTCGTCGCCATACGAAGAAAGGTACTCAATGTCACAAGCTGCACGGGGAGCGCCGGCGGGCAGCAGGCTTAGAGAAGGATTATTGGCTCTCGTTAATGACCCCATGGCAAGTCGAGAAAGCCGCCGATGCCCTCGAAGCTCTCGAAGCTTCAGATTGACCGCCCGCCATTCCCTCCTCCACTGTCAAGCACCGATCTTTCTAGTTCCATCCTGATTACTTTGATTGAAGTATATGTTTTCATTTCTCTCTTGACTAGACTAGACTGGATATGTACTTTACACGTCGGCCACTGTTGATATCATACTATGCTATCTTATGTCAGATGTGCGAACCAAAGCAGTCCCCTCTCGAGTCCGACACAAGGTATACGCTCCGCCACTGCATCACTCGGTCAGAACCAAATTGTGTTATGGCGCGGAATGCTATTCTACGTGTTGTTTGGAATTACATTTACACACGAAGTTGGGGCATGTATAAAGGGTAACGCCCGGTGACTAGCGTACTATGTGTATGTGCTCGTTCTCGAAAGTTGGCTGACCTGGTCCGTAACTAAAACCTGGGCCTGAGGGTCTAGTACGACGGAGCCTTCTTCAACGCCTCCACAGTTTCCTCAATCATCTTCAACGCCCACTCCTCATCCTGCTTGTCTCGCTTCTTCGCCGTCAGCGCGAGCAGCGCGAAGAACAGCGTGTACCACATCCGCTTCGTCCGCTGTCGCGGGAACACGATCAGTGCCTCCTTGTACCCCTCCATGAACGCCTCCCCGGGCCCCGGCGGCAGGAATATGCCCTCCAGCAGCGGGTCGCCGTACACGGAGTGCGAGAGCGCGAGCGCGGGCGGGATGACGATCGGTACATCCATGCCCGCATCGCCAGAGGGATTCTCCTCGACGTAGATGAGATCGGGCGACGCGGTGAGCGTGACGAGCGCGGGCACGTCCGCGTCGTCGAACAGGTAGAAGCCGATCGCGCGCGATAGGCAGGCGCGGATGTCGGCGAGCGGGATTGCGGCAGCGTGCGCGGGCGGCAGGTGCTGCAGGAGGTCCTCGAGCAGGCCAGTAAAGGTCTCCTGCCAGCTGTACGCCGTGTCCGAGGGTGCTGCGCTCAGTGCGTTGGGGAGCACGCTGGACGGCGACAGCAGCCCTGGCAGGGAAGGCGCCACTGGTGCGGTCTCGGCGGGGATCCCGAACCAGTCGTTCTGCACGTTCTGGTGCAGTTGAGCGAAGGCTTGGCCAAGCTTGAGGTCGACGAGTGTCCGCTGCTTGGCATCGAGGGATGCGCAGGATAGTGGGACAGGCTTCTGGATCGGCTGAGGCGCGGTGAGCATGTAGCGATGGTTGGCGCAGGTCCCGAGAGCGATGTCCGGGACAGGCATGGAGGTGTTCGAACGGATGCGCTCCGAGAGGTGCGCGATGAGCTCGAAGGTGTGTGGTGGGATACCTGGTGCAGGCTCGGCATCGGAAGTAGAAGCAGGGTTGGAGGTATCGTATTCAGACGCTGGAGGATTGGTGGTATTCTCGGGCATAGACACCGTTAGGAAAGACGTGGAGGGAGGATCCAGAGAAAGAATGTACGTGGTGTATCCATTCCTGATCTTCGGCCTGACTGTCTCGAAGCTTGTGACAGTGCGGTCCGGGTGATGTTCACGAACAACTTCTTTGAAGTGCTCGAGCCCAAGAGGTACGTCAGCCTGAACTGAAGATTCGGCCATATTTCAACTTGAACGAGAGGGAATGTGGTCAGCTTCAGATGAAGGTAGAGGGTAAGGTGTGTTCTATCCCGTCAGAGGCCGACAAGCCCAATTCTAGAGCGTTAGGACCAAGAAGCGTGACTTGTTCAGTTCCGATCCTTGATATGATAAGCGCCCAAAGATATTGACAATGACGGCAGTTGCCGAGCGTGACGGTCACGGTTGGTATCCACAGGATACAATGCGAGGTATAACGTGCATTCACGAAGGCAGGCACCGGAGGCTCATGTCAGACATCATGATGCTTATTCTAGATGGAAATCAGAAGGAACTACATTTTGGTTCATATAACACGACAGCACATAAGATCCCGATAGATAGTTAGCTTCACCCATACACTTCACACTGATGCACGTCTATGCTTGACCCAGATACTTCGCCCACACCGTTTTCGATACGCTCTCGCGCGGGCACGCGCGCCCGGTCCATAGCTCAAACTGCACGAAGCCCTGCTCGAGGAGCACCTCCACACCGGGCACCGTCGACCAGTGCTCGCCGCCCACCGCCTTGGCAAGCTGCAGCAAAGGCGTCTCCGCGGGCTTGTACGCCATGTCGACGACGACCGCGGGTCCATTTTGGTGTGCCAGTAGTCCCTGCGGGAGGTGCAAGCCTTCCGAGCCAGCCTCCGTCGTGGTCGCGGCGGCGGGGACGCAGGAGACGATAACGTTCGGCGCAGGTGTGTTCTCGCCCCAGGCGTCGAGCTTGTCGAGGACTAGCACGGGCGCGTTGGGGAACGCTGCGTGCAGCTCCTCGGCTTTCGACCGTGTGCGGTTGAAAAGGTAGATCGGCGAGGCGCCGAGGGCGTGAAGCGCGTAGATAGCTGCCCGTGCAGTGCCGCCGGCGCCGAGGACGAGGGCGGAGCCTACGCGTGCGCCTGCCAGACGTGAGGTGACGGCCGCCTGGATGCCCAGGCAATCCGTGTTGTCGCCGCGCAGGATGCGCTTGCTGTCGCGCTGGATAGGGATGATAGTGTTGACGGCGCCTATCACCTTCGCCGCGTCCGAGAGCTCATCGAGCAACGGAATGACGTCCAGCTTGAACGGTATCGTCACCGACGCGCCGCCAAAGTCAGGTGCGGAAACGGCGGCCTTGATCTCATCGCCGACGGTCGACGTCTCCAACAGCGAGTAGGTATGCGGTAGCCCAAGGGCCGCGAAGCCCGTGTTGTGCAGCGTCGGAGACATGGAATGCGCGATCGGCGTGCCGAAGAGGTAGAACTTCTTCGCCGGCAGCGCACCGAGCAGATGCAGCGCCTGCTGGATCTGCGCGAACGACAGCTGCCCCGGCGCGGCCTTGAACGGCAGCTTCGGGTGCGACACGGGCACAAAGCACGTCCCCAACACGCGCGACATCTGGCCAGCCTCACCCATGTTCAGTGCAATCAGCGGCTTGCGGTCGTGCGCGCGGGCGAAGTCCAGTAGCGCGAGGTTGTCCTCCAACGCGTTGGCCTTGCCGACGATCTTCACGATGTCGCCGAAGGTCGCCGCCTGGGCGTACTTGGCCGCGACGTCCGCGCCGTCCCAGCGCATGGCGCCGGTCCAGTCGTGCCAGCTGGCGATGAGCTGCGCGTAACCCTTGTTCTTGACGAGCTGATGGATATGGTCGGATGGGAGGGAGATCTCAACGTCGATGTACTCGACACCGAGGCGGAGTGCGAGATCGAGCAATGCGGCAGCCGCTGCGGACTGATCGTCAGGGAATGCGCCGCCTTGCGCCTTGGTGCGGACGGTGTAGACGATGGGTAGGTTGGTAGCACGACGGAGGAGCGCAACTTGGTCCCTCACATAGGCGGCAGGAGGAATATAGACCCCGGCGGACCCGCCCTGAGGCGAACGCAACAGATCCACGCGCAGCTCGACCGCATCCACCCCCGCTGTCAGCTCCTCCATGAGCGGAAGCGCGGCGGAGATATCCGGATACGTCAAGCTCAGGAAGTAGCTCCTCCTCCCATCCCGCCAGCCCGCAAGGTTTGCCGACGTATTGGGGGCCACGCCTGTGATATGCTTGAAGAATCGCGAGACCTCTCGCGCCGTCGCTGCGCGCGCCTGCGCCGGGACATGATCCGCCGCGGCGGTGCCGAGATGGTTGACAAAATCGAAGTTGCAGCACGAGGCAAACCAGGGCGCGCGGCGAGCGGCAACGTCAGTGATGGACTCGCCGTAGGCGGGGCGTGCAGTCTCGGCGCCGAGGTACGTGACCACCTCGTCCATGTTACGGACGATGTGCACAACGGGGCCGCCGGAGGAAGCGTAGGCCTGGATAGCTTCACGCGCAGCGGGAGTCTCGACGATGCCGCCACCCAAAGACAGGATGTGCTTCGTGCCGTTCTCTTTGAGTATGAGGTTGAGAATGTCCGCCTCAGCGCCCCTGAATGCCTCCCAGCCCTACGAGCGACAATCAGCAAGACATTTCAAAAGGGGATGAAGTGATATACCTTCTCATGCACATATTCCCTCACCGTCAGCCCATGCTTCTCCTCAAAGTACACATCCGCATCGAGGAACGGCCACCCAAGGGCGGCAGAGGCCAGTTGACCGATATGCGTCTTCCCAGATCCGCGCATGCCGATGATGATGACAGACTTGTCAGAAGGGGCACGTACAAGATCGGCGGGTGGTGGTGGTTGCGTCCAGCCAAGGTCAACGCCTTCGACGTGAATTCCCAGCTATGGCATGATGAGTGTCTGGTATCAACAGCGAGAACACTACCTCTCACCTTGCCGCTGAGGTCATCCCACCAGTTCGGCCAGGTCTTCTCGACACAGCGCTTCTCCTCAAGGACAGTTCCGGGAACGACGGCCGCAAGCACAGAGAACGCCATCGCGACGCGATGGTCATCGTAGGTGTGCACGACCACCCCCCGCTTCAACTATGGTATGGCATGAGTCGTGAAGCCAACAGTCATTCTGGAGCATACTGACCTCCTCTACCGGCCGCCCATGAATGACAAGCCCCGTTGGAAGTTCGCTGCACTCCACGCCGAACTTGGCTATATAGGATGCTGTCAGTATCCAGTGGAGAGGAGTAAAAAGCAATATGCTCACCAAGCTCATCCACCATCGCCTTGATGCGATTGCACTCCTTCACGCGCTGGTTCGCGATCCCAATGATACGCGTTGTCCCTTTCGACACCGCAGCTAGCACGGTCGCCGTCAAGAACGCATCCGTCATGGTCTCCATGTCCAGCTCGCGCTCTGTAACAGCATGTCAGCACACCAGTCCCCCACGCTCTCCAATTCCATGCTCAGACGGAAAGGAAGACACTGACCTTCGGGCCCGCCCCAAGCCATCATCCCCTTCTCACTGCCACCGGCCTTCGTCCACGCGCCGACACCCACGACTGTGGTCTCTCGCTCCGTTTGCGAGACCTCACAACCCAGGCCGGCAAGCACGCCCGTAGCGAAGCCAGCGTCGCCCTGGAGGGAGCGCGTGCCGATGGCTTCGACAGTGCATTTGCCGCCAGTGATGGCAGCGAGGGCGAGAGGATAGGTGGCGCTGGAGGCGTCCGACTCGATGTCGTATTCGCCTGAAAATTATGTCAGATCTGGCGGACAAACACGGTGTATACGGTTGATTTCTCACCTCCATCGCACCGGTAAACACCGCGCGGGATATCGTAGATGTCCGTCCCCGGCCGCCTCGTCGCGCGCACGCCAAAGTCGGCCATCATCCCCAGCGTCATGTCAATGTAAGGCTGCGAGATGACCTGGGAGGGAGGAAGTCACATCAGCCTCAAGACCACGATGTCTAGGCGCAGGATTAGACGCACCTGCCCGCCCACAAGCTCCAACGTCACCGGCTCCTTCGCATAGGGCGCGCAAAGCAGTATCGAGCTCACATACTGCGAGCTAATCGAAGCGGCGAGCTTGATGTGGCCGCCCGCAAGTCCCTGCCCCGCGCCGACGCGCAGCGGGAGGCAGCCCTCGCCCTCGCGGTACTCGATGCTCGCGCCGTTTTCGCGGAGGGCGTCAACGAGCGGACCTAAGCGCGAGTGGTCAGCTTCACATTGACTATGCGACAGCCATGTTCACGGCGAAAGTGGTTACTCACCGATAGGCCGCTGCTTCATGCGCTTATTGCCCGTTATTGTTGTGGTCTTCGCCGACTCGGTCGCTGCAGGCCGATCAGCGTGACAACTCATACGTATTTCGACGCTCCACTGACCATCTACAAGCGCGCATACAGTCGTCAAAAAGCGCGCCGCCGTACCCGCGTTGCCAAGGTATACCTCCTTGCCTACGCATCGATGTCAGCCAACCCTCATCCCCTTGCCGCCGCCTAGCTTACCTGCGTCGGGCGCGTGCAAACTTCCGCCACGCCCATGCACCACGAGCGTCTCGCCGCCGTCTTCCCAGGTGAAAGTGGCACCCTGAACGACCGTGAGTGAAAGATGCAGGAATTGGGAAAGTGGAAAATCACGCACCCCCATCTCCCCCAACGCCGCGCGCATCACGCGCGTATCGTCCGAGTGCAGGAGGTTCCGCAGCTTCGTCGTCCCGCTGCTGAGCGCCGCCAGCAGCAGCGCGCGGTTCGAGATCGACTTCGAGCCGGGCGTTTTGAGGGAGACGCCTGCCAGTATAAAAGTGTCAGTAATCAGATCATCTCTCAGAGCTTGGGAGTTGCGCATTGCCAGAGCGGCGAGAAGGATACGAGAGCGGCGAGAAGGAAACCGGCGCGGAGAGAAGGATACGGGGGCGGCGAGAAGGATATGGGAGCGGCGAGAACAAAATCCGGAAGCCCCACTCACCCTTCCCCTTATCCAACAACTCGCTCGCGGGTCCTTCGGCATGATACGCCTCCATATCCGCGAGATGCGGGAAGCCGGGCAGTGCGGGCGGGATAACGCGCACGCTCTCGCAGAGCACGCGGTGCAGGAGGGCGTCGGGTACGGGGGAGGCGCTGGGTTAGGGGATGAACGTCAGTACTCCATCGCACAAAGTAGGAGGAGCACAACGTAGGAGGAGAAGGTGCTATATGTGATTCGAAGGCACAAACAGATGATGATTACGCACCGCTCCTCGACCGTCTGCCCGATCCCGGCGAGAAGGACGACGCGCTTCTCGTCGCCGGCGTTCTATTTTGAGTTTCTCCGTTAGTATACTCCGCGCATGTACTTGCAAACACGTAGCACGCACCTTCTTATCCACGCGCATAACGTCGAGTAGCCGTTCGGGCGTCGGAGGCGCCCACCCGCGCACAAGACTCGGCATGCGCGCGATGGCGTCGCGAAGGCGAGGGTCGTGCATGCTGACAGGCAGCCCATAAGCCGACAACACGCCCGACAACCGCGCTAGCGCGCCCTGCCCAGCGTGTCCGAGGGCTCGCGCGGTTTCGAGCTCGAGGATCATGCCTGCGAGAGCAATGATACTGCTCAGATGAATCTTCTGTGAACTCTAGAGGATCACCCACCGATAGCGACACACTCGCCATGAAGTATAAGAGGAGTAACACAGGCCTCGATGGCGTGGCCTACGACTCGTCAGCATGCATAGTACAGAGAGTGTGCAGTCATGTAATGCGGAATATGCAGACAGAGGGGTCCTTGTGCAGGCACCGATTGTCTCGCGCTTGCTATCCAGTCGGACCAAGCACGTGCACGCATGTGACTGGTTCTTCTTCGGTGCCGAAGTCCGAAAGACAGAACAAGAAGAAAAAAATCGAACACCAACCGATGCTATGGCCCCAGTTGACCAGGTTGCGCAGGCCTGTGCGCTCGTGGGGGTCGCCGGAGACGATGGCGGCCTGTTCGAAGGACGAGTTCAGCGTCAGGGAAGAAGTGAAGGGAGAAAGGACAGTCGTGAAGTGGAGGAGAGCCAATGATGAGGATGGGAGAAGACGCAAAAGCTGAGCAAAGGTGCACTCACCTTGATATGTATGCTGGTGGTTATGGCGCGGAGGAGGAGGTTCTCTGAGACGTGTGTTAGAATGGATTGAGGGTTGTATGCACAATGGAGAGAAAGGGGGTGTATGCCACAGAGAAAGGAAGGAAAGGATATATGCTAACAAAGAAGACACTGACCTTCCCCAGGCGCAAGCTTCCCCGACCACGCGGTCCAGAGGCGTTCGGGGTGCGACTCCAGCGCTTCGAAGAGGGCGGCGTCGCGGATAGCAGCGGTCTACGGCGAGCAGGTTAATTTGAGGGTCGACGGAAGCCGATGTGTGAGTCGATGTACGCTGCTAGACAGGCAGATGGGAGGTGTACTGGTCGATGTATGCGTGCTGCATCGACCACTGGGTGTCAAGAGGACTGACGAAACATACCTTGATGACTTCGGCCATGCCATTGGCAACTTCGCGTTCGGGGAGGGTAGAGAGGAAGGCTATAGGTTCAGAGAATCAGAGGGAAAGCATTAGCGGATACCAGTGGCAGCGAGGCGTGCCAGTGTGCGCACCACTGTCAGCGAAGATGAAGGCGGGCTGATGGAACGCGCCGATGAGGTTTTTGCCTGGGGGAAGACGTCAGGCGGATAGGTTGGGGGACGGGGGAACGAGGAACGCACCGAGGGGAACGTCGATCGCGGTCTTGCCGCCGACAGCGCTGTCTACCTGCGCGAGCAGTGTAGTAGGAATTTGCACGAAGTGGATACCGCGCATGCTACGGACGCTTCAGATGATGCATATATGCGCATATATATTGCGCTACGCACAACGTCGCAGCGACGAAACCAGCCAGATCGCCCACCACGCCGCCACCGAGGGCGAGGAGGACCGTGTCGCGCGTGCAACGGTGATCGAGCATCCAGTCCTCCACGCCCGCCTTCCCAGAACGGCTCTTCGTCTGCTCGCCCGGGGGCAGGAGATGGGTGAGGAACTGCGCGCCCCGTTAGCCACCGATCATCGCGCGGGGGAGTAGGCACGAACGCACCTTGTACGCCTTCTTCAGCGTCCCCTTCGCCTCGCGCTCCGCGCGCGCGTCCACGAAAGCCTTCTCCAGCTTATCGACCCATCCCGCGCGCGCGATGTTGGTGTCCGAGACCAGCACGTACGCACTCGCCGGCAACTCGTCCAGCACGGTCGCGGCGATGTGCGGCAGGATCGCATGCCCGGTGTGGATGCTCTCCGTCCCGAGGATAGAGATGCGCGTCACGCCCGACGCCGACGCCGTCGTCGTCGTCGCCATAATTTTGGTTAGTAGAGTGAGGAGCAAACAAGGGAGCCGCCGAAAACGCGACAATAACGATGACTCCGATCTCCGCGGGCGGCGCGGAGGTAAGTGATGGCGGGCGCGACGCGTCCGGCGCTTATTTCAGTGTCGGGGGTAGGCGCGACGGCCTGCGACTGGACTCTTAAGAGGACCGCATTGGCCCGTGTTGCCTGCGGCGGGCAGCACCGGACGGTCTCAGGCGGCCCTCTATCAGCTCTCCGTCCCAATCGCCGCACACTCAATGTCAACCTGCCGTCAGTCCGCTACGAGACCCTTCAGCTCCGTCCATGATCCTTCATCCCGTCCCCTAGCTCTCAGTCCCGTCTACGTCAGTGTCGCTGCTTTGAATCTTGCCATTGTCTAGTGTTCTATACCGTGTCGCGCTATCGTCCCGCAATCGAGCAAACCATGAAGAGAGAAGAGACAGACGCGCACGCGTACTGTCGTGTGACAACTTCAACTGTGACCGCTACAGTATCTCGATTAGATAGCCTCGACACGCGACTCATCTCTTAGTAATTTAGTTTTGCTCCTCCCGTAGTTTCTTCTATCTCGTTCGTGTACTTTCCATTGCCTTCCTATCCTTCTCAGATATAGTAGAAAATACTCAGAATTTCCATAGCCTTCTCGATACTCATGTACTGGTATATAGACGTCGTCTCCTAGGCGGAGCGACAACTCTTTCGATCCCTCGTAATACATTGCCTCGTGTTCCCGCCTTACCCGCGTGAGCCTAAGTCGTAACGCATTGATTCGCTCTGCCTACGCCAAGAGCTTCGACATTGACTCGCTCTGTCGTCGTCCCTTGCCTGACCGTGTATCACGAACTTCGAAGGTAATTTCTGATATTCTAAGCGTATCGTGAGGTCCTGAACGTTAAGTTGTGCGCTAGTCTACAACATTGGTGTCCGCAGCCAGGAACTGCACCATAGCTTGGAATATTCACTCTATCTGCTTACTTCTCGCGTCTACATCAACAATCAAGTTCGAACCGATCCTCAAGCAAGGCCATGTCCCGACAACGGCCGCCGTCTCGAGCCACCGATCGAGTGGCACTCAATCCTCTCTCCGAACCCCTTCGACCGTACTCTGGCTACTCGGGTATCAGCACCCGTCGACACGAGGATGGCGGGGAACGTCCGAATTCTCCGGACAATGGCTCGTACTTGGGGGCAGATCGTACGTACGATTGGGATCGGTCTGTGGAGGAGATCTACGAGGAATCACAGGAGCGAATTCCCGAAGATGACCCATTAGCTAGTACGGTAGTCAAAAATCTATCACCAGTGACGAAACCGTATTGGAAGTTGAGTGCTTCGGAAGTCGCGCGAGAGCGCTACCAGCGAGTACTCTCCGATGCCTCAGTCGAGACCAAATCAGAGCGGAAAGTCGCTAGTTATCGCGAGCTGACTCGATCTCTAAGGAAGGCGAATGGTCCTTTTGGTAAGGAACTAGAACTGCTGGATAACGCGATTCTATTCGTCCGTACCGCGCGCTCTAGTGAGCACCCAAACGAGCATATCTACGCCCCTGAACCTGCGCGCATCCGGTCGCTTACTCAAGCACTGGAGAAGAGGCGTAAGCAAGCAAAGGAAGCGTTCACGCTCGCTGGGAAAAGGCCACCTACTCTTCCCCAATGGAATCGCGAGAATGACCTCGATCTAGCTTATCGCTCGTACAGTTTCGAAGGTATGTGTATACTCTACCGCTTGCAGGTAGGAGATTTCCTGATGCGACTGGATTCAGTATTCGATTTTGCTACAGGTAAGATTCGAGGTACTGAAACCACAGATGAGGAGGAAGAGGTTCCTTCTGTCGCATCTCAGCGCACGGTTCGTCAAGCGCAGAAGCCATTGCACGTACCTGGCGATCTGGCATCGATCCATCGTCAGCACGCATCGCAGGTCTATGCGGGGCGTACAGGCTCCGCTGCGCCGCGTATCTCCACGCCATCCACGGGACTTGCGCAATTGTTCAGTAATGATCCTGCCTATGTTCAGCCTGCAGTGAACTCTTCGACGTGGATGCCAGGCGGCTTCGTACCTACACCCTATACGTCGCCCTATCCTAATGCCGCTAATCCTTACGCGTACGGCGTCGCGCCACAAGACTCCATCTCGAACCACGCTGCATATTCTCGGCATGCAGGAGGTGGGGAACCACCTGATGATGAGCCCGATGACTCTGGCGAGGACGACCAGCCCACAAATCGGGGGCGAAGCAACCTGCCTCGTGATAGGGATGACGCTTCGTATGGACGTCGCGGTCGTCGAGGTGGCAATCCTTCTCCCTCTCCGCCGCCATCTGATGATGACGATGGAAGGAGGGATCCTCGTCGACCGCCGCGAGTTCCTCGGTTCGCGCCTTCAAGCCGACCTGCAGATAAGACTGAGAATAAGGAAAGTCGGTTCGATATGAAGTTGAAGATATCCGACGTACCAGCGTGGAACGGTAGCGAGGAGACAATCGCCAAATGGATCAGCAAAATCAATGCGTTGTCGAGAGAGTCTAAGACAATCTTTAAACAGCTTGGTATTGTGGTCCCAAAGCGACTCACCGGTAGCGCCGAAGCCTGGTTCTGGTCCTTAGAGGAAGCATACCGTGCCGAAATCTGCCAGGACTGGAGCTCCTTACGCCATGCAATCGCGTCATACTACATGAACCGTAAGTGGGTCATGAAGCAGAAGGCGAAAGCGCGAAATGCAGCTTACCGACAAGCTGGGTACGCGCGCGAGACGCCCAGCGAGTACTTCATTCGCAAAGTGGAGCTGATGTCCATGGTTCACAATCTGGATCAGGACGAGATGATTATGGAGGTCATGGACAACGCACCTTCGAGTTGGAACAATATCTTGACGACCACTCTTTACCCTGATCTTCGTTCATTCCAGTCGGCAATCCGCTACCATGAGGACGCACTGATGGATGCTTCAGCTCCTGCACGAAGCACCGATAATCATTACGAACCTCGTCGGTCGGGGAGCAAGCCGCGCCCTCAGCCCTCCGCTCGAGTACACCTTGTGGGAGCATCTAAGGACTTGCCGCCCCCTCGCTTCGCGCCGGACAACACGAATGTGTCCAAGGTAACGCCGAAGGACAAGGGCGCTCGTAATTGCCGCCATTGTGATAGTCCCTTTCACTGGGATAAGGAATGTAAGCATGCACGTAAGGGAATGAAGACGGCGCGTACCCGATTGGCAGAAGCCTCTAAAGACCATCTCGAAGCGGAGGACGAGTACGACGAGCTCTATTGTAGTACCTTGTCCGATGAGAGCAGCGAGGAGGATTTTAAAGGGGCCCTCCAGGTAGCCGAGGCTAGTGCGTCGCTCGTAAGCTCAAGCGAGCAGGACATGACGCAGTCGATGGCGCTGGAGGGAGTGTCTGCGCAAGAGAGCATTCAGGAGCACGCTAATCGCAGAGAAGAGACGTACGAACCTCAATGTCACCGCTCAAAGGCGGTCGCTCCCTTTGCGGAGCGTCCTCCCAAACCCGCGCTGAATCGTCGGACACGTCGGCGGTTAGCACGCGAAATTGAAGCGGCCTCTTACCGGGTTCATACTTCGCAGGATTCCGAGAAGCCTCTCGTCGAGTTGAGGAAGCATATGGCGCGTCCACCCGGTTCTTCATTCCTTGGTGCCAAGGCGACCCAAGCTAAGGCTACTGTCAATGGATTAGACGACTGGATTGAGGCCATTATCGACTCAGGATCTGATATTACCTTGATCTCCGCGAAGGCTCTCGCCGCGCTGATCAGCCGCCCGCGCATGAAGGCCGGTCAAAAGATTAATTTAGTCCAGGTTACGGGCTCTTCCGTAATTTCAGGCTACGTTACCTTAGACCTTTACTTCCATACCTGCGAGGGTCCGGTGAAGCTCAATGTGGAGGCGTACGTCGTAAAAGGCATGGGTACTCCATTTATTCTCGGCAATGACTTTGCAGATCAGTACTCCATTTCGATCTTGCGCGAGGAAGGAAAGACTCGCCTGCAATTCGGTGATTCAGGAAGGACCATGGATGTGGAAAGCTCGACCTCGAAGTTAGTGGACGAGGAGGGACACGCTTTCCGCGTAAATGTTGTACCTGAATACAGTAAGCGCGTTCCTCGTGCTCTGAAATATCGCCGGGTGCGTCAGCAACGTCGCTTGAGGCAAAAACAGCTGCAAGGTGATGTAAGTGCTAAGCAGGACATCATTATCCCTCCTGAGACGTGTAGGAAGGTGCCAGTCGACGTACATTTCAGCCGACATCTCGACTCCGTCTACGTTGAGTCCAAGCTTCTATCCCACGGGAATATCGATGAAGTTTTCGGAGCGCCGGACACCCTCCTATACAAGGACAATCCTTTCCTCCAAGTCTCGAACTTCTCGTCGAAGCCAGTGACCATCGCTCACGGCGAGGTATTGGGTACATGCCGAAATCCCCGAAATTGGCTGGACAGTTCTAGCAAGATGTCGGCCGGGGCGCGAGCGAAAATCGAAGCTCATAGTAGCTTTCTGCGGCATCTAGTGAGCTCGAAGAGCAGAGGCACCGAACTGCGCGTGGAAGAACGACGAGATGAAGTCGGAGGCAGGACGGATTTGGAAGGCCTTGATAGTCGGCGTGTTCCGGACGATTACCGCATTGGGCACAAGGACGCCACATCGTGCTTGCCTCCTCCCGCTGACGTCCATGCCATCCGCTCCGAATCTAACATCAGCTCAAAAGCGCAGCGCAATGCGACCGAGCCGGACGACCCCGCAGCGACAGATCCTGTGGAAGGAGGCCCAAAGACATCCTTACCGCCCGAAGACTTCGTAGACAGCGCGCGTCTGCTCGACGAACTCGACATCTCTCCCGACGTCAACTCGGATCAGCGAGCACGGATCGAACAGACTATCGTCAAGCATAAAACCGCCTTTGGTCTCGATGGCCGCCTTGGGAACTATCCCGCTCATGTCGAGATCAAGTTGAAGCCGGGTACGCAGCCAATCTCTCTCCCACCATTCCCGGTCTCTCCAGCGAAGCGCGAGGTCATTGACAAACAGATGGACTCGTGGATACAATTGGGCGTCATTGAGCCGTCAAAAAGCCCTTGGGCCGCTCCAGTTTTTATTACTTATCGCAATGGTAAGCCTCGCATGGTTATCGACTTGCGAAAGCTGAACGAAGCGGTGATCCCCGACGAGTTTCCTCTCCCGCGTCAAGACGATATCTTGCAAGCGTTGCAAGGCTCTCAATGGCTCAGTACGTTGGACGCTCTCTCGGGTTTCACCCAACTGACGCTTACTCCCGACGCGAGCGAAAAATTAGCCTTTCGTTGTCATCGTGGTCTCTGGCAGTTCAAGCGTATGCCATTCGGTTATCGGAATGGGCCGAGCGTATTTCAACGCGTCATGCAAGGTATACTCGCCCCCTTCCTGTGGGTTTTCGCGCTCGTCTATATTGACGATATTGTGATTTTCTCGCAGAACTTCGAGGACCACGTCAAGCATCTCGACCAAGTCTTCGAGGCTATTGCTGCTTCAGGTATCACTCTTTCACCTTCTAAGTGTCATTTCGCTTATCAGTCGCTTATGCTTCTGGGGCAGAAGGTCTCCCGACTCGGACTCTCTACGCACAAGGAGAAGGTCGACGCGATTCTCGATCTCGAGGAGCCCCGAAACGTGAGTGAGCTCCAGACGTTCTTGGGCATGATGACTTACTTCTCGTCATACATTCCCTTTTACGCGTGGATTTCGCAGCCTTTCTTCAACTTGTTGAAGAAGGACACGCCTTGGAGCTGGACTGAGGTTCATCGCGAGGCCTTCGACCTATGCAAGCAGGTTCTTACGAATGCACCCGTTCGCGCCTACGCGATTCCAGGTCGCCCGTACCGTGTGTATACTGACGCTTGCGACTATGGCTTGGCAGGTATCCTTCAACAAGTCCAGCCGATCCTCGTTCGGGATTTACGAGGTACAAAGGCTTACGATCAACTTCTACGCGCGTACAAGAGCAAGCAGCCTATTCCTCGCCTGGTGACGACGGTCTCTAAGGACCTGGACGACGTCCCCGTGAATGGTGAGTGGTCCGATAATTTCGAGGACACCACGGTGCACGTCGAGCGCGTTATCGCATACTGGTCGCGTGTGCTGAAGTCGCCTGAAAGGAATTACTCGCCGACGGAGCGTGAGGCATTGGCACTCAAGGAGGCTTTGATAAAGTTCCAGCCATACCTCGAGGGTGAGGACATCCTCGCCATCACGGATCACGCAGCACTGACTTGGAGCAAGACCTTTCAGAACGTCAATCGTCGTCTTCTCACGTGGGGTACTGTTTTCGCCGCTTACCCAGGGCTTCGCATCGTGCATCGTGCCGGTAAGGTGCACAGTAATGTCGATCCCATCTCACGTTTGCGCCGACGTGTGCCCTATCAAGATGGACCGCTAGTTGACGACACTAGGACTCTTCGCTTTGCCGAGCAGGACCCATTGCGCGGAATGTACGAAGAATTAGGTACAAATTTCGAGGAGAAATTGCTTCAGGTCGCTTCCCGCTATGTACACGGTGAGGAAAACAACGAAGACCGAGCGTCAGCACTGACCTTCGATGTTGAGCTCACCACGGGACTAGAAGAGCGCATTGACGTCCCATATGCGACCTCCCGGTCTTTCTCCGTTCTTGTCGGTCTCGAAGAGTCGGAGGTGAGTGCATGGCGATCCGCTTATGCCTCGGATACTCATTTCTCCAAGGTCCTCGAGAGCATGAGCTGCGAGGAGAGCTGGTACAACCCGGATTATCCTCAGTATCATTACAGCGATAATGGGCTCTTATACTTCGAGGACTGGAATGGGAATAACCGTCTTTGCGTCCCTAACTCGCTTCGGGCTCAGGTCATGAACGACGTACACAACACCATCTCAGAAGGCGCTCACGGCGGATATCACAAGACTTACAACCGCATAGCGAGCATGTACTACTGGCCGAAAATGTCTCGTGACATCCGAGCTTTTGTAAGTACGTGCGACATCTGTCAGAAGATCAAGCCGCGCCGTCATGCACCCGCAGGGCTTCTCCAACCAATCCCCATCCCCTCTCGCCCCTTCGAAGTTGTCACCATGGACTTCATTCCTGAGCTCCCGACGTCAAACGGGTTTGATAATGTCCTTGTAATTGTTGACAAACTGACGAAGTACGCGTTGTTCATTCCGTGCTCTACTCACCTCACTGCGGTTCAGACAGCTGAACTATTTTTCAGTCACGTCATCAAGGACTATGGTATTCCATCTCAGGTCATCACCGACCGCGATACACGTTGGCGGGGTGAGTTTTGGAAGAACATCTGTGATTTAATGGGTAGTCGACGCGCTCTCACTACAGCTTACCATCCTCAGGCCGACGGTCAAACGGAGATTCTTAATCAATATCTGGAAATTGCCCTTCGCGCGTACGTCGGCCCTTCGCGCAACGACTGGTCAGACCACCTCGCCGCCTTGGCGCTTTCTTACAATACCACACCTCACACTTCGACGGGTTTCTCGCCAGCTTACCTACTTCGAGGGTACCATCCAACAACCGCCGCCTCAATGCTCTCGGATCCTGCCTCAGTCCCTCGCCCGACTCGAGGCGCCGGTCTTGAAGGGGGGGGTGAAGGTACTCTTGTAGCCGACGAGGAAGCGCAGGAGATGATTGAACATTTCGAAGCAGATCGTTCTCGAGCTAAGGAAGCGCTCCTTCTCGCCCAAATTGCTCAGCGCAAGGATTATAATCGAGGCCGACGTGTGGAGGAGTTTGAGGAAGGTGAGCTTGTGGTCCTCAATCCGCATTCACTTCAGTTACTCCGCAACGAGAAGGGTCGGGGCAAGAAATTGCTCATGAAGTACGACGGGCCCTTCGAGATTATCCGGAAGATAAGCCCGGTAACTTATCAGCTGCGTCTTCCCGAATCGTATGGCATGCATCCCATCCTCAATATCGCGCATCTTGAAAGGTATCAGCGCTCTCCTCCCGAGTTTGGCGAGCGCCCGACCAAACCACTCCACCGAGGTGACTTTGACCTCGACAAGCAGGTCGAGATCGAACGAATCATCGATGAGAAATGGAGCCGACGCCACGGAAAGCGCCGACATCGCCTTTATAAAGTGCGCTGGAAAGGATTCCCGCCTGATCATGACGAATGGCTGTCCGCGAGCGCTCTTGCAAACGCGCCGGAAGTCCTTAGGAAATGGCGTTCTGTAATCACATCCAGTGGAGCTGTCTCTTCACATTAAAAAACGATATGAAGTTGATAAGCTTCTCAAAGGGAATCCGCTCCAAGCCTCGTTTCTGTTCGCTGCGCATCATCCTCGCGGTTGTTTGGCAAGCGTCTTTGACCAGGTCAGTCTCAGCAGTATTTAAGTCAGTATGTTTTCTTCCCCTCTAGCCAGCTACTCAGCCTTACTCTCGCCGCCAACACACGTTCTTCTTCGCTTCTCTCTCACTCTCAATCACCATGTCTTCCTTCGCGTCGATCTGCTCGCCTTCGGTCGCTCTCACCCGTTATGACCCCGATTCCTTCGTGGGCTACGTTCAGCGGGTGATACGTGACCCCGCGATGACGACGTTCATCACCTCCTTCATCGACATCGACTCCCTCATCGTGCCCTTGTCAAACAACGACATCGTCAAGGTTGTGAACGAGCAGGGCATCGTCCAGAACTACGCGGTCAAGTGGACCACGGCCGAGAAGACACACGCCACTATCCACCGTTTGGCAACCATGCTGTCGTGCATTCTGGCCGACCACTGCATCGGCGGCACCATGGATCACCTTCCCGCCAATATCCCGGCTCGCGCGCTTCAACAGGCGGGCCTCCCTCGCGTCCCCGCGTTTCTCGCTGCCGCACTGCACACCAACTGTCTTTCTGCCATCCGCACCAGTACCGGCGAGGAGCTCGTTGAGGTGTACAATCACGTTCAGAACACCGCTCGTTTCTACGTCCGTCTCCTTCTCAAGTTGCTCGAACGGCAGGTGCAGCTCGGTTTCGACAGCGCGTACAACTTCGGGGCTTGTATGGGCTTCAACAAGGCGGCCTTCCTCCAAGTCATCGCCCCATGGCTTGTTGAGCAGGAGGCGAAGCGCCGTGGCATGAGCGTTGAGACCCTTCTCCGCGTGTCCTCCCCTTCGGGCGACGGTAGCAACAAGGCCCGTGTTGTGCCAGAGCCCGAGGGCGACATCAATGCTGGATGGGCGGCTTCGCACAACGTGCTCGGCCTGCCTTTCTCTATTCGACTCGCCTGCGATGACGTCGCTGACGAAGAGCTCGAGCCCGGTGACCTGCCTGCTCGCCATCTCGTACGGTTTATCTCTCGTGATGTTACGCACACGGTCTTCGGCTTCATTTGAAGTCCCGTAGTCGAGGCTGGGGGGGCCGTGTCGTGTGACAACTTCAACTGTGACCGCTACAGTATCTCGATTAGATAGCCTCGACACGCGACTCATCTCTTAGTAATTTAGTTTTGCTCCTCCCGTAGTTTCTTCTATCTCGTTCGTGTACTTTCCATTGCCTTCCTATCCTTCTCAGATATAGTAGAAAATACTCAGAATTTCCATAGCCTTCTCGATACTCATGTACTGGTATATAGACGTCGTCTCCTAGGCGGAGCGACAACTCTTTCGATCCCTCGTAATACATTGCCTCGTGTTCCCGCCTTACCCGCGTGAGCCTAAGTCGTAACGCATTGATTCGCTCTGCCTACGCCAAGAGCTTCGACATTGACTCGCTCTGTCGTCGTCCCTTGCCTGACCGTGTATCACGAACTTCGAAGGTAATTTCTGATATTCTAAGCGTATCGTGAGGTCCTGAACGTTAAGTTGTGCGCTAGTCTACAACACGTACATAGCGCGCCGCGCACCACGCAGTTCGCTGAATGCAACACGCAACGTCTGCTGAATAAGAATAAATAACGCTCGATTGCTACCGTCCATCACGCACATACTATACGCCTGCCAATCATGAATCGCGCGCGACGACAGACTCACCAGCGGTCTCGCGAGGGGGAGCTAAGGGTGACGACACCCCGCGAACGGAAACGTACACCCCGTCATGAAGTACCGTCTCCCATCACGCCCCGCTGCCACTCCCGCCATTCGCACCCAGCCCCGCCCCGGATAGCTTTCGCCGCAGCGACGGCGCCACGACTGTCGGGCTGCTCGATTCGCTGACATCCGCCAACGCTGGGGACCCCGGCACGGGCGTAGAGGACCCTGATCCCGGTGCCCCCTGTTGCAGCGCGCTTGAGGAACCCTGCTGCAACACGCCCATAATCGAGTTCGACGACGACCGGCTGCGCGAGATGTACGGCCGCGGCTGCGTCAGCGAGTCCTTCGAGCCCTTCCGCTGCAACGAGTCCTTCGACGTCTTCTTCTGCAGCGAGTTGTTCGACGTCTTGCGCTTCAGCTCTGCCGGCGGCTCGTCGTCCTCGATCGGCCGCGTCCCGTCCTCATTGACCTCGCGCGGCGGCGGGCGCTCGACCATGGCCTCGAGGAGCTGCGGGACAGTCGACGTCAGCCATCGTGCCCTTCGTACGCCTCATTCCTTCAGGCACTTAAAACAACGCAATCACTCACCTCCCTCCTCAACTCCTCCCCCGCATACTCGCCCTCCATCTCCTCCGGCCCCAGCAGCACCGTCCCCTTCCTGAACACCTCCCCCTCCTCCTCCACCCAAGACCGGCTCCTTACAGTCGGGCTCGCCACCTCTTCCCTTGCCGCATATCTTGCATCCAACCGCGGATCGAACCTCGGCCCGTCCTCATCCCCCTCATCGTCCATGTCCTCCCGCGCGAGCATGAAGGTGGGGCTGAGCACCTTGTCCTCCGGATCGGGCTCGGGCTCCGCGCGGCCCTTGCCCTTGTCGACTCGCGGCGTGGGCGGCGCGTCATCGGAGTCGTCGTCCTGGGCCGCAGTGGTCGTAGAGCCGTTCGCATGCCCATTAAGGTGCGCGATGGATGGCGGCTTGGGGCTTGTGCGCGGGCTCACAAGTCGCGGGCTGTACGGAAGGTCGACATTGAGAGTCGGCCTTTCTGACGGTGCAGGTGATGTTGCGGGAGCATTGGTATCACCAACCACACCCGCCTCCTTTGGCACGCGCTGCAGGAGCGCCCTTAGCTCATCGTTGACATTCAGGAGCTGCTCTAATCGCGACGGGTCCGCCTCCTCCGTGACGACCTGCTCGAGCTCGGTGACAAGATCCCGCGCGCGAACGATGGAGTTGGAAAGTGTGAGTTGCGTAGGTGGTTGTGAGGGACCGGAGGAGACAAGGAGAGAGGGCGCGGCAAGGGCGAGCAGCGGCGGAGGTTGTGATGTTGGCGGTTGCGGCGGAGGTGCATCGAGCAGTGCACGCAGCTCCTCGACGACTGCTTTGCCGCGAATGAGGACGTCCGTACGGATCTGATTGAAGTCAAGAATCAGCATTGTCATTCCGAGTAAACAACGAAAGAAACACATACCTTCTTCTCCTCATTCAACCGGATCGTCTTCGCCAGCTCGCTCTCCTCGATCATGCCCCACACCCCCTTCCCCTGTCCCCTCCCACTCTCCGCCGTCGCCGAAGCCGACGCCTGCGCACTCTTCTCTGCCTCCTCCGTATTCCGCACACACGAGCTCAGGATCTCGCGGCACATCCTGACAACGCGAGTCGCGGGAACGAATGCGAAAGTTAGCGTTCAGGTCCCCCGTCTTCGGCACACAAGCACCGCACACTCACCTCGCAAACTCCTCATCCCCCGGCGGAATGTTCAGATCGAGGCAGCGCATGACGTGGTTCGCTTTCAGGCCCGAACTCAACGCCATCACGCCGGCGATGTCCAGGTTGTTCATCGTGAGGTCGAGGTGAAGGAGGGAGCTGGACTCGGGCAGAAACTCAGCGAGGGCAATGGCGCCGGCGGAGGTCATCTGTGTGGATGAAAGGAAGAGGCGCTTGAGCGCGGTGTTCAGGGTAAAGGCGGTTCGGAGGGATTGAATCTGGATGAAGGGTCAAAAGGGTCTGTTCTTGAAGAGAGGGGCGAGCAAGCACGCACGCCTTCGAGTCCTGGGCCACAACAGGGGTTCTTGCTGAGGTCGAGGGTTTCTAGCGAGGAGTTGTATTTCTGAATGCTGATCAGGATGACTGACGGGTCGAATCAGCTCATTTGCTTACTAGCGCCTCGGCCACGGATATCAAGCACTGCACATCGAGCTTGTTCTCGCTTAAGTTCAGCACTTTCAGTGTCCGATTCCGCTTCAGGACCTGCGCAATATACGTGATCCCTGTCTATCATACAGCGTACCACATCGTTAGCCATCGTCAAGTCAGCTGCTATACGCACGCACCCGCAAGTCATTCCCCTTAAGATCCAGCGTTCGCAATGCGCCCAGCCGCGGTAGGGTATCCAGTGCCCGCACCTTGTCAAGCAGCGCGGCGCTGGGCCCCGCAGCATGCTTCGGCTGCCCGTTGTCCTGCGGCGCACTATGCCTCGCCGTCACACCGCCCTGCACCGAGGACGTGATGATTGGCACATGCTGCCCCGTCGCCGAGAGCGGGTTCACGCTCGTCGTCGTCGTTGCTGCCTGCCCCCGCTTGGACCGCGGAATGTATGGCGTGTACGTCGTCTGCGGCGGCGCTTGCGCTGGGTGCTTGGGCGGCGGGGGTAGCGGCCCTGACCGTGGCGGCGGAGGTGGCGAGCGGGGCGGCGGAGAAGAGAGACTGGGCACCTGGAGTGTAGTCGTCGGTGGCGAAAGCGGGGGAAGGCCGGAGATGACGGGCGAAGGTGGCGTGGATGAAGCGGGCGTGGAGCCGGGGCTGGGTACGACGTCCGGGTAGTCACGAATCATGAGCGCGATGGCCACCGCGCCGGTCTGGTTTATTCGATTGTAGCGTAGGGATATGTTGCGGAGGGATGAGGTGCGGACGGCGCGGGCTGAGATGCGATTAGCACGCAGCAGTAGAGTACCATAGACGCGTACTTACCGAGAGTTTCCAGCGCGGCATGTCGTAGCTGACAGTCATCCAGACGTAAGGATACTAAGCCGGGTGTCGGTGCGGTCGGGATGGCTGCTACGATGTGCTCGATGGCCTTCTTCTCCAGAGGGTTTTGCGAGAGGTCGAGGAACTGCATGTTCTGCGCCTAAAGGAGGGTTTGAATACGACACCACGATACTGATACGCGTCATACCTTCTCGAGGAACACGCCAACAAGCCGAAATGCGGGAGTCTTCAGTCGTTTATTAGACTCCAGCGAGAGGTACGAGAGCGTGTTCGGAATGAGCAGCGCATGGAGGATCGGCTTCAGCGTCTGTAGTAACGCGCTCAACAACAGTGTAGGGGCATAGGCAGAGAACGCACATGCTCATCCAGATCGCACTCCTTGAACGTGAGCTTGCGCAGTCCCCACTCGACCGTGAACACGTCCGACAGGATGCTCGCCGTCGTTAGCGTCATCTGCACGCCCGAGAAGTCCACAGCACGCGGGTGCGCAGGGTTCGCGTGCTACTCAGCGCGTTAGACTCCGGACCAGCAGTATACTGCAGCGTGCACGCACCTTGAACGCATTCGTGATGGCTGGGTCCGGCTTCTCGTCGCAGCCTTCGCAGCACTCCCGATAGAAGCTCTCCACCTTGTCCATCGACCACCACTCCTCGTGGTCCGGACCCGAGCTGCTCCCGCGCAGGACGCGCTTGCGCCGCTCCGCCTCGCGGTCCTCGATCGCCCGCTTCTCCTCCTTGAGCGTCGGTGTCGACGGCGGGTTCATGGACGATATCGGGTACACCGTCGCTATCTCGGGCAGAATAAAGTGCGCCCTCTTGAGGGGCTGCGCGTCGTCCCCCGACGACGCGCCATTAGTGTTCTGGGTCGGTAGGAATCTGGTGATGCGCGAGAAGAGCGACTGTTGGGGAGGCGGCGGGCGCTTGAGGATGGACTTTCCCGGGATGGGGATCGTGTTCGCAGACGATGAGGGAGAGGGCCTTGGGGAAAGTGTAGCCATGGGTGCTGTCGTCGCTGCTTAGCACATCGACGACGGCGACACGACGGTGATGAGGAGAACTTGGGCCGAAGTCGATAATTGACGGATATTCGCCACGCGGCACGTCGCGTGCGCCCATCTCTCTAAGTCAAGTTCAACTGCGACAAGCCGAAGTGTTTGCACAACGAGAAGCCGAGCTGCTTGCATTGCAGGAGCCCTGCGTACTCCCTACGATAGTATGTCGAAACACATGCATAGTCCTTACAGAAACACCCAGACTACCGCCGACGATACCTCCCCCCATCCTTCCTTGCCTCCGCTTCCACCACCCTCAACTTATCCCTATGCATCTCCCTCGCACGCTCATTCATATCCGTCACCTCCTGCGTACTCGGGAATCCAATCTCCCAATACCCCGGCGGCGTCTTCGCCCTCGCCCACTGCTGCCGATGCCGCGAGATCGCCTGTCGATGCGCCTGTACTTGTTCATCTCGATGGTCGTCCTGACGGCGGTCATCCTGATGGTGCTGGCACTCCGGACGATGCTTGCGAGGAGACCGCGATGGCGAGCGCCACAGCGGACCCTGCGGTCGAGCGGGCAGTGGCCCCACTGCCTCGTAGTACTGCGCAAGCAAAGCTGTGAGCTACAAAACCAGCGAGGGGGCTGGGGCCCGCAAAATCGCGAGAGGTGCAGCGTTCGCGAAACAGCCAGATGACCGAAGTCCGCGAAACAGCACAAGGAAACCAACGTACCTCGCGACAGCATTCGCAGTCCGTAGCCTCCAAACGCTTGCGGCTCTCCCTGCCACGCACAACATCCTCAAACTGGAAGTCTGCGCCGTTGTTTCGAGTGCGGTCGATCTCAAAGAGCGAGTTGATGGTGGTGTCGCTGAAGGGGGAGTGTAAGTCGATGTTCACGGGGCAGTTGAAGTGCAAAGCGTGAGTAGACAGAAATCGTCAACACAACTGAAGTGGACAATCACAAATGAAGTGGACAAACAACTCACCCCGCATCCTTCTTCCTCTCCCTCTCCTTCCCATACCGTCCCCGACCCTTGAATCGAGAATAGTCCGTCTCCGCCTTCGACTTCAACAGCGCCTTCTTGGAATCTGACGAGGCAGCCGGTGTGGAAGGATCCGCTCGCCCCTTGCCCTTACGATCGGTCCGACCCTCGCCATTGCGATCTGCCTTCGATTCGCTCGACTCCCCCTTTGCAGTATGCGTGTCCTTGGTCAAAGGTTTTCCCTCCTCAACTAGCGTCCTATCCCCGCCACCCAGCGTCCTATCCTCGCCAATCAATGTCGTGTCCTCGTCGTCGACCTCAGCCTTGAGTCGCCGGAGCGCCTCCCCTCCGCCGTGTCGCCGCAGGGCCTCGCCACCGGGAAACCTCTGCGTGTCGTTTCCATGCAACCTCTGCGCGTCGTTTCCGTGCAACCTCTGCGCCCCGTCGCTCAGCCTGCGTATCTTCCTAGGCGGCTCCTCCGTGGTGCGTGTATGCGGCCCAATATCGCTGCGGCGACCTCTCTGGCGCTGCTTGTCATGGCGATCAAGCTGAGGCTGCTCAGTGAGATCAGGCAGAGGCGACTTGGGGAGGTCACGCCCACGCGACTCAGGGAGGTCAAGTCGACGCGACTCGGAGAGTGAAATCTGAGGCGACTCCGGCTCATCCTTCGGCAAGCGAGATGGCCCTGCGGACGGTGGCGAGCTGTGTATCGAGATAACGGACGAGTCTGGGACGAGGACGACTGGCGGGCGCTCAGTGGTAGTCTTACCTGCCATCCTGGGTGAGTATAGAATAACTACCAGCATGCGAAGACGTACTACGTATGGGTGATTGCGTAGACTCCTCGGTCACGGATGGGGACGGAGGTTGCTGAAGAGGTGCAGGTCGTGGTACTTTCCTATGTGAGGTGTGAGCACGAATGATCGTCCGAGTAGCAAGACGTGTACCTCTGAGGCGTACTCAAGTTGAATGTGGGCACAGAACCCCCATTCTTGGGCGGGGTAATGGGAGCATTAGGCGCGGCATTCTCCCTGTCCCCGAGCGGTACGCGTCGTTTCTTCTCCTTCACGACACGCTTCTCGGATCGCATGCGCTGCTCGAGATCATCCACGGAGGCTACTGCGATTACATGTTCAGCACCTGAGACCGAGGAGCTCGTCCGAGCCCACTCACAGAAGCCCGGCCCCATCACCTGGTCAAGGTCGTCCAAGGTAGGCATGTCCATCTCCTCCTCCTTGACCTCTCGCCGACGCTTAAGCACGTTCTGTGTGGCCTGACGCGTGCCGGAAGGACCATCGTCACCGCGCATGAAGCGCATGTGTGCCCTCATCTTCGCGTAGTCCTTCTTGTACCGCTCCTGAGCACGCGCAAAGTTATTCTGCAGCGCTTCGAAATTCGCCTGCAGGGCGTGCAGCTCCTTCTCATGAGCGCACGCGCTACTGAGCTCCATGTCAGTCAAGTGCCACTCATCCCACTCGATCACGCACCTGTCATCACTCGCACATCCCTGCCGCTCTCGCCCCTTCCCCTTCCCCGCCTGCTCCCACAGCATCCCATCCTCTTCCAGCATCTCTATCCTCGCGTTCGCGCGCTCCAGCTCGCGCTCCTTCTCCTCCAGCCGCGCCAGCGCCTGCTCATACGTCTCCTGCACCTCCGCATTCGCCAGCTGATACTCTCCGTCCACAAGATCCTGAAATCCCAGCCGTCGCGCGAAGCGGTCCGCGCGCTGCCGATAGTCGTACAGCTCGTTGCGCGCATTCTTGTATGCGGCCTCTATGCTGCGGTAGCGCCTCTCGACCTTGCTGATCTCCTCCTGGTGCTTCTCAGCGACCTTCTGGTCCCGCAGGCGCATCTGCGCGCTGTCGAAGCCATTCGGCATGGGTTGATTTCTCGGAAAGTTATGTGGTGTTGTGAGAGGCGGGGAGAAGTAGGTACAAGGATGTGTAAGGACCAGGTGATGGTGGGTGGCAAGGGACAAGCGGACCGGTCATTGGGTCATCGGCACCGCGTGACACGCGTCGTAGGCGCACGTGATCGCCTCAGATTGACCTCGTCACGTTGAGTCAGTTATTGAACTGCGTATCCTGCGGTCTGCTCTTCACCACGATCCTAGAGGCGCGAGAAGGAAGATATGATCATGACCAAGAGTCGGATATAATTACACAGAACCATGTAATGTGGGAAGCAAAACGAAGCGACAAGGTCTGAGAACGAGCTGCAACCACTATTCCGCGAGCTGCACAGGAAGGGAGCCTGTCGTGAAAAGTAGGAAGGCCTGAAGAAGTAGCTCGTACGTACCCACCAGGCTCTGGCCCAAGCAAGACGTAGTGTTGGGACCCGCACCCTCAAGCACTATGACCCGTCTCCTAGAGGGCCTCCATCATCTCCTTTTCCCACTTCGCCCTCTCCACCGCCGCGCGCTCCGTCCACTCCGCCTTCTCCTTATCCGACAGTGTCCGCCAGTGCGACGCCGCGTCTGTGAGGCCGTTGCGCCGCCCGGACTTGCTCGCGTACTCCTTGATGAAGCTGGGGGAGGTTTAGTGGGTGTAGGTGAGAAGAGGTGCAGGGGGAAGGAGGGGAAGAGGGCAATATGCAGATGGAGTTCAGATGTTGAAGAGGGGTGTAGAGGCGCAAGCAATACGACGACACTTACAGCGTATACGCCGTCGGCGGCGTCCGCCTGCGCAACGTCACGGGCGGCTTGCGTGGCCTTGCTCCCCGCTTGATGCGCCGCGCATTGAGCACGTCGAGAATCTTGCGCGCATCGGGCCGCTGCGTCCACTCCGCATACCGCGCCGCGCGCTCCTCGCCAATCTTCGCCGCTGTGGTCGCGTATGTCTGCGGAGGGATGAAAGCGTGAGCGTCGTCATAACGGCAGTGGTGCGCAGGTGTGCGGCTCAGAATTCACGCAGTAGGGGGACGAGGAGATGGGGCACGACAAAATTGGAGGAGGGGTACATGCAATGAGAACCAGCCGCTAGACGCCCTACGCACCAACTTCTCCGACTCCGGAAGCTGCTTAAATTGCGCAGCCGTCTCCTTCATCAAGGCCATCGCCTCTTCCATGCTCTTGGGCGCGCCCTCGCGCAGGATCTTCTCCTGCAAAAACACCGATAACGCGCGCGGGGCAGTCCGCTGCGGCGGGCGCATATCCTTCCTTATCACGACTGGTGAGGCAAAGGAAGGTCAGCACGGCACTTCGCCTCTGAATACAGACAGACGACGCACATTTCTTGGGTTTGGGTTCCTTCTTGGGCTTGGGCTCCTTCTTGGGTTTCTTCGCCGCCTTCGGCTTCCCCGCTGTCTTCGCGGTAGTAGTCTTGCGTGCAGTAGTCTTCCGTTTCCGCAGGGGCTGGTCCGAGTCAGCCGCCGCAGTCGACGACACCGCACGCGTCGCGGCCAAGGAGGGGACGGACGCGCCGCGCAGGGCGTAGGGGGCACGACGGATAGCAACGAAGGCGGTGGGCGCGCTGCGCAGGGCACTTGAAAGGCCGCCGATACGCATGCGCGCGGCGGGGAAGAACATGGCGAAAGAAAGCAAGGGTGAACGTCGAGGATGACCGTAACCTGGTTCTGAATTCCGACGCGTCCAGGCGGCAAGGCGTGGGAGTATTGTCTCAGTCCCGTGACGTCACGCACTTCCCGAACTTGAACCTGACTTTGACGTGCATTTCTACAAGCGCGTTTTCAGCGCATCACCTGGCCGGCCTTGACTAGGAAAAAGCACCCGAGCAGCATCTGTACCTTCCTCAGTTTTTGCGCTACGGCTTACGATGTCGAACTCTAATTCTGCGCAACCTCCGTCCGCGCTTCCGCTCTCCCAGCTCGAAGGTCTGCGCCACCGCGCCGAACAGATCATCGAGTCCATCCAGGTCCTCGGCGGTGCCATTGAACTCGGAAATGCACCAGCCATGTACCCTTGGCCGGACTTGCTTGCGCGCTACAACCTGCTTTTGTCACAAACACTGAACTTCTCCAACTCGCTCGCCGCTGCGGTTCCCCAGCCGCCTGGTCAGCGTCCGATGTGAGTGATACATACTCCTTCATTGTAATTCACAAAGTAGAAAAACTCCGGCCTTCCCATTCCCGTGCCCCGCGCGTGTCTTTGGGTGTTTTGTGTAGTTAACCTCCGCCCAGCGACCCCTCCGAGCGCGAACGCATCTTCGAAAAGCTCGCCCTCCACCCAAAAAAGGCGCTCGACGACGCGCAGTTCCAAACCGTCGTCGCGCCTCTCATCCGGCACAACCAGACGTACGACATCCTCCGCAAGGAGAGCGCGACCGTCGCCGGCCTGTGCGAGCATCTCGAGACAAGGGGCTCCGTGGGCGTGCTTGGGGGGCCGACGGGTGGGCAGGTTAGTCTAAATTTCTTTGTCAACCACCTTGCAATCAGTGGGACTCCAGCTGTAATCTCGGTTCGCGTACTAACGAATCTCCCAGGCGCCCACCCGCAAACCCACCTACGCCGACGTCCTCGCCGAATGCGCTGACATCCGCGACGCGCACGAGCGCCGTGTCGAGCGCGGGCGCCTCGTCGTCGCCCAAATTCTGGAGAAGACGGATAGGTACGCGATGTTCTCCAACATAGGGGATCTGGCTACTGCAACCCCGGCCTTGAAGTCGCACGTAGTTGCATGGGATCCAGCATACTAACTCTCACACAGATACGAATGGAAGGAGCGCGTCGCAGTCGAAGAGGAGGAACCCGAGGAACTCGGCTTCGACCCCAGATACGCCATGAACACCACAACCACCGCCGCGGAGCCAGAGGCTGACTTCGGCGAGGACGACTCCTCTTCCTCGGACGACGAGGGAATGGGCGAGGACGGTGAAAGTGGTATGGACGAGGGCGTCGATGGTGGCATGAATGGTATCGAAGGGGATGCCACGATGGAAGACCGAGAGATGGCGGGTGTGTCGGACGAGCACGACATACCCATCGACCCGGCCCTTCAGGCAATGTGGCAAGGTTGAGGCGGCTTCACCATCGTTCGCGTAGTTTGGAATACAAGGTGTGCAACAACTATCGGATTACTCAACGCTCTCTTCGCGCGTACAGGTATACAGTAATCTAATCAGGTAAGCGAAATGTATCTGAAGAGTCCAGGCGACGTGCATCTGCCACAGTTCGAGCGACGTGAATCTGCCAGTGTTCAGACCGGAGGGTATGATCGTAGCGCTCGGTTGACAAGGATATATATCGTACACGCCGGGATATCACAGTTCGAACGAAACGATACGAAAGAGGTAAAGGTAAGGTACGCATAGAAAGCAACACGGAAAGACAGTCGAGAAATGGTGAGTCGCCGTGAAGATATGAACGTCCGGAAAATGAAAGAAAACACGTCACGAAAAGTGGCAAAAGGCGAGAAGGCCGCCCGAGGGACGGAACCAGCGAGAACACGACGCGAGAACCGATCTGAACAGAAGCACACGTAACCCTCCCCTTCATGAGTCTACTGCGGACCCAAGTCCAGCCCATTCACCAGCTGCTGCGACAACGCACTGAGTTCGGGGCCGAGCCCGTCCACCTGGATGGTGCCCACGTCGAGCAAGCCATCAAGCCCGAGCGCCTTAAGCAGGGTCTTGAGGTCAACCAAGATCTGGCCTCCATCGCCAGTAGTCGTAGGCATGCCAGTACCCGACGACCCAGATGACCCGGAGCCACCGGCAGGCGGGGTGGTGATGGTATGGGTATCGACGTAGGCAAGCGTGTAGTCGAGGAGCGACACCAAATCGGCGATGAGTTTGTCGACATTGGTGGTGAGGCAGCTACACGCGATGCCTGCCTTGCTGAGGATGTGAGCAGCGTGGCCGAGATTGTTCAGGTTCACGACAAGGTCCGTGAGGGTCGAAGAGGCCAGAAGGTCGGCGGTCACATTCAGGAGAACTTGGACGAGAGGATCTATCGAGCCTGATGAGGAAGAGCCCCCGGTGAGGCTTCCAGCCCCGCCGAGCTTGAGGACGATGTCGACAATGGCAGTGATGTTGGCCTGAACATCGCTATCGATGACAGCGTTGACGTCTGTCCCAGACGTGCCCTTGGCGCCGGACCCGCTGGTGGGGACGGCAGGACCCAGGTCAAGAGCGTTCAACAAGCCCTGCACCAGCGCGCTGAGGCCAGGACCCAGGCCCTGAATGTCGATCGTTCCGACGTCCAACAAGCTACCGAGCCCAAGCTCGGTGAGAAGGTGGTCCAGGTCGAGCATGATGTCGCCACCATCCGGGGTCTTCACCGGCGATGGGTTCGAGGGCGAAGTACCCGGAGGTGCAGGAGACGTGACGGGTCCCTTGTGCATATCACCAAGAACGATGTTGAGCTGGACGACGATCTTCAACAAGAGGTCGAGGAGGTTGTCCGCGCAATTGCAAGAGGTCAGGCCAGCCACGGCGGCGTTCGTCTTCGCCAACAGATCGTTCGTCGCATCCACAAGACCAGAAACAGTGTTGGATCCCAGCAGAGCGCCGGTAGCCTTCAATGTAGCGTCGATGAGATCGTCCACGTCTGACGGTGTTGTCGTCTGCGAATGGGCGTCGCCGAGCCGCACGACGAGGTCAATGGCGGCATACAGATCACTGGTAAGCGAGGAGTCCAGCGTAGTAGTGGAGTCAACATCGGTCTAGGGGGAGGTCAGCATGGTGGAGAGATTGATAAGCGCATACTCACGCTACCCAGAGATCCGAGATCGAGTTGACGTTTGGCGGCAATAGAGATGCAGCGGCTACCATCGCTAGAAGGCACGAAGGACTCCTTGCAGCGGTTGACGACACACTTGGAGGCCTTACATCCAACCTCGACAACGTTGGGGAGTGCAGCGCAATCGACACCCGAGGATTGAATAGCGGCGGCTGGGAATCCGTGAGGCGTAACGCAACCACCACCTGACAGATCTTAGCAAGCGAATGAGGTGACAGTGACAGGACTCACAGCTATCGAGGGTAGAGGTCGTGTCGACGCACTCAAAGTCGAGAGTGCCTTCATGTCCCGCGATACCGCAAACGCTCTCACGAGGGCGGCATGTCTTCTGCGCCTCCTCGTACGTGGTGACGCGGGAAGAAAGGCGACGCTTGTTGGGACGAGTCAAGGCAGCAGACGGGCATCCCTATAAATATGGTCAACGTCTGTTGGGCGGCATATATGCGCTTCATAGACGGGCTATGTAGAAAGACAGAGACGTACGGAGGGAGGGCAGCAAATGTTGCCGTGACGCGTGTAACCCTTGTCACACTGGATGCCACAGGGATCGTCGACCTTGCAAACACGCGAAGCGTGCGGCGGCACCGGAGGGCAGTGAGCGCGGGTAGGGTCGGTGTTGATCTAGCGGAAAAGTCAGAAAGGCGAGTTGCGATATCGCTCAGAAACGCACCAACAAAGCGAGGGCGGCCTTGAGAGGTCCCTTCAAAATGGTCAAGAGCACCGTCGCGTCGATATAAGTCGACAAGAAGATGTCCAGGTCCTACAGGCGGTGAATAAACCGCATATATGCGCAGAAGAAAGTGACGTACGTCGATACAGAGACAGATCTTCCCGTCCAAGCTCGGGATATCGACCAAGGGCGGAAGAAGGTGGAGAACCGCGGAAACGTCGACGCTCGCGCAAATGTCGATGAGATCGCGATTGACGAGCGTGCGCGGGATGGAGTGCTGGCGCGAGGCGACGATGCGCGAGGTTTTGCTCTTGACGTTGGTCGTCGTCGCCGTCGCTGGCGAGAACACGAGCAGCAGGGACGCAAGGAACGTGGGGGCGAGAGAGAATCGCATCTTTGGCGAGGACCGGAGGGGGCCCAGGGCAACAAAGGAAGAGGAACGAACGAACGGTGGTGGGTGGAGGGAAGGAAAGACGTCACGAGCGAGCAGACGAGCTTATGTACGAGCTCGGGGCCGCCAAACTCACTTCGACAGCGGAAAACAGAGCACAACATCCTGCCACAAAGGCCCCGCATTCCGTGGTCGGCGCTCGAAATCTCCGTCCCATTGCGTAAATAGGACATGTTTTCCGCCGTTGTGGCGACCGAACCGATGTGCTTTCTGTATTTTCCGGCATCGCCACGGTCCCGCCAAGCCGCCCAGGATGGAGGCTGCGTACCTTTCGGAGGACGAGAAGCAGTCATTGTCGCGTCGAAATGCGGCAATGTCCCGCGCCGGATCCGGAAAAGAAGGCGTGACCGCGTTTTGCTTCCTTCGTGTTGCCCGAGGAGTCGATCCCGACTCGCGTTAGCCTGTTTGGCAACCGAACAGGACGCGTTATCACGGCGCTCCACCCAAGGACCGGCGAAAGATAGGCGCCTGCTGTCCACGCCCGCGCCGCATCAGCATACACGAGCGAGTTCTCCAACACCTTGTTGGAGTCGAACGTAGACAGGCAGGTTCTCTCCGCTCTACGAAAGCGTTGTGAGCTTCCATGCTCGATATGCCGATTAACCGGGTGTTTTAGTGTCAATAGAGAACAGCAAAGCCAAAGACGATTCAATGTAGCCCTAGAAGACCTGTAAATGTTTGCTCAATTAACCGAGGCGAGCAGCTCGCCGAACAGATGCGCGTACCTCACGCAAAGCCAGTTCCAAGCTGGTCCTGACTCTTACATGCCAAGCGACAGAAGCAGTCAGGCAAGCGGCTGTCCCAAGCATGTATTCCTCCCCATAATCAGTCGTCTTCGGTATCGGGTGCCTCGGTGTCGGGAGTTGACAACGATGGACGGAGGTAAAAGCGGGCGCCGGGATTTGCCGAGCCCCGCCGCCGTCGGCAACTGCCGACTGTCGCGTGCACCGGGCCGACCCGCGCCGCTTCATCAGAAATCAGCCCGATCGCTCCTACCATTGTTCTCCTCATCTCCTAAGCGCCACCCCCAAACTATCTTCACAAGCAAAATGGCAAAGCGAAAGCAAGGTGTCGAGGATGCTGCCGACGATAGAGGCTCGGACTCTGATGTCGTAAGTCGTTGTCCTGACCTTGTTAACGCCTACCCAAGGTCCTACTTCTTCCCCTCACGCACTTCATCTATCATCGCCCCGAGAATATCACGAATGACTCTTCACTTTCTCCGAACATTCTTCATGCGCACTCACCCTCTACCCATACTCACCATCCTAACCCCCCAGTAGAGCCTCGTCGACGTCGACTTCGACTTCTGCAGCCCCAACCCCGACATCGACTACCACGCCCTCAAGAAGCTCCTCGTTCAGCTCTTCCAACGCGACGCCGATTCCTTCCATCTAGAAGCCCTCACGAACCTCATCCTCAGCCAGCCCGGGATCGGAACGACGGTGAAGACGGATGGGGAGGAGGGCGATCCGTATGCGGTGCTGACGGCGATCAGTGTGCGTGAGAAGAGGGTGAGTAGGGAGGTGATTATGCGCGGTGGTAGTGGGTGCTGTGAGAGGAGGGGGGCGCAGGGGCACGAATAAAGCGCGAGACGATCGCAATACTAACGCGCGCCACCCACAGGACCACCCCGCAATCAAGGCGCTTACAGAATACTGGGTGCAGAAGTCAAGCGCGCTCCCCGAAATGCAGCAAGATTTACAACGATTACTCGACGACGCGTCAAGTCATGTCGGACTCGTGCTATGCGAGCGCCTGATCAACATGCCGGTGCAAGTGATCCCGCATATGTACAGGATGCTCGCGGAGGAGCTGAAGGCGGCGGTGGAGGGGGTGAGTGAGGGTGGGTTGTCGCGTCGAGTTCGTGGTGCTGATCGAACGGCTCTTTGCTGCATTATCTATTCGCCTACGCCCACTTCAACCCTACCTCGTCCGTCTCGCCTCCCCCCCCCCTTTAACGCACCACTTTACCGGACCCAGGGCCAGCCCTTCAACTTCACCCACCTCCTCATCCCCTCCCGCACGTACCACCTATCAGAAGAGGAAGAGCGCGCGCTCGGGGCGCGGCCAGCACGAAAAACAAAAACCAAGAAGGTCAAGACGCCCGCGCAGCAGGCGCAGGTGGCGATGACGAGGCCAGCGGACGGGGTGTATACGTTCCACCCGGAGGATGAGGTGATTCGGGAGGTGAGTACAGTGACGCTGTCGCTAGCTCGTTCGAACGCTCTCCCATCCGTCATCACTCGCCATCGCTCATGCCAGCCCGTCACCCGCGCATCCATACTCTTCTTCCTGCTGCCTCGTGTCGACCCTCGCCCATGCCACCTCGTCCCCCGGTGACTCCACTAGCATCACCGCTCCTTCCATTCCGCTAACCTCGCCCTCTCCCAGGCCGCCACCCACACCCTCGACTACCCCTTCTCGAAGGAAGAGCCGCGCGACAAGGAATCCTTCGGGCTCGACACGCGCGGGCGGCTGATGCTCGTGCCCGCGGAGCGGTTCGTGGAGATGGTGCGGAAGATGGGGGAGACGTATTGTTGAGGGATGCTGGCTATGTGGGGAGGGCTGGCGGGGTTGGGGTGTGGACGGAGGGTGCAGGGTGCAGGGTGGTGATGAGGAGGAGGGAGTTGAGAGCGATGAGGTATGGACGCGACCTTCGGATGGGAGTGAAGTTGATCGCTGTCGTTGAGCTCTGTTGTATTGTGCTATCCTGCCACTCGGTTGTACGATCCAGGTGTGCAATGTATATTGTAAGCCAAGTGCTGTTTAGCACTATTCAAGGTGCAGTCGTGTGCAGATGAGGCGCTTGTCGGGCTGGTCGCGGGCCGCGCCGGATTTTTGCGCGCTCCTGAAATCGAACTTGTCCTCACCCTTCACGACTTGTACATCGGATGACGAAACTCCTGCTGTTGCGTCGATGCACGGGGGACATTTCGCAAATCGCTAGCTCATGGAGCTGTCCTCAGTTTCCAAGCTACACACCTGCTTTTTCTAACATAGGGAATGTAAATGGACCACTGCATGCATTTTTTTGTCTTGTCGTGTGATCGGCCACGTCTCAAGCAATTTTTGACTGCTTCGAGAGCTTGCTGCTGCTGCCAGCAAGCAAGAACGCTCAACCATAAGCATGGGGACAAGGATTGCTTGCGAACGTCACAGTTCGGTTAACGTCACGGTCACACACGTGCCTCGGAGGTTGCCGATTCCGAGTTGAACTGTGACTTGTCACTTGATCGCTTTCCTAGCGTTTCTTTCTTTCAGCGGTCCCTGTATTACCACGGCTTGGCTGCAGAGCCACTTGGGCAGGTCGATATTGCTGCATATCTCCACCTCACATGGTACGACGACTGGGAGAGCATAATTTGCCTGCTCAACTAGAGCACGAAATTCCACGAATGCACCTCATCGAGCGTCAAGCTTCCAGTTCAAAGTAGCCCACAGTGATGCGCGCCAGCGGCCCTCCGCCCGGGACAGTAGCGGGCGGTGATTCGGACCTATCGTACCTCCGCGCGGACTCAGCGGGCCAGCCGCCCGTCCGTGCCTTCCGCGAGGGGCCCTATCTCCGCGTTCTGTTTCCGGTCGTCCGGTGGGACGTTCGCGACGATGAGCAAGTACGACAAGCTGACCGAGAATTGTGCTGTATGTAGACCGTAAGATGAGAAGAATTTGGAGAGAGCGCCTTCGCCTTCGGAAGTTCGAGCTCTATGGGCGTGGGAGATTTTGCTTCGCACATGATTCGACCGTCGAGGATCGACTGAACTCCGCTGGCGGCACGCGCATCTTGGCCAGAAAAGTGACAAAAGACCTACTGAGCCTCGTAAAATATGGTTTCCAAGGCGTCAGAGGCAAGCAATGGGACTGAGTGCAGCGCGCCGAGGACGGGAGTATGACGCTATCCTGCGGAACGGAACGTGGGAATACAGATTTCGTCAAGAAATTCAATTCTGCGACTTGTTGCACTCACATTTTGTCCTCGACCACCTCCCCCTCCCCCTACTCTTCCCCCGCCTAGACGACAATGGCGCTCGCTCGCCAGGGACAGGGTGCGCCAATTGACATGGAAGTTCACCCGGTACTCATTTGCGGGCAGCCCTTACCCGCGTAATCGCGCATTCTAGACCTTCACGAATCGGGACCGCCCTCCACGTGAAGAGCGGTTCCCTTCTTCCCCAGCGAGTTGCGGCGGCAAGGCGCGCGTCGACGGAGCCGACGGCAAGTGTTCACGCAGCTTGACCTCGACTTTGAACGGTTGTGCTAACCCGATCACAGGCCGGCGGTGACAGCGCGATTCCCCCTCCGCCTCCGCCGCCTCAGGCTTCGCGATGGAGCCGCTTCCTCATGTTCCTGGGCAAGTCGACGCTGTTCACAATGGTCCTGGTCGGGGGGACGTACTACTACGTTAACACGCAAACACGTCACCCGGGAAAGCAGCTGCCGTTTGACTCGACGAAGAAGACGGTCGTCGTGATCGGTAGCGGCTGGGGCGCGACTAGCTGGCTCAGGAGCGTCGACAACACCGAGTTCAACGTCGTGCGTAGCACTGACCATAGTCCGATCACACTTTCGCTGACAACCGAGCAGATCGTCATTAGCCCGAAGAACTACTTCCTCTTCACTCCCCTGCTCCCCAGTGTTGCTGTCGGCACGCTCAGCCCGCGCTCCATTCTGCAGCCGACACGCTTCGTGACGCGCCACAAGCCGCGCCAGGTGCAGGTTATCGAGGCCGAGGCGACAGATGTCGACCCGGTGAACAAGACGGTCACCTTCGCGGACAACACGCCCGTGCGCGGCGCGGTCTCAAGCACGACAATTGGGTACGACTACCTTGTGTACGCGCCCGGAGCGGAGGTGCAAACCTTCAACATCCCGGGCATTAAGGAGAAGGCCTGCTTCATGAAGGAGCTCGCGGATGCGGAGCGCCTGCAGGACCGCTTCATGGACTGCCTCGAGTCCGCCGCGTTCCCCGGGCAGTCCGACGCGGAGATTGACCGCCTGCTGCACGTCGTGGTCGTCGGCGGTGGTCCCACTGGTGTCGAGGTTGCGGGCGAGTTCCACGACTTCTTGGAGGACGACCTGAAGGCGTGGTACCCGGAGCTCGCGCAGCGCATCCGCATCACGCTCGTTGAGGCGCTTCCGAGCGTGCTGCCGATGTTCTCGAAGCAGCTCATCGACTACACGGAGGAGTCGTTCAAGGAGAGCAAGATTGACATCATGACGAAGACGATGGTGAAGGAGGTCAAGGACGAGGCGGTGGTCCTGCAGATGCCGGACAAGAGCATCGTGGAGGTGCCGTGTGGCGTCGTTGTGTGGGCCGCGGGCAACCGTCAGCGCCAGATCACGATGAACCTCATGAAGAAGCTTGGTCCCGAGCAGGATAACCGTCGTGGATTGACTGTCGATGGTGAGTTGCCCTCCTTTGGTACACGATAGCAGTGGACTGACAAAATTATTCATCAGACTACATGCAGGTCAAGGGCTCGAACGGCAGCATCTTCTCAATTGGTGACACCACTGCGACGTCCTACGCGCCCACCGCCCAGGTTGCCTCGCAAGAGGGTGCCTACCTCGCCCGCGTCTTCTCACAGATGGGCAAGAAGGACGCGCTCGAGCGCCGTTTGGCCGAACTGAAGGCGGAGGAGGGCAAGGCATTGGGTATGTGATGCTCTTCTCGCTGCACTGGCCCCTACTCACCCCCTTTCAGCTTCCCCCGAAGCCGAGAAGGTACACAAGGAGGAGATCGAGAGCGTGCAGTCCGCGGTGCAGAAGGTCAAGATTCGCCCCTTCAGCTACTCCCACCAGGGCTCGCTCGCGTACATCGGCTCTGAGAAGGCCATTGCGGACCTGCCGTTCATGAACGGGAACGTGAGTATCATTTCCTCGATCTCCTTTTGAGTTATCTGTTGTCGGAAGAAAAACATCACTCACGATCTTTCCTAGTTCGCCTCCGGCGGTATGGCGACCTACCTCTTCTGGCGCAGCGCGTACCTCACGACGCTGTTCTCCCTCCGTAACCGGACCCTCGTGGCTGTCGACTGGATGCGGACCAAGGTCTTCGGCCGGTGAGTGCTTTCGTCCCTTGACGAGTCGAAGATAACTGACGCTCTCGTTCAGTGATGTCAGCAGGGAGTGAGCGTTTGCTTCGTCGGGTCGTACGACGAGCGCCCTGCGACTGTGTGCTAGAACGGACCTTTTACACTTGGGTGCGCCGTTAAGCGTGCGCCGGGGCGACGATCGACGAGGGCGAGTACTTGAGTTGTTGGTCGGATAGAAGGATACCCTCTGGACCGGCTCCTACTAGACTTACTCGTACTTTTTGCATATTATAGACCTGGTCGTCGATTGATTGTAGACTTTGCCCAATCATTGTTGTATCGCGATGTGAGGGAGTGAGGTCGCGGTGATAGCTGACTATCCTTGGTGATCTTCCGGTTTTATGCATCGTCGCGATTCTTGCCACAGAGGGAGTGGCAAACGTGGTAGGCCTTGAGTTTGGTTGAGGTGCGTCTTCGACTTGCTATTTGGCTCTTGCTCATCGTTTGCACGCAGGGCAGGATTTTTTCGTCAAGACCTCATATACAAGCCATGCGTTGCAGTCCCGATTGTACACGCTCGTGGCGCTTGATACGGTGCATCTCCAGCAATGCTTGAGGCGCAGGGCTTATCTTCCAGAGAGAACGCAGGCAGGCCCTGCGATGGTCTTGGCGATCACGCACGCTCATAGAAAATGAAACATCCCTCTTGGTACAGGCTCAGCGCAAGTGGCCATACGACGGCCACCACCACGTCGGTACTCACTATCCCTCTGCCAACCTGATCCAACCGGCGCGAATCTTACCAGGATGCTGTACGCGATTGCCACAAACGCCGCTCCGCTATCCTCGACCAGCTGCGACAATGGCCCCGATGCATCATTGGAAGCTCTTTGTTCGGTCACGTCTGATATTCAGTCAGGGGAGTGCCTTTTGGCCAGTGGTCATGACAACCGACACCACAAAGGCGCCGCGTGGCGCTCAAAGGGGCAGGTCAATATCATGCAGGCCATGAATATCCTTATATGGCGAGAAATCGACAAACACATGGCGACCAAATTCATCTCCGGTCCTTTGCCTGATCACAAGCACGACAAACACAGCGAAGGCTGGCCATGAGTGTGGGTATAAAAGCGGAGGGCGTGTTGCCTGGTCTCGTTTGTCATTGGCGCTTGTTCGCGCTGCTGCTCGTCGCGATCCTCTCTTTCGTCTGCTCACTAGCTGGCTCATTGGATCGCAAGGCTTTCTTCAATGCTTCCCACAACTCCTCCCCGGAGCCGCGTCCCACTACCGGCGCAGGTGAACATCGTACGTGGCATTTGTATCGCGCCCGATGTAACTCACAAAGCCGTCTAGACCTGGAATCGCGCGCTCGCCGGCATGCCCGTTTCTCCTGCTTCGACTCGACATTCCAAGGACTTTGACCTTCATCTATCGGAAGAGCTGTACCCTGATTACGACTATCCCATTCGGAGCCAAGCCATCGACGAACTCCCCGACTGGGCTCTCGAGGTGAACCCCTCCTTGTGCAGCGACGCGCTCCTAAATGCCTCTCCCGCGAGCGTCAAGAGACTTGGGGATCGACTGATGCTCCCCGAGTATAATCTAACCTTCGGGCAAGCCGGCGACATCATTGCTTCGGTAGCTGATAGTACCTCGCCCTTCGGTCATGTTAAACCGTTCTCGATTCTGCACGATGAAGGTCTTGAGGATGACAGCGATGACGACGACGTCAGCCTGGATTTACCCAGGACCACCGTGATCGACAAGGCCGAATATATCCAGGCAGTGCGCGAGGAAGATGCTACGCCGAACGAGGACAAGGAGAACGATGACCTGGAAGGCTCTGACAGCGACGACATCGAAGAAGAGGATAACGAAGAAGATGACGATGCCTCAGACGAGTACGTTGCGAGCGAAGATGACGAGGACGAGGACTACCAGCCCTATCGACCCACGAGACGCAATGTATCGCGTCGCGGTCGTCCACCCCATCGCGCTGTCTACCTGCCTCTTTCGCCGATCAAAGGTGGCGAGAACTGCGTTGTCCAGTCAGGCAACAAGCGACGAAGGCGCTCCTCCTCGAGCCCCTCTCCATTCGATTCCAAGAGGGCGAAGGCTTCGGACGAAGGCAGCGCAACCCACATTTCCGCTACAAAGGCTGCCAACCGGCTGAAAAAACACTACAAACGCGACAGGGCCCTCCGAAAAATTGCGCAAGGTCTGCCTCACCGCGAACTACCCGATGGGCGCGTTCAATGCCAGGTCACAGACTGCGGAAAGCTGCTGAGCAAGGGAGCATGGGAGCGACATGCAAAAACGCATCTTCGCGGATTTGTCGCCGCACTTTGCCTCGCCTGCGGGAGGACCTTCACGCGCACCGACCCCCTATGTCGACACCTCAACACGAATCATGGGCAGTGCATCGAGCAGAACCTTGGGACGGACGAGCATGCGAAGTCCTGTTGCAAGCCCCTGCACGAGTACAGGTCGAAGAAGGCGGGCTTGGAGCAGGGGCGTGGACTGGACAGGCTGTCAAAGGATGAGCTCAAGAAGGCAGTCCAATGCCTCGCTGCCCTCGAGTGATTGTTATGGCTTACCGGGGCTGCTGGGCTGTTTCTGGTCGTCGTCAAAGGTTGTAAACGTATCTGACCGTATTTCACGTATTTACACAGAAACCAGTGGTACCATCAGGGAAAGCGAGTCGTTGCGATATTCTTTTGTAATAGACGACCGCAGGATCAGGCTGGTATATGGATACTGGATGGAGGTATGCCCGAGAGGCTGATGGCATCCGACCGAGCAGCACTTCTTGAGTCGAGCGTCGACACTATCCCCGATTTCAGTTCTCGTGGCCTTGGACGATCCATCGCGGCGGGAACATAGTCGCGCAAAGATAGGATGGTCGAGGATGCGGCGCGTCCGATGGGAGGAGTTTGGGTGTAGGTTGAGCTTCATGAAGCATACGACGAAGCCCAAGGTGCGCCAAGCGATGCCACAGCAGCAATCGAGGCTGCACAATTCTAGTTGCGACGTTGAGGCTCAGAGCAGCCTGCAGTCTCCGGTGGCATCCGACGCAACTGTATGGCTCCGGACGATCATCTCATGATTCGATAACACGTCCCGCAAATCTCGGACGCCCTGTACCTATCATGGGTGGACCAGGGTGGTGCCGTACGGACAGAGGCGTATCCATTATGATGATGAGGATGCATCGCAATAGACAATGTGCAGCCTCTCTCCCGGCGAAACAGCGTAGTCTAGCACTTCCATCCCTCCCGCAAGTATACCGACGCGCATCATCGCAAGCAACTTGTCAAAGGCAGGCCGATGTCAGCAAAGCTTTGCATGCCCCATACGATGCACCTACGTTATGTGCAGCATTGGAATGGGCATATACGCCGCCGAAGAAGGCCGAGCTCATGTCCTGACCCGAGTTACTTGCGAGGAGCTGCGGGCCTCCGGGATGATTGCCAGCGAAGGCAGACACGTCGTGTATGAAACCCGAAACGAGAACGAGCGTGCGCTCACGCGATTGCTCCTTGACTGTGCATCGTCAGCCGAACCATTGAGTGACGCGTATATATACCCACAAGTCTCCCAGCTCACGATAGGCAGTTTCTCCGGCGCGACGGGCCACTCCAGCGCATCTTGGACCTCCTTCAGGGACTTGAGCTTCATCGATAGCGCACCCTTCTCGATCTCGTTGCTCGGAAAGACGCGCAGATTGGTGGCCAGCGTTAGCCAACCGCAGAGCGCGATGAACCATTTAGTAGGGTCGTACTGATACCAGAGGAATGCGTTGCGGTAGTCCATCGGGAATTGGTGGTGGAAGTTGTGATAGCCTTCGCCCATAGTGAGAATGGCCGAGAGTAGGTGATCTCTAGGCGAAAGGCGGTCATCGTAAGGCTGTTCGCCGAGGTAATGCGCTATGGAGTTGATGCAGAAAGTGCTCTGACGACGCTTGAGATAGTTTAAATATCAAGGGAGGGAACGCCACGTACATGGTGCGCAACGGTCAACCGAAGACACGCAGCGATGCAGAAGCCCCCAACGAGATCGCCCCAAACCAAAGCGGGAACAAGCGTTGGAAAGAGAAAACCGAAGACGAGCATGATGAGAAAATAATGCCGGTGTTGCCACTGCGTGACAGGATCTTTCTCGAGGTCCGATAGCTCGACCTTTCCAGCGTGAAGGTCGGTTTTGACGACCATCCAGCCAATATGAGTCCAAAGGAGCCCGCGCGACGAGTTGTACGGGTCAAGGTCGGTATCCGTGTAGCGATGATGCGAGCGATGGCTATGCGAAGTTGAGTGCAATATCTAAGATGCAGGAAAGACAGATGTACCTTCGCGCCCACCAGCACACTGAGCCCTGGGCTGCACTTGTGCCGCCTAGGAGAAGGAAGTACTGCAAGGCTTTACTGGCGTTGTACGATCTATGCGACCATAGCCGATGATACCCTTAGACAGATGATCATTATAAGTCACTAGTAGGACGTAGTTGATGTACCAGCGGTGATCCCTGTGTCGTTCACATCCTTAGTATCGTTATGCACGAACCATGCGATAATACTCGCCTAGCATCGAGAATGTGTAGTACGCGGCCGCGAAGGCCACCGTCCATGGATGGAGAGTAGTATACCAAAGTCCATAGAAAGCGGCTGCCGGCGTAGTGACCAAAACGAACACATTGAACCACCTCACGCCCTTGATCGGCGGGAAGCCAGCCAGAAGAGCAGAAGCAGCAGGGATGTACGGCATCACCAGGTATTCCATGTGTACAGCTATCCACAGACCGCGAGACTCGGGGAAGAGGGCGGAACCAGAAAGCGAGCGTCGAGCTGTATCCTTCGTCGTCTTTTAAGCTTCGTCCTGGCTCGTGCGACTTGCGCGCAAAATAAGATCCGGGTGTTCTTCGAGGTAGTTAAACTGTCGGGGAACGCACCTCGAATATAATAGAAGGAGGCCTCTGGACTAAGCGGACGCGTCAGCTGCATGCGTAGGCTATGGGATGGCGGCGATATATAGGCGCAGGGCCTTCGAAGCCGCAGGTATCGGCCCATCTGCACGCGTAGCCGGGCTACAAGGGTGGATAGCTATCCGGCGACATAGTTGTGTTGGGTTGCCGTCACCGCATATGTTGTTGCCGGCAGCCTTTCATGCAGGAAGGCAGCATGCACGGACGTTTGCAAATCAAAGTTGAACATGTCACGGCATTCCGTCACATTCTCCTGCTCCGACTCCCGCATCCGTGCCACAAATTTGACTCGCGGACATGGCAGAGGGGGTTGTAAACGATGTCATGACAATCACGAAGCTGCAGGATGGGGAGTAATTGGCTGATGATACCTTCGCCACTGTTCCATAGCCCCTCTACCATTTTGACCGAGTTTGGATTCAAGTTGAGTGGTGCCGTACGTATAGCCGACGTATTGAGAAGCAAAAGATAGGCCGTATCGCCCTAGGCACACTATTAGTTCGCCGGTTCATTGCCTCTGCACCACACGCACCCCTGGGTCGTGCATACTCGTGAAGGCACGCACCAGTCTAAAGCTAGACCAGAGCGAACAGGACTTCCTCTCGCGCGCGGATCCAATACATCCCTTCCTGATAACGCCGCCGCTCTGAAGCCCGCCATCGCGCGTGTGTATACATCTTCAGCTTGTTGCCCGCAAAGGACCAACACTGACCTGGCAGCCTGCATATCGCAATCATCAGCACAACGTTAACTGACCAGCAGGCATACTACTGACCGGAAGTCAGGCCGAACGTCGAACTGGGACACAGCCAGAACTGACCAGGCTTCATACGCGCGACCTTCAGTCACTCACCTTTCCACAGACCGCGCTCCTTCACTTGTTCACTCACTCACACACCCCTACAGGATATCCATCGCATACATAAATGACGGACTGGAAAACAAAGCGGAAACATTACCAGTACACTAGGAAAAGAAAGCAGAATGATGCGATATCGATATGCTACGTCCGTCAGCTCCCCACCCCGCCGCCAGTACTCCGTCCCTCGTCCGCCGTCGCGCTGGCCATCCGCTGCGTAGTAGAGGCAGTCCGCGCTGGACGCCAGCGACGACGGCGATGGTAGTTCGAGTAGTACAACACTGGGTTCGCCTTTTACTGACCCCTCGCCTTCGCCGCCATCAAGTTGAGCGCGGAGCCCGCCTTGAACCACTCGATCTGGCCCTCGTTGTACGAGTGCGCGACCGGGATCTGCTCGCTCGTGCCGTCCGAATGCTTGACGTTGAGCGTCAAGTTCTTGCCCGGCGCGAAGCTCTCCAACCCGAGGATGTCGATCTTATCGTCGGGGCGGACGCGGTCGTAGTCGGCGGGGTCGACGAAGGTCAACGCGAGCATGCCCTGCTTCTTCAAGTTCGTCTCGTGGATACGGGCGAACGAGCGGGTGATGATGGCGAGGCCACCGAGGAAGCGCGGCTCGAGCGCGGCGTGCTCGCGGGACGAGCCCTCGCCGTAGTTGTGGTCACCGACGACGACCCACTTGATGCCGTGGTCGCGGTAGTACGCGGCGGTCGCGGGGACGGCGCCGTACTCGCCCGTGAGCTGGTTCTTGACCTTGTTGGCCTCGCCATTCTCGGCGTTGATGGCGCCGATCAGGCAGTTCTGCGAGATGTTCTCGAGATGGCCACGGTACTTGAGCCACGGGCCGCCGGCGGAGATGTGGTCGGTGGCTGTCACAATGTCAGTGCGACGTTCGTGGTACGAGATGCGAAAGGTACTCACTGCACTTGCCCTTGGCCTTGATGAGGATGGGCAGGTCAGTCGGAGTCTTGCCGTCCCAAGGCGCGAAGGGCTTGAGCAGCTGGAGACGGTCCGACTTGGGGTCGACGGCGACGTTGACAGAGGCACGGTCCTCAGGCGGCGCCTGGAACGTGTTCTGACCCGGATCGTAGCCGCGCGGCGGCAGCTCGTTGCCCGACGGGTCCGTGAACTTGAACTCCTTGCCATCTGCACCAACGAGCGTGTCCGTCACCGGGTTGAACGTCAACTTTCCGCCAAACACCATCGCGGTGACGATGTCCGGAGACGCGACGAACGCGTGCGTCGCCGGGTTCGCGTCGTTGCGGCCGGTGAAGTTGCGGTTGTACGAGGTGATGATCGAGTTCTTCTCGCCCTTCTTCACGTCCTTGCGGTCCCACTGGCCAATGCACGGGCCGCAGGCGTTCGCGAGGACGAGGCCGCCGACGTCCTCAAAGGCAGCCATCTGGCCGTCGCGCTCAATAGTGGCACGGACCTGCTCAGATCCAGGGGTGACGGTGAACTTGCTCTTGACGTCAAGACCGTGCTCCTTCGCCTCGCGCGCGATGCTCGCAGCGCGGGACATGTCCTCGTAGGACGAGTTGGTGCAAGAGCCGATCAACCCGACCTTGAGCTCCTCCGGCCAGCCGTTAGCCTTGACGGCGTCCTTGAACTTGCTGAGGGGAGTAGCAAGATCCGGAGTGAAGGGGCCGTTGATGTGCGGCTCGAGCTCAGAGAGGTTCTGCAACACTTGTTGGAGCTAACGCGAGTGAAATATGGAAGCTACTCACGATCTCAATGTGCTGGTCGTACTCGGCACCCTCGTCAGCCTTGAGGTTGTGCTGGAACTTGTTGGCGTAATCCGCAATCATGCCGCGCTTCGTCGCGTGGAGGTACGACTCCATGCGGTTGTTGTACGGGAAGATGGACGTCGTCGCACCGATCTCGGCACCCATGTTGCAGATGGTGGCCATACCCGTGCAAGACAAAGACTCGACACCCGGGCCCTTGTACTCGACGATGGCACCGGTACCACCCTTGACAGTAAGGATGCCGGCGACCTTGAGGATGACGTCTGGAGCATAAGTCAGCGCATGTGATTGATTGAAGGGAATGCGCTCGCACCCTTCGGAGTCGTCCAGCCGCTGATCTTGCCAGTGAGGTTGACACCGATGACCTTCGGGCACTTGAGCTCCCAAGGAATGCCGGCCATAACGTCGACGGCGTCGGCACCGCCAACACCGCACGCAACCATGGCGAGACCACCGGCGTTGGGGGTATGCGAGTCCGTGCCAATCATCATGCCGCCCGGGAATGCGTAGTTCTCGAGGATGATTTGGTGAATGATACCAGAGCCCGGCTTCCAGAAACCAAGACCGTACTGAGGGGGGGTTAAGTAAAGCGTCCTTGCAGGGGTGTATGGAGACGCACCTTGGCAGTCGCCGTGGCCAGGAAGTCGTAGACCTCCTTGTTAATGTCGATAGCACGCGCCAAATCCTTCACACCGCCAACCTGGGCCTCAATCAAGTGGTCGCAGTGTACAGTGGTCGGGACCGCCGCGGTGTCCATGCCCGCCGACATGAACTGGAGGAGGGCCATCTGCGCGGTTGCGTCCTGGCACGCTACACGCTATGAAGTCATCGTCTAGTCAGCGCCAGTGGTATGGAGATAAGGCTTGGCGAACTCACGTCTGGCCGCAACTTCAAGTAGCTGACACCGCGCTCGATGTCCTGGTTGTGTGGGTCGTCCAGATGACCGTACACAATCTTCTCGCTCATCGTCAATGGCCGCTGCAATCTGGGAAGTACGGGTCAGTGAGGTGTGCACGCGCGTAGGGAGCCGATTACACACCTTTCGCGGACAACGGCGAGGTTGTCCTCGATGCGCTGGTAGTTGATGTAGGCGCCCTTCTCGAGGAGGGACATGGGGACCTTCTGGTCGCCGATGCGTTCCGCAACGGTGGCCATGCCCGCCGCGAAGCGCTTCATTGCCGCGGGGGCAGCGCGGTTCGTGATGTTAAGCATCGCGTTTCGGTTCGTTAAGCACGCTCTGGACGACGACGGGAGGCGCTCGGCGGCTGCCTGAGATGGATGAGGAAGGGAAGGAAAAGTCCGGAGCAGAGTGATGGCAGCGCGGTTTTCCCCCGATCCCTTTTATACCTTCACGTGAATATCCGCCGGCCAATCATACATCACCCATTCCCCGAGCGCGTCATTTCTCTCCCCGCAGCGCGCCGGCCTCACCAGCACGGCCGGTACACCGTAACGCACGTCCACTAATATTCCAGCCATTCCCGCGCGCGCACGACGTTCACAGCGCCTTCTTCACCACGTTGAGCACCAACCTGCTCTCCGAGATAACCCGGCTACCCCGCTCCCGGCGTGTCGCAATCTCAGCGTTGTTCATGTGCTTCTCGACACGATAATTAGCTGGTCTCAGCACGCCCACCAACGTCGACACTCCCGAGCCCGCCCCGTGTCGGGATGCGGCCGAACGGTTAGGCGGGGGCGGGGCAAGTGATCACTGGTGACTCACAGACGGCCTCCCGCACCACGATCATCGTCCCTGGGCGCGGCGGGGTCAGGCGACACGACCTTGAAGTCGGAGCTCACTGTTCTTCACTGTGTTCATCCTGCTCCCCTTCGCAGAACGATAGCAACTTTAGGCGCGCTATACTTCCCCCAGCACCATGCCGATGTTGAGCTACGCGTCTATAGGTACCTCTCGACTAGTTCAAGGCTGCTGATCGTTTGTCAAGTCGCCCGCAAGCAGGGAAGCTGCGTCGATCGCTGGGGGAACTATGGGCACGCGTTCCCTGAGCTCCTAAGATTGTGGGGGAACTGCAGTTGCGATTTCTGAACTCCAGCGATTGCGAGCGAACTCAACCGACGTTCGTGTCAGTTAACCTCGTCGATCACTCGTTTGTAGACGGATTAGGAAGGGGTTGGTGATCGAAAGCGTGACCATCAAAATGTGACTATGCTTTGACTTCAGCGCCTTCGGGCGGAGCCCTCGCCTCTATAGCCAAAGCCCGTTATCTACCCGCCATACCACGACACTATCTCAACGTCTATATTGGAATGTATACATCTTGTCATATCTTCTTACGCTCGCTTCTGTCCGACGACATCCAGACATCATGAGGGATACAAGCCTCTGGAACCTTCAGTCGGTTCCACACCTAGTCCATCAGCGCAAGCTCCGCTTCCTTGAGATTGGCGACTCATCTGCTGGGCAAGGTCGGCTGACTAGATGCAACATACTTATTCGCGCCGACCCTCTTGCGATCATGAACGACGCCGGCGCGCCATCGTGCTCAAGACGCTCACTCGACACTCCCAAAAGACAGAGAATTCGCCACATCTAGCGTCGAATACTGTATCTATATACACGGTACGGAAAAGAGCAGCTGGCTATAATGAACAATGAGAAATGAACCAGCGCTGGCAATAAATATACCCCATCCCGATCCGCGGGCGCGTTTGAGAGCGTAGTGTATGAACGCGTCTGCCACGGCCCTGCGTACCCATACTAGCTACAAAGAAAAAGTAACAGTAAAAGCTACACAAGACATGCTCAGACAGACGCACTACGCATCGCGCGGAAGGTGGCCAGCTACCGCCCACGCGTGCGCCGACGCTATTTAAATATGTACAGTACACAGAACGAAACGCCCGCGCCGCGGTGCGCATGATAAATAGCGAGAGGAAGGGGAGGGGGTATAGGGGTTGGGGGACCGGCGCGGCGAGTGTGCGCGCGGTCGACCGGCGAGGCAGGCGTGTGCGCACAGCGGAAAAAGACCCGCGAGCGCCGGAAGGCACGACAGATCGCCGCGCCGGTACGAGAAATGTTCGAGATAGTCGGGTTCGATGTTGTCGAAAAAGCGGGTGTGGTGTGGTGTGGTGAGTTTGTTTAATAGTCGCGGGCTACCATCCTCGTTCGGGTCCATTCATCGCGCGTCGTGCATCCATCCTCTTCCTCTCCTCTCGTTCGGGTGGCGCATCTACCACCCGAACACCTCCTCGTGGATCTCGATTCCGCCGATCTGGTCTCGGCGCACCGGGTCGATCCAGCTCACGGCCTTGTTGACGTCGTCCGCGAGCGCGACGGGGCCGCACACGCCGACGAGCATCCCGCACAGCGCGTCCTCGTCCTTGTATCCGCGCCCGAGGCTCGCCGTTCGGCTGATCGTCGCGTCGAGCACCTTGAGCGTGCGCGGGCGGCCGCCTGACAGCGTGAGGCCGGGCGGGAGGGCGTTGCGGTCGAACGGCAGCTTGCCCGACGCGGAGACACGCGTGTAATGCACGCTAATGTTGACCTGCGTCGTGCTCGAGGTCTGCAGGAGCGCGGTGAGTTGCGGGAGGAGCGGCGCGAGGCTCGCCGCGTCCTGGATTATCCAGATGAGCTCGAGGACCTTGACGCGCGACCGGCGCTCGAGGTCGCGCTGCAAAATGTCCTGCATGCTCGCGAGCCCGAAGGTGATGCCGGACCCACCGCACACGAACACGCCGGCCGAGTAGCTGTGGAAGATCGCGTCGCCGGGCCCGCCGTAGGGGCCCTCGAGCATGACCTTCACCTGGCGGTCCGTGCCCGCGTCGTAGTATCCGCCGCTCTTCGCCATCTCAAATAGGCGCGTCGTCCATGTGCCCGTCTTCTTGATGAGGAGGACGAGGCCCTCGTGCGAGTTGGGCGCGCTCGCGATCGTGAACGGGTGCACCTCGCTCCAGCCGTAGAGGCCCATGCCGCCGGAGAGCACGCGCACGCGCATGTGCTGCCCCGCGCGCCAGCCGGTGTTGATCTGCGGGACCTCCATGCGCACGATGCCGAGCTCGGGGAGCGCGCGGAGCGTGACGGTGTGGAAGCGTGTCTTAATGAGGCGGTAGAGGTGGTCGAAGCCGTAGATGACGCAGACGGCGATGATGTAGGGGAGGAAGGTCGGCATGTGCATGTACGTCGCGGGGATGAGGACGATGAAGGCGGCAATGTGCGACCAGAGGAAGATGGTGTACCAGTTCTTGCGCCAGTAGTCAGTGGAGAGGAAGAACAGAACATCCATGCAGATCGTCGCGACGAGGCCCCAGACGATGAAGGGCTTCTGGAGGCTTGCGGCAAAGGTGCCAGCAATTGACCATTTGTAGACTAGGGCGAGTCAGTGGGCTGATGCGGAGTCGAGGAGGGTCACTCACAGTAGCCTAGGGTGTGAATGTTGACGGCAAGGACGACCAGGCGGCCGACGAAGCGATGAATAAAGTTGAGCTAGCCAGCGCGTGAGCCACTGTGCATGACGACATGTTCAAGCTCACCTTCTCGTAGCCAATCCCAAGGAGCAGACCGATCGGGTTCGCCTTGGTGCCGAACGCAAAGACCCAGACCATCTGGGCGACAGCGACCGCACCCGTGCGAGCTGTCGGGGAGTGGTCAGCGCGTTGCTACGAAGATATCGGAGGGCTACGCACCGGGATCGCTGAAGGGGTTCGACATGTAGAACGCCGTGTACGCCATGACGGCGAACCAGATCATGCACGTCGCAACCTGATAGAAGGAGTAGCCTGCCGTGAAGCGCCAGTGGAAGGGCGCGGTGAGGGGGCGGAAGAAGCGCGGGCACGCCGCGAGATGGGGCGGGCAGTTGGCCGGGGGGCCACCAGCGGCGTGCTTGTCGAGGCGCTGGATGTACTGCGCATGCGTGTGGAGGGTGTGCGAGTCGTCAGACCCGCCGTACGCAGTCTTCTCGGAAGAGTACGTCGGGCGGCGCGCGATGGAGTGATCGGCGGGGCGGCGGGTGGCGGGGAGGGCCTTGCGGGCGAAGATGTGGCCCTGGAGCCACTCGGAGGGGACAGAGAGGCGTGCGAAGAGGCGTGGCAGGCGCAGCAGCACCAGCACGCCGAGGAGGGCGAGGAGAACGATGTTCGCATGCCAGAGGAGCAGCGCGACGTTCACCCCGGGCCCCTCAGCCTGAGCGGCGGCACCCTTGGCCGCCGCTGCGCTTGCGGTCCCGTTGGACGCAGGTTGTGTAGCAGACATGGCGTTGACGTCGACGTCGAACTTGGTGGGGAAAGGGCGTGAAGGAGTGTACAGCTTAGGAGACAACGCGGCGAAGCGGGCGTCCGAGAACGCAAAAGCAGCGCGCGAGTACGGCGGCGCATCGCAAAGACGAAGGGGAGATGAAGGCGGTGAGAAGACGGGTTTGTGCTCGCCGTCGTGACCGTTCCTTTTGAGTTCCGCGCCGCGCAGCAGCACCCCGATAGGTGTCCAGGTCTCGCGCGTGCAAGCTTGAACCGCTCCTGCCACCACGATGTGCCTGCCGCGACTCGCATCGAGACGGCCTGGAGAGGACGCGGGACGTGCTGTCGCGCCGGCTCCGACCAGCTGTCAGTGCGTCTACGGTCGGGTGTGTCGGCCAGCCATCGCATCGTCGGTCGCAGGAGGAGAGAAGCGCGCGCTCGAAGCATGCCGGCACGCCAGCTGTCAGGAGTCAATGCCCGCGCGACGTCATCGCCGCGGGCTTCCGAGTCTGCGTTCGAGCCTGGCGGTACTTGTCGAGTGGGCGGTGAGTCTAGCTGGAATCGAGTCGTCACCGAGATGGCGGTCTCTGCAGGGTCCCCGACGGTCCTCCCTGCGCGCCCCGCGTGACGTGACCGAACATCAACCGTCGCGTTTCCTAATCGGTCAAAAGTGAGAAAATTCGCATCTACGACCTCCCGTACTTCCTATCTCGCGAACCGCTGCAGCTAGCAACTTCGGACAAGGTGCGTTGGGAGCGTATTTGTCAAACTAAGGGTTTTCCGAGCTTGCAAGTTGCTGCTATCACTCCTTCCTCTACTGTTCCCTCCGAAGTCAGTGGGAAAGCGTGACATTCCGGCTCTAACAATTGTCCAGCTTCGAGTTCTTCTTCGTTTCTTGTGGTTCAAAGACTCAATTGAAGGGTGTGGGCAGGCCAACCTCTCTGCCAACTAACTAGTCCCTCCCCCTCCTCGCTCTCCCCCTCTTGATTTTACTCTGCTTGTCACCCTCCTCTGCCACCAGCGCCCACCATCACAGACCCCGCTCCAGACATCACAGACCCCGCTCCAGACATCACAAATCGTCCGTTAGGCACGATAATTGTTCCGTGATGTCGTCCGGTGGTCGTTCGATGGCTATTAATTGCCGTCAACGGCCGTTCCAGGGCCGGCAAATCACACTGCAATCATCGGACGGCACCCTTCCGTGGTACGAGCTCTAATTTACCTTCCGCGAGCTGATCCGTAGCTACTCGAGACCCGGCCATGGGTGGGGAATATAAGGTAGGAGCGTAAGGTGGGTGCACAGTCCGTGTGTACGAGTCTGCTCTCTATTCTTATGCTACATGTTACAGTACACACAACGAGTGCGAGGCAGGCTATGAGTGTACAAAGCAGGCTACGAGTGTTCAAGTCTCGAGACAGGCTACAAGCATACAAGTCTCGAGACAGGCTATGAGCACACAGGTGACGACTATCAGGTATGGAAGGTAGGTCGGTGAGCAGGAGAGAATGGACGGAGCGCAGGGGGATAGAGGGTGGAGCCGAGGCTTTGACAGAGACGAGAAGGTTGAGGGTGAGATGAGAAGGTTGAGGGTGAGATGAGAAGTCAATGGGCAAGATTTATCTGTGGTCGAGGCTGTGGGGATGGTCGAGAGGTGGTCAAGGCGCTGAGGAGATCAAGATGGAGGTGAGAAGACCAACACGGAGATGAGAAGACCAAGACAAAGGTGAGAAGACCAAGACGGAGGTGAGAAGACCGTGGGGCAGATGTCAAGATAGTAGACATGTTCAAGACTTGGCTGAGGGTCGAGGCGGGCATGTCAAGGGTCGAGGCAGGTGAAGCAGAATGGAATCAAGGGTACAGTCGAGACACGTCGAGTTGCCACAAAGTAGGTAACGAGCAAGTCGGAACTGAGCAAGTAGAGAGCGAGCAAGCCAAGACCAAGCGAGTTAAGGAGCTTGACGAGTTTAACAGACAAGGTCATATTACATAGTACATAATAGGACAAGAAGGATGATACAGTACAGAAGACTTGACAGCAAGAGCGACGCAGTGAGAAAGTGCTCGAGAAGGTAGGCAGATGTTCGAGAGGTCAGGGAAGTGCTCAAGGACCGGGTGAGCTGCTCACAGCGCAGTAGAGTGTTCGAGGGTCAGCAGAATGATCAAGGGGTCAGCAAAGCGCTCGAGGGGTCAGCATCATGCTCGAGACCTTGTCTAGGTAGCCAAGAAGATCTTGGGTAAGTAGGGCTCCCCAGACCGCATTACCTCGCTCGGCGGACGACGATTCATTGCTATATTGATCAAAGGGCTTCAGCAATCGCTCGAGGGGCTTTGGGCACCGTGAACTGGTTGGGGAGGCGACAGACAGCAAAGGGGAGCTTCGGGAGGTGGAGAGCCCCGGGGACCTCGAGACAGCGTTGGGAAGCTTGGGGTAAGCGCCGGGGAGCTTGAGGTGAGCACTGGACAGCTCGGGATGAGGACCGGAGGCTTGAGGCGAGAAGCGAGGTAGATGACGAGCTTGAGAGCGGAAGTGGAAGCGAGGCGTGAAGGTGAAGTTGAAGGGTGTGCTTGAGAGCGAGAGCGAGGGCGAGGGTCGCGCTTGGGAGTGAAAGCAAAGGACGCCTTTGAAAGCGAAGCGAAGGCGAAGGCTGCAGACTGAAGGGGAAGACGAGGAATGAGTGTTAGACTCACGAGCAGGAAACGCATCGCGTACCTCATTACCCCGCTCGCCGGATGAATTTCTATTGCTTCACGACTTGAATCGACGGGACAGCATCGGGTTGTATTCGACGAGTCACGAGGAATAGTGGAGGTGAAGCCGGAGGTGTGCGAGAGTGGTCAGGGTGAAGCCAAAGTCGTTGAGGTGCAGACGAGGTCACTAGAGTGATGCCAAAGCTGTCGAGCTTGCACGACAGGGAGAACAATGGTGGAGGTGTCGATGACTTGCGGATAGCGGCGACGCGCTGCTGATCGCATTGGCGCGATAAAGACGGTGCTGCCGGGTCGGCGACGGCACCAGCGAGTTGGTGAGCGAGAGCGCGGGCCTCAGTGGTCCGCGTCTTGATGACCGAATGTCAGTCCACCGCCGCGAGAGTCTAGAGCTTCGTGAGCTGCCGCCTCTCGCATGAGAAGCAGAGGATGCACTGCATATCCTCGCTCGGCAAAAGAAAATGCATTGCTTCAGCGCATGATGGGTGGTTGGCGAGGACGAGCGTGCGACTGGGGGGACTGCTCGAGCGTGCAAGTCGTGGGACGGCGAGGCCGGCAGTCGGCGAACGGAGATTTGGGCCACGAGCTTTCCAGCCTCGTTCGACGAACGAATACCATCCGCGCCGTCGGAATCTGGACACTCGTAAGCCTTGGGACAGATCACAAGGGTCGCACTACGCACCGTATATCATCGCTCGGCGGACGACGATGCATTGCTTCAGCGCTGTATTCGACTTGAACATGGCGTGCGGCGACGCGAGCGAGTCCCGGGGCTTTCGAGGAAATCGGGGAGCGGGGAGGAACAGACTTGACTACAGGGAGACGGTCTAGATCAGAGTGAGCGCGGAATTCTGGCGGGGAGGAGCGTAGCACGTACCGTATATGCCCGCTCGCCGGGGGAAAACTCATATACTCATCGACTACAGCAGTCTGCGCGCGTGACAGATTGCCGGTTGTCGAAGGCCGAGAATTCAGCCTGGCACGGCGATTGAGAGACGTAGAGACTGGGCGAAAGCCCTCGCAGCTGCTTTGAGCTCGACGCTGAAGACGAGAAGACATGGGAGGAAGGACTCGGCCGCGCAAAGCGCCGCCACGGACGGGAAAGTCGGGCGGCGAGACGGACGGCCAGCGGTCCGAGAGCGCACGAGAGCGACCGAAGACTCAAACTCCGGGCGTTCAGGGTCGCGGACGGACGGGAAAACCTACCAAAGTCGGAAGGTTTTGACGAGAAGCCCGTCGGAGTCAACAAATCGACATTTCTCCCCGCGCGGGGAATTTGCCTAGGCTACTCCGCGCGGGTGCCTGAGTTGAGGCGATATTGTTCTTGCTAATACACGTGTTTTGAGCAGCGCGATGCTCAACGCGGAGGTCGCTGCTGGAGATTGTCCCGCGAGGTTTTCTCAATGAACAATGAAGGAAATTGATGGACATTGGCGTAAAGAAGACCGATTGAGTGCGAATAGAGGCCCCCCGACATCTCCGAAGGCACCTGCATAGCGGGGAGGCACTCGACGGGGCGGCGCGCAAACACGGGGAACGATGGTGACGGCCGGGCACAAGGAGCGTGCCTTAAGCGCCGGGCGCTTACCGGCTTCCGCCCCGCCTCGCCGGTCGTCGGCAATTCCCGACCGCACTTCCCCCGCCCCGCCTCTTGCGTTCTGCGCTCATCGCCATCGCCCCCCGTGCTTTCGACAACGGCATAGTCGTCGTCGGGCGATCCCCCTTGCATCTTCAGCGAACGGAACAGACAGCACAACGGGATCCTTGCGAACTTCCTGAACAACACGGCTACTGCTTCACGACGCGATCTCCGCCTACGGCACCTATCCCCCATCACCCCCAGCACCCACGATGGGTCCAAACATGTCCCAGGCGCATCTCTGAAGCATCCCCGAACGCTCGCCTGGTGCTGATGGACAAGGAAGGCGTCCGCTCTTATCGTAATTGAGGGTCGAAGCAAGATGTATGCACATCTGACCCGAATATCCTCGGTAAGTCGTCACCTGGGTGGACATACCTGACCTCTAAGGATCGAAGGGGGGAACCTGGGAGTGCCGTTTTATGCGATTTTGACTCGCCTCCGCGGCGCGATGGGGTCTGTAGAACGTCGAAAAGGCCGTTTTGAATATGTGGCGTCGCTTTTGGTACGTTCGTGCATCCACCGCATGGGCCTTCGCTGACCGGATAAACACAGATAAATGGTATTCGAGTAGTAGGCATGTATTTTAGGAAGTTTAGACAGCCTTGGCGCAATTCCCAACTCGCAATACATATCGTCTCATCGTCCACCCACATCTTCCCCATCACGAACGCGTGCTATAATTGACGCCCAACCCCATGTACGTCACTTTGCCTACACTACCTAACACATTTAGAGCATTGTGCCGCTCCCCGGACTCGGCCCTCGCGTCCAATTGACCGAATATCCGTTCGCCACCATTCCGTTCCCCCACGACTTCCTTCGCTTTACGGTAGGTGGACTCTTCCCAACGCGACAATCTAGACACTGAAATATCGGATCAGAAATTTTCAGCTTGATGCGCGCCGGCGGCGGCCTCGGCGCGTCCGCTCCCGCTCAGCTGTTCTCACCTTGGCGAGAACAATAGACCAGCCCTAATTTCCCCTCGCCGAGGACCGTCAACCATCTTGACATCGGCGCATACGCGTGCTGCGTAACTGCCGGAGCCTTGAGGTAGCGAGTCACTGAGGAGGACGAGCTTTTGGCGCGCCGCCCTCCGTCTAGCTCAAAGCCTGCTAAATGGAGAAACGACGTGATGGCAGCGAGTTCGACTCTTTCCCGGTCTTTGGTGCGTCGCCCCCGCGCCACGTCAGCACTGCCACGTGTCACGCGACGTCAAGTGCGCTCTCTTCGACCGTACTGACGCTGCTGCCCAGCGGATGCGGTCAAGTAGACGCGATACAACGCCCAGCAACTTGCGCGCCACCCAACGGACAGATCGCACAACCCCCCGTACTTCCCCGCCGGAGCCCACGTGCACGGCATCCCAAGCCCGGGTGAGTAAGTCTCGACACATTCTCTGCGCGCTCTGGATGACATTCGCGCAGGGGAGCGGCGGAAGATTGAATGCGCCCTCCGCGCGCATCCCCCCAATCTTCCGACTTTTCGGTGGGCGGGTCTCGGTCGCGGACCACCGAGGTCTGATCCGGAAATATGCGACGCCGGTCTGGAAGATTGGGCGGCGACTGGGCACGGCATTGGGCCGTTTGCGAGGTATAAAGGGTAGGGCATCTAACCGCTCTAATCAGCAATTCACTCCCTTCCTCACACTTTCCTACCTCCCCTTCGCTTCGACATTTCTTCCTCAATACTTTCTTGTTCTCGTCCTCTGTGAGTCCCCTAACCTCGTTCTTGTTCTGAGTCTTACGTCCTCTTTCCTTCAGGTCAAACAGCCCCCTTCGGCATTGACTAGTAAGTCCGCCTTTCTTAATCACTACTACTTGTCATACTCGTCCCAGTCCTTATTCAGGCGCTTTGCGACTCATTGAAGCGCCCGCTTTCATTCCTACGAGCGCTCTACCCTTTTACTGATCGCTTTCACAGCCTTCTTTCCACGCGCACCACCAATCGACACCAAACGCACTTGTCGGTTTCAATGCTCCTCTCGGGTAAGTCAATCGATTTTCTATCTATCTATTGTTCTTCCTAAGTCATTGAACATTGATATCGCTGCACGTCGCTGTCTGTCCCTTGCTCGCCGGGTAAGGACGGGCTGAATTTTCGACGTCGCACCACCCTGACCGGGCGTGCTCTAGGCCATCACGTCGACCGCCACGACTCGCTACGGCCTTCCGCATCTCACCACCACCTGCGTCGATGCCACGCTCATCTTCTGCGCCTCGATGCGCGCTCAGCAGACTTGCAACTGGAGGGGGTCTTTGTGGACGGCCGGTCGATCTTTTCGGCAACCCCCAACCTCCCGGACTCGGCGCGTCTAGCACTCCGAGCGACGGGGTTGGCGCTGTGGTATGTGGTGAGCACGACCCTATCATTCGTGCTTGCTTGTCTTGACATGCTCGAGAGGCCACTCGACGACGTTCGGATTGGAGCGGGCCGCCGTACGGCCTCCGACGACGGCAGGGCTGCATGCCGTCTCTGTAGAGGAACAACAGGACGGTCTCACTGCCGTGCTCATCTCGGTGAGTCTGCGCTCTTTTTCACCGCCAGCTGCACCGTACTCAACGAAGGCATAGAGCGCGATGTTACCCCGAAGCCCAGCCCCCTCTTTCCTCGCTCCCGACACGACTTCGAAGGCGGGCGAGCGTCGTCAGTGTCGGTGAGCTGATTCTCCTCCGTCGCGTCTCGTGGATCACCTCAGCGCAGGCGATGAGCGCAGAACGCCGTTTCCCGCCCCCACCCTTCCTCTCCGTCGGCGTCTGGGATATTCTCGACTGTCGTCGTCACACGCGCAACGATTCAGGACACCTCCTCTCTCCTTCTAGTCCCTTTTCCCAGCTCAATCGGACAGCACGCGATGTTACAGGCGGCCTTCTCGAATCGCGGAGGCCGAGGGTACCCAATCCAGTCGTGATAGCGAAGTAGGGGTGAAGGGGGACTGGTGACTACACGAACGCGCGTCAAGCTCTACACTGGAGAGCGCTATCCCTTTGCATTTCCCGCCTTCACGTCGTGCTAACTCGTTTTCAGATGCCTTTTCTTAGACACCGGGGCCGCCGGAGGCATGCACGCGCGCTGTTCGGTGGGGAACGTAATAAGGGCAGTCTACCTTTGGTCTTGGTGCATTATGGTCGCCCCCCGAACGCATACAAAATCCCTCTGACCCCCTTCCAAAGTAAATTATCGACATTTCCCGGCCCATGAGGCGCACGCGCCAGCTCCCTCCGCCGATCTAGGCGAAGAGGCAGGGGTATTTCTTCGTCAGAACTGGAGGAGAGGGGGGCATTGCAGCGCACCGGTGTGTCATGCTCATCATGCATTAACCTCGCTGACCCCTTCCTCCATGATCTCTTTTAGGTTCCCCGACCGCCGCAGGCATGCGTGCGCTCCCCCTACCAGATCATGCGATGGGGGAGGGGCCCTCCCCATCTCTTTGAGGGAAAGGAACGCGCTTGGAGGGGGGGTGCTGGGTGAGTTATGCGCTTTTCTGATTTTCTATCTCTACAAATCGCCCTCACTAAACCCATTTTTAGATCAGGCTGGGCCGCCGAAGGCACACGCGCGCTGCCCCGGGCGAAATGTTCGGTGGGGCAGGGGTCTCGTCCCCATCACCTCCGGTGAGAGCGATATGCGGAGGCACTCCGGCGCGGGAGGGGGGTGATAATATTGGTGAGCTGATCCCTCTACCGCTAGCACTCCCTCGTCATGAAGACTATGGCGAGGGTGGGGGTACTTCCCCCCTACCCTTTTGAACACATCGTGCTAATATCGCTTTCACAGGATCTTCAGACGAGTTTTTTTCGCCGACCCCGAGCCGCCGGAGGCATGCGCGGGGTCCCTCGGTGAAGGGTGCGACGAGGGCAGGGTGCCCTCCCTTCCCTTCCTCTTTCACAAACGGAGGAACCCCACTTTACGCGACCGTCGGCCAACGTTTTGGCGAGGTCGAGCCGTCGGAGGCGCGCGCGCACCCCCAGTGAAGGCTGCGAAGAGGGTGGGGGTCCTCCCCCTCTCCGAATTGAGTCAAGATGGGGGTGTCTTGACCCCTTGTAAGACGGCTTTTGATGACTCTTAGCCGCCAGAGGCGTGCGGGGGCATCCCTCGAAGTGGGATGCGACGAGGGTGGGGGACCCCTCCATCCGCCGTCTCTTATCATAGGGTCCCCCTTCGCATTGTTTTTGAGCGACTTTAGGCGAGTTCGATGAACCGGAGGCGAGCGCGGGCCCCCTCGTCAAGGCGTGCGACAAGGGTGGGTCTCCCTATCTCCCCCTTCTTATGTCTTAAGCGTACTGATTTCCCATCGAGACGATCTTCGAGGGGTGGCAGCTGCCGAGGCGTGCGCGTGCCTCTCGGGCGAATGACGCGAAGGGGGGAGGGTCCTCTCCCACCCCTTTGTGAAGAAGGGATGGCTGCGGGCGCGCTTGAATGGCGGAGGGGGCCTAGAGTTGTTGGTGAGTTATGCCCCTCCTTCTTGTTTTCAGTCAAACTTACTGGCCCCCATCTTCGCTAGGTTGAGCCGCCGGCACGCTGACGCTGATCCGCGCGAGCTACGCGACGAGGGAGGGGGTCCCCCACCTTTGGAAGCGTAAAGAAATGGGTGAGGGGCGCCTCCCCTCGCAAAAGGGAGGATGTGGTCGTTGGTAAGTCATTTCGATCCCTTTGTTTCTGTTGCAGCGTACTGAGTGCCTTCCCTTCGCAACCAGGCAGAGCCGTTGGGGGTCCATAGGTGAGGGGTACGATAAGGAAGGTGCGTCACCCTCCCTTGACCTCTTCCGTCAAGATGTACTAAATCCTTTCAAAACGACATCCAGGCGACCGTACGAACAAGGCCCAAACCGCGCGCAGGGGCGTGGGGGATCGTGCGGTCAGCGGCGGGGTGGGAGGTGAACTCTCCCCTACCCCCCATCTCCAAAGACTAACGATCCTTACGAGGGGTTCCAGCCGCCGGAGGCGCGCGTGGGCCCCTCGTATGAGGAATGCGTCGAGGGTGGGACGACCCCTCCCTCCAGTCCCCCTTCACATAAGCTCGCTGACGCTCTTTTGAAGGATATTTGGACGCTTTTTCGTTGACCCCGAGCCGCCGGAGGCACGCGCGGAGTCCCTCGGTGAAGGATGCGACGAGGGTGGGTCACCCTCTCACCCCCCTACCTTGTCATGAGGATACTGACCGTCTTGACCAGGATCTTTTGGACGCCTTTGGGGCGAGGGGAGCAGTCGAAGGCGCGCGTAGGGTTGCGCGATGAGATATGCGACGAGGGTGGGCTACCCTCCCCTCTCCCTTCTACTCGCAAGAAGCGGACTTGCCCCCCTTTCGCAGGATTTCGAACGACTTTTCGGCGAGGCCGAACCGCCGGAGGCGAGAGCAAGGTTCCTAGGTGAGATTTGCGACGAGGTGGGGATGCCCTCCCCCTCCTCCATCTCCTAGAAATTGTCAGGAGCGCGCCAACGCGTGAGAAGGGGACGTTTCGATGGGATCGAGCTGCCGGAGGCGCGCGCGGGCACCTCGGGTGCGCAATGCGAGGGGGGTGGAAGGTGGGGGGTGGTGTGCCCTTCCTCTCCCCTTTCCTTTCTGAACGCATACTGTCCCTGTTCCCGCCGGCATTCTGGTGCCCCAAACCGCTGTGCGTATGCGCGCGCTCCCTAGGTGAGTTCTGCGGAGAGGATAGGATACCCTCCCTACCCCCCTCTTACTATCAAAGACTGACCTCTGTTTGCAGTGCGCTCGTGACCGCTGGGCGGCCGGCGGTAATTTCGTGCGTTCGGTGTGAAGAAGGGGATGGAGGAGGTGACTTCCTCCCCTCCCTCCTCCCCGCCAAGGTGGGTGGATTACCATGTCGGCGGTGAGCTGTCTCTTGCCAAACTCCTTCCCTCCGTTCGCCTCCTCCTTCCCCCGTCTTTCCCCTCCCTCCTCCTTCCCCTCTACTTCTCCTCTCCTCCTTCCCCCCTCCTTCCCCTCCTCCTTCCCCTTTTCTTCTCCTTCTCCCCTCTTTCCCCCGTCTTTCCCCTTCCCCCGTCTTTTCCCTCCCCCCTCCTTCCCCTTCTCCACCTCTTCCCTCTTGCTCTCATTGACGCCCTCCCCTTCAATATCCCTTCATTACCACCTCCTTCACGACACGCGCCACCTTCAACGCGATTCTCAAGCCTGGGAAACCGTGAGGTGGCGCGCGACAGCGAGGGAGGGGCGCTGAGATTTGGTTGGTGTGCCTGTGGGGGCGTGCTTTCTCATTCACTCACTGACGCTTTTTCAGTTCTGGGTACGATGGAGACAACCGCGTTGACTCGCTATCCCCTCTCGTCCTGCGCGATGGGGGAGGAGGGAGGAGGAGAGCGAAAGGTTTGGTGCGCGACGAGTTTGCGGCTCCTCATGATAGAGAGGAAGGGATTGCAGGAGGGGTTCGAGATGGGCAAAAGGCGAGGTGAGTGCTACGCGTCCACCTTCGGGCTCATAGGGGTGGGGTTTCGAGTCGCTTCGGCTCGCGTTCGACGACGCGGCGCCTCTGCAGGCGTTACCCCACGAGTTCGAACACTTCTGACTACGTTCTCTAGGTGAAGCGAAGCACGATGCTTAGAACAAGCGGACGGGCTTGCCCATGGTCGTCTTGATGTGCAGCGACCTGACGTTTCGCCAGTTCTTCTTGAGCAGGGAGACCAAGAAGTTAATGCTCAGACGAAGTGAGGGTTAGTGCCAGGCTCGCAGTTTTGGTAGAGAGCGACTTGATTAGGGCTGGATGAGCGAGCAGGGATGACATGGGATGGATTATGAGTGGTAGCCCGCGCTTTAGCAACGCTGGGCAGAGGTGGGGGAGGGGGGTGTCGCTCTCACTCACGCTTCGCAGGTTTTCGAGCGGCTGGGAATTTCGAGCGAAGTGCGGCTGGTAGTAAGCGTTCAAACAGGTTAGTTGACAATCCTATTCGACGAGCTCGGACGCTGCTAACTGCACTTTCAGGTCCCTCCTCCCTCGCCCCTTCGATCTCGAACTCGGGAGTCCCCGCGCGCACGAGGCGCTCGGCACCGACGACACGTGCGTGTTCGACTTTTCCAACGACGAGCGCGAGCTGCTTAGGACGACGGAAAAGGTGGGCGATGGGGTGGGAGGGGTGGAGGGGGGCTAGTAGCGGTCGAAGGGGCTTTTCGCGACGACGTGGAGAGGTGAGGAAGGGGCTTTTCGTGCTAACCCCCCCCCCTTCCCGGGCTCTCGACGAAGGGGTGGCTGCGAGATGGGAAGGAGGGTTGCGAAGTGGTGAAGAAGTGCGGCTGGTAGTAAGCAGCACGTCGGTAAGGTCAGAAACCCCGCGCTTTCGACGTTGGAGGGGGGTGAGTCTCCTTGGTGAGATGCGCGTCGCTCGGGGGGCAGCACTTGCTGCCCTCTCGTTCACTCTCACTCAACTCACGCACGAAGGACAGGAAATTCGGTACGTCTAGCATCGAATACTGTATCTATCTACACGGTATGGAAAGAGCAGCTGGTAGTAACGAGCCGTCAATAAATACACCCCATCCCGATCCGCGGGCGCGTTAGAGAGCGTAGTGTATACACGCCTGCCACGGCCCTGCGTACCCATACTAGCTACAAAGGAAACGTAACAGTAGAAGCTACACAAGACATGCTCAGACAGACGTACTACGCATTGCGCAGGTGGTGGCCAGCTACCGCCCACGCGTGCGCCGACGCTATTTAAATATGTACAGTACACAGAACGAAACGCCCGCGCCGCGGTGCGCATGATAAATAGCGAGAGGAAGGGGAGGGGGTATAGGGGGTGGGGGACCGGCGCGGCGAGTGTGCGCGCGGTCGACCGGCGAGGCAGGTGCGTGCGCACAGCGGGAAAAGACCTGCGAGCGCTGGTAGGCACGACAGATCGCTGCGCCGGTACGAGAAATGTTCGAGATAGTCGAGTTTGATGTTGTCGAATAAAGCGGGTGTGGTGTGGTGTGGTGAGTTTGTTCAATAGTCGCGGGCTACCATCCTCGTTCGGGTCCATTCATCGCGTGTCGTCGTGCATCCATCATCCTCCTCCTCTTCCTCTCGTTCGGGTGGCACATTTACCACCCGAACACCTCCTCGTGGATCTCGATTCCACCAATCTGATCCCGCCTCACCGGGTCGATCCAGCTCACGGCCTTGTTCACATCGTCCGCGAGCGCGACGGGGCCGCACACGCCGACGAGCATCCCGCACAGCGCGTCCTCGTCCTTGTATCCGCGCCCGAGGCTCGCCGTCCGGCTGATCGTCGCGTCGAGCACCTTGAGCGTGCGCGGGCGACCGCCCGACAGCGTGAGGCCGGGCGGGAGGGCGTTGCGGTCGAACGGCAGCTTCCCTGACGCGGAGACGCGCGTGTAGTGCACGCTAATGTTGACCTGCGTCGTGCTCGATGTCTGCAAGAGCGCGGTGAGCTGCGGGAGGAGCGGCGCGAGGCTCGCCGCGTCCTGGATGATCCAGATGAGCTCGAGGACCTTGACGCGCGACCGGCGCTCGAGGTCGCGCTGCAGGATATCCTGCATGCTCGCGAGCCCGAACGTGATGCCCGAGCCGCCACACACGAACACGCCGGCCGAGTAGCTGTGGAAGATCGCGTCGCCGGGCCCGCCGTAGGGGCCCTCGAGCATAACCTTCACCTGGCGGTCCGTGCCCGCGTCGTAGTACCCGCCGCTCTTCGCCATCTCGAACAGGCGCGTTGTCCACGTGCCCGTCTTCTTAATGAGGAGGACGAGGCCCTCGTGCGAGTTGGGCGCGCTCGCGATCGTGAACGGGTGCACCTCGCTCCAGCCGTAGAGGCCCATGCCGCCGGAGAGCACGCGCACACGCATGTGCTGCCCCGCGCGCCAGCCAGTGTTGATCTGCGGGACCTCCACGCGCACGATGCCGAGCTCGGGGAGCGCGCGGAGCGTGACGGTGTGGAAGCGCGTCTTGATGATGCGGTAGAGGTGGTCGAAGCCGTAGATTGCGCAGACGGCGATAATGTAGGGGAGGAAGGTCGGCTTGTGCATGTACGTCGCGGGGATGAGGACGATGAAGGCGGCGATGTGCGACCAGAGGAAGATGGTGTACCAGTTCTTGCGCCAGTAGTCGGTAGAGAAGAAGAACAGGACGTCCATGCAGATCGTCGCGACGAGGCCCCAGACGATGAAGGGCTTCTGCAGGCTCGCGGCGAAAGTGCCCGCGATAGACCATTTGTAGACTAGAGAAAATGAGTGAGGTTTGCGGCTTGAGAGAAGAGAGGGAACTCACAGTAGCCTAGTGTGTGGATGTTGACAGCGAGAACGACCAGGCGTCCGACGAAGCGATGGATGAAGTTGAGCTAGCCATCGCGTTAGCCACTGCACGTGATGTTCGTGTTCAAGCTCACCTTCTCGTAGCCAATCCCGAGGAGAAGACCGATCGGGTTCGCCTTGGTGCCGAACGCGAAGACCCAGACCATCTGGGCGACAGCTACCGCGCCCGTGCGAGCTGGCGGAGGATGGTCAGTGCGTTGCTACGGAGATATCGGAGGGCTACACACCGGGATCGCTGAAGGGGTTCGACATGTAAAACGCCGTGTATGCCATGACGGCGAACCAGATCATGCACGTCGCGACCTGGTAGAAGGAGTAGCCTGCCGTGAAGCGCCAGTGGAAGGGCGCAGTGAGGGGGCGGAAGAAGCGCGGGCACGCCGCGAGATGGGGCGGGCAGTTGGCCGGGGGGCCGCCAGCGGCGTGCTTGTCGAGGCGCTGGATGTACTGCGCATGCGTGTGGAGGGTGTGCGAGTCGTCAGACCCGCCGTACGCAGTCTTCTCGGAAGAGTACGTCGGGCGGCGCGCGATGGAGTGATCGGCGGGGCGGCGGGTGGCGGGGAGGGCCTTGCGGGCGAAGATGTGGCCCTGGAGCCACTCGGAGGGGACAGAGAGGCGTGCGAAGAGGCGTGGCAGGCGCAGCAGCACCAGCACGCCGAGGAGGGCGAGGAGAACGATGTTCGCATGCCAGAGGAGCAGCGCGACGTTCACCTCGGGCCCCTCAGCCTGAGCGGCGGCACCCTTGGCCGCCGCTGCGCTCGCGGTCCCGTTGGACGCAGACTGTGTTGCAGACATGGCGTTGACGTCGACGTCAAATTTGGTGGGGAAAGGGCGTAAGGAGTGTACAGCTTAGGAGACAACGAATGAACCCTGGCGAAACGGGCGTCCGAGAACGCAAAAGCAGACCGCGACCACGGCGGCGCACCACAAAGACGAATGGGGAGATGAAGGACGGAAAGAAGAAGGGTTCGTGCTCGCCGTCGTGACCGTTCCTTTTGACCGGCGCCCCGCAGCATCCGCCCGATAGATGTCCAGGTCTCGCGCGTGCAAGCTTGAACCGCTCCTGCCACCACGATGTGCCTGCCGCGACTCGCATCGCGACGGCCTGGAGAGGACGCGGGACGTGCTGTCGCGCCGGCTCCGACCAGCTGTCAGTGCGTCTACGGTCGGGTGTGTCGGCCAGCCATCGCATCGTCGGGCGCAGGAGGAGAGAAGCGCGCGCTCGAAGCATGTCGGCACGCCAGCTGTCAAGAGTGAATGCCCGCGCGACGTCATCGCCGCGGGCTTCCGAGTCTGCGTTCGAGCCTGGCGGTACTTGTGTGAGTTTGGCGCGTCGAGGCGTCGAGTCCAGCTGGAATCGAGTCGCCGTCGAGATGGCGGTCTCTGCAGGGTCTCCCTGCGCGCCCCGCGTGACGTGACCGAACATCAACCGTCGCGTTTCCTAATCGGTCAAAAGTGAGAAAATTCGCATCTACGACCTCCCGTACTTCCTATCTCGCGAACCGCGGCAACTAGCGACTTCGGACAAGGTGCGATGGGAGCGTATCCTCTAAACTAAGGGGTTTCCGAGTTTACAAGTCTCTGCAATCACTCCTTCCTTTACTATCCCCTCCGAACTCGCTGGGAAAGCGTGACACTTTGGCTCTAACAATTGTGCAACTTCGAGTTCTTCTTCGTTTCTTGTGGTTCAAAGACTCAATTGAAGGGTGTGGGCAGGCCAACCTCTCTGCCAACTAACTAGTCCCTCCCCCTCCTCCCTCCCCTCCTCTCGATTTCTCTCTCCTTGTCACCCTCCTCTGCCACCAGCGCCCACCATCACAGACCCCGCTCCAGCCATCACAAATCGTCCGTTAGGTACGACAATTGTTCCGTGATGTCGTCCGGTGGTCGTTCGATGGCTATTGAACGCCGTCAACGGCCGGTCCAGGGCCGGCAAATCACACTGCAATCATCGGACGGCACCCTTCCGTGGTACGAGCTCTGTTTTACCTTCCGCGAGCTGATCCGTTGCTGCTCGAGACCCGGACATGGGTGGGGGATATAAGGGAGGAGCGTAAGGTGGGTGCACAGTCTGTGTGTACGAGTCTGCTCTATATTCTTATGCTACATGCTGCAGTACACACAACGAGTACAAGGCAGGCTACTATGAGCGTACAAAGCAGGCTACGTGCGTACAAGTCACAACTACAGGTACGGAAATTAGGTCGGTGAGCAGGAGAGAATGGACGGAGCGCAGGGGGATAGAGGGTGGAGCTGAGGCTTTGACAGAGATGAGAAGGTCAAGGATGAGACGAGAAGTCGACGGGCAAGATTAGCCATGGTTGAGGCTGTGGGGATGGTCGAGAGCTGAGGAGATCAAGACGGAGGTGAGAAGACCGTGACGGAGGTGAGAAGACCGTGGGGCAGATGTTGAGATATTGCTGGTCCTCGAGACTGGGCTGCGGGTCGAGGCAAGCATGTCGAGGGCCGAGATGAGCATGTCGAGGGTCAAAGTGATTGAAACAGAAGTCCAGGTTAAGGGTATAGTCGAGACTCATCCAGTTGCCACAAAGTCGGTAACGAGCAAGTCGGAACTGAGTAAGTAGAGAGCGAGCAAGCCAAGACCAAGCGAGTTAAGAAGGAGCTTGACGAGTGAGTATAACAGACGAGGTCATATTGCATAGTACATATCAGGACAAGGAGGATAATACAGTATAGACGACTTGGAAGCAAGAGTGAAGCAGTGAGAAAGTGCTCGAGAAGGTAGGCAGATGCTCGAGAGGTCAGGGAAGTGCTCGAGGACCGGGTGAGCTGCTCATAGCACAGTAGAGTGTTCGAGGGTCAGCGGAATGATCAAGGGGTCAGCAACGCGCTCGAGGGGTCAGCATCATGCTCGAGACCTTGTCTAGGTAGCCAAGAAGATTTTGTGTAAGTAGGGCTCCCCAGACCGCATTACCTCGCTCGGCGGACGACGATTCATTGCTATATTGATCCGAGGGCTTCAGAGATCGCTCGGGGGGCTTCGGGTGCAGCGATATTGTTTGGGAGGCGACGGACAGCGAAGGGGAGCTTCGGGAGGCGGAGAGCGCCGGGGAACTCGAGAGAGCGTTCGGAAGCTTGGGGTAAGCGCCGGGGAGCTTGAGGTGAGCACTGGACAGCTCGGGATGAGGACCGGAGGCTTGAGGCGGAAAGCGAGGGTAGATGACGAGCTTGAGAGCGGAAGTGGAAGCGAGGCGTGAAGGTGAAATTAAAGGGTGTGCTTGAGAGCGAGAGCGAGGGCGAGGGTCGCGCTTGGGAGCGAAAGCAAAGGACGCATTTGAAAGCGAAGCGAAGGCGAAGGCTGCAGACTGAAGGGGAAGACGAGGAATGAGTGTTAGACTCACGAGCAGGAAACGCATCACGTACCTCATTACCCCGCTCGCCGAACAAAATTCTATTGCTTCACGACTTGAATCGACGGGACAGCATCGGGTTGTATTCGACACGCAAGAGTCGACGGGGAGTAGTCGAGGTGAAGCCGGAGTCGCGCGAGAGTCGTCAAGGTGAAGCCGGAGTCATTGAGCTTGCACGACAGGTAGAGCGATGCTGAGGGGATGGACAACTTGCAGATAGCGCTGGCGGTCTGCTGCTCGCGTTGGCGCGACACAGATGGTGCTGCCGAGTCGATGACAGCGTGAGCGAGTTGTTGAGCGAGAGCGCAAGCCTCATGGTCTGCGTCTTCATTGCCGAACATCGAGTCACCACTGCGAGATTCTGGATATTCATATGCTGTCGCCTCTCGCACGAGAAGCAGAGGACGCACCGTATATCCTCGCTCGGCGGAAAAAAATGCATTGCTTCAACGCCTGATGGGGTGGTTGGCGCTGCCTTCGTCGATGAGGGCGAGCGTGCGACATGAAGGACTGTTCATTCGAAGACGAGCGTGCGAGTTGGGGGATAACGAGGCCGGCAGTCGGCGAACAGGGGCCGCGAGTCTTCCAGCCTCGTTCGACGGACGTGAGTCATCCGCGTCGTCGTGATCTGGGCACTTGTAAGCGTTGGGATAGATCGCAAGAGTCGCACTACGCACCGTATATCACCGCTCGGCGGACGACGATGTATGGCTTCAGTGTTGTGTTCGACTTGAACAGGGCGTGCGGCGACGACAGCGAGTCCCGGTGCTTTCGAAGAGGTTGGACAGCGTCGAGGGACGGGGTTAACAACAGGGAGGTGGTATAGATCAGAGTGAGCGCGGTTTTGCGGCGGGGCGGGGCATAGCACGTACTGTATACGCCTGCTCGCCGGGTCAGTGTTCATATACTCATCCACTACAGCGGGCCGCGCATAGCGAAGTGCTAGTTGTCGAAGGCCGAGCGTTCAGCCTCGCACGGCGATGAGGAGAAGTGATACTGAACGAAAGCGCTCACAGCTGCTGTGGGCTCGACGCCGACGACGAGAAGACATGAGAGGAAGGACGTGGCGGCGCTTTGCGCCGCCGCGGACGGGAAAGTCAAGCGGCGAGACGGGCGGGCAGCGGTCCGAGAGCGCACGAGAGCGATCGAAGACCCAAATTCCGGGCGATCCGGGTCGCGGACAGACGGGAAAACCTACCAAATCGGAAGGTTTTGACGAGAAGCCCGTCGGAGTCAACAAATCGACATTTCTCCCCGCGCGGGGAATTTGCCTAGGCCACTCCGCGCGGGTGCCTGAGTTGAGGCGATCTTGTTCTTGCCAATACACGTGTTTTGAGCAGCGCGACGCTCAACGCGGAGGTCGCTGCTAGAGATTGTCCCGCGAGGTTTTCTCAATGAACAATGAAGGAAATTGATGGACATTGGCGTAAAGAAGACCGATTGAGTGCGAATAGAGGCCCCCCGACATCTCCGAAGGCACCTGCATAGCGGGGAGGCACTCGACAGGGCGGCGCGCAAACACGGGGAACGATGGTGACGGCCGGGAACAAGGAACGTGCCTTAAGCGCCGGGCGCTAACCGGCTTCCGCCCCGCCTCACCGGTCGTCGGCAATTCCCGACCGCACTTCCCCCCGCCCCGCCTCTTGCGTTCTCGCGCT